AGCCGAGTGGAAGTCAAATAACCTCGTTACACTTTCATTGTGTTTAGAGTTAGCTGCATAGAGAGCATTTTCCACGTCGTTAGTATCATTGCGTAACACTAAGTTAATGTTCAGAAATAAAAAAGAGTATCTAATTACTCTCGCATTGTATAATACCAATATGTTTACGTAAGATAATTACCTATATTGAAAACACTTCAGACGGTTTAAAACGCGATATGTACATTAGTTGCGTTTCCGATGATTTGCTTTCTTGTAAGTAAGTATTGCGAAACAGACAAAGTTTGTATTTTAAACACATTGACAAAAATATATTAATTTTGAGAGATGGATGTGTGAGTGACCTTTGAAAGAAGTCGATATTCACGAGTTAGACACGGTAGCTCAATTGATCATTGGCAATCTGTGTGATTTTTTTAGTCTATTATGTCTAAGGTTTTCAGAACATCAGAATGTGCAATTTAAACTTTTGCAAAATTATTTACATTATTTAAACGGTATCGACACGATAGCGCTGTGGATACCGGTTCGAGTCTCGCCCGTGTCATTGTTTTTTTCATTCTCTCAATAGATTTAAAATAGATATATAAATTCTATCACAACATGTGAAAATGAATATTTTTGATAAGTTTAAGATTTCAAATATTATTAAGTAACATATTTAAGTAAGAACTACTAATAAATCATCAGCGAAATAATTGTCACGTGTTCCTTAAACTGGCCTAACTTAACTTAACTTTCAGTGGGTACAAAAAATAATTACACAGTTTTGGAACAAGGTTACACAACAAATGAGGAAATCATTACACTTAGTTACGAAATATTTATTTAAACAATTTTCACATTCGTGTCCGACTAATTTACCTATTAGAAGGCGTTATAAGAACATCTATATATATGTTAGCAAGTGTTACACACATGTTCAGAATACAACATTTTAGGTCAATAGTTCGCTTATAATAAACAGTCGATATAACTTGCGTAAAAGTAAAATCGCTGTGTCCGTTACACTGATCGATTTTATTTACAGACAAGTAGCCGATAGGACTTCTGCTACATGCCCGAACGAAGAATTTACACCTTCGCCGGGATCCGAACACAGGACCTGTTGCGCTTTGCAACGCCTTTTACCATTAAGCTATGGAGGCGGTCAACATGCGTAATGTACATATACGACGAATTCCGAATAATCAAATACGATTGATAAGTTAACCGAAAATGTTATTTTTATTAAAAACTAAATTGATATTTTTTTCTTAAAACTATTCCAATGCTGAAACTATTTGCTGTTTAGTTAAATACCAATCTAGATTAATAAATATGTAAAACATTTACTTGTTATGCGTCATTTGAATCCAGAACCAATTTTTTTCATTCATTCAGATTAAAGTTAGTCGCTAGGCAATTTTAACCACTGAACAATTACTGGTAAACCATTAAATTGTGTCTACGACAAGCGAAAGTCTTATAGGTACCAAGAACTGTGACTAAGATCGTTCTGAGTACAAAGAATACGACAAAGTTATGTAACTCGGTATTAAACGAAACAAAACACTCAAATCGGTTACAAGGTCGGTTCACAGCTAATAAATATTCACAAAATAAAAAAATCCATACAAGAAATTCAATACCATGTTTATAAATGAAAGCACGAGTACGCTTTTATTTGTCTATAACTGTGTTTAAACTACACGTCTAACATTTTTTTCTCATATCAACATTCCATTGGAAAATGTTAATCCAATATTGGCTAACAAACCCGATTTACGTTAAATCCGGCAACTTGAAAAATTTATAGGTGACTGACTGTTCCATTCTTTGAAGTGCGTCGAAATGCGAAAATCAAGTGGGAAAAAATCAAACACACCCAGTGACAAAGCATTTACATTATAAATATAGAACCTGGAAAGTTTAGGCTTTTTCTATTGCTGTATCGTTCAAAGATGTACAAATACATACTATAAGTTATTATACAAGCAAATGTGAATAAAAAAAAAAAAAATATTTTATGTTTAAAGCTAGCCATTTCTACATGTTGTGAGGGCCTACTGGATATGACTAGAGGAAAATTTTCTCAAGCTCAACAGGATAGGAGGAATATCTTCTTTGGACTGGATAGAATGTGGGGTGGAATTCTGGAACATCATATGTCTATTAATATTTTAAATTAATAGAATATAGAAGATTTTTTTTTTCTAAAACGTTATACTTTAGACTCCTTTTGTGCTCTAAACGAAATATTAAGCTTAACAACATTGCTTTTAAAATGTTGTGAAAAGAAAATAATTTTTAGTTACAAATACCTACCTATATGTACGCATTTTGCATAAATTAATCTAGAACAGATGTCACGATACAAATAAGTTTCATGGCTATCAAAACAACGGCTATAGTGCCTGACAAAAGAAATTCCAGATTAGATAAGGTACTCGACAAATACAGAAGTGGAAGGCTGAAAAAATATTTAACTACAATACAAACAGTTTCAAGAAATTTATTTAACCTTGTCTTTATTAAAATGAAAAGCAAACATTGCATGGTATATTCAAAAACACAATATGAATGTATTCTAATCGACAATCTATAAATTTTCCATTACTAACAATCACTTTAATCTCGATTCCATTGCATAATAAATAGATTCTAGTATTAAAACAATAGAATTTTTGATGACAGTTTTTTAAGCTATAATTTAAGAATTACTTTGAATTCTTATAAATCAAATATCAGAGCTATTTTCATTAAGATAAAGAATGATAGGTAACATTTTATATCTGCTTTACATATTTTTCATGACAGAGTAGTACAAGCTTTCCTTCAGGTAAAACGAAACACCTCGGACTCACTGGAATGTTTCAACTCTATAAAACTAGGTAAGAATCCCTGTCGACCTATTTTTGCTTTGGAGATTGAATAGTTAGACAGAAACAATAACAATATGCAAATACAAACTCTTGAATTAAAAAGCCCGAGTACAAATAGCTAATGTAACAAGATCAATTTATTATTTTGATAAGAACGTAGAATGTGGATGCACTGATGACTCAATAAGTCTCTTCCTCCAAGATAACAGGTATATAAATCAAGACACACTCAAGGTCATTTTAATGTAGTATTGCCATGTCAACTATTAACGTCTATTTTTATCCCCAATCATTTTCCTAGTGATACTTCTTAAATAAAAAGTTTCAACTTTTTACTAAGCATCTTTCATACTGATTTGAATTTGAATTAGACAATATGAAAAAAGCAATTATAATACACCATTCATTCAAGTAGATTGTTTTTTCCTAATTGGAAATAATATATTAAGTTTATTATAGACTATTGAAAATAAGGAAACAATGAACAAATATTATTTATTTATGTACCTGCATGTATGACAATTATTCATTTGTGTAGTATTCAACAGAGGATAAATAAACATTCATAGAAATTATCTTTAAAAAAAAATATACTCCTTGTTATGGGTTTTTAAATAAAATACAATTCAAAAAAAAATACAAACAATGTCATTCAAAAAAAAACACCTAGAATTTTTTTTTAATTAACTAGTGTCTTGAATAATTAATGAATAAATGTAATTTTACTTTAACACAGTTTTTTATGTGGAAAATAATCTATCAAATAATGTATCTAATTTTACTGACCTTTAATTTAGTTCGTCGGTGGTTTCCTAATGTCTCGTGCCAAAAAAGGATAGAAATTCGCACATAAAAACCAGTCAGTCCAGGAAAATTCAATGACTAGAGCCTATTTCAGCCTAGAAGATCACTAAATCGATATTACTGTTTTAAAAGTACACAAAATCAATTTCACTGCACCAAATTATTAACCATACGGTAGGTTTATCAAAAAATACGGTGAAAGTGCGGAATTAATTTTACAACAACGAAAATATCCTTCGCCAATCGCCTAGTGCAAGCCGCAGTACACAACTGACGTTTGTACTTGTCAACCTGAGGTCTGATTCTGCTATCCACACGGGCCTGTCGCTTGTCTAATAGTATCGCTCGACTGGCTTGTAACATTGTGCATTCTACTAATAAAATTGTTATTGGATAAGCACTGCGATTATACGAGCTTTTAATAAAAGCTCTTGGCGCTTAGAAGAATGTTTTAGATTGTAATATTAACATTGCGAGTTGCTTCGCGCATATGTCAGTCTCGTGAATTAACAGAATTGGATCCTGTCAAAGTTCATGCCGTCATGCAAGATTGCGGATAGCGGTGTTGCAAGATACCGTTCATAAATTTACCTATAATAAATAAACGCATTTTGAAAACGTCTACTGCTATCATTAGGTTTTCTTATTTTTATCATTGGGTAAGCAACTTTTTACTGTAGAAAAATTGTTTAATACGTGCTTTGTATAGTTAGGTATATTTTTAGAATTAATATTATTTTATTTTATCACTAAATATTAATAATCATATTTATTATAATTCCTACATCATTCATTACTCTTGTTGATTGATACTAAAATTTTGTTATCACTAATATATGTATAATATATTTCTTCTAACCACTATCTATAGTAGGGATAGAAGTAGGGTTGTTACTTCGTGGTTGACGCTAAACAAAAGTCAATTTATTAAAATCGTTTGATTACATAAAAATCATTATACGAAAATGAACGACAACCACAATATTTCTTAAGGTGCTGATTTATTTTTAGTTTAGCTATATGCATAAAACTAAGTATATAAAAGTACGAGGGATATAAGAAGACTTAGGTAAATCAGTTTTTATTATTGAACATATATTGGCGAGAAGAATAATAAAGCAACACTGCGCCCGATCCTTGACAAATTACTGCGCTTGTCCGTTCCGGTGCAATATTGAAATTCCTAAAAAATATGACAGCATAAAATACGTTATTTATAATATTTATTGATACATATGTAGCCAAAGTAATACAATTAAAATATATCGCGATACTTGTATATTTGTACTTATTTAAAATTTCTAATTGCATAAGAAAATGTTACTTACGCCTTCAGATTATCCTCCTTATCACGTCCTGGATGTTTTCTTTGTCCGGGTTAATGTTGACTGTTATATGAGTGTAAAGATGCTTCATTGTAATTGATGTGACTTTATACTTTAGCGTAGATAAGCCATCTGCTGTATATCTATCGGTAGCTGTTTTCAGCAACTTGTATCTATAATTAAAGTAGCTACACTATTTTATAGCGTACACATTTTATATTTATCAAGATTTTTACCTGTATTACTCGGTTATTGTGCAGACAATGCATTCTACTTTTAAAGTTTCCTTTATATTTACAACTAGCTGTGTCGGCGACTTCGTCCGCGTAGAATAATTATTTTGAGCATTCAAATTTGTTTTTGCTAACCTCCTCTTTATCTTAATAAATTTAAGCTGTTATCCCCACGACGTCGGTCGCGTCCCATCGTTCTTACAAGTTAATCTTAAAAGATACAGTGGACATTTTTTAGTTAATTTAAACAATCATTTTAATTTTTTTTTGGGTATTTTGGACCGTTCGTAGCGTGCGCATCGGAAACGTACAAAGATGAATATTTTTTTCCGTTTCGTCCACATTTCCCGCTGTTTCGTCGCTCTAATTGGTAGCAGCGTGATGTTTTATAGCCTTAAGCCTTCCTTGCAATTTTTTCAATTCGGACCAGTACTTCCTGAGATTAGTGCGTTCAAACAAACAAACCCTTCAGCATTATATTAGTATAGATAGAATCAAATAAAGCTTCATTAGTTATTGCTTTAAGAAGCTTTGTAACTTCGCTGTAAGCTTCGATGAACTTATGTAACTAACTTTACTTAAATATTTAATTAAAATAATTTTTGCAACCACATAACGTAAATCATTAAACAATTGAAAAGGTTTTTCATATTTTCAATCTGCCTTTCTCGTTGCTTTCAAATTAGCACTCTCAGCTCATTTAAAATGCGATGCGAACTACAAGTACTGATAATATCTACCTCCGTTAACTCACCAATGGCATCAAAATCGATAATCAATGTAATAAATACTTAGGTACGATTAACGTATATAATATAATACATAGCGATAACATACAAATGTGCAGTTGATAAGCGTGCTATTTACCAATAGCACGGATATAAAAGCAATTATTTGAATACTGACCTTATCGATATTGTTATATTACGATTATTATAGCGTTTCATATAATCTTAGTTTTGAAACCACCTTTCCATATTACGAGCACAGTTTTCATTTTCTTTGGTAGCGACCATCTATCTACCCACACATAATGTAACGTGCGATTTGTTTGATGTTTACTTAACTTATTTTGTCTTTTTATTGCTTAAATAATTTCGAATATATCTAGTATTCCAGAAGTGCTAAGGTACTTTTCAATTTAATTTACTTAAAGGTTATATATTATATATATATATATAAGATAAGTTTACATACTACTATTATTATGTTTTATATACAGGTAATTATTTACACTTCTGTTCCCTAACCGACAGTAGCTATTATAAATTGTTTACTAGTTTAGTCGAGGAACGCCTTACATCTGAAGTTTTAAATACATCACTTTTAAATTTAAATAAAAGTAAAATTCGATGTATTTCACTTCGGAGCCACGTTGCGGATGATTTGCAGCGCGTTTTAAACCGTTAAAAGTGTTTCATTTAAATGTGTAATACTTGCGTACATCTCCTAAAGATGCTATTTAGTTGAAATGGCGAATCCAGGACCATTTTTCAATTACGACTTTCACTATTTTTCCCTAGTAATTTAATAGCAGGGAGTACATATAACATACCTATATCGATTGGGCTGTTGTTTTACATGTCGTAGAGTTGTATAAAGAGCTACTTTTTCGTCATACTTCGTTACTGGTATGCCGACGTCCTGTAACCTATAAGTATAAGATATAACTAAGACAAGTTATTGATTTTTGTATCACTACTCCTAACAATTCCTCAATACTACCTTTTAAAGATGTCATCATCTTCACCACCCCAACCCCAGTAGTAGTTAGAATAGCCATTGACTTTATAAAAATGCTCCACATTGATAACAGAAACACCCCCGTAGAAGGTACGAAATCGGTTGCTGAAATAAATAAATTATAAGTATATTCTTATAGGAATAAAACATGTTAAATGTCCCTATATATATTTAGTAGATGATATAGACAACCAATATCACCTTTATATCACTTCTTAGTTCGCTGAATCACTTACTTGTATTTAAATTAGATAACAGATAGAAATAACCGTTTAACGGTATAACACGCGATAATTTGTAAATAACTTGAACTAATATATATCGCGTTTTAAACCGTTTTATTTAAATCTGTATCTAGTCGCCTCAACTACAGCCAGAATTTTGATAACAGATTCTTAAATAGTCTATATGTTCGCTTAAATGATAATCTTACAGATACAATAATTTTTTATATCCCACCAATATAGCTTCCCTTCACAATCTAGTACCTAATCAGCGGCTGTAGATCTTATACATTTTTAGAAAGACTTCAAAACCCATACAAGACGCCACTTCGTGTTTACAAACTAGTAATCGTTATAATTCCGCCTTAACCACTCGTTACCTTGAAAAACCTAATACCAAAAAACAATACTATTAGAAGTATAATTTTCCTCTTTTATTGATCTTTGTTCTTTTCTTTTCTAGGTCCACAATTCTTTCTGATGTATATTACGTCCGCTACGGGGATTAGCAATGCATTTCAACATAAGCTTGAATTAAATGTCCTAAAACTTAGATTACTTAAATCCCTTTACTTTCTATGTATCAGAGCCATATTTATATGGTCTTTAACTTGTTTGTTGCAGATTTAACCTACACTCTGTATAACGTTCACTTACCGTTTCTCCTCCACAATTTTGCCACATAAGTTCCTCGGCCAGATGGGGCAGGTGTAAAAAATTCTATCAGTCAAAGGTAAGAGATCTACGTCGTGGAAAACGATGCATTGCCATTTATCTAGTTTCATTGCTTCTTTGAAACCGGCATTAAATAGCCTGCCCCTATTGAACTCTTCTGTGCCTGTGGATTCGCAGATAAAATAACGTTACTATATTCTGTAAGTAATACCCTACGGTACCATTCAGGCAATCTTTAGTAGGGTATCTATATTAATATATAAATCTGAATAGTTTGTTTGAACGTGCTAATCTCAGGATCACGGGTTCGAGATTTTTCGTGTTGGTTAGAGCATTTATCTAATGTGGATGCCCAAAATATACAGGTACTTAGCGGAGGAAGTCGCTGCAACAACTAGTTAGAAATAAATTAGAAGAATGAGACAGGTGTTAAGTGAGCTTTTAACTTTAATATAGTTTATTTTTTAATATAAAAACATAAAACAATAACGCACCTTCTTGTTCTATTATAAAAATCCTATAGGATAGCTTCTGTCTTATTAAAAAAGGGTGCATATTATAAAGAAATATCCGGAGATGCTGTTCCCGGTCTCTGTAACAAGGTGGCGCTCATTACTTCTCTTTGCAGGAAAATACTAGAACTAAATTTTATAGTAAGCGCTACACACACACAAACATACAAACCACCAGAAAAATTGTTTTAATATATAGGGTTTTATGTTTTATAAAATACTGACAACACAATTTTTTATTACAATAGTTAGAGAATCCGTAAGAGAACAAATGTCGTGATAATTATGTCGAGTGATTTTTATAACTTATGAAGGCATCCAAGAAAACCGCTAAACAAAAAGTTTAAATGTGTTTATGAAACACACAATATCTATTTTATAACATTATTCAAATCGCCTCGAGTTATGAACTACCGACCTGTAAGGGACTAGTATAGCTACTCTGTAGGCAGGCCGACATTCATTTGGGGCGTATCTTCCTCCTTTTTTAACAATTGGATAAATGTGGTTCATAGCGTTTTCAGGTAACAACCTGTGAACCGTTATTTTACCTAAGAATAAGAAATCAATAATATAGACGTTAACATATGCCTCCTTTACGGATATTATGTTTATGTTTGTGCGCAAGCTGCAAAAATTTCTGAGCAATAGAACACTCAAGTTTAATACGTGTCTGTAAAAAAATTGCAACTTTTTTTAAAGAAAATAAAATAAGAATTCCAGTAGAAAGTAACATATTTTTCTCTTTTTTTGGGGGTAACAAATAAAACTTATTTCATCCTTATAACTTACATCTTTATTAATCTACGAATGATAAGTAAGCTAATGGATGGTGTATGCATGGTCTACAAGTTTTTAGTTTGATTTAAACAAAAACTTTGATAACAATATAAAATATGATACAATAAAATCTGCTCACCTGTGGACATATTTAATTGGCAAAGAGGTAATTTGCTATTTTGAATGGCATTCGTGTCTGAAATTTATAGTTTTAAAAGCCTTTGAAATAATGTTTTAATGGGATAGTTATTTTATCTTATTATGTAAATTTATTACATATTTCAATGTAGAAGATACAAAAAATGTGATAAAGATTAGAAAATTGATAGTATGCTAGAATTAACTATATTTTTTCCAAAACTTTTCAATCACAGAATACCAGTGGTCTAGAAAGTTAGATTTCAAAGTTATCTTAATATTTCCGCGTAAGAAAAATTCAAAGCCTACATACCATTAAAACTTAAATCAATTGTTTCTTCAGTCGTATAGTGCATATGGTAAAAATATATCACTATAATTATTATAAATAAAATTAGTGATATAAGAAGTAGGATTCTATATTCATTCCGTTCCTGCTCAGTTGGTTCCTTCAAAAGACATTCTGAAAGACTTGATGGCTGGCGATCTTGTTCTAGAATGATATTGAATCTCAGTCAGTTAGAAGAACAACTTTAACTCCACTTTAAACTTCAACGCAATTTTAAACTCCCATTGCTTATTCATCCATTACGATAAACTAATGTATATGCAGTCTATAAATATATTTATTAATATAAAAAATATATGCATTTTAAGTTAAGTCTCAATGGATCGTGAATTGTAAATAAAGGCATGTCAAGAGAATAATTATATTAAAAATAATTCTTAAGTTTTATTTCGTCGTTTGTTGGTTTGTGACGATATAAAATAATAACCATAAGATGACATCTCTCAGTGATAATCCGCAATTACATCATCCGCACAGCTTAAAAACCCAATTAGCTTAGCAATATGCCTTATAAAATTTATAAAAATAAATATTAAGCGAGTTCTAGGTTTTACAGTAGATAAACAGAAAAATGTTGTAGCTAAATCTAAATGTTCGATGCCTTATGTAAGTACATGACAAATTATTTAGACAAGAGGTATTAGAAATAATAGTAGTGAATTTTACGAGAACAAAATTGGCTTACTTTTTAAAGGACGTCCTTTTTTAAATAGATATTTTGAAACTTTTCTAATAGGCAGATAAGAGAACATCGTTACACCCTCACTTAATAATTAAGAGTAAAAACTCTCATGAATGAATCTGTTGAAAAATAATGTTATTGTCTGATATTCTGCATTTTATAAACAAACATTTTAACCAAAACAAATATACAGAAAATTGTCGGGCGAAAACTGAAACATTCCTTGATCAGAATATAACGTAAGCCTTACATTTATAGGTACGTTATATTGATATTTTTTTAAAGGCAACGTAATAAATTATTCTCATTCTAACCAAGTTTTTATTTGACTTCGAACCTCGGACTTCACGTAGGTCTTTTTTTAAAGAGTAACATAATTAAGGCACAACTTAACTGAGCCCAAAAGGCGTCAAGTGATGATTAGACCCTTGTAGAAAATATTTTTTTATTGCTTTAAATAATTGTAATCTTTATAACAATTACTTCTTCTTTAAATTGTATACCCAAATATAGTCATTGTCTAATTAAAGGCAAATTCATCTATGTAATTAAGCTAGACAATCCCCTATTATTGCCGGCTTTAATGAACTAAAATATTCGTAACAATGCTACAAATTCTAAAGGCGTTGACTGAATGCAGGAATGGTAATCACTGTAATTTGTTATTAGGTTTACAATACCTTATGGCTTTTGTGATTAAATGGAATTTCGGGGAATAATATTGCTAATAATATTCAGTTCAATTACCAGAGAAATCATACTGGAGTAACACTGCTGTCATGCGGGAAAATCTCTTTAGTATCTAATTAATTTTGGTGTAAAAATACAGGTTTATTCGTGTTTCAATATTAAAATAATATTTTAGAGTCGATACAAAATGTATACATAGATATTTTAAATATATAATATCAATAACATTTTCGAACAGTACCTACTTTTTAGACAGAGAGTCAGAAAGAAATTGACACTTAAAATTGAGGTATTACTATTCAAGTAAAAACGAACGGTAAACGTTAAATATAAGTTGTTTAAAAACACCGTGGTTTAAACGATAAAATATCATATCAATGAAATTCAGTTAAATTATTACTTTAATTATATTAATTTTAAACAAGTAACACATGATATAATAAAATAATGAAAATGTGAGGTTTCAAACGATAACTTTCAAAATCTCTTCGTCTAAATCAAGGGCAGAAAACTTTTGGGTCTTGTGCAATATCTTACAGATGTTCGGATCACTCACAAATTTGGCTATGTAAATACTTTTATCATCAGTGTCAACTTCTAAGCGAGACATCACTTCTGTTACTTGTTCAATATATGGCGTTACCTTCTCCTGGGGTACTAAATTAAAATGCCATGGAAGACATATTTTCAGCACGTTCCAAATGACATCTTGTCTAACAGCATAATCCAAATTAGGGTCCGGCTGGATTTCTATCTTTTCCTCTTCGACGACCTCCTCCTTCTCAGGTGGCTTTTCTTCCACTACCTCGGCTTCTTCCTCGCAGGGTCTACAGATAAATGTAGTTTTAACGTCCGTTGCGGATTGAGCCATCTTACTATGACTCGTTAGACTTCTCTGAGCTTTAGGAATACGTGCACTTTGAGAACTCTCTATTTTCTTTGCTTTTGCACCAGTACCTTTACCCTTTTTACCTTTTTTATCGTCGGTTGGCGGAGGTTCTGTGTATTCTAATTCTATTAAAGTTGTGCCTTCGCACGTATTAATGACATTTGTTATAATTGTGTCCAAAAATTGCGTTGTACACTTTAAAGCGCAGGCCAAGCATTCATCTCGATACTTTTTATCTTTGATCAACTTACAAATAACTTCTTCGCATTCATCCAAAGAAAAGCAAATTTGTTTACCGCCTGCCACAGATAGTGCCATAGCAAATCCGTCTATAGGATTAACGTGTTTAGAGATCGCTAGTAGAAATGCCGAATAATTCATAATATCTTCCTCAGTTTCATAAAGTTCAAACATGAAGTGCTTGATAAGATTGTTACGCAAAATTCTTCGACTATCATCTGGATCTACATCAGACTCAAACCATAGCTTTGTTTTTAAAAAATCTATTCTTGAGATAAGTTCCCTTGATTCAAGATCCTTACAACGAAAATTCTTACGAATGTGTAACAGTTCCTCGATGTTAGGGAAACCGACATTTAAACAATAGATCAAAAAATCTCTCCAGTCGATGTAAGCAGTATCTCCGAACAATATGAACACCAATTTCGGCACTTGTTCTGGATCAATATGTCTCCAAATCTCGGGAAACATTGGTCCTTCACAATTTTCTTTTCCAAACACAATGAAATCTTGTAATACATATATAAAAGCTTGCTGTAGGGCAATTCCTTTAGGTGCGACTATTTTGAACTGAGAACGCAATCGGCTCAATTGTCCGATTTTAAATTGACTATCTGCCTGCACGTCTCTGCGAGGCTTTTCAACGTCTCCAACTACGACTTCCGGGTAAAATTGAAGGAGATTAGGGTCTATTATAAAAGTGTCATTTTCCAAAATTAAGCTGTCGGGAACTCTTTTGCCACCTTCGACTGCCATTTGAAGATATTTACATAAGCGGTCTACCGATTTGATTTCATTTAAGTAATAGTTGTTTATATCTGTCTGAATATCATTAAAAGCTTTATATATATTGTCATTAAATAGTTTCATGTCACGAAAGCATTTATATTGTAATGCTACAATACGTAAATTTGCTCGGAACATTTCACCGTTAATGGCCACGGTCCATTCATCAATACACTTTAGGGCATTTAATTTAAATATTTCGTCCTCATTAATTGTTTCAATTGATGAATTTTCTTCTTTTTTCTTAGTGACTGGAACTATTTTTGCTATCTCACTATACTCACGACTTATTAACGATCTGTAGGAATCATTTGTTTCTTTAATTACTTTAAGAGCCAACTTTACATTATTTTCTATAAACACGTTGAATGGATTGTTACTGTAATCGATTTCAATATTTTTTAATTGCAAATCTTGAAATGCATTTTTTAACTGACGAAACGCTTTGTCTTCGCCTCCTTTTTTGCTACCGGAAGTCTCGTCGGTCTCTCTTAATATTTTAGGTAGTTCTTTAGATGTCAATCGATCTGACGGCGGTGAGCGCTTGAGCATTGCATAGTAAAAGTCGTGAAATGCTTGAAAGGTTAAAGTTGAACTGAAAATAATAAAAATCCCACATTAATTTAATGGAAAATGAATTATGCACGTTTTGACCTTGTATTATTAGTTTAACGTACCGATTTATTTCTGTTTGCATGCATGAAATGTATGAGTTAACCATCGTTGTAAGCTCTTCTAGCGTCCAATTTTCGCATATTAATGTCTGTCTCTGTCTTTCAGCAAATATTTTTCTTTGATCACAGATTTGGTTTAACTTGATCTGTAATTCTTTAACTCTGCAATGCCATTCATTCTTCGTCAAATTAACATCCCGCCAATCGTTTTCGAAATCATTATATTCCTTTTGAAACGTAGTAACTAAATCTTGCTTTTCAGACGGTAACGTAATTACCTGTTCCATTTTATCTTTAATAAATCTTGTGTAAGGGACAATGCAATTAATTTGAAGTCGAATAGCCATAAACAGTTTCTGCATATCATGAATGTAGGTTTTTTCTGTCTCTTCCCAGCAAGTTGCCAGAGCGATACCGATACCTTCTGCAATGGGAATCTCTCCATAATCCCAATCTTCCTCTCCAGCGAGGATTTTGACTTCTTCTACAGTAACACTAGTTTTCGATGATGACGCTTCACTTTGTTCGTGAATACTAGTGATCGACAAATTTCTAACGTCTGCTATGTCCATTTTTGAATCGGGCGATTTTACAACTTCAAGTTCGCTCGTAATAGATAATTTACTAATTTTAGAGCTTCGTCGTATTTTTTCTTTTGACTTACCGTTAATGATTTCTGATTTTACTATTTTTGATTTGGTACGCTTGTCTTCAGAGGATGGAAAATCTAATAAGCTGAGTACATTTTCACCAAATAAGTTTTCCGAAGACTTAAGCGGAATTGATAAGTCCCCAATTATATATTTACATATTAAGGCTAACTGTTCCTTTTCTATGACTTCGTAATACATACTATAATTTATACCTAAAGCAGCATAAAATCTATCGATGAATTCAGAATTATCTTCCGCTAATTCCCAAATTACAAATTCTTGTAAAATATCTTCAGTTTCTTTCAGCTTTAAATAACAAGTAAAATAACTTTCAAATGGTTTTTCAATTCTCTTCTTATGAGGATCCTTTACTAACTTGGATATTCTGATTTCTTTGTATGGATCTTTTTCTACTTTACGGTGTTTAATGATGCTCTCTTCGAGATATATTTCGTCTCTATCGTCTAATTCACTTTCATCAGGTGGGGCTCTTCCTGAAAACGTTTCTTCCAAAATTTGACCTTCTCGGTATGTATTCGGATAGTTGATTATGACAAACCCATCTATGTCGTCTTGATCTTTTATATATTCTACAATCATTGCGGCCAATAGATAATCTGTCAAAGAATCACCTGAACATAATGCATTGTAAGTGTACTGACCGAGATCGGCGGCAGTTGATAGTTTAATTTCCTCTTCTGGTATAGTTTTAGGAGTTTGTGTTTGCTTAGCATTTGCGGGCATGGGTCCTGATATAGCTGACATGTTTGCCTCACTATTTTTCGTTATAATGTCATCCTCCGCCTTTAATAGTTTTATTAGTTCTTTACTCTCTTCTTCCTGAGCTATAACCAAGAACTTATCAAACGACAAGTCAATATCTGTACAGCCAATCATTTCTGTTTTAAATCTACGCAAACAAAAATTAATAGCGGTTTCTAAACGAACAACGTGAATTTTCTTTGCATTCAGCAGTATTTGCATCGCAAGTGTAATTGATCTGTCTGGTAAGCCACATAAGAAAGCTTTAGAAGAAAAATTTGGGAGATCGGCTGGTGGTCTTTGCGGTGGATATGGATATTTTATTTCAAGTAATGTGTAAACTAAATGACCTAAAACTCGTGTTCCTAAATATTCATATTTTCTTTCTTCAGATTCTGCATCATAATTAGGTATAAGAGTTTCCAATGTCCACGGATAAAAATAGTTATGATAGTCCATAAATTCACTTTTATTTAAAGCTTCTTGTCGATCTAGTTCAAGCCTGATAATTTCTTCTTCTTCGGGTAAAGTCTCTTCTTCCAAGGAAGCTTGTTTGAGGATATCTTCCATGGGATCTATAATGTCAAAGATAGGCTGCTGTTTATAATACAGTGTTTTCCATTCATGTATGAAGTGGTCTGGTATATCATTATCAAGCAATCGTTTAAAATAAGCAAATTTTGTTGCATAGTCTATGATGGACAAAACAGTATCATAACAAATTTCATAATAATGCTGTCTTTTCCTCTTCATTTTTTCTGCATACAATTTTTTGTGTAGCATATTTTGCCGCTGCTTTTCAAAATCGATTTCTACTAACCCCATATTAATTTCTTCCTTAACATTATCTAGAAAAAGATTAAACTGCACGGTTCGTTGTTCAACAAATTCTGAGTCACCAATTATCCTATTTCTGGCCAAATTTCGCGCTTGTTGCCTTGTTTCCATAATTTGAGTGCCCATTTGTTTTTCAAATTGAGATAACTTCATTACTTTTTTTGCAAAATGTGTATCGAGTTTCGATTCTTCTTCTACTACAGACATATCCCACAGTGATCCACTAATAACATTCCTTAACTGTTTTTGAAATTCTTCTGAATCAGTCTTTTTGTTCATCCTCGTATACAAATTGTCCATATAATCGTGTGCCCATGCAGTATCAACAAGGGATTTTTTTCTTTCTATAAAGCGATTATCTAGTTCTAGTAACTGCTCATAAGTAAAGTTCTGAAATTTACAAGGGTGTCTAAGGCAAAAATTTTCCATATCTCTCTTATCTCTTGAAGATGCTTTTTTTGGTCTTTCTGGTGACTCTTTTTTAACCAATTCCTTGTCTTTTAAATTTTGTATCATTTTGGTGTATTTATGTTTAATAAAGTCATAAGTATCTTTGACTTGCATTTCCTTTTTTCTTTGCCATTCTATAAACAATTTCTCATTAATTAGTGGCCGTGATAGATCATCCACAACCGGTTCTTTTTCTTCAATGACTCGGTCCACTTGAAATCGATGATCAATTTTTTCAATCAACGTAGAAACCATCTTTCGCTCTTTCTTGATGAAGTCAGTGCGATCTTTTTTGTCTAAGTGAAGAAATAATTGGTAAAATAGGCGAAGTATCGTTGAGCCTTTACCTTCAACAATAGAAGTTATGTCAGTATCTGTTAAATTTAGTTCTATATCGTGTAACCATTCTCTTAATAGTTTCCAGTTATATTTTATTTCGTCTTTGTTATCAGTAGGTCGAATGTAATAAAGTTTTTCTTCACTAATAACATGATAACTTTCAAGTACACAGGCGATGATATGTCCGTTTTTCATTTTATCTCCAAATTCTTCCGCTTCCCACTTTATCGGTCTTTGTAATCGTTGAGAAAGCCACTCCTTTAGGACTTCTGCCATTTCGCGCTGATAAATATTAACTACACTATATAATAATAATACATTTTTATAATCGTTATGTTTTCACATTAATTAAATGTTTGGCTATGTATTGCTAAATCAATATAAAACTACGATACGTCATGTAGGTAATCCTTTTTTTTTTTAAATGCAGTATAGTGCCTCCTTTGTTAAATACTAACACATAAATAAACTAGAAGGAATTTAAAATTATTAATTGTTAAGCAGTCCTAACAAATGATAATTCAATCTTTTTTTAAACAATAATTCAATCTTAGTTAACTAAAAACAAGATCTTTCTATGATTTCCTACGGTTTCAGTTGCCATAATAAAACATACATATGAAAAAGATTTTACATTTTAATTTACAACCTCTTGAGGACGATGTGGGGAAGTCCCATTTTGTGCCGGACGGTCTGGGCATAGAATTCTTGGCAACTAGGTACCTACTTACTTGCGGGTCGCTGGTACACGAAAACGAGTCGATTATTATTTTGGTAAATGCGACGTAATTAACAACCAACGAATAGTAGGTATATTCGATGTACATATAAGGCCTCTTGCCTTTCAGGATTTTTTCTCTCTGCGAATAAAAATGACTGCCTAAACCGTATTCAACTGATCCTACGCGTTTCAACTCGAGTAAACTCGATTTTAAGCAAGCCCCACGATGTTATTTGTCACCGATTGTCAGTTGTAAGGAGACATGACATAAAAATTGTCATTGATTATTATGAATTTGTGATGTTTATTTTCACAATTCACACGGTTTTTGCAATAATATTTATAAATTTTACAGTAATCAACTCATAATGAAATGCAATGAAAATGAGAATAGTGTATGTACTTAGCTCTAAAGTTGAAATAATCCAGGAACAAAACAGCTATCTTGTAGTGCTTTATTTTATAACACCGTGTACTGTTTTCAGAAGCCTCGCAGTCGCATGAATCTGGACAATCTGGATAAAGCATTGCACGACTTGGGCATGTTGAGCGCTATCACAGAGGCGCGCCGTGAGTACTTGAAAGAGTCAAAGTCGAATTACAGCGTTATGCGTTTGAACACTCGATATGTGTCCAACGTAACTGTGGGATATTGCATGAAACGCACGAATAAAACTAGAATTTGTCCATATGTTCTCCCAGTGCGGCATAGAACAAAGAGTGAGAACTCGGACGTGATCGCCAGTGAAATGATTGATAGCAGTGATTTTAAATTCAGTATATTAGAACCGTCTACGAGTGGCGGAAGAGAAAATAATGATAAGAATACAAAACGATGTCAATCACTTGAGAATCTCAATTTAGTGATAGACCCACCGTTGAAAGCCGACACTTCACCCGACATGGAATGCGTGTCATCACAAATCCAGAATTTACAAGTCGATGAATGACACTAAGTTTAAGTATGGGTAAACAGTAAGGTAGCTTTTAGAGTGTTATCTGTGTCCATTTATATTTGATAGGAGTGAGTTTACAAGACTTTTGTTCCTAAGCTAAAAAGTTATATTAGTTTTATTTTGTTTTGTTAAAATTGAAAGTTTAAGAGTTGAATTAGGACTTCTTAAACTAATTTACACATTTCGCAATTCGTTTTAGATATCACTAGAATAAGTCTTATGTTATGTTTGCTAAACGCGTGTGAAATTTTATTTGCAATATGTACATTTGAATGTCTGCATTACAATTTAGGTGTAACAGATGTTTGTGTTTTGTGGGAACATTAGACAATGAACAACCTATCTTGTTTATAATTGTACTCACAATGCCTTGAAAAGTTTTAAATCACCAACAAACAAATAATAAATATCCCGCAGTAAACCATACAGGTTTTAACAAGCTAAGATTTCACTGTCTATAAAATAAAATTGTGATCAGTGTTCTAATCTCTTGGTAAGATTGTTTTTGGTTTATGAATTTTGGCAAAGCTTACCATTTTAATTACTTACAAAATATATTGTCCATCAGGTTGTTTAATGGAAGTAGTTGATCTACATGATGCATTTATGTTCCTTTTTAGGAAGGTATTTCAGTTGCTTTACAAAGTTTTATTTAAAATAGTACATGCGAATTTGTAAGTATGCAAAATGTAAACAATTTTAGATAATGTCAATCCATTAAAAAGTTTATGTGTATCATCATAATTAATCTTAGTTTTTTAAAAGTATGGCGTTGTTTGGCCATAGCTAGAGATCTCACATCACAAAGTATTGTATTATTTATTTTAGTGAGTCACATGAGGTGTGGCTAATCATTTAAGGTTGTTAACAGATTTTGTTACTATCTATAATTATAAATTTGAAATAAATATTGCCTTGTAAGTACACCTTTTGTTTGCATTTCCACTACAACATTAGCTCCTAGAGCGAGACTATAAAAAGACTTCATAATTTAATAATTTATTTGCTCCGTCTGAGTATGAATTAACATCCTTAAATAGCTGAACAAAACTGTAAATAAAATTACTATGAATGCATTTCAATTGCTTTGAGGTAATATTACATTGCTTTCACTTTGAGCTGCTTCATTTTTGGCGCTTTGCGTTTCTGCTGACGCTTTTGCTCTTTGAGTTCCCAACGGCGTTGCTTCTCTGGGTCATCTTCCTGCAAATGAAGAAAGAATAAATTACAACTTTTCTACCTATTTAACCCCTACTTTGCAACCTCTGTAAAGCCAAACATACCGCGAGAATCTTTTCTTTTTCTTGTTTTCTCTTCTCTTCCCTCTTCTGAGCCGCAAGCTCTTGTCGGGCCGCATGAGCACCACGCATCCAAACCTCTGTAACCTTCTGACGCCGCTTCTCGCACTTCACTAAAGCCTATAAATTAACGTCAGTCTTTATAAAAACTAAGCACCCTTTTAAACTAAACAACAGTAAGGCAATAACTACTTTTTATTGAGATAAAATTGATAATTTATAATATGGAAATGGTTCTATATATATATATATATATATATATATAATTGATTGTGAATCTATTTGATTTACTACTTTATAAAAGTGAATTCAATAGCACTGGACATTTGGTTAAGTGAGCTGTACATTGTAAAGGATTGACAGACCCTAACTATATATAGGGAAACAAACTCAACATTCTGAATTGGATAAACTATAACAAAAAAATATAAGTCACTCACCTCTTTACTAAGTCGCAACCGTTTTATCTTATCAAGTAGGTGGAAGACTAGTAATAGCAAAGGCCTAACTTCATCCCCACCACCATCTGGACCCAGAGCGAGACTGACTAGCATGACTTTCTCAGTATCAGGGGGTTTCGTCACTGTTGTCTCTCTAGGAACAAACAAAATTAATACTACCTGCCACAAAACATTCTCTTCAGATAGCTTTGCTTAGGTTGAGCCACCAATATTACAAGCATAAAAGAGACACTCACTCCATTTGCTTCGGTCCACAGTACTTGTCTGATATGTGTATGTACTGAATATGTTTATGGTACTGCTCAAGCGCCGCAGTGACCCGCGAGTCCAGAAGGGATCCGGTCGCCTCAGCGCACTCCGACATCACGGAGAGGGCCGACGGCAAACCGTGCTTGTCGCCAGGACGACGCTCGGGGCAGAACATGCTCTGAAAACGGAATCGATGTCTTGAAAACAGTTTCAATTATCACAGATGCTTTACTTTCCTTTTTCTATTAAAGAATAAGAAATACTTCAATAAATACACAAAAGAATATTGTAGGGGTCTCTATAAAGCAAGCATGTTTTTTTTTATTTGTGCTCCATTTTATTTACTTGACTGGTTTTAAAATAATATTCATATAAATAATAAGAAGAGATAATGATGTCAGATAAAAATTTTTACAGTTAAGAATTCCAAGTTTTACCAAGTCCTGCATTTCCTTCGAGAGTCGTGTGGCGATCTTCTTCTGCGCTATGCATAGAACAAACGGATCGCTATCGTCTTTGCCGAGTTCCACTCGTATGAGAAGAGTGTCTGGACTTGGACGCACCACTCCTAATAATACATGGACTAGATCTTGACGCTGTAAAAAGGAAATCCTTTAATTTAAAAAGTAAAAAAAAAAAGAATACCTGAGGCGGGATCCGAACTCACGGCTGCACATTGCTGTACTAATTGAGTTATCACATTCTAACTTGTCGGATACCTTAATTAATTTAAGTGTGAGTAACATTCCTTCGCAGCATTGTCGTCCACTGCACCACATAGTGAAGCAGTGCTCGGCCTCTCTTCGCCAGCCGCGCTCGTCACTGTCAGCCACCACATCTAAACCAGTGTCTCCTAGAAATTTAAGCAGTTATCTTGTAAGGATTATTTGTCAATATAATTACAAAGTACTATAGTGTAACATATAAGTGATATAACATTATATAAGTCAGTAAGTCAAATAAACATACCAACTAATGTGAAATTGTCCTCTAGAAGTGGTTTATGTAGTTTAAGGAAGTTTGTAGCAATGGAGGTATTCTTTGCTCTTCCAACAGCATATGCTAAGGCATATGAGGCAAGAAGACAGCATAGAATTCCTTCCAACCAATAGGCATCCCAACGAGGGTGGATTACAACCGGGACCTTAAAAATTAAATACCTATATGAAATATTATGAGGCACTTATTACACTGTCCGACAGACTTGCAGTGTAACAATAATTTCATCTTATGTATTATACTTTTTTTGTAGTGATTAGCTGTGACTTTGTTGGCTTCAACAATGACACTGTTTGATAACAAAAGAACATTAACTAGTAAATGAAGGTACATTTTTTCTTTTCATACAAATTTGATTTGAAATAATATTGATTAGAATAATACATATTTATTACCTTTGTAATAGTAATTTTAGGTTCTTCAGAAGTTTTGGGTGTGGGGTCTTGGAAACCTTCAAACTCTTCGGGATCTTGAAAATGCTCAAACTCATTATCTTCATCCTAAAATAAGTCAAAACAGATGCAAAAACATATTATGGTGTTTCTGTGAGAGTAAATATTTAACATCGCTTGCCATTCAGTACAATTCATGACATAGTAAGTACCTAAAAATATCCTACCTCAACAAGTTCATCTTCTAGCTCAATGCTAGATGGCGGTGGTTCCTTAGGAGTTATCTTTGGTTTGACAGGAACTTCTTCTCCCTCCTCATCTGAATTGTTATAAAATGTTATGATTATTCAATTATAATTAATTCTTCTTAATTTATTTTTTAAGGAGAAGCCAAACTTAATATAATATTATTTAAAAATGTATTTAGATAGAATTTGGTAACATATTCCATCATAAAATTGCTCACCGATAGTGGCTACCTCTTCATCGTCAGCATCAAATTGTTCAAACTCAGCAAAGTCATCATCTTCTAAGTTGGCATCTTCATATGCATGTGATAAATACACACTGCATAGTATAAGCACTAGGGAGAATAGTGCTAAACGCATTTTATCTGCAATCTGTCATGTAAGCGTAAATCTTTGGAATTGCCTAATAATAAATATAAATACATTATATTTTCATATAATTTTATACCTTACATGTACATTTAAAAAAGCTATTTATATTATGCTTTTCTCTTTGGGCTATTAGATTCAATAAATGTTTTGTACTACTACATTTATCACAGAAAAGAGAATGTTTTAAGATCAACACACACAAGGTTATGTCTTATCAAGAAGATGTAAGCAGACAAATAAATTATTTTACATATGCTTAATCCAGTTAGAATATGATAATAGATTTCTTTTTATAATAACCAAACTCCTAGAACTTTTAAAATTTGAAAGGATTCTTGACTTATTACTTCATACTTAGTTTTTTTAGTTTTTCTTAAAACAGGGGATGCTTGTGATGCAATAAAAAAGGAGATTATACATAGGAAATACTTAATACTTAATTTCTATTATATATCTATAAGAAACCTATGTGACCTTACAGTAACATTGGAAAAAGGTAATCTTGTGTGATGGCCTAATTTTGCTATGTGCCTACTTGATTTTGAGCAACCATACACAATTAATACATCGGTTATATTTAAGAATAACAATGTCTCTCGAATCTATGGTAAGACAATATAAGCCTAATTCATGTTTTTGGAAAATTATAGTGAAATTACACGTTAACTGTAGCATATAAAAATCGATGAATGCAAATATTAAATCTCGATAGCTTACGAAACTCTAATAGTACACACCTGTTCCTTCACATAAAGATATTCGAGTTAATTGCTTTTTTAATACACATTCCAGCTTCCTTAAATAAATTGTTATAAATAGTCGTATTTCTTAGTTCTTACGTACGCTTATTACTAGACAAAATTCACAAATCACAATTGAGCACAAATGAGTATAGAATATAATGTATAATTACATTGACATTGACACGTGACGATATTAGCACAGGCTACTTTAAGATTCTATTGAATAGATTACAGACCATCCAAGCGGGAAAAACGAAAATTCACAATTTGCTTCCACCTTTTTTTATTTCTATAATAGATAGCATTCATTCACTAACAAAATATGACATTTGGGAAGAATTATGTTAATTGTGTAAGTACAATCTTGAATATAATTAAAGGAGTGTGATATAATAGATTAGATATAATGGAATTTAATGTTTACTATACATAAAAAAATGAGCGAGTTGCTGCGGGACTAGTCCGGAGCAAGGATGAAAATTATAAAACCTTCTTTTGTATTGTCTGCTGAAAGAATTCATGCAATAGTTACTTGTGTGGTCAATAATATTAATATTAATTATTACTTGAACTTGTCATAACTAAAAATATAGAATAAGCTCTTGCGATGCGATGAATGCTTGATTTCGAGATAAGCAGCTAAAAGCAACTACATACTAGTAAAAACTATATCAAGCGTCATTGGAAAGTACAAGGTACAATGAACCGAAATTCCAAAACAAAAATCTCTTAGTAACAGCATTTTAAAGATCGATGTCCTCAAATACAATAAATAAAAAAAAACCTGAGCTGTTAATACTCTGCGATATAAATTATCAAAATAAATAACAAAAACTTTATTACGGAACCCGTTGATATAATGTCCAAACGTCCTTATAAGTTGCCCAAAGGCCATATCCAATGTCAGTTTGTATAAGTGCGCGTGCGCATCCGACGTATCATAATATCTAGCAATTAATTTAAATAAACTTAATTAAAAAATGGCTTCAGTTATTAAGTTCAGTGCCATTTTGATGGTAGTTGGTCTTTGCGCGGCGGATATTAGTAAGTATAATTTATATCAACGATAGGACTTATTAAAAATTACTTCTTCTTAATAAGTCCCAAGTCCTCTAAACAATTCTAATTTGTATGTGTAATTTCCATGATCACCTAAAGCACCCAAAGCTATGCTTCAAGCTTCAAATTTATTAACTCGCTTATAGTCATTTATTTATTTCATTAGCATTACAAAATATATTTCTTAATCGATAGTTACCTACTTAAAGGTTTTAAAAAGATAAATTGTAAAAACATAAACAAATTTAATTTAGCAAGTTTCGACCTAGGTATTATTCTTTTGAGCGGTGTCAATTACTGTAATTTGTTTTCCTTTTGAGATATTGAACAATCGGCAGTTAATCATCGAAGATTATTCTCTATTACAGTTGACATGATATAGATTAGCATTTTCAATTATATACAAATCATTTCGTCAAGATGTCCTATAAAGAAAACCTAAACTGTAATGTTTTGTTGCAATTAAAATATTTTTAACTGAATACATATAATTTGTGATTTGCGATACCATTCTTCAAGAACATTAGAAAACCGGTTGAATATGGATAAATCGACAACTATAGAAATTACCAAATAATAATCTTATACTGGAATCCTGCAAACCGGTCTACTTATACTCATTTTAATAGGAAAGTTTTAACGTACCATAATTTTTAATTACTTAATTATTTTTATAGGAAATAAACGTCATATTTCTCATAACGTCAATATTTTGTTTAAATATCAATAAAAGTTCAATTCATTTACCTAAAATATACACGCTTTGTGCCTAGCGGCAATATATGTTTAGACTCAAGCAGGTAGATAATAAAAAACCGCTCAGACATGAAAAGAGCGACTACATAAGGGCTGACACAAACAAGGTTCAAATGAATTATAATTTCCAAGCTACTTACAGATATGTTGCATGTTTTCATAATCACATACTATACGCAGAAATTATAACTTGGTGCCTATCGATTCTCATTAAATTTGCAAACTGACAATAGTATAATTACCGCAAAATAGTATAATTCTGTTCTGGTATGTCTATGAAAGTGTCACTTTTTTAAAAGTAGAGTTCTTATTAAGGTAAACATCATTTGAATATGATAGTTAAAATAATTCAAAATAACGATCAAAGCTTTTCCATATCGCTTATTATTTTGCTTGATCCGTGTTCAACCGGTTCCATATGCCCTTACTCGTCAGACCAGATGCCGAGCTATGACAAGGCGTCAACTAGGAACATAGCGGAGCGATGACTTAAGATATATGTTTACATAATATATTAATACAGTTTATACCAAATTTTGGTCGCTCCAAAAAAAAAACGTAAAATAAACAATCTTAGCTGTTTTGTCTGTACTTTTAGTAAGGTAAAACACCTAAGATTTATATTGTCTTACAATAATGATCGAATGGATTGAGTATTTTTGGAGATATATATCATAAATACATTACGGGAATCTAGTTAAGGAAAATAGGAAGTTGTCAGAATCGTGGGCAGATAATTCTGTGTACAGCGTATTAGGGGGACCCCGTGTACATCATGCTTTCGAAGTTTGTATTACAGTATCGTAGCAATAACACTACACCATTCTCGCATATTATAGTTATGCGGAAATAGTTAGGATTCGCAAAATTTTACATACGAACAATGTGCAGAGTAAATTGCTCTCATTATTGTGAGTCATTGCGGATCTCCTTCGGACTAAATCCGAGAACCTATTAGCTCACTGCTCAAGTAATTTACTATAATATCTTACATACCATTTACCATTAAGCACTTTAATTTTACAGAGTTCCTTTTAGTAATCATCCCTATTTATAACCATGTACTTAAATTCTGTAAATAATCGTATGTACTCGTATCACTGCCATTATTATTGGTATTTATCGAGATCTAGTGACATTTGCTCTTGTTTACATTCGAGTTTAATAATCGTTGAATGCCTCTTCAATGTTAATCTTTAGTAGTTCGTAGAATTTAAAGAGCAAGCAAGGAAAAAACTTGTTAAATATTGTTGTTATAACCTTGATCATTCGGTAACACGGGCTAATGATATCAACGGTTTTCAAAATTTATAGGCTTTCTTAAATTAAAATAACAGTATACTGAATCAGTTAGACTTCGTCTGGAAGTTCTGAATATTAAATTATGACACGAAAATCGAAATTCCGCTCGGGCCACGAACCATCGTGGAAAACCCGTAGGTGTAATCGCGCTTCGGTTGCGGCCTTTTCGATCTGCGATTCTAATGCCTAATACCGAAGAGGTCGTCAACGTAACTTGCTTTAATGTTGGCTGTGATATTCTACCTTTCATCCATTGAACTTCATGCTTCTCTGTTCTCCTATGTCATACAACAATAAAGAAATACATTGCATTTTGACTCCATATTATGCCTTGAAAAACAACGTACTTACGTAAATATGACTAACAGAATGTAACTATCCAATAGTAAAAAATCATTTAGTCCCAGTAATCTTTAAAACTGAAAACTGAAGTGATTGTAATATATATCTACACAATAAAATCACGTATCTAATAAGAAAGTAGATAAAATATTATAAAAGAAAACACTCTAGGTTCGGATAATTATAACTTTCAGAATTATTCATATGAATTAGAAAAAGTACAATGTTAATAGCTTACGATAAAAACAGAGCTTAACAGAGAGTATAGAGTATAGCTGTTCAAATAAGGCAATGTTATATTATGAATAATACCGCTGTACGCGGATCTTGCCAAGGTGGAGGCCTTGATCCCTTCCAGGATCGCAATAACCACAACATTATTATCATATGTTACGACTGTTTACTTTCTGCGGTTTCACCATCTACTTAGTCATCGATGTACTATATGGTTATAGGAATGTCTGTCTCCCCGTGACCACGGCTGCTGCGTGGAATTTGGAATTTTTCTGAAACATGTTGGACTTCGACTGGAAATCTGGATATTAAATAGGTGGTAGGAATACGAACGAATCACGAACCACCGTCCCCAAATGAAAAGCTGTGAAGTTTAGTCGCGTTTCAGTTTCAGTCTGTGGATTTCCGAATATCCGAAGCGAAAATAGGTTCACAGCGCATATTGGTGGAGTATTTCACCACCCATTAAGCATCTCTATCATTAAAAAAAATCTTAAAGTTTACTTACGGTGTAATCATTACTTTCAGGTGAGAAGCCAGTGACCGAAGTCTGCTTAGGGTGCATATGTCAAGCGATATCAGGATGCAAGCAGGGCACTCTTTGTGATGGAGATGCCTGTGGGCTATTCCGCATCACCTGGGCATATTGGGCGGACGCTGGGAAACCAACGCTCGCTGGTATTGCACCAGACGCACCTGAAGGTAATACTCGTTATGAATCTGTTATGAGAAAGATACATTACATTTATCTGACATTGATATCGCAAACTTTATTAGTTATATTTAGATAAAATGCTAGACGGTTTCTTTGCCGGTTGTAATTAATTTAATAAAACGATGTAATAAAGTTAAACAAAAAGTAAATACATTTATTTGAAGGTAGGAAGATGAGTAGGGTTCTAACTGGCTGAATTTTAAAGTTACTTTTAAATACACTTAAAATAAAACTAATGACTCATGGGAACATTGTTATTCCAAAACGCGAAAAGGTCAAGTTTCAAGAACCAATAAACCAAAATTGTGATTACGGCAATGCGTTGAAGGTTATAAGTCACCAAGGCTTTCAATATAATAAATTTTCTTATAAGTGTTTTTTTTTTTCGAAAATGATCTATTGTTCGACGGTAGCGTTAAGTTTATTAAATAATTAATATAATTAACTAATACAGATATTAATATTAAGGTTAGGTTAATGTGTAGTTTTTCTTTGCAACTTTATGAACAATTTTAACTTCGCAGTAAATATTGTATTTCTTTAAAGATACCTACATTTAAAAATAAACGCGTTGAATTTCTTTCTGGGCCCAAACTAAGCATTCCAACATTGACAACACTGGTTATTTAATACCATAGTTCATAATTTTCATTTTGCCGTTTTATTCATTTATGCAAATATTTGTTAATAAATTACTATTACGATTCTCACACCCTCCAATTTGTTATTAAAAACTAATAAGTGTTAATTTTTATAAGACAAAATGACGGTAACATGTAAATAAATTGTGAAAATGAAATTCATGAATATTAAATACTGTCTTTAAATTACGGGAGTAGTCCACATTTAAAGAAAACATTTTAACGGCTTAAATCGCGAAATATTTTACTTAAACTTATTTAGAAACGATTTTAACTACGACCCAATCAATAATTATTATCTGTTTTTTCAGCGTATTCTTCCTGCGCAAATGATCCACAATGCGCTGCACTTACTGTTCAGAACTACATGAGGCGTTTCGGACAGGTATTTATAATCTCGATTAACTCAAATGTGTTAATGGTAGTTGTCACAGCAAAAAAGTAACATGTACATAGATTCCTTTAGGGATAGTTGGTTGGCGTTGACATTTAGATTAAATCTGCTGATTACAAACAAGCATTCTTTCACTGGAAATTTTTAGGGGGAGCCAAGACCAATGTTTAGTTAGGTGATTTGGGTATTTAACTAGTTTTACAAAATAGCTAAGCTTCTTTAAGTTGCTCTTATGTATTTATTTCTAAGATGTAACCCTAATAGAATAGTTGTAGAATATGTAACAATTATACACATACATACACGTTTTTTTAAATATACACTCACTTAATTACTTATTAAATAAGTTAAGGTATTTCCCTTGATTTTAATCTCACAAGAACACAATTGCTAACGATGTAACGGACCAGAAATTCAATTATAATCTATTTTTAAATATTACGACGATTAACATTTCAACGTAGGGAATCCCGAATAATATCCGTGACTGATGTACATATATAGATACGTGCATGACTCTGTTATATATATATATTAACATAATAATCATAGCATTGTCATTGAAATTTGCATACAAGTCGATCAGTGACATCACCCGTAAAGATCACTTCGTCGTTTTAAAACAACCTTCTCAAACAGCCTTTACTATTTTTGTCTACTTAGTACGCACTATTTAATATCACAACAATAAATATATCTACAACTACCTGTGTCAGCAACCTCTTCCGTAGTATAGTCATTTATATTATTATGGGCATCTGAATTTTATTTTTTGCTGCCTCCTCCTCATTTTTATAGCCTTTATCCACAACGTAAAACAGAAAGATATACTGTCGGAGACATTCAACTCGCGAAATAAATCAACAAAATGTTTTAAATAGATTGGTAATTTATTTGTTATTAACATTACAGACTCGTATTGGTCACGTTATTTTTATTTTTAAATTATGTAAATATATGGTAAATCAAATGACTTAAGCCTATAATGTGTTGAGCTGTGTATTGAAAATAAAATACTTCGTCATTTTAACTTAACTGAAACTTTTTTTCAGGACTGTAATAACGATGGCGTGGTGAACTGCTACGACTACATGGCCATTCACAAACTTGGAGGATACGGCTGCAAGAGTGATCTTCCGTTCCAGTACGTCAATGTTTTCAACCAGTGCGTAGCAACTGTTGCAGCGCATCAAGGATAAAATCGAATCCACTACCTATCGTCACGAACCGGTGGGAATGACGTCACACATCCAAAATACAACATTCAACATTACCGCTTCGTACTGTAGAAAAACAGAATCTTATATGAGACCTTCAATATGACTTAACTAGAATTAAATTAGATTTTTATTTTAAGTATTAGATAAGGAACAACGTACACTGCGTAAATGTTATTTATGAATATATTTCTTGCAATAGGTATCACTATGTATACAGTTATACTTAGTCCTTTATCATTAGATGACAAAGAATTCATTGAAATTAAATAAAAGTTTTCGATTTGATTGTGTAATAAATGAATAGTCAAAATAGTATCTGTCTATTTCTATCCCACTTAAAGTTATAAATAGAACATTTTTTTGTTTTATTTAATAGTAATGTAATAATATTGTTTCTAATTAAAGTCCTCAAGACCTTATAGACCGTATATTTTTTATATTACACAGACTATACTTGACTTACTATATTTTATTTTTAATAATAAAGTTTAGTTATGTCATTTAATGTCAGAAATAAAAGAATAAAATAATATATTATATTTGATAAGTACTTTCTGAAAGTCGTACTAGATATATTTGGCCTTTTTTTAATTTTTAAGGAAGATAAAGAAGTCGGAAATACTACAAAGATTCCTACTTACTTTCTGACTGACTGAAATTCAACGGTTCGAGTAACATTTACAATATTATATATTTCAGGATTTTTCAAATTGACTGTCTCATTTTTAACGCCTGCTATTATAATAATAGTTTGGACTCGGCTTTAACATACTATAGGTCAATATCGCGAAATAACGACAACAAATAAGAATTGGTCGTGAGATGTTTATAATAACTTTATTATTTTGTCACAATCGCTCTCAATCCGTCTTACGACCTTAAGATCAAATCCTTCAAGCACACGGATGTTACGTTTCGATTTTATCTCCTTCGTCAGATCTTTCTTAGAATGATTTACATCCTTTATTGATATATAGTCGCAGAACACTTCAATTCAGTAGGTACGACCGTCGGGCACCAAACAATAGTGCCTCATTGGTTTTTACAGATTACTTCGATCCTAAAGCAATTGTACTTTTTGTGGAGCTTTTAGCGAACCTCTAATCATTATGTCATCAGGTTCCAATGAAATCGGTGCCATATTGTTTATTAATGTTACATTTTAAAGTGTTTTCTAGAATATGAGAACAATGCATTTACAAGTGACTGTGATATTAGTATGTAGCTTTATGTTTTATACAGTTTTGGGTAAGTTTATCCAATTTACTTAAACTAAGTTCGTAATAATAATTGAATTTTCTTCATATACACAACGCCTACTAAATAACTATGTTTCTTGCGAGTATTCAGTTTTTGTTTAACTTATTTTGTTCTCGCAATTAAAATCACATCCTCTTCCTGACTCACTTCCTCTTTCGTTTCGCATAATGATTTCTCATACAGACATGAAGTAGAAATAATTTGATTCGTTTTTCTTTTTTTTTTTTCATAAATGAGGAAAGACTAGAGTAAACCCCAGATATGTAACATCTAAAGAGGATGCGCTAACCGAACTAAAATGTGGATTTGCATTTCACGCCTTTTTCTAAGATTTTTCAAACCAAGTTTCACCTATTTAATAAAAATCTATTCATAATATTTCATCAATAAAAATATAAATAATTTTTTAGAAATTTAGTATTGGGTACATTGCTATTAGTGTACCAACAAGTAAACATTTTGTGCGACAAAACGCAGACCTGCGATAAAACTAATTTCTTTCAACTTGTTTTAGGCATTTACGTGACCAATCTAAACGAAGCGTGTATTCGATGCCTCTGCCATGTAGCAGGCTGTGACTTATCCCATACATGTACTGGTGGCTATTGCGGGCCCTTCTACATATCCAGGGTTTATTGGGTAGACGCTGGGAAACCTACTCTACCCGATGACAACCCGGAAAGGAGAGAAGGTGAAGTAAATAACTCTTATCTTAGATATAGGAAGCAGGTCTTGGCGTGTATATACTTATAATTTTAAATCAGTGAGCTTCTGGGAATTAGAAATAATCTATTTTAAATTACAGCTTATGAAGACTGCGCAAGAGATTACTATTGTTCGGTTAAAATTATTGAAAACTACATGGCGAGATTTGGCAAGGTAATAAATGTTTTTTTTATTGTTAATAGTATGACTTTTTGACAAATGTTTATATAATTATTTTTTTTATTAATTAAGTAATATTTTATTTTTCACATGCGTGATTTTTCATTGTATGCTGGATATAAATTTGTGGATATGCTTTAAATCTTTTAGTCCTAGTACTACTAAATATTCTTTTTCTGTTTATAGATTTCCATCATTTAATGGTTATTTGACTTAGATTATTTGATTAATCTTCCAGGATTGCAACGGAGATGGCGTTACTAACTGCTACGACTATATGATGATAAACCATCATGGCGGACGCGCGTGCTCGTCCCCCCTCTTCCTGTCACAACTTGGCTTGCGTCGGCTCAAACTCTTCCAGCAGTGCAGATTTAATTAAATTAAAATAAACATTTCAGGTCGATTAATAAAATGTTTCTCGTATATTAAAAGACTAGAGAGACATTTATTCGAATAGTATAAAACTGTTTATATCTACTGAGATATCTAATAATTAGTATTTTAGTCCCACTTTTATTAGTGAAAGCTTTATTGAAAATATGGGTATTACTTGTAAAGTACAATCTTAGGATGTAGGAAGTACATAATAACTTAACTAATTTTATAAAAACTTTATTTAAATAGTTTATACTTATATAAAAAGTGAACTGAACTACGTAGAGTACCGAATAACTATATCTAATAACAACAATTGCTTAGTTGAATATATAAGTCAAGTTTGTGGCTGTGTAAAAATTATTTTATAGTATCAATCACTAAACACAAAAAATGTCTTAAAGTCTACATATATAGTAAGTATACATATCTCTTATTCTCTACATATTTACTAAAATATTACGTATTCTTAAGCTTATTTGAGACAACCAATATTGTAGATTTCGAAGGTACCTTAATGACGCTTAAAACTAAAAATCTCGAAATTAACTATACATCTTCCAAATTACGCCACAAAAATCAGTCATATTACAAACATAAAGTATCTAAGCCTTAACAACTTTAAAAAATTACAAGCGGCTGAGGACTCGGAGATGGTTCCTCGTCCGTGTCTTCGTCTGAATCACTCGAGAAGTTAGCCTGAAAATGTAAATGTTACATTAATTATTATTTCAATAGCACCACCAATGAAATCAAATAATTATTACATTGTCCGTGTTTTTCGCAAGTAGTGCATGTCAAAAAAGCGTAAGTATATATAAACTGTATTTAACGTTTTAGAACGTAAAATAAAATTGAATATTTTTACCCAAGGAGTTATTCGCCGTCTGCCACCAGACTGAAGTGCACTCGCTTCGCTAGCTTGCCAAGCCTGCAATAAGTATTTAAGCCTAATATAACTTTTAATATCTTATGTAAGGAAGAGTAAGAATACACCCAAACTGTCTTTGATACAAAGGAGCTTAAACTCGAACCGATTTTATATTATCGTCGGTTGTATAAGGTCGAACTCTTGACTCCTAAAAGGTACATCTGTGTATATTTTGTGTTATTAATAACACAGTGCATGTGTAACTTGAATTAACCCACAGATTATAAGTATTACCTGATAAGCGTCGTTGAAGGCGTGAGCTAGCGAAAGAGCCAACGCCCTGGCCTGCCTCCGCCTCGCACATACAAAAACGTGAACCACGTGCGTTTCGTTTGAACCTGTGCTTTTCCCTTCGACGACCGCAAAAACACGAGCATTCGCCGCGTCCGCTGAGCAATAGGAAATCCTGTACGAGACACAGATTTTTAGAAAAACAATCACACGATAAGCGATAACTTACTACTCTTAAAATCAATCTGACTTCTTAATGTCTCTTCTCAGTAGTTATAGTATTATAAACTAATCCAATCACACCCATACACTAACCCAATATTATACACGTCATTGGACGGTCTGATTAATCTAATGGTAACAATGTTCATAAGCGACCAGTAGTAGATCCAGACTCCCAGTGGGTCGAAAATTTTATTAAATCGATGCATGAAATTAAGTCCGAATTTTGGTTAGATTCTGCGAATTTTGAAATGGCTTAAGCCAAAAATACCGTTAGAAAATAAATTCAACTTTTTTGGACATTTACTTAAGAAACAGTTTGTAACAACGTTACGGCCGCGTAGCACTGAATTTGAAGTGCGTTTTATTAAAGTACATTTATCTTATAATGTGGGCTTTGTCAAAGCATGGCATTTTCTAATTATATAGTCACCTGTATATGGATACACTGAGTACATTTTCTTGAGAATCAGCGTCGGACACGATGATGCCTTTGGAGCTAATGTCCACGTTCACCTTAGGTAGCTTTAAGTTGCCAGCTTAAAAAAAAGTATTTCACACACTAGAAAATTATTTTTGATATGTCGTTTACGAAACATATTCCTTTTTATTTCAATGTTTTTTATTAAATAATCAAACCGTTTAAAATGAAATATAACAAATCTATGTTTGATATAAGTGACCTACTGACTGCGATAAGGTCCCTAATATTTATAGTGTCTCTAGCTGAAAAAGTTCCTTAAATATTATCTGAAAATGCAGAAAAGTAATTAATCATAATTAAAATAAATGATATTTAGTTATTCAAATGTTTTTAAATTCATTGTTGTACATATTTTACTCTGTCGTCTTTCTCTTTGTGACTCAAAATACGAATTGCCCTCAGTTAAGAATGAACACGTTCAACATAGGCTTCTCACTCTTAGCGGTGTGAAGAGCGGAGCGTACAGCGAGAGCGGTAGCAGGAGCGGAGGCGGCTCGCTCCACCGGTGCTGCGCCGGCATACCTCACGTCGATCTGCCCATGCGCGCTGTGGGCCTCTCGCCACCAGCCTTCGCCTTCGCATTCAGCTAACGCCCATTCTTCAGATAATTCTGAAACAAGGAATCAAATATGACTAAATCCAATATTTTCAGCATAACCATTAAAGTTTTCAAGTAAATGTTCGAAATAAAATTATAAGATTCGGGGGTATTTACACAGTTTTTGCACTTGCAAAGGATCCGAAATGTCGGGCCGCAGTTAAAAATAACTTGTAATTAACTGATATATTTTGTACTTTAAACAAATTAGTGTTTTATTTAAATGTGTACTACACTCGTAAACTATAGACAGTATTCGGGGGTAGTTGAGATTTTTCGATACGCCCGCGCAACAAGGTCAGTGCGCGCTGTCAGGCGTCTGTTCAGGTGGCTTTTATGTGAGTCGGTTGTGCAGTTTTGTTATTTTTTATGTTACTGCCTATTGAGAATATTAAGTTACGCCTGTGTGTTGAAGAGAGAACTAGTAATTGTTTTAATAGTAACCGCGAGTGCAGTCTTTTTTAAGAAATTTCTTTTTGTAAAATCAGTGTACTACGTGCGATGTTAGTTTATACCTGACACCCCCTTACTATTGTGTGAGCCATAATTTTGAACTTAACCACCAGAGGTATGTACTCTTGGAAAATTGAATTTGGATAGGCATATGCTAACCGGAACTGTGTATCGTATGTTTTTTCTGGTTACTGTCATTGTGATACAGTAGAAATTAGATTAAAATTACTAGAAACAGAGAGAAACCTTTATAAATCTTCAAGAGTAAAACTGGCCGCTGCTTCTTGTGTATCTGTTCTATATTTTATTTAAAAAATCTTAGTTTAATATATTAATACCTCATATTTTGTATAATATAACCTAGTAAATAGACTAAATAAATTTGAAAAAACATCGCACTATCGTTTTAGGTTATTGTCAATATGAAAATCGCGAAAATAAACATGGAATATTATCTGTAGCGAAGAAACGCGTCACATCTCTGCTCAGACGATAAGCGAATCATGCAGCTGCTTCCTTTTATATTTATGTCGATTATCAGAAGTATTACAAATAATAACGCAATGTACTAGCATACTTTCAAGGGCTCGTTGAATCAACGGTAGCAATTAATGGCTTGCATTCAATTCATGATTCGTACCTTCAATAAGTTTCCCACCGGATCTGAAGATCTACCTAAAAGTTTTGAAAGTCTGTCTATGAAATGCAGTGCCGTAAATAGGGCCAAAATTTCTAAGTTCCGTCCGCATCAAGAACGTCCGCAGAATGGAATGGAAAATCTCTGAAGTAGATGTCTGTCTCCCTATCTTATAAAAAAATCACTTAATTGCCAACAAATAGCTGTCGTAATGATTTTATCTTATTAGTCGACACTTGCGATATGGAAGTTTCGCAAAAGTGCAAGATTAATATCGGTTATAGTAATTGTAGACTCCCAACCGATAACTGGACAGCTTTCTAAGTAATATCGGTATAAGTTAGAATGTGGACGGATGACTTTTTATAAAACATTGCTCGACTCGTTTTTCATACAGCCTCAATCTCAACTTATTGTAGGCGATGAAAGAAGTGACATACATAACGATCGAATTTATCCCGAGTTACCTAAAGATGCGTGCCCATTATGTTAATACTACAAAAAGAAACATATATTATCGAACTTGTCCAGAACCTGTTACCACCTTCCACCTTACCACTTCTAGCAGTGATTCAAAAGAGTAAGATTGAGAGTTTAAATAAAACAATTTAACGATTTAATACAATATATAATTAGTGAAACTTATTTGAAAATTTAAAAAAAAAAATCTTTTAAACAGGGGCTCTGCAAAAAAACCCGGCATTTGACACAAATAAGTTTAATTAATATATATCGCATTAAAAACCGTGAAATGTTTATTTAAATGTGTACTACTCGCGTAAACTACATATTATAGTATTTGATGAGAGTTTAACTAAAAGAAACCCAAATGATCAACGTTGGATGAACATTATATTGAGGTAAAACTTACTTTAGACACTTTAATATGTAGAAAAATGTCAAAATTAATTGTATAATAAGTACAAGTTCCACCGCTAGTCTACTTTATCTAGGTCAGACGATAATATCTCACTAAATGGGCTATAGGTCACATATTAGGCGCAAATCATCTTACTGCTGTGAACCCTGATTTACTTATCAACTGCGTATTTACAACTCTATCGCTGATTTTTTGTCGGCGCGTCTATTTTGATTGCGTTATCTAGGTTCTGTGTAAATGTACTAAAATAATGCAGCGCGAATTATATTGCGTAATTGTGCCTTTAATTCTACTCATATAATTTAGTCGATTGAATTTACTTATATCCTGGGCACAGGTATCTTAGTTCATAGGAAACAGTGTTTAACAGCTTCCTCTAACCACGCTTAGCACCACGAAATAATTGAAAAGGAACAAAATTAACTGAAAGACACTAACTAAACTCCGATCTTGTACTACAAGAATTTTTCTTAAAAAACTCTAAATACATAACCAGCAACACATCTGACCTGGAATTTGAATACCCCAGACAAACGGGACAACTGGGGTAATGTTGGGAAAGGGGACCGTCTTTTGAAGTCCTTTTTTTGTTCTGGTGCAAAATTTCAAGCTAAAAAAGGTCACTAAACTAATAAAGGAAGTAATTGCGTGAAGATGTAATAGTAATATTACATTTATAGGAGCTATAATAAGTTCATACAACTTTAGATAAAAGAATAATGCCTTTTGAATGTAATTGTTTTCCTGCGTGTAATACATGCGTTGAGAAATTACATTGTTGATTAATTACGTCTTTAAACAATTAAACGGGAAACATTTAACCCGATCGCAACTCAACAGAATCTATGCTATAGCCCGGTGTGTTGTTTAGCACGGTAGGTCCCGTGTACGTATTCCGGAAAATGCAATACCGGGTTTTTAAAAAAGGCAAACAAACGGTGATCAGGATCTTCTCTCTGTATAAATATATTAAGTTACGAAGATATGGGATTTTTTTTAATGCTAGTACAAAATGTAGGTATTTACTTAAAAATTTTCTCTTCACATTTTTAAAACACTTGTCTTAAATTCAAAAGTAGTATCTTATATGACTTGGTCTCTTGATACTAGCCAGTTAAAAAAATATTTTTAGATATAACGTCCCAAAAATAAAACAGACGTTGATGTTTTATTACCTAATAATAATTTAGAAAAGAACTAGAGTTGTTAAAAAAATTTAAATAAATAATTTTCTTATAAAAATATAGGGAGGAAAAGTTTATATAAAGGATTCTCACTTTATGTACGTGAATAAGTGCAGGCGACTTGCAAGTATAAAAAGACATAGTGAGTTTTTCTGCGATTCTTGGTAAGGCTTGTTGGCCAGTGAGATCTAATTCCTAAGTAATTAGAGTGAAATCTGAACGTGTAAGCGGACTACAACTTACAACTTGGGACGGAGCTTAAGGAAATCGTAAAAGGAGCGAAGTAAATTAATATAAGAATTCTCAAACTAACTAAAATAGGATGTAGATAAGTTTTAGAACAATAAAAATTGTCTACTAACTATATTGCTACTAACACTACTACTAACTGTAAAGCTAGAGTTTTCAAACCCCTTTTTTAACCCTGACAAACATACAAAGCTTGTTGAAAATTACAGTAAATTTTAAAAAATATACAACGAATTATTATTGTATAAATTATATCGCTACTGTGATTTAATTGTTTTATGAGGTTTTCAAAATAGAAAAATGTTTTGCCTCTTGGAAAATAACAATGCAACTATTTTTATGTACTGAGTTTAAATAAAAAATTATTGGTGATAGTAACAAAATATAGAGTTTACTTACTTTTATGCTTCGAATGATTTTTCCACATCCTTCGTAGGATTGTTGCCATCTTGACAGCTTCCAGATGCAGTGGCCAACTTTTCCCGCGCGCGGTTCCCAGATAACTGAGATTGAATTGCGTTTAACTGCGCACAACCCTCCAAGACGCTCGTTCTAAAGTAGATTAACAACAATTTATATTGTTAAATAACCTTATAAACATAATAATAGTCATATTTAACTGTATCAAATACATAATGTTTTTTTATTATCGTATGCTAAATCTTTCCTTAATCTGAGCAACTTCATAGCGGACTGAGTACGATGTCTTGCGGTTACGTTATTATGAAAATTAGCTAAAATTATTTTACTATCGTTTAACTTAAAAAATGATTGAAAGCAATAAATATCATGTAAAATACTGTCTGTAGTTTACGCGAGTAGCACACATTTAAATATATCGCATTTTAACGGTTTAAAATGCGATATATATAAGTTAAACTTATTTGAAATTTATTTTTAACTTCGGCCTTACGTTTCGGATGCTTTGCAGCAGCGTGTTCAAGGGGTCTCCTCATGACCACGGCAATAATTATCACGTTTTAAACCGTTAAAGTGGTTTATGTAAACTATGTAAGATTAAAAAAAAAGTGGTGCAAATTTAAAAAACCAGACAGCTTTCAACATCAGTATTTTTGTATCTCTCCTATCAGTGTATATGAAATAGTATTCTATTAAAGAATAAGTATATATAATTACTAGCTGAGCCGGATAACGTTGTTTTGGAATATAAATAATTTTACTAAAATGTCTATTAAAAAATAAGGGTTGATCGTAGAAGGGTGAAAATTGAGGATTGTATGTATTTTTGTATGTTGTATCATAAAAAAATAGAAATTAAAAATTTTGTCTAAAAAATAAAATAAAAAAAAATTAAGGGTGAACAACCCTTATCACTTAAGGGGATGAACAATATGTTGTGATGTTGTCCTATTCTCAGACCTGCTGAATACACATATCAAATTTGGTGAAAATCGGTCGAGCCGTTTCGGAGGAGTTCAAGTTCGAACACCGTGACACGAGAATTTTATATATTAGATAAACCATTGGAATTGTTATTTTTCAGAAACAGGAACTCTTCAATTAAACAACAGTTCCGTAGTATCCCTCATGAACCGAGACTTCGTTGTCAATAATTGAAGTAAAGTTCCATAAACTGGCTCTCTCGAGCCAGCCTGATGCAATGGCTTCTATTTGGCCATCATTTCTGATGCAATGCAAGGAGCTTTGCAACCCAAGTTAACCGACCCCGCCTCGCTTTTTGCTACCAAATAATTACAAGTTAATGTGAACTGCCGTCTTTGGAAATGCCAATAAATAATTACAAACTTACACTGTATAACCTTACTTATTTACTTTTTTTAGCTGTCTGTACTTGATTTTCCTTTAGTAGGTTCTTTGTGGAATTTTTTAAATATGACAACTAGCTTTACCCGCGACCTTTTTTTTCGCGACCGCGAAAATTGTTTTTGCGAACTTCCTCTTCATCTTTATAAAAAACTAGCGGCCCTGTCCCGGCTTCGCTGGGTAGATATAAATAAGTACAGATATTAAAATTATAAGCATGCTAATTAAAACGACCATGAATCACTAAATTAGAAAAAAAATGTATTTCGCTTCCTAGCTGTTAACGACCTTTGTCTATCACGCTGTGTCAGGAGCCGCTGCGAGCGTTCAGCGTTAGAGTCCCGTGCACGCGTTCGCGAATTCCTAACTCTATTTTCTTCAAGTCGCTGAGACGAACTTGCATTTTGTTCTGCAAAACGAACCTGAACATTCGACGATAGATTCTCTGGCTCGCGATTGGGACGCGTACACTATAATACTTTCCAGGTGATCATTTTAGGAAGAAGACTCTCCAATACGACAAACTTTGCTATTCTCGCTTGGGAACTATTCTTAGATAGCTGTGACCTTCTTCTTCTAGGCATATTGCTATGAAGGATATTTGTTTTAAATCAGAGAAATTTAGAATAATAAACTAATAATAATACAAAAGAAAATATTCAAGTTCAAAGCGATAATTCTGAAAAGAACTTTGACAAATATTATGCAAAGTGTGATTCCTAATACTAAACTAAGTAGCTTTGAAAAAATTTTTAGTAGCATAAAAATAAAAAAATCGAAATATTTAATGTCGTTCGCGCCCACTGCGTAAGGAGCCCACTGCCCCTCTATCATCGAATTAGATACTCGATGCGCGGCGTGGCGGCCGCCGCCGGCATGCATTTTTATTTTAACTTCGTGATATCTTTTGAATGGAATGTCCAATTTCAATAATCAAAAAAGTAATCATCAGGTATTGAGACAGTCTTGAATATTTATTCGGATATAAATTTATAAATGGTACGGATAACACGGTCTGATTTTGATCGGCATTTCTATCAATTTGTTAAATTTAAAAAAGTAGTTATAGCGACGTAACTGCAATAGTTAGACATATGCTCTCGTGATGTTTTTTGTAGATATTAATATATTCTATAATATTGTCGAACATTTTTTTGTCCTATCATTAATACATTTCGCAGGGTATGCGAGAAGACATTTTACGGCTAATTTTTTTACGCCTTCCGTTGGTTTTAGTAAGAATTACTATAGATATCTATAGTAATCGAGTACTAAATATAGCCTATGTTACTCAGTAATAATGTAGCTTTCTAATGAAAAAAGAATTATTAAAATCGGTGCAGTACTTCTTGAGTTTACGCATTACATACAAAAATACAAATCTTTCCTTTTTACAATATTAGTATAGATACCTGTTACCCACGGCATCGTCCGTGCCCCGTCGTTTTTTTTTTAATTATTTAAAGTTATAATTCTTTCACATATATATTTTTTCCTCACGCTACGGAATTCGTCGATAATTAGTTTATCAAAACAAAATATTTTTTTTTTATTCAAACCAGTAGTTCCCGAGATTAGAGCACTCAAACAAACAAATATTCTCTTAGACTTTATAACATCAGTTTAGACGTAATATTCTTATTTTTTATGTATTTAAACTCAAATAAAGCTTTATATAATAATTTCTATTTCATTCATACTTAATACACACTAATATTATAAAGAGATAGATTTATATTTTTGTTAGCATATTATTGTCTTTCGGGCTGTTCGGCCGATGTGAGCGAGATGTTGCTTTGAAGACAGTTACTAAAACAGTTATTCAAATAGAAAAATAATCTTTACATATGTTACAATACCTGTAGATTGCTCTTTTTGTATTTTCAAATCGTATATTCCGTTTGAAATTATGAGAAACACTTTGCCATGCCGGCAACTAACCCTTATTTTTCCACCTAAGGATTTTAGGCAACTAAGAAATTGCTGACCAGTTTAAATAAAACACTTTAACGGTTTAAAACGCGATATATTAGTTACTTATTTGAAAAGGTCTTTTTCGGCCAAATAAGTTTAACTAATATATCGCGTTTTAAACCGTTAAAGTGTTTTATTTAAATGTGTACTACTCGCGTAAACTATAGACAGTGCTGACCAGTTGTTCACAGGAAAACAAGCCCATCATATTTTAATGCATTAAACCTAAAGTTCAACAACTTCACTAATTAACATAAATTTTACTTTATTTCTCAAATTTTTTAATTACTATTTCAAAATCTGTTTCCTAATTATAACCTATCTGTAAATACAAATAAAAACTATGGCTGTTAATAATCTGAAATATTGGGAAATTGGGTGGAATGGTCAACAACATGGACGATCACCCAGCCCTCTATCGGTGTCCCCGCAAGAAAATAATTATAATCTGAAGCAAAATACTTAATATGTTAGTAATAAGATGATACTCAAAAAATATTGCAAAGTCATAGGTACAAAGAGGATAGGATAAAAAAACTACATTTATAAATTAAAAAATATATTACTGCAGTCTCCTAAAAGTTACAACGAATCAACTGTGAGACTTATAGAATATTAAATTATGTATATAAAATACTCATGTCAGAAAAAAATATGTTTAAATTTTACAATTGTCAAGTAAAAATAAGTTATTTAGGTCCTTTAAAAATTTCTGATCATATCTTGTGCATTGTGTGGTACAAATTGTTTTTTAAGGATTTCATTATCACCTTATGTTGTGATGCTTCTAACTCATTTGGACTAGTTAGTGTTGCTATATATATAAATATGTCATCCAATATGATTAGTCTACACATAATATACATCTAAATAAACTGTCTGTTTAATACTAACCAGTATTGATACAAAAAGTACATAATGATTTTCTACTACTACATAACATTGCTGCCACACAAGGAATATTACATAATGTGCTTTTATTTAAATAATCAATTCTTTATTAAATCACTAACAAATGTTAGTTTCATTATCTTATTTTAATTAAAAACTTTGTCATTCAATATTAGCGCAATTATGATTTAATTTTTTGTATATTTGTAAATATTCCTGTTATACTAAAAATGCATAACGTTTTCTGGCAAATTAATTAGGTACAGTCAAAGTTTACTTGCAATTTTACAGAAGCCTTTCAACAACAAAATCTAATGTTATTTTTACATGGTTCTTACAAAAATACATTCTTCACAGCATCACATGTACCTAAATATATACAATGTCACAATAGTAATCAAGTTGTCTTCATAATTAGTTATCCAATAAATCGATATATTACTGTAATAGACATCTATTTTTAAGAGTATATAACTAAATTTCACTTTTAACATTAACAGTCTTTTCAGCTGCTGCTTTTCCGGCAGTTTTAGCCACTGCTTTCCCCGCAGGCTTAGGTACGGATCATTTCTTTTTTCGATCCTGAGTGCACTTCGGGCAATACCATTTACCTTTAGGCTTGATTTTTAGGTCTACACACGCAAAGTGGAACCATTCAATAGGGCAATCAGGGTTGTCACAGCCTATCATCTCACCGTAGGAAACTTGATGACACAGACAATATGTGGGTTCATTAGGATCCACGGGCATGTCTAACACATCACTGGGGTGTGTCATACCGGCCACAGAATCTAAGTCAGCGCTTTCCTCCTGCTCTTTTGTCGGATTAGCTGATGCTCCCGAGCCTTTCTTTTGCGCTTTTTTCTTCGCGGCAGACCTACCACTGGCGATAGCATCGTCTTCGCTCGACGCACCTGCTCGCTTTTTCTTACCAGTAGACGAGACGGACTTATCGCTATTTTTATTCTTCTTTCGACCTTTTTTAACAGTCGTCGGAGTAACTTCCTGCTCACTCGCTGCCTGTTGCGCAGCACGAGAACTCATTACTTTCTCTTGTATTTCGGACTCAAAACGTGCGAGGTCAGAGTCAAGGCGCCGTATGTGCTTATCTACTAGCTCATATGTTTGAATTGCAAGCTGAACTTTGTCGTCCCCATATTCTTTTGCTTTATTAAAGAGTCCTTGAATAGTGTTCACTTTTTCTTTTTTCGTTTCTTCGTCCATTTTTGGAATACTAGGTAACAATTCATCAGCCATAAGATCAATCGTCCTCATTAGTCCGTGAGCTCTATCGTCTAGATCTCGCATTAGCTTAAAATTTCTTTGTAATTCTATGGGTAAATGCTGAAGACTATCTAGATAATGCTCTAAATAAAGTGCTGAAGTCATTTTGTAAATTTAAAATTATTTCCCTCTAAATTAATAAGCGATGTCAGCGATGATAATATTAACAGCTTACCGCACTTGCATTAGTATACAGACATAGATCACTAGCAATAATATTATTTTCGTTTATTTTTGTTCAAATTAATTTAATTTTTCATACATGTTTGGAACATGCATAATTATTAAATTTTAAATCACTTTACAACTTGATAGAAAACGACATTTAACTTACGACAATAAACCATAAACAACAAGCTTTTGTCTAAATTTTTGTAAGTATATAGTCTGTGCTATGAATTAAATCAATTTTTGAAAACTTAAAAGCCAGACCACCTTTTTAGTTTTAACTCAAATCACTCGTCAATGTTTTAGTTAAAACAGGACTCGGTTGTGTCATGTATATTTGACCTGCTAAGCATAAGTATTTTAATATTGTAGGCCTGATTATAAGGAATTATAAATATGATTCTCATATTTTATCTGTGGTATATTTCTAGAGGTAGTATTATTATAGATTAAAGTGCCAGTGCTTTCTGTGTAGTGAATCTGTGCGTTATTAACAAACCAAATCGTTGTCATTTGTAAAAAAATCAGGTGTATATGTGAATAATGTTGCTGTAAGTAAATGTTACATAAGAACTCCTTACAACAGTTCGATTATTGAATTTATATTATTTTTAATTTATGTGATTTCGACGTATTATAAAGTTTATTCTTCATAAAAGAAAAAAAATGTGCAATAGAATGTATGACATTCAACTTTTTTATAAAGTGGCAACTATTGACGTTATTTGTCAACACTTTAGAGTTTAGTGTCGGGAAAGAATTGTAGATGGCGCTACTATCTTTACTAATTACTTTTATTACAAACTAGCTGTGCCCACGACTACGTTCGCAAGGAATAGTGACTTGGGGTAGAACTTTTAATTATTTAGGCTGTTTATAATTTATGTAATTGGGCATTTATCGCAGCCAATCTATGTTGTAAGTACTACTTTGCCGCAACACTCTCACCTCACCTCACTCCCACTCTAACTCTCACTCCCACTCCTATTCCAAAAAACTAGAGAAGAAGAAAGCTTTATTGTTCTAGCTTCAAAAACCACGAATTTCCATACAAATTTTCAACCCTCTTTTCACAATAAAAAGCCTATAATCTTTCTTTGAAGTTAGCAAAAATCATCTCATCATTATAAATTACATCTTTTCAGTGTCTCCCACGACTTCTGTTGTTCTATTTGATCTTAAAAGATAGATATATTGTCACGGACATTTGTTTAAATCACTTAAAGAGGAATCATACATATTTTTGGGTTCATAAACCGTTTTTGCAGCGCACGCAACTTTCGTAGACGATAATATTGCCCGCCCCGTTTCTCTAAATTTCCCACTGTTTCTTCGTTATTATTAGTCGCAGCGTGAGTGTTTTAGTTCGAAGCTCGATAAAAGGTCTATCTATGACAAAAATAATATTTCGATTTGAACCAGTACTTCTTGAGACTAATCTCAAGAAGTACTTAGTAAGTAGCGTTCAAACAAACAAACTCTTCAGCTTTATATTTGTATGGGATGGCAGAATATAATGGGAAAATTTAAGAACTTTTTTTCAACAGTTTTACCACAATTCGAACGTATTGTAAATTATTAATTTATAGCTTTTATTAACTCGATCTTTGGGCAAAATAACCAAAGAAAATTAATACACACAGAATTTCCAATTATTTAAAATGAAAAGATTAATAATTTAGGTACTGCGAAAGTTAAAACTCAAACGCCTTCGTTATATTGAATGATTTTATTATATTAGCAAATAAACAAGATATAAAATATTTTCTTAATAGATATGACACTAGTCCAGGATACGAAGCACTTTTAGATTTACATACTTTGCTTTGTGCATTTTAAAAATTCCAATGCTCGTGCGCAGTCCGCAAGATGGATTAACGTAACTTTAGTTACTGTTTATATTCGGGCTATTCGGCTAATGGGTTAAAGCATTATTGTTAAAACGACAAAACAGGCGAATAACGGAACGTATAACTTTAGCGATTAAATGACACGTGCCATCGAACTATATAAACATTAAAAATTAAAAACATTTAGATAAAAATTGCAAATAAATAATTAGCGAACGCCGCCTGCGCGGCGATTAGATGCGTTACGCAATCTACATGATATAAAACATGTTCTCAATTCACTTAACTATACTTTACACTCTTAGCGCTAATCGTGATCGTATAATATAATGTATACTACAAAACTTCATACATTGGTGTCGCTAGACGCAGTATCCGATAGCATTACACGACTATCTGCTATAGGTTTGGGAATATCTGGACAGCTATATAACATACGGGTATAAAAATTTCGAAAGGTTACAATCTAAATCGGTTACAAAACGCGCCACGGCCGGGCTACACTTGTGATAATTACGTTTATTTTGACGATTAAATTATCACTTACATACAAGAAGGTACTCACATACACATAATAATGAAGGTACATACTTAAATGAACTTAGGCTAGCTACATACAAGTCTACACATAAATTTGGTACACATTCGTTGCTTCTGTTACCATTTATAACATACCGGGGCGGCTGCAAGAACAACCTAGTACAGTGGAATGCATAAATTTAAAATACTAATATACCGTTCAACCTATTTTGAAATTCTGCTATTTGTTGTTCGTTTATACATATTTAATTAGAGGTAATCGTAATTAAACTTCTCTTTCATTTTCTCTGGCTTTGTAAAAAAAAATTGCATCCTGCATTATTTTCTGTGTTCATATTGCATAAATGCACTTCTAAAGGGCAATCAGGCTAAGGCATAGAATTCCACTTTGGTACATAAAAAATTGGGAATGTCATTTTTAATATTCCAAACACAAGCCATCTGCAACACGTTTATCACAACCGCAAATAAAATAAAATTTAAGATATTTTTAACAAATAAAGCACCAGCAGATTGTGCTCAGTTAGATAATTGGTGAAAAATGGCTTCATTGACAGAGGGATCGATAATTTTATTAACTATCAGTTTTGTTGTGGCTTCAATTATTATTATTTCCTTTTATTTTTCGTGTATATAATATATCAATACTGAATTGTCATATACTGTCATATATTAGATCCACTCATCTCGGGCACATCCACTTATTTACCTTAACAACCAAACAACAAAAAATAGAGTATCTATTATATGTTGTTTAGGCATATTTTTAATACTCAACATAATTAAATTTGCAGGAAGATCAAAATGGTATAAATACCTCAGGTAATGTCAATAGGCAACATTGTATATACAAAAAATACATAAATATATATATGCGCATTGTAGTTAGGGCAAACTAATTGTTTGGTTGACGTCACTTATAATTATCTGATTTGTATAACCACACAGCAGAAAGTAAAAGTAACCAATGGTTTTGATAATCTTACTCAGACTAAGTGAATCGATTCAAGTCATACCTAAGAACAAGAGTTTCATCCCGCACGTTGTTGGTACATTCCAGCTTCTACTTCACTGCCTTATAATCATGATAGATCCGAAGAATTCTTTAGACGAGTGTTTCATACTTATCGAGAACGTGACTCTGATTGTCATCTCCGTGACTTTTAGAACGTTGTCGGGCCGTCGTGTCGGATCCTGCGCTTTTAGATCTCGCTTTTTTGTCGTGTCCGCACGTACAAGCCACAGATGTCTGTCGCTTCAAAGTCTGCGAACGGTTGCCGGCCCACTGAGGATCTAGAGATTCGCTCCTCGCATACATTTGACGTTTGGTTCGACCCATCGTCGCATGCGGAAACGATTGACCGCCATCGGAAGACGGACGCATCGATTCACTTCTGTTGCAGAAGTTACCGGCGCGACGGAATGAATCCAACACTCGCTCCTCAATTTCCTCTATATCTTTCTTCTTAACGAGCCAAATCTCCTCTGAACCTCTCGTGAAGTAGCTGGAGCCTTTACTCACGGAATATTTTTCTTTATTTTTAACTTTGCAAGTTTTAAATTGATCTTCTGGCGGTTTCGTGCGAGAGGTATCCGGCGACGCTACGTTACGGAAAGCCGTGCCGTGAGAGGGAAATTGTTCTGGAATTTTTCCAACAATACTGGGAGATCGAATCGTTAAGTCGATGGGAGATGACATAGGCTTAAATTCTGGTTTGATGATTTTTTGTGGTTCAGGTTTCTGTATCTTTTCCTCGAGGGAGTTGCTATTTCTTTGCCATTTATTAGTGGCTATATTAGCAGAACTTTTCACACTCTGCTGTCGTTCCAGTTTGGGAATACTCTGCAAATCATGTTTTTCCAAAACATCATTTGTTTTCTCAGTGTGCCCCAAGTCAAAAAATATATTGTCTTTGAACGGAGTAGCCGGTGGCGGGAGGTCTTCTTTGCTATCAGATCCTAACCTATCGACGCGCGGTCGTCCACGCACTGACCCCGGTCGAGACAGCTTACCGGCTTCTTCAGCGGCTTTCTCAAAAATTTTTATTTTGTCACCTACACCATTAGATTCTTCATTTTTTGTTTTGTCTCCATTCATATCTTCTATCTTATTAGAACAGTCACTACTCGTGACAGCTTCAGTAATATTATTTGGCAGTGATAGCTTGTCAGTTTTGGGAATATCCTTGGCAGTGACAGAATCCCTTTTAACTTTAGGAGGAACAACATTCTCTTCAATGTGTATGTCACTTTTTAATGTTTTGAGAATAGTGCTCGGAGGAGAACTGGTGTAACTTACAGGTGAAGGGGAATTTATTTCTTTTCTAAAGGGAGAAACTTTGCCCCAAGGGGGGGAGGCGACATTGTTTTTTATAGGTGGCGATAGAATTTCTCTATTGACAGGTGGAGAAGTGGCTTTAGGTGGGGAATAATTTTTGGCAATTTCTTTGACAGTAGGTGAATTTATAATATTAACTTTTTGTTCTACTTTAGGTGGAGTGGCACACTTAGGGGGTGATGGCAAAGGTTCCTGCGGCGGGGAGTCGTCACATTTAATTGGTGGTGGGACTTTCTTAAGACTGCTCTTTCTGATGGGAACGGCTACTTCATTTCTCGGGGAAGCTTCTTTTACCTTTTCGCTGACATCATTTTTAAAGGAATTAATTTTTGGAATATCACTATCACACTTTACTTCAACTTGTATCTTCTGTGTTTCAAAGTCATTGACAACTTTGTCTTCAGCAGGTTGTGGCTTATCTTGTTTATCATAAAAGGTCGCGTTATGTCGCGGAGTGGCGCAACGTCACGCGCGACAATCGGCCCACTCGTCGTCGTCGAGATCGGAATCGTCTTCTTCATCAGAGTCGCTCTGTTCGACGGCGACGCGTCGCGCGAGAATTGACGCGACATCGTGCAGCGCGGGTGCACCGCGAAGTGTATCGTATTTACCCACATTGTCTTCGCACCGCTTCTCCACTTTTCGTAGTTTTATCCCTGAAAATTACGAATAAAAACAAATAAAAAAAGAAATAAATTGTGTAAGGCTTTCACGGCCATCGTTCAGCATATCATTGTCTTTCGGGCTGTTCGGCCGATGTGAGCAAGAAGTTCTCGACGTTTCGCCATCACGTGTGGACGGCATCATCAGGAGATGTTGACCCCTCGATTGCTCGAAGAATTAATTCATAACATTGAATAATACTTAATCGGCCGAACAGCCCGAAAGACAATATTATGCAAATAAAAAAAGAGTTAGATTTTTGGCTCATTTTGCAGGAGCACCTGCTTAGGGGCAAAAAAAAAGAAAAAAGTACTAATTGATTAAAACAATGTGTATGAAATCACTGTCTGTGGAGGGAAAGGCAGTGAAGTTTAAATTTGTAATTCAGTTTCAGTCTGCAGACTCTACAACAAACAGATTATATCGCTTTCCATCTAGTGACCTATATTTTTAACTCTAATAAAATAAGAGAAATGTATTCAAATGTACCCTCTCGTATCGCCTTGAGCAAGTCTGAGCGAGGGTCCGCCGCGGGATGATGGTCGAGGGTTGGTGGTTTGAGTGCAGAAGCGCCTCGTAGTAAAGTAGCTGGCGAAGGAGGACGGGGTCGGTCCTCGTTGGCTGCGGGCGGTGGAGGGGCCGGGGGCGCGAGGGGTACCGGCGGTGGAGTCGGCGCACGCGCAGGACTCTCTTCCGATGACATCATACCTAGTAAATATACAAATAACTTTAAGTATGTACCTTGTTGAAGATAAATAAATTCTTACGATTTTTAAATAAATGGAGAATACATTAAGTTGTCACCATAGTCTATTTAGCTATTTACCAATGACAGCATGCATGTGGTCAAGATGCGCATCGAGTGCGGTGCGGTGCGGCGGTGAAGTACCGTTAACGGGTGGCGGAGAAGCACTGTCAGGCGGGGGCGGAGGAGGTGGCAAACTGGATCTGAAAATAAAAAATTAAACCAAATTGACTATGATTTTATTACTTACTACTACTAAGGTAAAAACTTTGGCTTCTTCATATGATTATTAGTTCTATGAATCTTTAACTTAAAAGCAATTACTACATGTATGCTTTTAAATAAAACACTAACTTAACTTTTTTGAAAATGATTTTTGACTTCGGCCCGACGTTTCGGATGCTTTGCAGCTGAAAGTGTTTTATTTAAATGTGTACTACTCGCGTAAACTATACACAGTATTTTACATGTATGCTTTTATAAATTTGAAGGTGGTGTTGCTTCGTTTAAGTTGACTATTATTATTTTCTATTGGGGACACCAATAGAAAGCCCAAGTGAAGGTTCCCATTTTCTATTTATAGAGGACATTGAGTTATGCAACTCTATGTCCCCTTCAAACCCTCAGCTTTGCCAAAGATATAGACATTCAATATATAACTGTTGTTACCTGGTCGGCGTAAGCGACTCATTATGTATAGGCGCGGGCGGCGCCGGTGGGGGAATAGAGGGACGTGCGCGTCGCGGCGTACCCGCAATACTGCCTCCATAAATGGACTCGACCGGCCCGTAAGGGCTCTCCTCGTTCACAACTGAGGAATAAATGGAGACTAGAATCAAATTATGTAAAAGTTGGTAATATCCATTTATCTAGAAAATTTGATCCGAGAATAAGTAACGTAGCGGATTATAAATTCAGTTCTTTGGACTTCGCTGTTAAGTAAAAATATATAATTATAAGATTTAAAATACAACGAACCGTGGCCATTGCCGGTAAGACGTTGGGTCCTGTTCTGTTGGTTCTCAATCTCGATGGAGTTAGGTCTGGCCGGCTGCGTGCTCGGCGCCCGCGTCTGCGGTGTGCGATACCCGCCGTCGGTGACAGTTGTAGCTAAAACGAGCAGTTATTTTATTCTCTCTATGAAATTTTTTTGGGTAATTAAGTAGGACACAAATTTAATATTCAGAATCTAACCTAACCTAACAAACTTAGTCAAGAATAATAAAATACCAGAGGAAAGCCATAATTGAATGTCCAATCGTAAGCGATAGAAGTGCTCACCTTGATAAAGTGGTTCGGGGCGATACTGAGGCTCGATGTTATACCGTCGCAACTGCGTGGGCGCCATTATGTGCTCGCCGCGGTTAACCACCTCTGCCTTCTGTCTGTCTCGAGTGGAATGAGGCACCCGAACTCTTCGTGTGCCGCGACCTTCTGCGCCCCCGGTTCGCGGTTGGCGCACCTTAATTACAAGAAGCGTTATATAACACGTCCTACTTTCATATTACTGTCATTTCCGTGTGGAATATGTATTTTTAAGACATATTTAAGCCAGTGTAAGTCGATGTTCGTGAGCACGGTTACGTGCATTACATGTACAGGTCGATTGCCTTCAGTACCCTATTCGTGGATAAATAATGGTATAACAGGCTTTTAAAACTTTTAAAGTCCATTTGTTGACAGGACGGACAACAGTGTTTCAAAGTTATATCAGGCGTCTACCTTCTTCCCCCTATCGTGCTGGATCCTCTCAGTATCTTGCAGCATCTCCCTTCTCCATAGCTCAAAGAAGTAATCTGGATCTGTATAGAACTTTCTGGCGTCCCTGCCGTCATCGCGGAACTCATTGAGCCTCTCCAGCGGCGGAGGTCTGTCGCAGCGCGCGTATGTCGCCAGCATGGCGGACGGTATGGTCGTGCGCGAAAACAACTGCTGCTGAAACGTGCGCGACGAGCGGAACGCCTTCCGCATCTGTATGTCTTGGAGGGAGACTGAAAATGGAAATATTATTGTTAAAACATTACATTCATCTTTCCACGTTTACAGCTGTAAATACATATTGGAACACGGTTCAGAGAACTTACAATTTTTGCTAAGGCTACTAGACGCTACGTCAGTTGATCAGTTATACAGACTATAAAAACAACTAATGTTGCAACACAATAATATGTTTGGCAACGTCCCAACGGCGGATCAAGTTGTAAAATGGTATAGAGAAATCTGACTCTCATACCTTCCTCTACTCCGGAGTCCAACTGAGTAACCTTGATAGCGAGTCTGTCTATCCGAGCCTGGAGAACGTTGGTTCTCTCTGCGAGGTTGGTCGCCTCCCGTGTGAGCTCTCCGAACATATCCTCCGCATGTTTTGACAGGGACGATAGCTGTCTGCAATTTCGGACGTCAGTTAGTTGATTGGATTAAAATAAGAGATTACATGGTGGTAACTCATCAATCATAAATTAGCCCAAATAAATATTTCTGCAGTATGTTATTAGAATAAATTGAGTTTTTCCAAAATACATTTACGCCCCAAAAGTAACACACAACATGCTAAAAATCAGTCGATGTGACGTCTTCGCTTATTTTGTGTTCATTGATCCCAATTTATTCTCCAAGTGCGGAATAATAAAAAATAATTAGAACGCTACGTACACAAACTGTCGCGTGCAGTGTTTATTTTCAAATAACAATGTACCGATCGATTCTTATTTAAGGACATTGTACCAGACCGCAGTTGTACGATAAGCGTGACATGTGATTGGGCTAAACTGTATTCGATTAACGTCCCGGCCCACCTGACTGTATTGGCGAGGGTGCCGTTGGTCACGGCCTCCAGTTCCGAGGGCACCGCGAGTCGTTCGGGCACCGTGCCCCGCGACACGTGCACCGGCTCCACGCAACGCTTCGGCAGCGGCATCCTGACCGCGCGATGGCTACGTTCTGGACATTACTGGAATTAATAAAAACACCAGTTCACATTTGAAAACCTTACTATTTTTCATGTTATCGGTATTAAATAAAAAAAAGATTTTAGATTAAAAATTCACAGACACGGGCCTTCTTAATTAAACTTGATTTTACAACCTATTAATGCAATAGAAAAAAATAAATTCGAGGTGTAGGACACGGTAGCTGAATTTGTTAGAGCAAAGCTGTCGATGCCCGTGTTGTAATTTTTTCGATCTAAAATCGATTTTTACAGTTTATATTTATTTTATCGTATCGGCTAAATTTCAAGACTTCTTATTGTGTCATAACAGCATTAGGCTGCGGTCTATAAGAATATACTATTCTCTTCTTCACGAGCTATCGATGGCATGCAGAGACCGTGCCTCGTACTAAAACATCAAAGTGCACTGTACGCTGCCTACGACGACGACGCCGGCGACCACAGCCTCAATTTCGGTAATGGTATCCAATTTTCACAGAGGAAAATATTTTGTTGTTGTATTTTTAGACCTAGCTCTCATTTGTATGTTGCTCCTATATAACTCAAATGATTATTAAAAAGTATGAGCCCTTTTAACTACGGACTACGGTTTAGAGGTGTGTTCTTGATATTTTCCAGCTATTTAACGAACTTTACTGGCAACTCCTTTTCTCTCTACTGCAAAGATGTCTATCCCCTTCCTTCAAAATATATAATTTTCTTGCTTTCTCTAATTTTTAGTTGCTGGGTTGTTATTATTATTTTAATTTTGGTTTTCATAGTCATGGTTAATAAATGTTGCACTTCTTGAACGTTGTCTAGTTTACTTATTAACATTCATAAGGTATTCATAGTTTACTTATTATGTAAGACCGCCTGGCACTATCTATACATATTTGTAAAATTTAATTATGTACTACTATGTTTTATGTAACAAACTGAAAAAACCATTATCGAATATGTTAAGTTTCAAAAATGGAAAATTAATTGAAAAAAAAATCGATTTGGGCAGGACTTGAACCGGCATCGTCAGCGGCATCGTCAGCGGCAGCGTTCCGTGCTATTGCTTAGAGCAATTTAATTTCAATTATTTAGTGCCAACATGTGAAAAATATAAAAGTTTTCAAATGTCAAGTTTTTCTTACACCATTTAATTTTTATATATTCATTGTACATTATACTGTCACTGTCATGAAACTCATGCCTAAAGTGAGGTCACAGCCTCGTTTACTGCATCCTCCGACCTCTCATTTATTGCATTCACCGCCGCGACAAAACGCAGTGAAACACTTGCTTTTTAGAATCTTAGCCGAGTGCGGACAGAGAGAAAGATTTTATGCATCTAATTTTTCGTGGCAATTATATTTCTGAGCTGCTAGAGAAAATAGTGCAGTTAAAATTCTTGCCCAGTCCACGATACACATTGGAATGATGAAGTACTATTCGCAACACCAAGCGACACTTATTACCTATACCGCTACACTAGAAAACGCAAAGATGAGACGAACATTACGCGTAAGAATACGTCGCATTTTAATAAAACTCCTTTGAATGTTAGTAAACATATTAGCCGAAAAGTCGTACGCAAAAATAAGTTAACCTATTTTTTATATTACATATACATTATGTTGCAGTTAAAATGAAGTTACCTAATGAATTTTGCGGTTTGTCTCTCAGATATGAACCACTCGCGCAAACGACAAACACTACTAAGACATCAATATTAATATGTACGACAGTAACGTACCGCGTGTAGAAATATTATTTATAAGTTGCTTTTTTCCCTCGGTTACAAAAGCGAAAGTGAATTAGTTTAATTATCAACGGTTTTCCAGATAATCGTGACGCATTGTTCGCGAACGGATAGCGGCTTTCAAAAGCCCCATTTTATTTTCCCTGTTCTGCTACTCCAGTTTGAGACTGGGGCTCACTGCAAATAAAGGATGAAATGGAGTTTTTAACTGGACTGGCGCCAGATTTAAATCGACACCTTTTTTACTACAAAATAAGCAAGATAATATATTATGTATTTCAAATTCTAAGCCGTTACGTGTTTTATTTACACTTAACGCTATTATTAGCCTCAAAACATGATCGTGTTATTATTGAATGGACGTTAATGTGTTTTAGATATAATTTCTTTATACTTTCCAGTCTAGCAAGTTGAAACGAGTGACGTCAAAGTTCTAAACCGTTAAAGGAACTTGTACGTACACAATATAATAATTGTCGCCGTAAATCGTGTACGGCGAAACTAATTGAACGCGAGGAAGACATCGTACGGAATGCGTAATCAACGTTTACTTTCGACTCTCATTAGCATAGCGTACACACGATCGGGCAATTCGTGGCGAAAACAATAATTCGCCAGACTATCGCGGAACACAGCGCGCTACTAAAAGGACAAGTGACATGAACAATAGCTTCCTGACCCAATTATGCAGGAAAAAGGCGCGTATCCGTCGGGAAGTATTTATATGGGATTAATATCACGCTGACCGAGGTCATTGCGCTTCTTTTCAAACACTTCGCAGAGGACAGAAAGCGTGGCGTTCACTCGATGGAAGGTGAAGCATTCCAGTTATATAACATCTAAACGTGATGAACTGTCGCCCTATTTGAATTTGAATATTCGGAAATATGGGTTTGAAATTCAGATTAACACTTCGCGGTGTTTTCTTCACGTATGGACGATCTTTCGTCGCTTGAACAGAATAAAATTGAAATCCAAAATTTTGAACCCGCCCGCGGATCGAATCCACGACCCGTTGATTATTAGCATAACATTGCTACCATTAGACTAACGAACCCGTCCAAAAGTAAGACGAATTACCAATCGAACTCGGAAAAATACGCGTTAAAGGAGTTTTAACAGAGAGATACACGGGTGGATGCCATTTAAATGATATGTAACTTTACGCTTTCTTTGCCAACTTCCGGTTTATTTTTCTAATCAACATTGCTCTTAAAGAATTCAATCCGTAGGAATGTTGCACTCACACTCGCAGTCGTTCAGCAATTACCAACGAATCGTAGAATCTAAATTTAATTTGGTACATTGCTTTTAGAATAGTATTTCCTCGGTTCCAAATTGTTACATTATATTGACTGTTACGAATGCTTCTAAACCGGCGGCAGTTATTTAATAACATAACCGAAAGCTAGATGACGCAATGCAGCAAATTATGCAACGTGGGAGACATTATGGTGTCCGCGAAAGCATTAATTGAGAACACAGATCAGGAAGAGGTCACGTCTTAAACTTGGAGCCGTGTCTCATCATCGAATAGAATTTCTGGTCTAGGCACAGCAGTGTGTTTACCTACTTACCAGGTAAAATCGATCGGTGAAACTGACGTAGAATTTTGTCAGCCAAGTCGTGCATTGGTATTTCCCATGACTTCCTTTTCTCCACTAAAATGTATGCACGGGTTTCGCTACATTTTCAAATCGAATTCGAAGTACAGTGTTATGGTTCAGCCTGATGATGTCATACAATATCTCAAAAATGATGTCATATTGCTTGTGGAGTTGTTAATGTGTATCATTAATTAATTGAAATATTATTTAAAGAACTGCATTATTTCCATCTTGTATGAAATTTCCTATAAGTTCACATACTGTCAATATTCTCATATGCCGTTTAATGTGGCAAATCGAAATGATTACTACATTTAATGCAATTGTATCTTATTGTTTAAGCACAACGCAAATGCTAAGTGTCAAGGCAACAACGAGTACTTGTGTTCTAGCGTAGTAGCATACTGAATTTGACATTTAGGACAAAATTGTACACTATCGCTCCTTATCCTTATTAATAGTATGTTTCATTATCTACATCGCCTATATATGGGTTTGAACCAAAACTTGTTATAAAGCCCCAGCCTATTAAAAGAGAGACTCGTTATTAAAGAGAAATCAGCGCGAATCATTAAGGTAATTCTAAAATTAGGTAATTTTTTGGAAGCGGAAGTAAACAGCGTTACGAATCAATGAATAATTTAAATTGAAATATGTTGTATCAATATTAATAAGGCAACGTGAATTGAGAAATATTTTACGGCTAAGAAACTCAAGATTATGTCACTAAAATCTGGTACATCATCAACATCAGTTTTGTTACACGGAGTTAAGAGACTAAAAAAAAGGATCCATAAAACTTAATATATAAACCCGAATTAGAACATTACTTTTATAAAAAGTTTATCATGTGTCAAATCATTATCACATGTGATTAACATGTATCACTGATTACTTCAAATATATTAAAAGTGATTTGAAATTCCTACGTATACCTACCAAAATTCTTAAAGTAGGATTCAACGTTTCCGTCTCAAACAAACCATAGTACCATACTAGTAAAAAAAACTGTAGATTATCATTCCACAACCAGATTCATATATATAAACTTTAATATTAATTTACTAAACCGCATGAATAAAACATATATATTACTTATGTATAAGAGTAAACAAAGCAGCCAAACATGTATTGCTTTGTTTATGAAATCTATGGGCACAACTGAGAGGAGACTTAGTATTATTTGACCTACTGATACTGATACTGATACTGACCATTATTAGACTACTTTAAAACTTATTACACAGCAATATAAACTTATTTTACACTGACTTGAAATCCTACCTGGCAGCAAGTTGCATGTCTTACGTGAATTATTTTCTTTTAAATTTTTGTTTTTTTTTTTGTTTGTGGCAAGAAGATATAACTATTTGCCAGTGTCAAGTTAAAGGCTGTGTTTAAAGGTAGGGAAACTTTAAACGATGAAAAAGGATATGAAGGCTTATATTATATCGTGATCAGGAGAGTTAGGCAAAATTAATATATTAATGTAATTTAATGATATGATATAATTAATGTAATGATAAACTACAAAGGTAAAATAAAAATATATAAATACTACAGTTTTACGTTATTTCAAAATATAAAATAAGAAATGATCTTAAAATGTCTTTTAGGATACATACATAGACAGGACATATGAGTAGGAAGAGGAATATAAATTTTAGTTTGTTTGCAAACACTGAGAAGCTTCATATAATTTTTTTGTTTTTGACAATAATTTTATTACTCTGAATATATAAAATGCATTGACATGCATATATACAATACTTACTTCAACATTTTACTGCAGGACAACTATAGGAATTGCATGAGTATATGTAAGGGGTCTAAGTATAATATACTAATAATAATAAATATTATGATATACCTAAATTGTTTACAATATGATACTCATATTGAAAGCTATTCATTAACCTTATGCTTGGACAATAATTTAATTATTGATAATTACCTCATTAAACAAATAAGAAGCTGTCCTAATTTTACCCGACGAATTTATAACTTACAATAATAGTTCTATTACATGTATAACGTCAGAATTTATAGTGCTATTTTGATTAGCTTTTACATTTTTGGGCAGCTTTTGAAGGTCAATTTGATAAACAAAGGTTGTTTTCTTCTTGAAATATCAATTTCAGTAAGAAATAATAGTTCCATCTTACAGAATTATTTAATAGAGCATAGTTAGATTGTGACTCCAAGTTCAGCAGCAGTCGGTCATAATTGAATCTTACAGTCAAGCTGGTAATGATACTAATATAGTCCTGACCACTACGCCCATTTCTAAACATACGCAAAAGTGTACGGCAAATCGAGGTTCTGACTATTTTGATGTGTATTTATTATGCGGATACCAATGTACAATTAGAAAAAAAAATCCTCTTCAACTAATATAAGCTAAACATGAAAGTAAGAAGTCAAATACAGGAAAATATTGATGGAAGGCGTACTCACCAGTTCACCGACGCAAGTCATCAATTACACATTATTGACACATAACTATTGCTTATAATAAAGTTACTAAGGAAAACACGATTTTTTATAAGCTTGATGAAACTCAATACGTTAGCATATATCTTTATACAGAGAAATCAAAAACGTTGACCACCGCTACAACCGTGCCACAAAACGAAAATGGCAGCCAATGGCAGCGCTAATCAGGGTTACCATTTGACAATTGCCATAAAAGTTTTTATTATAGATAATATTTAAATATCGTTGATACTATCTATTCTTTTTTTTTCAATCTAAATGTATAAAAAAAATCAGGGGTGTATGTAATGTATTATATTATTATGCTATTTAGTAACAGGCCTTCAAACTTCGAAAAAGGCTAAAATATAGTTTAAGTCTTAGTTTAGTTCTAGTCTTGTTTCAGTTGTATTTATATGTTTATTCAATACTAAAATAACCTATTTGTTTTCACAATCAATTATTTATTGGAAAATTGACTGAAAATATTGTTTAAAATTGTTTTTCGGCCAGGGCTTCCACTCCTTTGTTGCAAAATGGGTTTCAAACCAATAAATCCAAAACTACTTGGTTTTCCAATTTAATTCTCAAACAATAAGTTTTATGTTACAGAAATATTTGTTTTATGATGCAAACGCCCGCAAGCTTAAGATTTACAGACTAAATTATACTGCTACATCTGTGGTGTGACCCTGTATGTTAATATTCTTTATTTGACATATAAATTACTGTTCCTTGTAATGTGGTTGTATTCGACATTTTCGTTTCGTTTCTCCTTATAACAACCCGCGAAATTCGATTATATCGGATAAAATTGTATCATAAAATCAAGTGAAGATGTCGGACATAATTACTGTTGTGGCTCCAGTGAATATTGCTGTTATTAAGTACTGGGGCAAACGTGATGCAAAACTTAATATACCGTTAAATGATTCCGTTAGTGGCACTTTGGATGCTAAAGTTATGTGCGCTAAAACTTCTGTTTGTGTTCGACCCGATTTTGAAGAAGATAGATTGTGGTTGAACGGTGAAAATGTTTCTATTTATAAGGAAAACTTCCAAAAGTGTTTAAATAAAATAAGAATTCTCGCAAAAGAACAAAAGAGTCGCGATGAAAAGTTTTTAACATGGAAAGTTCATATTTGTTCAGAGAATAATTTTCCAACTGCAGCTGGTCTAGCATCTTCGGCCGCAGGATTTGCATGCTTGGTAACTGCATTATCTAAACTTTATGGGGTCCAAACGGATGTTAGTGCCCTAGCGCGCTTAGGCTCGGGTAGTGCTTGTAGAAGTGTATATGGTGGTTTTGTTCGATGGCATGCTGGTAGCAATCCAGATGGCAGTGACTCTATCGCGAAACAAGTTGTGGACTCGTCATACTGGCCGGAAATGAAAGTATTAATCTTAGTGGTTGCAGACAATAAAAAGAGTACAAGTTCTACCAAGGGCATGATAATTACTGCTAAAACATCTGAATTGATAGATCACCGTTGTAGAGTGACTGTTCCATCGAGAGTAGAAAAAATGTGTGAAGCAATAAAAAGGAAAGATTTCCCAACATTTGCAGAATTGACTATGAAAGACAGTAATGAGTTCCATGCAGTTTGTCTTTCGTCATATCCTCCATGTGTGTATCTAACTGATGTATCCAATAAAATTATAGAGATTATTCATCGATATAATGAAATGAGAGGTTCACCTAAAGTCGCTTATACTTTTGATGCTGGGCCAAATGCTTGTTTATATCTACTTGAAGAAGAAGTACCTAAGGTGATTTCATTAATAAAATATTTCTTCCCATCATCTAGCGAGACCTTCATTAAAGGATTACCGTGTCCCGATTTAAAGGAAGAATTTACAAATGAGTTGCAAATATCACCAATGGGAAAAGATCTTATAAAATATGTTATTTATACTCAGGTGGGCGATGGTCCTTTCGAGTTAAATGATAAAAATCATCTTCTAAATGAGAATGGTTATCCTAAAACACTTGTATAAGGATTTGTGATTATAAAAATGAAATATATTATTTTATACTATGAATTAATTTAATGGGAAGTAATTGTGCTCTAATATGGTGACTGTAATATTTAAGTTTAATTATGTTAATTTTTTAATCTTTGTAATGATTATCCGAGTTATTTTAATTAATAAAAAAAAATATGAAATCAGTATTTCTAGCATATTCTCTAGAAATCCATTATTATAAATTATAATTAGTATAGGTAGATATTAACAATAGTATTTCCTTATATCCTTGTTGTCTTGTTGCAATCTATTACACTGTTTTGTATCAGTTGTTATAAATGCAATGTTATATTCCTTAGCATTTTATTTAATATTTTTAGCTAAAAAGGAAAAAATTAATTTACTTCACATTAAGATCCCAATACCTTTTTGTATTTAGGTAATAAATCATTTAAAACTAAATTAATTTTGAATGTTTTGGTTTGCTTGTAAAAAACAAGAAGTTGATAAGCCAGAACCTAGGTAGATACATATTGTTAATAAAGTTAATTTGATAGTAGGCACCAATTCAGATATTTTCTTAATACTGTTCCTTGGTAATTACTTTAATTTTAACACTAAATTGTAAAGGACTAAACACAAGCTTCAATGAATTACTAAAAACATGAAGATCTATTCTCCAACCATGAAACTTGGTTTGCCACTTGAGAGCCTCCCTCTTAAAAGTGGAGTTTAAAAATAGGTTCCTATTTGTATTGGATAAGATCAAAAAATAAAATCCATTTTAAACATTTATTATAATAACAATGCTATACAAAACTTCAAATGAATGTTATCTTACATCTAAACTTAAGTCAAGGAGATCATATAGTACTCAATAAAAACGAAAATGTAATGGTAATTTCATTTATTTTTATGCAAATATATTAAAAGGACAAAAATAAATGAAACCAATTTCTTATACAGTTTATCTTGCAGAGACTGAAACCTGCCAGACTCTAATGATGTTGTCAGTGTAACCAGCAAATAGAGTTTGTCCATCAGTCGACCAGGCAAGAGAGAGGCACTGGGGTGGATCAGACTTGGGGCTTGTACGGTTTTCGTTGATAATGTCAGGTTTGAGTTCTTCCACCATCTCCTTGCTTTCCAAGTCCTGATAGAAAAAAAAATTGTTAAATATACTTGAAACGTTTATATTGTGTGCTATCTAATTTATTTATTAAGGATAATCTTAGAAGTGATTTTTAGGTTTTAATTTAAGTATTTAAGTACTACAAGGTGCTATTTAGAGAATTATACAAATTCACAATTTCACATAAAGTATTATGTAAATTCTGTTAATTAAGTTTTAACGTTTAAAACTTTATTTATGTGTGTCTGTATGTATTGTTATCTATGTAAAATAACTGTTAAATTAAGTATTTACCCAGATTTTAATAGATGGTCCAAATGCAGCACAGAGCCAATATCTGTTGGGTGAGAAGCACAGAGCTGTGATGATGTCATTGTGGTCCAATGTATGAAGGTGTTTGCCATCATTAAGGTCCCACAGCATCGCCTTCATATCCTTGCCACCAGAAGCACATAGTGATCCATCAGGAGATACTGTCACGGTATTGAGGTATCCAGAATGCCCAAGGTGGTTAATCTTCAACTTGCAGTTGGTCAGGTGCCATACCTTCAAATATTAAATTTTTACAAAAAAGTTCCAATATAAGAATAAGGAAACAGTACTGAATGTTAACACGTACCTTAACAGTACGATCCCAACCAGCTGATACAATAATTGGATTGGCATGATTTGGTGAAAATCTAACACAAGATACCCAATCACTGTGTCCATCATCCTGAATGGTATATTTGCATTCAGCTAAAGTGTTCCACAGCTTAATTGTTTTGTCCCGAGATCCAGAGACAATCTGACGGTTGTCTACAGAAAATGCGACGGAGAGAACATCCTAAATATAAAAAAAATATTTAAACACATGCTTAAAAATGGTTTTATTTATATATAGTTTGAGCTAATATTCTAATTACTTACAATCATGGACTCTCATGATAGCTAATCACAGGTATAGGTTTGCCAATAGTGGCATGATACACTACCTCTTCTGCCTCGCAAAGGCTCAAAACACTTGTCTTCTGCCGCGCATCGGCACTTAACCTAACAAATTAAGTTCTTTCACACCTTAGTATGGTCTTCAAAACGCCTAGTAGTTTTTCCCGCAGCGAGATCCCATAAACGCAGGGTTTTGTCCCAAGATCCAGAAAGTGCGTAGTTACCATCACTTGATAAAACTACATCCGAAATGAAGTGAGAGTGACCGTAGAGACGCTTCTGCGGCAATCCGTAGTTAGTTTCGTCTCTAGTGAGCTTCCATACAATTAAGGTTTTGTCTGAAAACAGAATACAGAATACATATCTATTCAATTACCATAAATGATAAAACACGTGGAATAAACATCAGCCCCATATCCGCTTGCCGCTCAGGTATCGCGTGGCAAAGGATTTATCATCATCAAATTAAAAATACATACAGATACAACATGAAAAATTAACTTAATTGCTATATTTATTGTGAAGATACCATAAACTTTACCCCAAAGAAGAGATTCAAAGGGATTAAAGATAATTAGATACAGTATCAATGTTTTACTCACCACGAGAAGAAGATAGAATCATATCCGGGTATTTAGGATTCGTTGCAATTTGTGTAACCCATCCATTGTGGCCACATAAAGTGCCTCGTAGTTTTAATGTTTCAGTCATTTTCCTTAGTAGTAGTGAACTACACCAACAGCAACCGACTCCCTTGCCGACCGAAACTAAAAAGAAACAGGAAACAGGAAAGAGGATTGTAGTTGATTCAAAACGTCAATGTCAAGAAAATGTCAAAACTTTAACATCGACATGATAGCTATTGTTTGTTATTAAATAAAGGTTTTTTTTTAATGTGACTCTTTATAGTAATCAAATTATCGAGTAAAATATTTCAGTAATTAGAAAAAAAGCAGTAATTTGAAAAGGACCCTCTAAAATATTTGCTAGTTTCAAATTCACGAACGCAGCCGTAGCAAGCGTCATAAGTAGTACTATCAATATCCGCTTGGAGGCGGCTGGCTCTTTTCGAACATATTTGACGTCACGCAAGTAGTATCTACGCCATTTTGTAAGTGTCTCATAAAATCAGTATTTCTAGACAAAGTGTTAAATATAAAATTCGCATGGTTTTGTGTATATTAAATAGATAAAATACCTTAAATTCAAGTTAACGTCTTGGACGTTAATATCTCAGGATTGAAATATGGAAGATAAGGCGTCGTTAAAGGAACTCGATCAATGGATAGAACAACTAAATGAATGCAAGCAATTGACAGAAAACCAAGTGAAAACGTTATGCGATAAGGTAATTTTTTTCCGAATCATGTTATTTGCGATAAGACCTATGTTTATAATGTCTTCCTGAATTTGTAGTTCTCGTTACTTTAGTTGAATTTGGGTAGTTTTGCAGAGTGATTCATGTACTTACATGGATTAGGTTCAACAACGCTATAATCTATTGGCCTGATGTCTGATAGTATTTTGTCAAGATGAGGAATAATAAGTTTTGTGTTACTGTTTTTCAAGCAGTACTATTTACATATGGGGATTATTATTTGTCGATTTTGTCCTATATACACCACACCCAGAATAGTTTACATTTCAGTTGATATAAGTCAAATTGAAGAAAGTATTTTTAGACTAGGCACGGAAATGATGCTAACAATTAATATTGTATTGCTTCTGAGCAGTTTTTACAATTTTTTCACTATTATAGAAAAGTTGTTGGTCTCAGTAAAAACTGTACCTTCTTAAAAAAAAACTCTAATTAAATGACTCATACTCCATATTAAAAATGTTACTTACTTAATGTTTTCATATTCTGTATTTTTTTTTTCCTAGGAGATTTATTTAAATAGAAAGTATTTTTTTGCCAACAATCAGATGTGTGTGATTAATCAACAGCATTCTAATTTTCGATATATTTAAATCAACAATTTTAAGAAAAAATATTTTCTATTGTAATTAATAATTCAAACTAATTAAAATTGATTCCCTGTTATGCTAACTTCCAATTGCTTATGTATAGTTTTTGCTTGTTGGGTCAAAGTATATCAGGTATGAAATGAAGAAAATTCATTGTTATGATTATACCGGGTTATTTTTTCATTAATATTCTTGTTATTTACACTATAACAGACATTGGTATGTAATCTTTAATTGTTCAAAACTGGTACCTATATAACACTCACTCCAAGGTCATTTCACTTATTATGGGTCATTGACTTTATTGATACTAATGTATTACTGATGTATAAAAATGTTCTATTTAAGTTATATATAGTTTATCAAATGTAGGTGAAATGGGGAGCTGCTTTGTGTGCTTTTATGCCTTTATTCTACCTTGTTATTGCAAGCAATTAGGATGAAGTTAAGATATCAAATTAAAATATAATGGAATTGTGAACATAAATAAAAAAATAATAATTTGTCTGTAAAACATAAAGACTTGTCTGTTCTATCTTGCAGTACTTTGTAACACCTAATATATTAGAATCAAAATTAAAGTAAATAGTATGATCTATCATGTGAGTTTTGGAAAAATATGTTTATTTGAAGGTTTTACATGGTAGTAACATGTGAGTGATAATATGATTGAGTAATAGTCTACCCTATAAAAGATGCTAAGTAGGATTATTATGTATTGTGTTTTATGTAACACAACAACTTTGTAAAACGTAATTATAATGTGGTTGACATTGTTATAACATGTGAATTACTGAATATATGACCTTTTGGATTTACAAAATGGTTCTAAAATTTAAGCAATATCAATAATAAGTTTTCAAATATTGGTACTTTATCACTAACTGGCTACCCTATGATGCCCACACCTAGCTTGCAATTTTCATACTTAAATAATATTGAATTTGCACAGTAGCAACAGGAAATATAGGATTTCCTGTCTGTTGTAGGGTCTTGCATAATTTGCTTAGTATTGATTCTTCGCATAACACAATATTAATCTTGTAATAGTAAAGTAAAACAGTTCAAAGTGCTTTTCTTTGCTCAATGAGACAACTAGTACACAAGTACTCGCTACAAACGGCTTTAGTGTGATCAATATCAAAGAAGTACAATAGCAATAGCAAATGATAATATGAAATAATAAAGAATGCAGTTTAAGTAGGTTTATTAACCTGGTTACGACAAGTAATTGTTGGCTATTTTTAAACCTTACATATCAAGGTTTTGTAGGTATAGACTTTTTTTAAAATATGGATGTCAATTGTCACTGAGGAAGCTCTTTATGCTCAACAGGAAATCGTACGTATCAGCTCTTCATTTGTCCTAAACAAAGGGCCTCTAAAAACCTTCTTTCAAACACCATTTTAACCGCAAAGAACTCGACCTTACGCTATATTTTACATTGCAATTTCGGACTATTATTTGTTCGGTTGCGAGGCGCGTTCTAAAAACGCATCTCAAGCGCTCTCAGTAACAATACGCGGTCCTATTTCAAAGTGAGTTTTCACAGCGGTGAAAAATCTCAGGAAACTAGAACACACTTGGTAGGCCGTTGCATAGTTTCGTCGAGCTGAGATTACAAAGACATCGACAAGATGAGAGACAAGACACGTCGCTCCAATCAATGATGTCGATCTTGCTGCAAAGAGTTGCGGTCAATAGAATGTCTATAACAACGCCGCCCACATTGACACCGTCTCGTCCATGGGCAGATAATCCTACTCGAGGATAACTGCTTCTATTCTAAAGCTGTCAGAAGATTTCTATTTGAACCATTTTCTCCTAAAAACGCTTTATGTATTAGAACTAAAGATATGGTAGAATAGGTATATTATTTGAACACTATTCTTCGTAAATGAACGTGACGTGTAATGTTTTAGGTGATTGAAAATAATTGTCTGATTGATGTTCATACACATTTTATTATTTGCATTGTTAATACATAACTGGAAGCCGTCTTTTACACTAATTGACCCCGACTGGCTTTGCAGCCTAACTATGAACAGAACATGCAGCTATTACTAAAAAATATTCAGATTGTTGATGAAGAGAGGTACATTCACATTTTAAGTAAACCTTCTATAGTAAAAGTCAATATTCTGTTAAAGAAACGTGAAAGACCCTGAATGCCAAAACATTACTGTTGTGCAAAGTTTATGTACATAAAAGATGTAATAGTGTTGTAATTTGAAGAAATATAGTGCTAAGAAGTAATTAACGTTTATTTCGACCTTGAACAAATTGCGTTTAATATATAAAAGAAAGCCTCCTAGTCTATCATACCCTTTTATGTTTCTATACCATTGTAAAATGTACCTACATGTTGGGTATATGGACGAGTTTAATCCAGCAAGAAGAATTCGTAAATGACTGATAAATAATAACATATCGATAATTTATCCTTTCAGGCAAAAGAAATTCTAACGAAAGAGTCGAATGTCCAAGAAGTGAAATGTCCAGTGACCGTGTGTGGAGACGTCCATGGGCAGTTCCACGACCTCATGGAGCTGTTCCGCATCGGTGGCCGATCTCCCGACACCAACTACCTGTTCATGGGTGACTACGTTGACCGCGGTTACTATAGTGTGGAGACAGTAACATTGCTCGTTGCACTTAAGGTTAGTTTTATTTGGAGCCTAAAACATAACCCACACCTTATCGATCGTGTATGGATATTGAATTAGAGGGCACTACTCCTGGGCCCTGTTTTTTAACCTCTTAGGCGTAGAGATTGAAATAAGGAAAAGAAGGAAAAAGTACGTGGACAAACCTAAAACTGAAATGCTTTAGCTTTTATTTATATACCAGGATTCACATGTTATTTACGTAATTGACGCCATTTATTTTGCTCAACAATCGCTCGTTAAATATCCTTTGTAAGATACCACACCACCAGAATGAAAGTAATTTTTCAAGTTATCTCATATTTGCTAGCCTGAAATTGTCAACGTTAAAAATGGGACGGAAATGTTATTTAGGACGCTGCAAATTAATAACTGGTCTCGACGGGATATTCTGAGTTTCATAAAAAACACTAAGGATTTCACGGAGTGTTTAGAAATGAATATTTGTAATCCTAACTAGTTTGCGAAATACCGGTCATCTCTCAAACTGTCGGCGTGCTATTATTTTGTATTAAAATATTCAGTGATTGTTGAAATATACACACCGTATAATTACGGAAATAGATCAAGTCCCTATCCACTTTGCAGGCAACAGCCAAAGTAAAAAAACTGAATTTTCATATAAGGGCTTGTCGGTTCAATTCTGGAAATTCAAAATAATATAAATAGAATAGTTGATATTTTATGGTATAATAATATAGAAATTGCGTCCGGCCCAAAAGCAGATTCCGTGAGGTATTTAGGCTCGGTACTGGGGCTTTAGAGCGAGTCTAGTGATTGGAAGCAGCGAGATGAGAATCAAGGAGGAGACGCCATGTGCACCTCCAAGATCCTTCCTAATTCCAAGTTGTCTGAAATGGGCGTACAAACTAGTTCCCAGGGCTCCCTTGAAGGGCCAGTGGTGTGTTTAGTGGTTCTGATAGACTGTCGCCTCGCAAGAGGGTGCGGCACGATTCACCACACTCCCCACGTCACTATTGCCGACGTGGGCGTGTATAATGCTTGCACACCATCCGTAAAAAAGGGAACCTCTTAGTCTTATGGCGTGTAGTGCGTAATCTACGTGACCGTACGTGACGCGACACCAAAATATCACGTCATATTGGAAGTCGCATCAGAAAAGACATGCACTAGTTATTTCGTTGTCGCGAAATCCTAGTCAACTAAAACGATATGACTTTCACACATTAGGACCACGCTCGTTTCGATAAGTTTGCCTGTGTTTATTAATGCTCGTGTTATCTAAAGAATATTATCAGTCGGTTTGCTTTCACCAAACATTGCTCACAGCTATTTTAAATTAACCATCCATTACATATTAAAACGCTGTTTTCGACCTAATTAATGGCGAAATGACGATTTGGCATAAATCATTTCCGAAACATTGGATGGAAGTTGCAATAAAGGGGAACCAAATATACTTAGGGTATAAAACCGTTAAAAGTGTTTTATTTAGACGCGTTAATTGTTTTAAATATATTAATTATCAAGGCGCGGAGCTCCCTAACTTGCTAGATAATGCGACAAATCAATAATAATGTAAACTCTGATATACTTAAGTAGGTCAGAACTGCAGACGGCTGACCTCAAAATCACAACGTGACCTACAAATGAATGGACCATAATATCGATTCGAATATTAATTATGGGCTAGGCCATTTTTTGGGTGAAAATTAACGGTTACAATTAATGAAACGGGGAACACCGCGAGGCGCTTCTTCTGTAGCCTACGATAAGCCACCACGACTAGTTTGCGAATATAAAAATAACGCTCTTATTGTAGAGACTAGCAACTTAAAAGCGTAGCGGATATTCCTCTAGCGTTTATTATAGCTACACAGGCACAGTTTACACCGTTCTAGATTCTATTTATAGAAGACTTTCATTCATAAATCATCGCCTTTGTATCATTCATCATATACGCGCGAATCTACTTTTCAATGAAACGTAGTCCTTAATGAAATTATTTTTTCTGTGTTTGTGTCAAATACCCAGTTATGTAGACCCCGGGCATGACACGAACTCATTTATTTTGTCCGTTTCACTGTTAGATTTTGTTTACAGGTAAGTAATTGATTAAACTTAAATGTCACGCCCTAGTTCAAATCCCACGTGCCCAAAAATGCCATTGCATCATCTTGGGCTCGAAACCTGAGCACAAACAATAGATTGTTGCTGTCGCGAAGGGTTTAGAAGTCTGATCAACTATTTGCTTGTAAAAGAACTGAACAGTGAAAATATGTTCGCTCCTTGCCCTAGGGAAAAAACGGGATTTTACAAAAGGATTTACTATGCTCACAGGTTAGATACCGTGAGAGAATAACGATCCTCCGAGGTAACCACGAGTCCCGCCAGATCACACAAGTGTACGGGTTCTACGACGAATGCCTCCGCAAATACGGCAACGCGTCCGTCTGGAAGCACTTCACGGATCTATTCGACTTCCTGCCGCTGACGGCCCTAGTGGACAGCCAGATATTCTGCCTGCACGGGGGGCTCAGCCCGTCTATAGACACCTTGGACCACATTCGCGCGCTCGACCGCGTGCAGGAGGTGCCCCACGAAGGACCCATGTGCGATCTCCTCTGGAGTGACCCTGATGATAGGTGAGACTTTTATTTTCACTCGACCTTTCCATATTATATCGATATCGTCTGAAGATGATGCTCAAATTCTTTACTCTAGGCGATCTTACAATTAAACATAAAAAAGCGAAACATCACGATAGCTATATATATTATTGTCTTTTAGTGATCCATCCCGAACTGGGATCTTTTCGAACGATCGAAATTAAATTTGCTAACTTAACACGTAGCAAATTTAATTTTACGATTATTATAAGTGAGCAACTATGTTCAAAATTATTTACGAGCACTTCTATCAGCGAATGCCTAGAAGATGCGCTCGACCGGAAATAACAGTCTCATAGCGGTTATTTATCACTTCATCCTTCAGTATTTATTATGGGAGAGCGCTTTTATATTTAAAGCTTTTGAGATTAGGCCCTCTAATGCCCCTTTTTAAATCCGTGCCAATCCACATTAACGGAAAGGTTACAGTTATTAATAACTCATTTTACTGAATTGTTATTTTTCTCTCATCACATCTCTCCAATACAATGAATCGAAATTTCTTTACATTATAGAGTCGAATCCCTACGTGGGGCAGACACAACTGTATGCCTCACTTTGATACTACTATCTAGTCAGACCCTCCCCAAATCTGACAAATACTTTTTAAATACCTTCTAGGAGTAAGTTTTCACTTTGAATGTGATTTATTTATCCTTGCTTCCTTAAAGTGCGGTTATCGTCTCTTAGGTAGTAGTTAGTTACACATAGCTGTTTGGTTGCGTTTCTCTAAACAGAAATAATGCGCTATAAACTGCTCTGTCTATTTTGCGGTGTTACGTAACATTTAGAACGGTATTACGTGTTGTGTATTGATTTGTCGGAAAGTTGATTTGAAAATAACAATCGGACTGGCGAAGGCGGTGTTTCATTAGAGCGATCACCTTGAAAGAAGGAAAATTGTTTAAAATGAAACAATAAACATACTAAGTCTGTAGCAATTAATTCTCGTAGTCCGTTTTCCTAATAGAGAAAAAAAACCACGCTTAAGGAAAATATCAAAGCTATTAAAATGAAGTTTGACATAAATATACATGTGCGTAAATTGCAGAGGCGGATGGGGTATATCGCCGCGAGGCGCCGGCTACACCTTCGGCCAGGATATCTCGGAGACCTTCAACCACAGCAATGGGCTGACGTTAGTATCGCGCGCTCACCAACTCGTCATGGAGGGCTACAATTGGTGCCACGACCGCAACGTGGTCACCATCTTCTCAGCGCCCAACTACTGCTACAGGTATTTTTTTCATTCGCACCTAATTTGCCTACGATGAAGCCAATTTATCGAGTTCAAAATTCATCCCTCATATTTATTTGCAGATGCGGCAACCAAGCCGCTATTATGGAATTGGATGATGCGCTTAAGTACTCGTTGTAAGTATTCTAATCTCGTAATTGCTAGATTTGCAATCCTTGTAACGGAGCTCTATTTAATTATTCTAATTTATAACCGAGATACACGTGTGCACGAGCGTTCCACGTCAAGGTGACTAGATTGCCAACAAGCAGCCAGCGATTTTTCAATAGTGGCAAATTTATTGGTATCCTCAGTTAAATAAGAGAATTTACCTATTAATGCTTCCTCAAGTCATGTGTGACTATATACTAGCTCTGCCCGAGACTTCATCTCTGTGTTAAAGTGACTTTCGACTGGCGTTGCGTGCACGCAATTATTCAAATTGATTTTTATGAATCTATTGACCATACTGTTTTTCTATGTAAATCTTTTCATGTAACCCAAACTCAGATTTGTATATGTACAGACAAACAAATTATATAACCACATTTCACAGCGACTAGTTTTTCGCTGAAGTTTTTAGTAACGTCACATATAAAAACGTGTTCGAAGGGAATTAACACTATCCTATTTCCAACTCCTGAGGTCCAGCTATTCTTAAGTTATATGTGTAACAAGACTAAATATATTCACCGATATTACAGACAGGGATCCAATTTATTATTTTGGTAAAGGACTAAAATCTTTATGTCTAAGCGGAATGATTAGATGCGCAAAGTGATGACAGATATTTGTAGTATCACTCGATACAAAACAAAACAAATAAGGACGGTTCGCCGTTCATACTGTGGATACCTAAAGTTTATGACCGCTTTACGACTATCATAATGGCGGAGAAATAGTTAGGAGGGTAGTTTGTTAACAAGTTCGTCTTTGCAGCCTGCAGTTTGACCCGGCTCCGAGACGCGGCGAACCGCACGTCACGAGGCGGACGCCGGATTACTTCATGTAGGCTACTAGTGAGTATGACCATTAATATATCACTATATTATCAATGTTTTTAATTCATATAAGTGTTTTTTTTTATACTAGATAAGGACAGACAAGCAATGGGATTCACTGGATGGCACAAAGAATACCTCTAGCCATATGACATCTAAACAAAATGCCCTGTCCGCCTATTTTAACTTTGGATTTGCAATGATTTTTCGTATTAACGTTTTGCGACGTAATCAGACATTCTTAATATTAATATGTTTTCAAATTTTTGCAGTGGGAAACATTGAATGCCATTTTCTATTTTAAAAATAATAGGGACCCTTTTCGGTTTACAGCGGAGCCGTATTCCCAGCAAAACTGGATCAAGATCGCCGCCCAGCTCCGCCACATACACCTGCGCGCGCGCATCCTTACCGTCATCCTAACGCCCCCGCGCCTTACGCCTCTATTTCGAGTACACCTGTGCTAAGTTTTCGGGTAAATACCCACATGTTTCAAACGTTCCAATATTTCCAACAAACACATTGTCTCGGATTTACCGAAATCTGCGCGGGAGATAGAATTTTCTACGCTTTTTTACATCCTTCATCGAATGTATAGTGGAATTATGCCAACATTATAATTTTTACGGCGGCTTAAATAAGCTAGTACATTGACATGATTAATTCGGTACGAGAACAAAGTGTATTTTGTGTTGTGTGGTTTGGTTTCCTTCTTTTTTTGGAGGCGGCACGTTTCAGTAAACCTTGACCATTGGACTTTTCCATAACTTATTCCAAATGTAAATCTTACTCTTACATAAAGGCTATCCATGTGTTCTTCGATTTGGACCGCTTAAACTTTTCTCAAATTTGAATCTAATTTAAAAGGCAGATACACACAGGTATCAGGACTAGATTCTTATTTGGACTGCGTTTTGGCCAGAATTAATTTAATGATCGTTCTAAAGAATTTGTGTAAAGTGTTCTTTGGAACGTTAGGCATATTGTACATTGGAACACAGGAATGACCTTTAAACGGTTGTCTGCTGTCACTCATGATTGTTAGCAATGATTACACAGTGTAAATGCTATAAAATGCAATGCATGTAATATAAAGATTTGTTATAAATGTTTTGTAGTACCAATAAATTTCACACGAGCGATAAAACTTTATGACTTAACGTAACGCTTTAGACACGTACGGCGTGTTCCACAAAATGGCGGCGGGGGCGTGAAATAATAATTTAATTACCAGTGCGTAGCTTAACTTGCCTTGCGTTACTATGCTGGTATGTTCATTAAATATTTTATACTCGGAAGGACGATGCGAGATATTATATGTATTATTTATGTATCAAATACAAGTTAGAACTCATTAAACAAAGTACATTTGATAAAATTGAGTTTTATTTATATCGATATGCCAAATGGACATACCACCATAACGAATCGGGTGGCACTGAATCACCGACGCGTTGCAATAACGAGTTTCGTAGTAATATATACTTTTTTAATTTTGTATAATTATGTATTGGTATCATCGCTTCGCTCGAGCACAATAAAATGACGTAAATACCTTTATAAAATAAGCATTTAATTTTCGTGACAAAATAGCTGATTTAAATGAAACGCTTTCAAACGTTTAAAACTCGAAATATAAGTACTTATTACTTAAGACTTATTTTTAACAAACGAAACATCTCTACTCCCCCCTCGAGACCACGGCCGTCGCAAAGCCTCCGAGACGACGGCTCGTAGTTAAATAATATATTTCGCTTTTTATGCCGTTAAAAGTGTTTAATTTAAATATGTAGTCGTAGTATGCGAGGCAAACAAAAATCAGCATCAGCTCATTTTGTCCACTAACCCCTAATGATTGCATTTTAAGTTTCGACAAATCAACTTGTGCTCTTGTGCCTCGGCACCTGTCTAACGTGGAGTCGTGTAACACAAGCGTGGAGCTTTAATAGGTTTTTTATTATATCCAATTTAATTTAGGCTAGTGTGTACATACCTAAAGATCCAGGCGTTATACGTAGGTTGTTGTAGGGAAATAAGTTTGAAATGTGTCCCCTCCTGCGTACTCGAGTGTTATGTATACTAAGACCGAGTGAGGGGGAGTTTTGGGGTGGATCTCGCGAATAGGCTCTCGTACGACTAGCAGACTTCGTCACACAGAGCTCCGACATCGGTTCGGGAGTTCCGTCAGTGCCATTTCCGAGCGACAGGTGAGCCCGTCGGCTCACGATTTGTGTTACATTTCCAAATAGCACTTCGATTGATTAAGAGCGTGTGTACTGAAAACAAAGACTTTCCCACCAATTGCATCGGGCGCCCCACGTCTCTTCGATCTAAGTATTAAGTTATGTAAGTTAGGTAAATTAAATAAAAAAAAGAACAAAAAAAGTGTCCGAGCCCCCTTTGCGTGAAATAGAAACCTTAAAATTGACGTCGCATTAAGTTCGCTTTCGCCTAGCATCGTTTCACGCGAGAGGAGCTCGGTTTTGTACGATAAGGCTTTCGAGGCAGACGCATAGGTAATAAATTGAGACAAAAGAATTACGCCGAGGACATTTGTATAGAGCGAGAGTATTGAAATTATACAGTGTTGGCAATAATTTTATGTCGAATTAAAACAACAATTTATTCTTACAACTGTATTATGCCCGTAAATAGGAATTAGATAATAAATAAAATTAATTATACACTCTTTCATTGTCGCATCCCGAACGTGAGCTAGACGATCTAGGGTACACACTAAAATGAAAGTCTAAGTAATAAATAAATTATATTATTTTAGGCTATTCATCATATTATATACTTACGAACTATTGAAGTATATTTAGTAATTTTTAAAATAAAAAAATATAATTTTAGTAGAACTACCCTATATACATTGGAATAAAAACAGCTTGTCACAATAGTTGGAAGGGAATATGAAACATATTCGAATACATATACAACCAAGATTACATACTTGAAATACTGATTTTCTTAACAAAATTAACCCATTTATAGTAAAACCCTTACCTGCCATTTTAAAACCTCTCACTTATATGTTTGTCTTCAGATTCTCAATTGCTTGTTTGTAATACACCCCAAAACTTAAGAGAATAAATAAAATTGGCACATTTACACTAATTTTCTTAATATTACAGCCCTGTACGTATATTTCTTCTCATAGACGCTCTAGAATTTCGGTGCTTATAGAATAACCATCTTAGAAATAGACTACTTTGTCATGAAAATCTTGTGCAGTGTATAGCTCCCTTCACAAGATGTATTGATCGGGACTTGATACCGCTCAGTAAACGTATCTTTCAACCGATGCCTTTTGTTGTTATTGTAAGATGTGTTTTATGAGACTTTCATGCCCGTGTCGAGATTGAGAAGCTGCTTCATCAGCTCGTAGGTGGAGAACGAGGTGGCTACCATCGGGATCGCGCGTATGTAGTTGACACTCATGCCGCGGTATAATCCTTTTACGATGCCATTTTCACTGTAGATATGCGCCAGCGTTTTGAACATGCCAATACTGTGAAGGATTAGGTTTCTATTTATGACAAAAATACAGCTAAGACTTTAAATAAATAACTAAAACCCTCTTCAGGATTTTAAGTGATAGACCCATTTATAAAATTAAAAAAAAACAACAAAAAAAAATAAGTGAAAAGCAATGATAATCGGTGTGTAAAACAAAAAATACGAACCTCCTGTTAGTGTTGCCAACCCCAGTGCAAGAAATATGCAAACAAATTGAGAAGTTATAGGATAAATATTATATGTAAATTCTAAGGCTAAAAAATAATGTGACAAAAAATTACCCGACACCAAATAATAATAAATGTTATCAGCTCTGTTGTTAAGTTTATTATATTTATATACATAACATATAGCTTAGTAATTTTAATATCTTAGGTACTGTGCTGTAGTTTCTAGAAATAATGTGCTTAGGAGAAGAATATTATTATGTTTGAAGTTTTACCCAAAATGTTTGGTTGCGGGGTCCATGGCCGCCAGCTGCATGCGTCGTCGGGTTACATCCAGGGGATAGGAAACGGACTGCGCCACCGCGCCCGCTAGACCGCCGCATAATAACTTACCCGGCACTGAGAGCACTAGACCACCTGGCAAATGTTTTAATTTAAGCTTTCTACGTGTAACAAGTTAAAAATCGATTATACATAAAAAATATTACGACACGGACGGGTCTTGAATCGCCTCCATAGCGCTCTGTGGTTAGAGCAACAGCATAGAACGTTACGGATACAGGTTCAAGTAAAATCGATTTGTTATCTACATAATGCAATGTGCAACAACATATGAAAAACTATTAAAGTTTTTAAATCACTTAAAAGGCTTTTGTCACTCTTTAAAAGATTAAAGGGTGACAAAAACGGAAGCATCTTTCTGTTTTGAACAGCAAGATAATGACAGTGCCTAATCTTACCTGTGTTCCTGTCGCACTTCCGGCATAGCGTGGTCGGTACGTACTTCATGCAGAGGTACTTGAGCGATTCAAAGCAGTAGAAGCTGAACCCAGCGTACGGTACCATGCCCACCAAGGTGGGGACGAAGCCGCGGTATAGCGCACGTATACCGCCCTCCTGCAATTCGAATATCATTATTAGCAATTCAATATTTTTTTTTTATTCAACAATTCTTTGTAATCTTTTTCAGAATTCTCATCGTTTATCAAATGTTGAACTTTACCCGAGACTTTGTTTCGTCGTAACTATTTAAATTGGACTTTATAACTTCCACAGTGTATATTTAACTTCGATTTGATGAAAAATCTGTCGCGTAATAAAGATATTTTATTCATATACATTTAAAAGTTTGACAAGACATACGAACTTATATCGCCAGGTTGACATCTCGACATTCTATCATGTACATCTTGTAACAACGTTAGCTATTATCTAGTAAATGTTTATCTCGTAGTCGGATTAGACAGTGTAACGCCATTACTCTTATCGTGCGAAGATTACCATAACAATATTTGTATCGCTTTTGTTAAAGCACGATATTTTTAAGAGTACCTATGTAACATAGAATAAAAATATACACTTATCAGACGTTTAACATCAATAGTTGAACGCTAAAATGAAATGAATACGCTTTTGTAGCTCAATGGATAAGGGCATGGCCTTAAGCACGAAAGTTTCTGGGCTCGAATCCCGGGAGAAATTTTAAAACATTTTGGTCGAACAGGGCGCAGAAGTGTGATCAACTACTTGCGTGTAAATAAAATCGATGGATCAGTAAAACGGACACACAAAATGTGTTCGCTTGATACGCCACAGGGGAAGCAAGATTCCATCACTAAGAATTACTTTTAACGACGCTTTTCAGCGGAGCATGCTTAGTGTTGTTGGCCAGGTCGGGTCGCCCATAAATCAAAATTCTACTCTTTGATCCACTTATCAGCCATACCGTTTTAAACATCGTGGAGGCGGCATGAGCGATTCCCGTATATCGGTGTTCCCCAGTGATTTGGAAGGCGAGGCGTGCTCGAATCGTATCCAGAGGGTAGGTGAGAGTCACTGACGTCACACCGGCCGCCGCTCCGGCGAGGAATTTATCGCCATGCTGGACCATAGGTATACTAAGCCCGCTTAAATACTGTAACAAACGATATAATATGTGTATTATTTTCGTTTTTAAACAACTCTTGAATGGTGTAAAACATTGTTGTATAAATATTCCACCTCACAGTGGTGTTTCACCAAATAAAAATGATCTAAATCTAAATATTTTATCAATGAAAAACAGACAAATTTTTTTTACCGTCGCTTTTTTACAAAACACCAGAAAATGTATATAGGAATTAAAAGTAGTCAGTCAGAGTAAGTGTCGCAGTAAACTATAAGATGTGCAAACGAGTAGATGTAGATGAGTGGTGACGTACTCATACAAAACTCCGGTATTGGAAATTTTAAATATCAAGCACCAGCATGCTGGAGTGATATACAGTCACAATCTAAATAGATTTATTTAATCCCATCGTGTGCAATAACACATATAAAAAAAAATTTAAAGCATTTCGACTATTTTCTATTGCAGATTCCAAATACGAGAGTACGAAAATCTTTAAATAAAACAAAGGCTGAGTACTAAAACCCGTCTGTGCCCTCGTTAACGATGTTACGGCGCACCTTAAGTTCATTAGGTATGTATAGAAGAAGTATGCTGTCCGCATGCCATATTCAGACGTGACTGAACTTTACCTGGTTCCTATCATAGACTTTTATTGTTTCATGTTTTAAGAACAAGTATAAAACTTGACATTGTTTGGTAGATAAACACAGATAGACTAGGTTAGCTACTTATTTACATGTAGTCATTGACAACACAGTATTTAGAGGTGACTAGTATTGACAAAATTATTTATAGTAACAGGAAAAAGGTGCTAAGGTACTCAACAAATAGGAACACTGTTGAAATGTCTGGATGAAAAAGGCAACACTAAAACATTTCTCATTTATACAATGTAAAGGAAAATAGTCTATTTTCTAAGAATACCTCAGATAAAAATTAAAATCATGAAAATAATAAATAATAATTACTCAAATAACTGTGCAATTAACAATTATTTTATGCAATAAAAGAATAATGAGAATAAAAATAAATTCCACGCAAGGGGAATTACATTTATTCAATGCTTTTGTTTTCCAAAGCAAAAAAATCCAAACAATTATAATATAACAGGTAAATGAAATAATTTCATTCAATTAAACTTTACAAGAGGCTATTAATTCTTGAAAAATTATCCTTATCAGTTTATTTATATGTTCACTTCAATGACTAAGAATAGGCAAATATTACCAAACAAAAGAATATATAATATTTAAGGATAAAATTCACATGAAAATATAGAATACCTTAAGAGTAAGAGATTTTTTAAAGCATACATTTATAAACAAGATGAATCAGTTATTTAATATATGTATTTGAAAATTTAGGTGTCTTCTGTTAATAAACAAGTCAACAAAGTACACTACAAACCTTTTTATAGATTTCAAAGCTGGTAAATTGTGTCGCTGCATAAGGGAATATTCTGACCATTTGTGCTCCATTGCCTTTATATAGTGCTAGAAAAGATTCCTGTTTCACTATAGCCATGAGGCCACCAAACACACCATGGTGCTTGTACTGAGCTGACTGAGCTTGTAAGAGAATCTTAATTCTGTCTAATGGGGCTACTGTTGTCTTGGCACACATACCAGCCACACCTACAAGGAAAATTTGACACAAATTATTAATCATATTCTTTATAAAAATTGTAAAATAATGAATTGATTAAATCTAAGTCCTTAGGGTTGTAATGATATATTTTAAATAAATAAAAACTACAAACCTCCCGCTAGTAAATTTCTTAATATAAAATCGAGATCACTTTTCGGCTCCATTTTTAATGCCATCTCCGTTACTTTGATTAATTTGACCCAAACACGAGAGAAATCGAAGAATTCAGCTATTTAGCATTCGGGGCCAATAAAATATTTCTCATTAGGTGTAAACCAATGACGAGGGACACTTTTTCACCGTTTGGCACGCAACATTTTAAACAAAACTTTCACCGACCAAACACTATTTCTACGAAATTGGAACAGCTATTTGTTTTTGTATAACTGCAAGGTATCTTTGTAGATATTTTTAACCGAGCATGATTATAGTTCTTTTGTGATACATCGGTACATAAACACTGGTAAACTATTATTAAAATAATTTAAAACTTAAGTCGAAACGACTGCTACAAAAAGTTCCGGTCCATCCACAACGATGACAAAATGTCAAATGAATTAAAATCTGTCTGTTGACTTTTGTAAACTGACAAACTGCCAGCGTGCAACTGTCATCGGGCTATGGCGACGTCAAGTGCTTTGTGACATCTGACAATTTTAAATGACAAACGATAATAAAGACTTCCACAGGCTATTTATTTATTTAGGTATATTTCAAACAAAAATAATGTAATTATAATCTAAACTATATAAGCCCAAATTAAACGCTCCACACACTTTACCTGGCTATATAAATTTTCATTTATTAATCTTAATGATTAAAACTTTATTGCTGTTTAGCCAATATAAGGAATTCAACATACACCTATTTGATTATAAGTACTTATTTTATGAATAGAATATACCTTTTTAAAATATTGTAATATATATAACCTTTTACGTGTGGGTGTTAGGTACATCCATAATTATATGTTATACAGGCTTTCATTGATCGGCGATCCTTCTTGGAGCTTTGAAAGTCACCTTCAAAGAGCGCGAATGTTCGAATTTGTGTTAAGCTTTTGGGACATCAAATATTTACGGGTAGCGTGCATGCCGGGTTGCACGTTGCACCTGGTCTCCGCTACAAATGTTTATACACACATACATATAATATACACGTTAACAGTTATAAGTATGCTTCATTTCATCACATTGCGTATGTTTTTAGTACACCGTAGATACGTAAAACGTTAAAATCTTATTCAATCGTAAAGCTCGCGTCGATGTTGTTCAACGTGCTTTGTTCTGTCGTGCTTTTTTAAATTAACTCTTCCAATAATAAGTATTTGTTTTAAAGATTAATTAATTAACTATGGACGTACCAGCAAAAGGAAACGTTTTAGGGCGTAAGTTATTTTTTTTCGTTATTTTTAGGGTACCTAAATGTTTATTTGGAAATTCGTTTGTAATTTTCCCTAAATATCCCTTAAAACTCTATATGTTTTATTTTAACTACTTACTTACTTGTAATCAATATGACATACATGTTAATATTTCATTACTTATTTGAATACAATATTAATTTATCAAAAAAAAAGTAAATATATTAAACAACGTTATTATTTTAAAAAATCTTAACTAAATTTTTTAATAAACAAAGTGCGCATTATGTATTTTGTCTATCATAGTCACACTTACATGTTACGAGAAAAGTTGTTTTTATTCCGTTTTATTCATATCATGATTATAGAAAAGAACTACAGGCGGTCCTCGACTTACGTCGTTTCGATTTACGTCGTTTCAAGTTACGCCGAAAAATTTTTTGCCACAATTCCCCAAGCCCCCGCCTTTTTTTTCTTTTCCCGGCCCCCCGGGAGAATCCCCAGGCCCTTTTTTTGGAAAAATGTTATTTTCTTTCCCGGCGAAAAAAAAATTTTTCCCTTCCTTCCGGGGGGGGGGGGGCCCCCCCCCAAAAAAAAGGGGGGTGGGAAAAAGCCCCCCCCCTTTTTTTTGCCCCCCCCCCAGGCCCCCCCCCCCCCCCCCCCCCCCCGGCCGGGGGGCCCCCCCCCCCCCTTTTTTTTTTTTCCCCCCGCCCCCCCCCCCCGCTTTCCCCCCCTGTTTTTGTGGTTTTTTTTTTCCCCCCCCCCCCCCCCCCCCCGCCGGAGGGGTTTTTTTTTTTGGGGGGGGCGGCCCCCCAGGGGGGCCCCCCGCCCCCCCCCCCCCCCCTCTTTTTTTTTCCTTGCCCAAAAAAACCCCCCCCCCCACACCCCCCCCCCCCCCCCCCCCTTTTTGGAAAACCCGCAAAATTTTTTGAAAAAATTTTCCCCCTTTTTGGGGGGTTTTTTTTTTTTTTTACACAAAATTTCCCCCCCCCCCCCCCCCCCCCCCCCCCCCCCGTGCGCGGGGAAGAAAAAAAAACCCCCCCCCCCCCCCCGTTTTTTTTTTTTCCCCCCCCTTTTTTTTTTTTTTTTTTTTTTTTTCTTTTTTTTTTTTTTTTTTTTTTTTTTTTTTTAAACCCCCCCCCCCCCCCCCCCCCCCCCCCCCCCCCCCCCCCCCCCTCACCCCCTTTTTTTTTTTTTTTTTTTTTTTTTTTTTTATTCCCCCCTTTTTTTTTTTTTTTTTTTTTTTTTTTTTTTTTTTTTCGGGCCCCCCCCCCCCCCCCCTTCTTTTTTTTTTTTTTAAAAATATATTTCCCCCCCCCCCCCCCCCCCCTCCCCCCCCCCCCCCCCCCCCCCCCCCCCCCCCCCCCCCCCCCCCCCCCCCCCCCCCCCTATTATCAAATTAAAATTAAAGTGTTTAAGTTAACTAAACACTTAACAGATACGCAAACGCGTATCTGTTAAGTGAATATGTGCCTCGTATTTGAGGTTATCAGAGTCTAATAACAATTTTTAGCACTTGTTAATAACATTTTTAGGATTTTACTTTTATTTGGATTGAGTTTAAAACTGAACAAATATTGCGGGAATATCGTAGGCGGGATTAAAAAAAATATATTAAAAAATAAATGGCGCCAATTTTATTTGTTTTATCAATTGTAAATTTTTTACGGTCCAAACAATGGTAATATGGTATTTATGACACATAGTGACCACACATTATGAAATGTTGATAGTGATAGCTAGTTCTTAGAATATCTTTTTGCATCTAGATCATAATAAATTCGGAGGCAAAAATAGCTTATTGCATTTTAATTGCAATTAGACGATTTAGTTGCAATGCAATCATGGTACGGTTACACCTCTGTCTCCGAACTTTCGTCATGTTGTCCTTTAGCGTGCTAAGGTCATACATGTAGATTCTTCAGATCAACGAACCCTCATTGAACATTAGACATTTTAAATCTTAACATTATCTGAAGAATAATGATTGATGTTTGCTTTTTTTTCGTATTTAAGAATCCGTATTGTTGAGCTTTTTATCAACTAACGTTTATTTAATCGAATTCGTTAAAAATATGAAAGTTCTCGCCTCCAACATTCAATGGACTAGGAAACGACATAGTCCAATTTATGTAACTAATAAAAATAACAATCTAGTAACATGTAGGTAAGGGTAACTATGTTAGACAAAACCCCTAGTGCGCACACCATGTTTGATTATTTTATTTTTTAGGCGTCGTACCAGCCCGGTACATATTAGCCATCCTAGGTTCCATAGGGATGGCCATAGTTTACGGTCTAAAGGTCAACCTCTCTGTGGCTATGGTGGGAATGCTCAATCACACTGCCATCAAACTCGCTGCTCACGACGAGCCCCACCTTGCCGCGTCTGCTCAACCCTCCGAGTTAGAATGCCAGCCTACAAGCAATTCCAGCAGTGCTAAGGTGAGTACCTATTAAGATATTCCAGATGTAAACAAACTTTATTATTTAAAATTTTTAATTGGATTTCGATGTTTGCAGCAGCCTGAAATTTATTAAAAATATTTTCAAATAATTTAACTAATATATCGGTTTTAAACCTTAAAGTGTTTTATTTAAATTTACTACTCGCGTAAACTATAGACAGTATTTATGTATCAATCGATATTATATTGCATTTATAAGAAATTTTGTTCATAGACAAATATGTTTAGCTTTATTCAGAATTTGTACCATCTGAGATAATCTGGCATGAGTTTACAATATATTTCACGTCTAAACCATTATTTTTTTTGTATCGCGTAAACTACAAAGAATACATAATCTAATATCTTGGACTGAAGTGATTTAAATTGGTTATAAAACGGCCATAAAAATAACATCGATTTGTTTATCTTAACGCCACCGTTATCTACTTAAAACATAACAAACACGAGACGCACGAGCTTTTATTATTGTCGTCTGGCTTTAAAAAGAGACAATTAGGTCGCAATCGTAAATTCATACGCTTTTATCGCTCCTGGAATTGAGAACTATTTATTTAAGGATACGGAATGTTCATATCAGTTTAACCTTGCCGCAGGTCAGCCCATATGATGTTGGTACGATTCCAAATTCGCATCATTATTAAGAATAAAATTTGGGGAACACGTGAATCCGGCGCGTATCACCCGATTTCAACAAGCGATCGCAAATAGACGGCCGAAATCTTAAACTCGATTCAGATTTATTCTAGCTGAAAGGCAATTTGAGATACAAAATAACTACAAATATTAGGACTTAAAAAATTATGTTCGTAACTAAATTAATAACAGTGATTCTCAGATTATTAGATAGTGATGTGGAGTTGATATCACGGGGATATTTAGGGAGTGTGAGCGTGTTCCTTTTCTCCACATGGGGCACATTGTTTATAGGTTTCAATGATCGAATTTATTTACGGGCAGGTAACAGATCACTGCTGTGCCCAGACCAAATGAATTTATCGTTAGCCAGAGATTCAAGCAAAGTACTCAGCGCTTAACGCCTAACTACGCAATGCGTTTTATTATTATTTATATGAATATACACTAGGGATATTTATGAAAATATCATATATAAATAAAGGAGGTACTATTCAAGAATTTGTCCTTACTCCAATTCCGTAAATAAAGTTAATAGCCCATACGCCAATCTGATATGTGTGTATGGACAATTTTCAATGACAGCAATTGGATAGTTCCAATTGGCCACCACTAACGAGTTCAACGAACACGGTAAATTTAGTTTTATTATTGTCCCCCAGGCAAAAAAAAAAACAATTTCAATTATGAAACGATATAAATAAAATAATATAAACTGTTGCGTAAAACAATTACGACTTCATGTTACAGGACGCTGATGGGCCATTCCTGTGGTCGTCCGAAGTGCAGGGAATCGTCCTCAGCTGTTACTTCTGGGGATATTTTGTTTCACAAATTCCTGGTGCGTAAATTGTATACTATATTTAATAGATATCAAAACAACTTATAAAACGTGTTATGTCGGCTTTGTTCAGGTGGGCGAGTAGCCGAACTATTCTCTGCCAAATGGGTGATGTTCTTCAGCGTTACCATCAACGTGGTGTGCACTCTTTTAACTCCACTTATGGCGGAAGCACATTACATTGCTGCTGTCTTGATGCGGGTCGGAGAGGGCATCGGTGGGGTTAGTCTTACCATATCAATCACCAATAAACATCTTCAGCCTTGAAAGAACTTCAGAAGCATAGTTGTTTAATTCTTGATTCATGATTCTTATACCAAATATTTAAAATACAAAAGACAATATGCCAGGCCTATTTAAATATCATATTATGCACTCCTAATAGGCAATCTTTTGTTCGCGTGTCAGGGTGTAACATTTCCCGCGATGCATGTGCTGCTGTCGAAATGGGCTCCGCCGGCCGAGCGGAGCGTGATGGCGTCTCTTGTGTACGCGGGTACTTCGCTGGGAACCGTTATATCCATGCTCATGGCTGGCGTTCTGACTGCGACTCTTGGTATGTTTCAGTGGCTGAACTATTTGAAATTTAAATCTGTTATTTTTATAAATATTCCATTCCTACACTGACTGAACATAACAAGGAATGCTTCTTTTTAGTCTTAGTTCCGGAATTCGATGCCAGGCCCTCTCACGCCTCATGCATTCCTTTGAGAACACGTATTACAGTCTGCCCGACATACCATCGATTGCTGTTAACGATGCTTCTATTCTTGTAGGATGGGAAAGTGTGTTCTACGTGATGGGCGGCTTATCCGCTATCTGGTGCATCCTGTGGGTCTTCCTCATCAAAGATTCACCAGCGGAACAGCCCTTGATTAGTCAAGAAGAAAGGGACCTCATAATCACTTCGCTTGGTGGAAAAGCTGACGATCACTCCTCGAATAAGGTTCGGAAAATATTTCAACTGTGTTACATATATTTTTATTAAAATTTATATTGTTGTAGCGATTATTTTTGTTCAAACATGTCCTATGTTTGAATTTGAATGCGCTTGAATATTAATAATTTGTAATAGTGCACTTGAAAGCTCATAAAATAATTTTGAGAAAAAGACTTGTCTTTTTAGAAAATGTCCGTACCCTGGAAAAAGGTGTTCACATCAGGACCCTTCCTGGCCATAGTGGTGGCGCACGCATGTTCCAACTGGGGCTGGTACATGTTACTCATTGAACTGCCCTTCTACATGAAGCAAGTGCTTAAGTTCAATATGACGGAGGTAAGGAAGCTTAATTATAAAAGGACCGGTGTACTTCTTGACTGCGAATTCTTTTTAATCTCACTTTGTATCAAAATATAAATTGTAAGGAATGTGTTAGTGATTTTATATCATTTGTCTAGTTAAAAAGTAGTGAAAACTGAAAACGTCATTTACAGAATGCAGTGACGACGGCTCTTCCATTTTTGTCGCTCTGGTTCTTTAGCATGGCGCTCAGCAAAACTCTGGATTGGTTGCGGGGCAAAGGATACATCACTACCACCACTGCTAGGAAGATTGGTACTCTATTTGGTATGATAATTCTTTTTTATTTCATTATAATAAATAAAATAAAAATAAAAAAGCCTTTATTTCCTTTAAATGACTGTTTACATCTTTTTAAAATTTTTTAGGTCATTAGGAACCCTCTCGGGTGTAGGCCTCCTCCAAAGTTGTCCATGCTTCCCGGTTTTGGGCCGTTTTCGCCCATTGCGGGCCAGCAATCGCCTGTATGTCGTCGCCCCATCGTACAGGTGGTCTCCCTCTCTTCCGTTTTCCTTTTGGGCCTGTCCATAAGGATACTCTAGCCGTCCACCTGTCGTCCTTTAATCTTGCTACATGCCCCGCCCATTTCCACTTTAGGCTGCGTGCGAAGTTCAGTGCATCGATGGCCTTTGTAACTTTTCTTATTTGGGTGTGTCTGATTTTGTCACTTAGTCGCATGTTAAGCATGCTCCGTTCTAGACCACGTTGGCAAGTGATGATTTTGTTTTTAGCCTTGGTTGTGAATTTCCATGTTTGGCAGCCATATGTTAGAGATGGAAGGAGGCATGAGTTTAAAACTTTAGTTTTAATGGTTGTTGGCATGTTGCTTTTAAATACTTCTTTCATACTCCAGTACTTGTTCCAAGTAATTTGTGCTCTCCTTTCGATTTCTAGTTGGTTGTTGTTTTTGTCGAAGCTAATCCTCTTTCCTAGATATATATATTCATTAGTGTAAGTTAGAGCTGTCCCTCTTATATTAATAAGCTTTTGTATTGAATTCGTCATGGCCATAGTTTTTGTCAAGTTCATTTCGAGCCCCACCTTAACACTAGCTGAGTGCAATGAGTCTAACATTACCTGTAGTTGCGTACTTGTTTCGGACAGCAAAACCAGGTCGTCTGCAAACCTCAGGTGGCTCAAGTACTTTCCTTGGATATTCAGTCCCGAGAATTTCCAATGAACGCTGCTGATGATGGTCTCAAGTACGGTGATGAATATTCTCGGCGATAACGGATCCCCCTGCCTCGCTCCTCTTTTTAGTGAAAAACGCGGACCCTGCGTTTCTAACATGATTGAGCTTGTATTTTTATCGTATATATTTTTAATGATTTTTACATAGATTTCGTCGACGTCTTGTTCTCTCAGACTATTCCAGATGCTGTCATGGGAAATTGTATCGAAAGCTTTTTGGTAGTCGATGAACGCTATGTACAAAGGTTTCTGGTATTCTTGGTATTTTTCGATAATTAGTTCTAGTGTGTGTATGTGGTCTATGGTCGAAAAACCTTTCCTAAATCCAGCTTGTTCTACTGGTTGCCTCTTTTCTAGAGTAGCGGCCATTCTGTTATTGAGGATAGAGGAGAAGACTTTATAGATGCTTGGAAGGAGACTTATTGGCCTATAGTTACTTATGTCGTTTGGGTTGCCTTTTTTGTAAATAAGTATTATATTTGATTCAGACCATTGTGATGGCGTCTCTATCGTTTCTAAAATTAAATTAAAAAGTATGCTAAGGGGTGTTGCCAGTAAGTCGTAAGCATTTTTCAATGCTTCATTTGTTATATTGTCGGGCCCTGGGCTTTTCTCTAGTTTTAACTTTTTAATTACCTCAATTACTTCCTTTTCCTCGATTGCTTTGACCGAAGTACAGACTTTTTTGTGCTTTCTATACTCTGTGTCTTTTTTAGGCGATTGTGAGTTTGTGTCTTTATATAACTCTCTATAAAATTCTGTTGCCGTTTGTATTATTTCACTCCTTTTTTTTATATTTTTGTCTTTTATTTTCAATCCTTCTATCCAGGTGTTGTGTGTGTTGAGTTTCTTGTAAGCCTTTTTCCAGCTACCGCTTTGTTCGAGGTATTTTTCTGTTAAAAAAAAATTGTCTGTACTTTGCATAATCTCTTTTTATATACTTATTGACAAGTTTGTAAAGCGCCGATATTTCATTCTTCGCACCGCGGGTTTTGTTTTTCATTCTTTGTAGTTCTTTTCGTCGAGTTAATAGTTGTTTTGTTTGTTCTGATAATATTTTGTCTGTTTTTTTAGTTTGGTCCACTTTGTGTGCTCTTTTTAAACTATCTGTGATTATATTTATTAAGTTGTCGTAATAAGTTTGCACTGACATATCTGTTGTTTCTACATTTAAGAGTTTGGTTGAGAGAATTTCTTTATACTTACTGATTGCATTTTCACTTTTTAGAACGATTTTGTGGTTCTTTGTGTAATTGGCTCTGCTTTTCTTTTGTTTTTTAAGCTGTATAGTTGCACGTAATGGCCTATGATCAGATGGGTAGTTTAAGTTGATAGTTTCAATATTCTGGAATATGTTTATCTGGTTTGATAGTATGAAGTCTATTTCATTTCTATAACTTCCGTTCGGAGATTTCCAGGTCCATCTTCGGTTAGGTTTTTTCTTAAAGCAGGTATTTATTATTGTTAGTTTGTTTTCAAATGCAAAATCTATCAGCCTTTGCCCTCGATCGTTACGTTTTCCATATCCGAATTTTTTCATGACTAAAGATTTTTCCTTTTGGGGATGTCCTATTTTTGCGTTAAAATCTCCCATTAGTATGAGGTTCTTATGAGCTGTCTTTAATGCGTCTTCGATGGATTTATAGAAATCGTCTACATCGCTTTCACTCCCAGCTTCTGTAGGTGCGTACACTTGAATAATAGTAAATTTTTGCCCTTCGATATTTAAATTTAGAGAGGCTACACGGTCTGATAATCCTACAAAACTTTCAATATATGGCTTGAGTTTTTTATTAATAAGAAAACCGACTCCATATTTACCTGGAACGTGTCCAATATAGCATATAATATTTTGTTTGTATTCTTCTATATTATTTCCTAATCTTCTCATTTCTGATATTCCAATTACATCGTACTTTACATTTCTTAAAGCTTCTTCCAATTCCAATAGTCTCTCGTAGTTTGATAAGGTTCTTACATTATATGTTGCAATATATAGTAGTTTATTTTTTACGGATTTTATATCGTTCTGTTTTGAGTTCTTTGGAGGGTTTTGGTCTTTATTTTCCACGGTGACCAGCCGGCTTGGAAAATATTTTATTAATGATTTTTGTTTATATCTTGTGCTTTGATCGTTTTTTGAGAGGGGCCTTGTTGTTCGCTGCTATTTAGTTTTATCATCGATTTCACTACTCAACGAAGTATTAGCATTAGTGTTCTTATTAATTAAAAAATTTAGTATTCCAGGTTTGGCTATTCCTTCTGTGAAACTTGATGATCTTAGAGGGGTGTGTCTTGCTAGGGTTTTGTTCTTCTTTACACTATGAGAGCCGGTCTGTGTGTTTTTCTCTTCGGGTGAGTTTGAATGGTTCCTTTTTTTGTTTCCTGTATTGGTTGAAGAACCTACAGGTTCTAGTATAATTAACTTGTCGTATTTAAGTATTGCTCTTTTACCTCTTTCTCTCTCCAACTTCAATTGTTCTTGCAGCTCTCTCCTTTTGTTTAAAACTTGTAGTGGAAAATCTTCTTTTATATAATATGTTGTATCGCGGAGGCCAAGTTTTTGTTTTAAAATGCTAATTTTTGTGCCTAACGTAGCAAATGTAATAACAACAGGACGCGGATTATTTCCTTTTTTTCCAATTCTTTTAATTATTTGCATGTCCCTACTGTCTATGTTTATTGATAGGTATTTACGTATGAAGTCTTTCATTTTTATTTCCATGCTTAAATATGATTTTTCATCTTCCTCTATACCGAAGAAAACCAAGTTTCGTTGTCTAGCTTCTTTTTCCAGGTAAAACAGTCTCTTGTCTTGGTTCTCCACTCTTTCTTTTAATTTTTCTAGTTTTGTGTCATACACTTGAAGCTTCTTGTCCATTAATTGGTTTATATTTTGAGTAACTTGTTCGGTTATTTTGTCCGCGTTCTGCTGAATCATATTTTTGTGCTCCACTAGCTCCTCTTGTATTCTACGAAGTGATAACAGTACTTCATCCATTGTTAATTTCGAGTAAAGTTAGATTTATATTAATTATGCTAACAAATACTTCCTTTGCAATGAATTCCAACGCTTTTGTTTACTCAGTGTTCTTTCGCCTTCTATATGTTTGTTTTTATAATAACAATATAAAAAAAAAAAAAAAACCTTAATTATCTTATCTTATTCAAAGGTTGTTATTGTACCATTTTCAAGTTAAACAGAAGTTTTAATCAGCAAATATAAATTATAAATGTAAGTATTCGTCTTCACTTAGCGGCGGATTCGAAAACGGTTTCAATGAAACCTGGTGTTTAAGGCAACACTTCTACAGTCACGGCTATTTCGTCGCTATTTGAATAAGGTGAATTTATCGTACTGTTGTAGCTTTCTCAGTGAACTTTTAGAGTGACGTAGTAAGTGTTTCTTCTTTTTCTTTTTTTTTTAATTCTGAAAAAACACTGCACTATACCACTATTATTTTTGCGTTTTTCACTTGTTTTGGCTTCGTTTTGTTACTGTAATGTTATAAGGACACTTCGTGGGCTTCTGACGTCCTAAACAATTTAAAGCTGCCTACGTAGGTATACGCTATTCCTTTGATTTTGCACCTGTTTATCTTCTTTCTATCAAAAACTAGCTTTTGCATAGGTTCTCCACGTTGTCTACTTTGTCTATTTCCAGTTTTTTCAACTATTTGATGATGATTTTTATTATTAAACACATATTGTTTGTTAAGACGTACTTAGCGTGACGGCAGTGAACTACCCTCCTCATTATTTCATTATAAGTCAACTAAATGGCACTAACAATGTGCTAACATCGAAAAGGTATTTACTACTTTTTCTTGCAAATAGGGCATACTATTATTGAATTTTTAAATACGCGAGCTGTTGAAAGGGCTATGCTCGAGGGTTCTAAGTAGCGGCTGAGAGAAATGGACGAGGTGGACCTGATAAATTATGTACTTAGGAGTATACCAATGAAATGATTTATTTATCAGCATCAGCAGTACCAGCGTCTTGCCTGCTCGCGGTGTGTTACATCGGATGCAACCGAGGGGCGGCGGTGGCTCTCATGGCGATCGGGGTCACGTGCATCGGTGGCATGTTCTGTGGTTTCCTCTCCAATCACATCGACATCGCGCCTAATTTTGCAGGTAACTACATATTCGTACCGAGTTAACTATTACAGTGAATATATACTTAAAGTCTCTTTCGTTTCTAGGTACTCTGGTCGCCATAACAAACACCGTTGCTACGATCCCCGGAATAGTGGTCCCCATTTTCGTCGGTGTATTGACTCATGGAAATGTAAGTTCTTAAAACAAGTAAACTGTAAAATATGTAGTATATTTTGCACCGTAAGTCATTTTATACTTAACTGTATATCTGTGATCATAAATCTCTAAATCGCGCTAGTTTAAACAAATAGAAAAATACTTTATTTTAAATGTATTTACTAAACACGATGTCATTATATTACTTCTTTCTTTTCAGCAAACCATTTCAGCATGGCGCATTATTTTCTTTGTGACAATTGCACTGTATATAATTGAGATTATAGTGTATTCCATATTTGGTTCTGGCGAACAACAGTCCTGGAACAGCGAGCCCGATCATAAGATAGAGACCAGCCCTGAAGAGAAGCCTCTCAAGGAAGAAGAGAGAACTCATGTTTAAAATGCTTTTAGTAATGTCCTCTAGACAAAACGTTAAGAAAAAAGGTTGATGTAAGGCATAATCTTTCTTGAAATGTTGTATTTGGCGATTTACCTCAAAAAATGTTTCATAAATATTTTTACGTTTTACTTTATAGTTTATTTAAGAATTTGTGTATAAGTAAGCCAAAAGTTGAAATTAATACTTTAATGCAGAGATTATTATATTATATTAATAGAGGATGTTGACTTAAATTATATACTACGCTTATTACTGTTCATTTTGTATGTAAATACTATATCTATTGTCTAAGTTATAAAGAATAATTTATTTATAATAATCTGCCAAGTTTGGTGCTCACTTAGCTTTTTATAAAGTTTTGATATTCTTTTACAAAATAAAGTACTTAGCAGTGTTAGAGTATGTTTTGCGCTCTGATATAATTTTTGTATGGACTGAATCTTAATTTTCTACTAAGACATTTATTTTTGACACACCAAAAGTAAAATATATGCTTTAAAAAAAGGCGTTCTTTTATTACGAGACCTCTCTAACTATAAATATTATACTACTCCATTTCAACTACTCCCCTACCTTTGAGAATTCTCAATAAAACAACTAAACTCTTATCATACCTTTGTCTATTTAACCCTTACAAGTCTGGCGATATACGCAGGTCCAAAGTTGGCCTCAACGTGAGGAACCACTAGCTGCCCATACTTCGGCAGCGCCGACCCACTTCCCAAAACCAACGTGCTACTCAAGCTGCTGAACGGTGCTGACATGTCTCTGGAAACATTTATTAAAATATGTGAAAGTATTGGGACATTTAGGTCATTTCAATAAGTTATCATTTGTGTAAAAAGGAGAGAAAATAAATAGGAGTATAAAAACAGGTCGCAACAATATATCTTATAAAGTCAGCTATATATATAATTTATTTTTTTATGTCTAAGGCAAATATTAGTTACACAATCTGTTAACATTAGTACGCATTATAATAATATAATATTTTCGTTAGGAAAAGATTTAACATCCATATTTAGGAATTTCTAAAACCTATATAAAATACTCACTTTACGACAGCGACGATACCGTTCGCCTGAAATGCCTGTTTCAGAGCGAGGTGAACTACTCCATCGTTTTGAATGGGGCTCAGGGAACAGGTGGAATATACCACAGCCCCACCAACCTTCACCAGCTTTAAGGCATTCCTATAGTTGTTAATTTAGTTTTTTAATCATATGACATGATGAAATGAAAAACAGGTGTTTCATTAAATTTTGATTCATTTTTACTATCTCAAAATTTTAGTCTAACATAACAAGACGACTTAAATAACTTTGAGTATATTTTAAAAAACTTACAGCAATAATTGCGACTGAAGTTCTGGTATCCTCAGTCTTTCTTTGATTCTATCTGGTCTAAAGATATTATTTTCATCATTCATAACGGAATGTCTGTCAGTGGTACAGGGCACATCCACAAGAACCTGGAGATAATTAACAGGATAGCCTAGCATTATTATGTTTTCACAATTATACGACTAATAATAATACAAATGAATTAAACAAAAAATTTAAACCTTTAAAGCATTTATAAAATCAGATAAATTGATGTAATGGTAGCAATGTAAGGCTAATAATAAATGGGATGAGGGTTCGATCATCACTGGGTCTAAATTTTTTCTAAGTAATTCATACAATTTCTGAAACATGTTGGACTTTGTCTAGAAATCTGGATATTAAATGGGTGGTAGGAATATCGATATTTCGTCCGGGTCACGACCCACCAACCACACGTGAAACAGCCGTCAAGTGTAATCGTGTCTTGGTTTCAGTCTGGGGATTTTCGAATATTTAAAGTCAAAATAGCTCAACAATGCATCTACTGTAGATGTTTTATTATTTCTCCCCCTCTATCATAAAAACATATGTAAGTATAATTTGCAATAGAAATTACAGAGTAAGGTTTAAGATTAACAACACAACTTTTTAATTAAAGATTGTACTAATAAATCCTTACCTTGTCAAACCCTGAGTCATCAGTAAAAATCCTTCCATCTACAGTTTTACACAATATTCTCTCTCGCCATTTGTTATTACTCTCGTAATCAATTAAATAACTCCTCAAAATATTTTTTAATCTGAAACACACAGATAATTCATAAATTGTATTTACTTTTGATAAAATAACTTATTTTTCCTCACCATACAAACCTAGTAGATTAAAGTTAGCAACATGTTGACATAACTCACCGATTGTTCCTGGATATTGAAGAATCATTACAGACGAGTACATCTGGTAATAGGGTCTGTAATGTAATAAGGGACTTTCCACCTGGTGCTGCACAAAGATCCAAAACACGATCAGCTTGTTGCAGACATAAGGCTAACACTGGTAACACACTAGACCCATCCAGTGGATAGAAGTTAAACACCCCTGAAAGGGTTAAGCCATTAAATGTATTATTGTATGTTATTTGACTGGATCTATGGTTGAGTTGTTTTTGTAGGATTCCATGTTAACATACAGGTAAATGTACCAAATTACAGGTCAGACAGGCTGGCTTATAACCAATATTGATCAGTTATGAAAGCACAGCAATAAGGTACATCATGTTATAAGCAAATAAAAACACTTGTTACCTGTGTTACTTCGTTTTGGCTCAGGAAATTTATACAATTCACTCCCCATTTCATATGTCATAACCTTTAGATGCTCCGGAAATTTAAATGTTGTTTCGGGTTCTATCACTAAGGGGAAGTCACCACTTTCTACAAACAAAGGTGCTTTTATAATAAATGTGGGCAAAAGCTAATAGACATAATACAAAACTTACGTGAAGAATAAAAGGAATAATGTAGTGACTCAGGCACATAATCATCCATTCCCTTTAGTTTTGTGGCTGGAATATACTGATATAAGGCTTCTGAAGATACTCCCATCTCAGCGCTTATGATACGAGTATAGTCTATCTCAGCATTATCAATAGCTTCATCCAAATTTTTTGATAAATGTCTATAAAAAGGAAATAAGTCTGTAGTAAGTTCTCCTACATTTTAATGTTTTGTGAAACAATGTTGCTTCAACATACTCTGATTCTTCTGTTTTATCTTCTACTTTTGAAGTATTTATTGTTGTATCTTTAAATTCTAGTTTTTCAGGGGAATCACCACCTTCAGGATATATATTAGATATTTCATCACTTTGTAATTTAGATACATAATTATCCACAGCACTTTGGTACCGTTCTTTCTTTGGTTTAATGTTGTCTGTGGGATATTCATTGTGAAAGTCCTGCTGCACAGACATTAAGTATTTTAAGCAGTGGGCTCCTATAAAATAAGAGTAACATTAACAAACTTCTACATGAAATAGAAGCCCAAATTAGAAAAAGATAAGCACATACCTCTCTGGGACAGATATTCCATTGTCTCTTCAGCATCACCATAGTTATTTATTATTGCTACATATTTAGATTTTCGTAAGAGACCTTCTCTCATTGATTCCCATTGGTTACCGAAAACGGAGCCGTAAAAGTCGTCAAAATGATTTAGGGCTTTGTACTTAGGGCCGGTTTTCTTTTTTAACTTTGCCTGGAAATAAAATATTTAACAAACCTTTTCTGTATAAGAAGTACTATGTCTGAAGAATATAATATAAGGGATTTGTTTGGCTAATATACGCGTAACTTACCCAATTTGTCTTCGATTTATTTCTAAATTGAAAAGTTACGTACGGGTGTTTTGACGTACTCTTATAAAAGTTCAATACAGTAAGCATATTTACGAATATTAAAACTACGCGATTTCAGTCTTTAAAGTTTTTAATTCATGTATTTATTTATAATCGTATTGTTTTGCTACACTTTTTAAGGTTATGCTACAACTGAATTTGAGTTTTGCCATTGGAATTTGGGAATGTCAAAGAACAACTTTGTCAGTTGTCACATAGTGTCAGAATAAGTCAGCCAAAAAGAGATGGACAGCAACCTGTCTCCTTTCAGCAAGGCGCGCGAACAACAAAGTGGCGAAATTCCTGAGTATTGATTTGTTTACAAGGATTGGGATGGGAGGTCATATACATGTTTTATATTATATTCGTAGGTACCCAAGCTCAACCTTGTCAAAACTGAAAACGATTTGAAGATAATGCTCGCGCTTAATTACCACCTTTCGTGTTGATGTGTTTATCAGCCAATCGTGCCAGGTAAAGTCGAGCCCCTGGAACTTTAAGGAGTCTTTTTCTCTTAATTACCCTCAAAGCGAGACGTTTTATCGATTGTATATTCCTTCCGTGGTTCGATACACACGTACGTGCTTGATCTAGTAACGCGATAGGAGTAAAATGTGTGTTAAATCAAGAATGTGTGTCAGTAATTTGATAAATATGGGGTAAGTTCTATCCATCAAATATTACAAGGAAAATATTTTTTTCAGTTTAATTAGTATTTCTTGCATTGTTGTAGAAATATTGTGGTGTGGAGCACGTCAGCAGAACGGCTTGTAAATTGAAAGCATTCGGGGAGAACGATATTCGTCAGTCATGTATGGGACGTTGAGAGCTATATGTCAGGCGTGTAATAAGGAATGGACGCTGGTAAGCTGGAGGCCGTGCCTCCCGGGTTGGTTCACTTGGACACAGTGAGAGCATTGCATCAAACAGTAGTGTCACTTCGCACTGCCTTGGAATTGTCTAAGAGTGAACTCAAGGAATTGAAGGAAAAATATGAAGAACAATCTCGTTGCTTAGAGCACACAGATATTATTGAAAAGTTGACAATTGAAAATCATATTTTAAGAAGAAAAATCATTGATAGTGATAGCTCCCATAATTTAATCTATGATAATTTTAGTGAAGAAAATGATTATAATGAAGTAAATATAAGAACAGCAACTACTGAAGCTAAAGAAGATATTCCAAATCCTGTTGAAGCTGAAATTAAATTGGGTTTACATAAACTTGAGGAAATTACTGAAGAAGTTTCTGCAACATCAAACCCTGAAACCTCAGACATACATGATTTCTCCCACATAGAGGAACTGAAAAGTGAATCAGTACTAGATAAAAATAAAACAAATTTCAAAACAAAATTGGAGTTACTATCAAAATTTGATGTTAAAATTAAAGTGACAACCTTGAAAGAAGGCCTATCAACAACTACTTCTGAGACAGATTCAACTGTGGATGAAAAAGGTAAACCAGAAACCTTAGATAGGGAATTCAAAGAGCACAGAGAGCATTCTGAGAATCCAAATGGCGATAAAGTTGATGTAAGAACTGTTTCAAGTGAGAATATCAAAATGGCTGTCCCAAGTGAAGCCGATAATAAGTCGGATAAGTTTGATGTCCAAGTGAAGATAACTTCTGAAGATAGCGTTGTTGTGAAGGAAAATTTTGAAAGGGTGAAAAGAAAAGAGACATTTAATTTAGATGTGGACAATTTAAGTCTGAGGTAGGTATATCATTAGCTTCATTCAATCATTGAAGCTGTTTGGAATCTTATGATTAACATCCATGGAATTTAGGTACTTTAAATCTGGGTTCTTTTTCACCAGGTCAATGTCAGAAGGTGACAACTCTGTGTTCTCTGAAGGAACAACCCCAATGGAGCATAATGCACCAGATGATAAACAGGAACAGGAAAATAGTGGCAATGAGTCTGAGGAAGTAGACGATATTGAACTTATATTCACAACGGATGAATCTAAGGATATAAGCAATTTGCAGGTAAGTTTAGTAACACAGAAAAATTAGTACATGCACTTAAAACATAGATATAGAAAACATTTGCACTTTTTTTACTTTAATATTTACTATGGCTCAAGTGGTAAAACCATGGAAGGCTTTGGATGAGAATTCAAGTCCGAACTGTGACATTGATTATTATTTTCTTTCAGTTACACCTGTGGTAGGACGGGTGATCAGTCCACGTTATCAGTCGACCATTTCACCCATTTCCTCCTTGCAGAGGTTTTGGGTTATCCAACTCTCCCTGTGTCCCCTTTAAACTTTCCGGTTTGCTTGCAGAATCTTATTATTTCGATTATTCCCTTGGTTACTTTATGGGCTATCGGAAGTCTCAGTTCCGGCCCTACCAGGCTTTCATCGGCTCCTTCACGAGCGAGTTCGTCCGCTCTCTCATTGCCAATATTTCCTTGGTGTCCGGGGACCCAGGCAATTGCCACTTCTACCTGATCAGTTAGTTTGTCCAGTGCTTCCTTACATTCTTTGACAATAGCGGATGTTGTGTCTTGTTTGCATAGCGCTTTAAGTGCAGCCTGACTGTCACTGTAAATTGTAACACTTGACCTGTGCCAGTGCCTGGCAATCTCTGCACATTCCACGATGGCGAATATCTCCGCCTGGAATACGCTAACGAGTTTCCCCAGAGGGATTGATCTAGTTATCTCTGTTCCGTTCTCGCATATCATGTATATGCCTGACCCAGGGAGCTTTGTCGTTTCTTTCCTGGAACCATCTGTGTAGCATATTGTGCCCACATTTTCCGCGTCTATTCTCCACTTCTGCCTTTCCCCAATGTAGATTCTATAGTGACATTGATTATTTTCAATTTAAAATAGATTTTGAATTCACATAATTGTGCGTCATACGTAGGATATCTGCAACATGGTTTTGTGCCTTAACACAAGCTAGAGGAGATTTTTTCGAAAGAAGTTTAGCGGGCGCTTTAATTAACGGATTATGGGTTTGAATTCCACCGGGAGCAAAATGTTTTTAAAAATCAATTCCGTCCACACATGAAAAAGCTGCGTAGTTTAAATGTCGCATTTTTATGGCTGGGATATATCACCAAACTAATTAATATAAATGCTACCAGCGATTTAGCAATAGTCGGCAATACTGTTTTTCAATAATTCCTTCTCGCAATTGCATGTTCGGACGAAATAGTTTCACCCTAATTTGCCCTGAAACGCTTTTCAGTGGAAAAGTTCTATTAAAATAAAACATGAAAGTACTCGCTCCATGTAATCAGTTAATCGGCTCAATTTCGTTGAAAGCTCTGTTTTCTGAAAAATATACTGAATATGTTAAGTCATGCAAGCTCTCTGTAAATATACATATTGCATATCGATTGATATTTGCATTTTTACCCTTATAAGGAGATTTGAAGTCCTTCATAAGTACGTATTTCACGGAAATACATTGGACTTTTTTATATTTTTAGCGCGTAATACCAATAGAAACCTACTTTTTCATAGTATTAGTATATCGTAGTTTTTTTATAGATTCTGTTCTATGAACTTCTTTTATAAATAAAAAATATATACGTACATCTAACATCAATCATCAAAACATATAATACAATTTATAACATAAAACTTATATAATAATCTGTTTATCGGTCAAAACTCTCAATGTATTAGTTAAATACATTTAAATAATAATGATGTTTGCCTGCGACCGTGGGGGGTTCATGGGGGAACTAAAAATGGTCGGCGTCCCTAATGTGAAAGGCAAAATTTCTATGAGGTAGTCATGATATAATTAACGTCACAAAACATTCAAAGTTTTGATACGCGAATTATTTAACACTAGCTGTATCAGCGACTTCGTCCGCTAAGAATATTTTTTGGGCATCCAAATTCGTTTTTGCAAACCCCTTAATCTGTATAAACTTAAGCTCTTACCCACAAAGTCGGTCGCGTTCCTTCTCGTCGTTCTTGCATGTTATTTTTAAAAGATAGACAGTGTCATAGTGTTCCGAACTTTTCTTTTGATAATTTAAAGAGATATCATTCTTTCATACACATTTCTGGGGTGATTTAAATAACCGTTTTTGCAGCGTACGCTTCGGAAACCCATAATGATGAATAATTTTCCCAATCTTTTTATATATAGCCTTCCTCGATGAACGCTCTAACCAACAGAAAAAGATTTTTTAAATTTGACTACCGGTAGTTCCTGAGATTAGCGCGTTCAAACAAACAAACGAACTCTTCAGCTTTTGTATGTAGGTACTATTCGTGTCAATTACAGACAGATTTAACCTCTAAGTTCATTTATCGATAAATGGTAACACCGATTAAAATTAAGACTGTAATCTTTTACACTACGTGAGAACGATGTCATAAGGAAAGCTCTTAAAAAGACTATCGAGCTAAGTCACTTTCAGCTATAATTTAGATTGTCAAGTAGCTTGCGTGTGCAGTATCAATCGGGGCGATGCATGTGGAATCCTGGTTCACATCGTAAATTGTAAACTTCAATTGCATGTTGGCTCAAGTGAGCTTAATGCGATTGGAACGGTACGTGTACGCGACTTATGTCTGAATATTTATGTTACCCGTTAGTTATGGCTTGCGGCTTTTCTATAGCGACGTACCCGTGCTGCATAAATTATCCTAAAGTTGCGATAGGAGTAGAAAGGTCTTGTGTGAGAGGCAGTTATAAAATGTGGTCGTTTGGTTTAATTCTAACTTTTTTGGCTTGATTTTTAGGATTTCCAATCTTTTTCACCTTGATATGTAAAAGAAACTTACTAACTCGCATTCTGTCTGCCTATCACCATGTTATTCCTATGAATTACCCGGGATAGCTGCAAAGTTATAATTTTACGAATCATGCATTTATCTTGCCGCTATCACAACAAAGTAATTAATATACATACTAACTACGTAATCCATCGTTAACATTAATAATAATATTTAAATGTACATTTAACGAGCGCTTCCGTGTAGAAAACGCTACAATTTGAAATACACGACAATTTGAAATTTGTGGGCTTAGTCTATGTTAAGAAACCCTTCTTGCGTGACGGACCCGTATTTACCGTATGCGTTATACACATCTTCTACATATAAAATAACCCCCTGTCTTTTCTTTGATACTTACTATATTACTGGCTATATATTTTATGAAGAATTTTGTCAATTTGCAGGAAGACCTCGTGTCTATCCGGGAATCGGATCACTGGACTCCGGGCTCGACGTCGACCGCGCACTCCACTCCAGTGCTGATTAAATTCCACACTCTCGACCCAGACTTCCAGCCGGGCGAGATCACTGCTAATAAGAGCCAGGAAAATATCCGAATCGATCCATGCTTAAAAGTAAAAAGAGTGTCGCTGCCTAGCGATAAAGATATAAGACACGTCGGCTTCAGCAAGGGGAGCTTAGACATTCCGAGTCGCGGGATTCTGAAGAGTTTTACCAATAAATCTGATAACACGCTGTACAGAAGGAGTCCCAATGCGAGCACCAGGCGGCTGGACAGCGTGGACAGCTTGACTTGCGAATACAACCGAGGCTTGAGTCTCGATCACACGAAGTCTTCGAGTTTTGAGCTCGGCTCGAGCACGGACATACTGCATAGAGAAGCGAGCGTGGACAGCGTCAGTCGATCGAGATTCGACAGATTTTCCGTATTCGCAGAGACGGATATATCGAAGTGCGGGATTTCGGAGGACGACTTAGTCGCGAATTTAAATTCTAGGAGGAACACTTGCCCCAATCCTTTTCAGTTCAGGTAATACATTTTAATAAAACACTTAAACGGTTGAAAAGCCGATATAATATGTAAGTTAAACTTATTTAGTCTTCCCATGACCACCGCTGCTGCGAAGGATCAAATGCGAAACGTGGGGCCGTAATTAAAATCATTTCCAAATATATTTAACTAAGTAAAAAAGATTGCGTTTTAAACCGTTAAAATATTTTATCATATGAGTACTACCCGCGTAACCTACTGACAGTATTAATTCAGTATAGTTGTCAAAATAATATTTTAACAAAACTTCACATAAGTTTTTGTCAAAATCGGTCAAGAAAAAAAAACAACCTTAAACATTCATATAGGATGAAGAGTATTTCATTGAAACCGTCGTACAGGGCGTTAACAAACAGAATCAAAATATTTCCCAAAATTTGTTCCAGGCCACTGCCCTCTCGTTCTGGAATCAGAACTCCGTCGAAGCCTCTTTCGAGCCGGGTCAGACCCATCTTACGAGAGAGCTATGCGCCGAGGAGGGAGGGGTCTGCACAGACCGATATGTCTGCTCTTCCACCGCGATGGACGTCCGATGGATATCTCGCTTATAAAGTAAGTTTAAGGAATTTTTCCTTTGCAACTAATTTCCACTTTCAACTAACCCCTTTGGAAGGTAGGGACTCTGGTGAAAATGCTTACTCATTTTATATTATTTTTTAATATAAATTAACGGTAGGTTTTTGGGAATATTTTGAGCTTTTGCCTTTAGACTTTAACTAACTATACGACTATAACCTTTGACCTAAATTGCGTTAAGCGATAAACAGCCCTAGTTAGTCTCTAAGTCTAAGTACAATGGTAGCATGTATGGCTAAACAACGAGTCGTGGGTTGAATCCCCATGGAGTCTAACATTTTTATATCAATTTATGATTTTTCTGAAACATGTAAGCTTTCGTCTGGAACCTTGGATGGTAGGAAGATCGACATTCCCGCCCGAATCGTACCTTGCTTAGATATCGTTGGAGTATTTCACCTACCATAATATAAACTACTAATAAAAAAATGACAAAATCATCTTATGATCTCTAGATCAGCGCCAAATAAAGTTGACCCTTTAACAACATTTTAGATGTCACCTCCAGCATCTTGCGCAGCGCCGACATTGCCGCAACGCACGAGCCCCCCGCGGCGGCTGGCAGTCCCCGAAAGGACTCCGCCCGTGCAGCGGAGGTCGGACGAAGCTAGACGCGTGCTGCTAAGTGATATTGGTATGTAAGCATTATTCAATGAGTGCTGCATCCGCACGTACACACTTACACATAATGTCCACCCACTGTCTCGCATGGAAGTGGCTCTCTAGAACCACCACGCTAGTCAGTACGTAAGTGTGCAATAACGACAAGTTTTTATTAATGTATTGGTTACCCGGGAATCAATGCTAAACGTCCGAGTCATGGGAACAATTAAATAAAAATTCAAACCTTTAATTTCACATGACTCATACGTAGAAATTTAATTTATATTATAATCAAGTAAGACAATAAATTGTTGAAAATAATAAATTGCGACTTATCTCCCAATATTTTGTGACCCCCTCAGAGCCGGGCTAATGCTAGCTATATAATATATTGGATATTACTTTATAAGGTATGAAGTAAGATGAAACAAAAACAAGTAAGCACCAGTTAAAATCCCTAAAATAACTATAATCGATAAGACTATGAAACTTATATGTCATAGTGCACTTAAATTAAAGTGAAATATGTGCTATTGTATACCTTTTGTAAATGTCGTCCTCTCCATTCGAGTGCAGTGACCAACAACATCGTAACAAAATGAACGATCAAATACCTACCGATTATCTACCACTCTTCAGGTTTCACGTCGATGGTCCCAGAGTTGTCTCGCTCCGCTGAACCGCTGTGGACCTTAAGAAAGGCTCAACAGCAGTCCATCGAGAGTAGAAACAGTCGTGGTTCCTACCACTCGCCCAGTGCCAGTGTGGAGAGGAGCTCGGAATGGAACTATGGCCAACCATCTCGAGGTATTTCTTTATAATTTTAAAACATCTGATTGTATATAATTCCTACGTTATTTGTCACTTACAAACTGAAAATAAATACTGGCTGTACGCTAGTAGTACACATTTAAATAAAATATTTTAAACGGTTTAAAAAGCGAATTTTAATAGTTAAACTTTACAAATAATTTTAACTACGGCCTGACGTTTCGGATGCTTTGCACCACCCGTAACCAGGGCTGCTCTGTAAAGCATAATTTGTAAAGTGACGACTGCGTAAGGATTATTTCATTTATTTTGTACATGTACATAATTAACGAATGGCTATGCGAATAAGCATGAATTTAAATGTTTGGGTGGGCTTTTTTCTTATAGAAACAGAAAGACAAATATTGTAAAAAAAGAACAATTCTGCAGCTATAGCCATGTTTGATATAGCCTGGTATAGATACAGCGAAGTCTAGGTAATGAAGTTTCACCCATTGGGTACAGAACCCTAAAAGTTACATACTCAGCAAACCCCTTTTATTCTTTAAAATATATATTTATATCTTCAGGTGATTGCATGTCATGGCGCGGGTCCTTGCCGGACGTACGACGCGATGACACAGATACATTGCTGCACGACACTGAAACGTTTTTGAGACGATCCATCGACAATCTTCGTTCTACATCACTTGATCGTAAGCGTACTCTGTTGGCAAAATTTCTCCTACAAGGAATAAATATCTTATTCATTTAAAAACATTTTGTTATTTCACTTATTGTCTGTACCTCACGAGAATTGTAACATTTAACTAAAACACTTTTAATGGTTCGAAACGCAAAAAAATATTTTATTTTACGACGTTTCGGATGCTTGGCGTAGTTGTGGTCACGTAAGGAAGCATTTGAAACTTATTGTTCTGATTGCTCATTAATTATGTTTATGTTCCGTACAGTGGATGCCACATTCGAAATAACGGGTCAGCCTTACATCCCGAGTGAGCCTAGGCAGCTGCGACTTGGACACGCGGTCAAACTTATCACGCCACAGGGTAGGCTGGCTGTGGGAAAAGTCAGGTACCTACCTACTCACTTATTTGCCATTTATAAAAGGAATATTCCTACAGTAGGCTGAATATTTGTTGGGTGAAATTGTGGCCTAAAAGCGGTTGGATAACGTTTTGCCTGATGCTGAAGGCGTAGAAACAGGAGCAACAAGTTTTCGCGTTTGTTTGTGTCGGCATTTAACGGCTGGTTCTTTTATAGATACGTTGGTATTGCCGGTGGTACAGCTGCGAACAGTGGCATCGTGGTAGGAGCGGAATTCTCGTCGATGGAGTACCCAGGTCTTCCTCGTAACGATGGCACTTATCGAGGCAGAAGGTATTTTTTAACACCACCACATTTTACGGCCGTGTTTGTCCCGTTTTCGAAAATCGTAATGGCATGGGCAAATTAAAGTAGGACACGGCTCGAAGGACCATTTTATCTCTCGTTGACGAATATTAAAATAAAACTGATTAACCGTAGGACGCGGTTTAATGTTTTAGCTATCTGACGTGTCTTCTTAGAGTAGTCGTAAAACGTATCGCGTTTCGATCCGATTTAGAAAATGTTTGAACAGGTAATGGACCTGTGAATCGAAGATTGGATATTTATGAATTGGAATGCGAAAGAATCCTTATATTGTTATCAAAATGAAAGCGGATATTTCATTTATCGTAAAGTGTGTTGATAATGTATAATGGTGATAGTAGGACCTTTGCTCATTTTAGCGCTCTAAGGCCTAAGAAAAAAACTTTATTGATTACGGAGTTAAACGCTACGTATAATATTTAGTAAACTCTGCTCGACTTGAAATCACTAATGGTTCAAAACAAATAATTTTCGATGGATTTATATTACATACCGAGTAGTGCAGAAAAGTAGAATGAACGTTGAACTCAAACTAAATATTCTGGCTTTTTGATGTACGTTTATATACGGATGTGATGAATTTCATATCAGTAAAGTAGGATTCTTTTTGACGTAAACTGTTTTATATGTAGGATGTGTCCAGTTTCTCATTAATTTATATCTTCATATGATCTAATTGTGGCGATTTAGTCATACTTTTTGTACTTCTGTAGTAGAAAGTATTTGCTCCCTCCTTCTCCCCCCAATAGTGAATAGTATAGATTTAGGTATATGTTGCCCCTTAGCGGTCGAGGTTAACGCGTCTTTTTCTTCGTATTTATTGAATATGAAGTTAAAATAGATGTCGTTGAAATTTTATTATAATTTACGAAATGTCTATACTACATATAAATGTATATATTTACGTCATAGTACAATAGTATGCTAGGTTGATTAAACATATTTTCTAGTATTCTCGTGATTATCAACAATGTATTTTCGTATATTTAGTTAACTTATAACGCAATATATCAGTATTAATAACATACAACATTAAGTATACTCAATACTACGCATATTTAAGTGGTGCTCAACATTTTTTGTACTTCCAGTTTAGTACCACCTCAAATAGTTAATTAATTTAACTTAATACGCTTAAAATCTAGTCATCGTTAGAAATATTTTATTTTTACTTATTCTCCTAAAATGGAAATGTTCGTTAAATACATTTATTTTGTGCTCGGGCGATTTTGTGGAAAAGTCGTTCTGTAGTATATAATTGTGAGTCTTGAAATGAGTGTGTCTTACTAGTTAATTAACTGAAGAGAAGGAAGACATTGAGGGTAAACGTTTTGATCATATTAGTTAGATGTTTGAAATTGTGAATGAAAAATTGTGTGAAATTGCTTTATAAAATACGCAGGCGAACGACTTCTAGGCGAAATTGAAATAAAAAATATTTAAAATACAAGATTAATAAAAACAATGAAAGGTGAAGAAGTTACAATTTTAATACATACGACAAATAGAAAAATGTAAAATATCAATAGAAAAAAGAGAGTCAATAACTCAAAAGCAAATATGAATAAAAACACAGAAATTTAATTTTAATATAAAAAAATATTATAATCGATATAAGATAACTACAAATTATTTTAGTGGCTAATATGATCAAAAAGAAAGGGTAGGATTTTACAAATATTGAAAGTATTTACTTAATCTTTATGTACTGTTTCTGCTTTGAAACGAACACAGTTTTATAATATGTAGTACTATGCTTTCAATACTTGTATTAGTGTTAATCAAAAGAAGGTAGGCAAGTAATACGTAGGCGCACGTAGACGACGAACTGTCATTATTATTTGGGATCCAAACTTCAATACTTTTGAAAAACTGTCTTTGTAATACTGAAGAGGTATGTTGTTTTACTACAGGAGCCCTGATTTTGATAATTATTTGCTATTTTTGAACGTCTGTTATTTGTAAAGTATGCGGTAGAAAGTAAAAATCGATACTTAAATATGAATGTTCAAAAACGGTGCCAAAAGTGGCCATATATGTTGTTAATAGGGGCATTTGTAATCTTTTTCTTGTCGGAAATCGTTATTTCGGCAGTCAGTGCGTGATTTTCATAAAAAAGAATTGAAATGGTCGCTAGTGTAATAGAGCGCCCAAAAAACTACCGTACGGTCTAAGAATACTGTTCAAACCCAAGAATTTCCTACTTTAAACATCATATGATATATGCAACTGTACTATTATATGTGTGTAGATAAAAATAGCTTAGAATTTCTATTTCACCTACTCTGGAACTGTTGTGTAATAAAAAAATCTATTTTAAATATTGTATAAAACTGTATGTTAATAAATGGGAAATAAATGTATTATAATAAATGGGAAAGCAATTAATGCTTGTAAAATTTTCATATTTGTAAAATTTCATACCTATGTACTTCAGAGTCACGCTCGGGCAGGCTCCACTAAAGTCCCCCTCAAATCTTTCACGGTTTTCAGTTTTCAGGCGACTAAAAAGTTGGTGAAGTGAGATCCCAATTTACAATGTCGATAACATATTGAAGATTTCAATAAAACAAATATATTGTAACAACAATTTAATAACAAAACAACAACATTGTATTAAACAATAGTTTCTAACAGCGCTCGTTAGTTTGTTGTAGAGTAAGAAATAAAGTAAGAGATAGAAATAAACGAAAGAGATGGATAAGGTAGAGACTGGAAGCAAATAAAAGCAGTAAGTAAAAGAAAGGAAAGGATAAAATAAGTAGATCAGAATACAAAGTACATAACAGGCAGTTAATAGAAAAAATCAAAAACTTGTTTGCCTTTGCGTCATAATAATATATAAGATACATTCATTATGAAAAAAAAATATAGATATCATAGTAAAAATGCAAGAAGTAACATAAATTAAGAAAATTCTTCTAATACGCTTAGGGTACTTAAAAGAACAAGTAGCCAGTATAAGGTAAAGAAAATAATGAAGTGAAGATTTTTATATATTAGGGAAGTTTATAAATAGAAAATGTAAAAGAAGATATAGAATAAGAAAGAAATTAAATAAATAAAAGATAGGAAAAAGGACATGTACTAAGAAGGAAAGAAGTATGAAGAGTTAAGTTATGTTTGAGAAATGGTATAATAAATAAAGAGAAAAGTAGAATAAAATTATGAATGAAAGAAGAAAACCAAACAGTTACACATAGCGTGAGTAGATGTGTGAATATAATGTGAAAATAAGGAAGAATATAGGACTTTGAATATGATATCGAATGTAAAAGTAGAAGTATTGTGTGTTGTGACTAGTTTAGAAAAAATGGGAAGAAGAAAGGAAGAATAAGAAAAAGAGCTGATTGGAAATATGAAAAAAGAAGGAAGAAGAAAATACACATAGTTTGTTCGTCAATTAAAGATGTTATATGAAATTGATCTAAAATGAAACTATAATAAAGATTAATAAGAGAAAGAATGACGAATGGTTATGAATCTTGAGTTTAGTGTCGTGATACATGGCTGGCTGATACAGAGTTAGAGAAGAGAAAATAGTGTGATTGTAATAGTATACGGCTAAGTAAATACAAATAAAAAATAGAGACAGATAATAGTAAATAAGAAAGGACATAATGGACGATTGATGGTATAATATAAAAGCGAATAGTGATAAAAGTATGATGCATAATAATAATATCTAGTCTTAGACAGAAGAAGAAGAAATAAAAAATGAATTATAGTTGAAGTTTGAAGAAAATATACTAATGTAATGTGAAAAAATACCTTGAAGATAATAAATAATATGTATTAGAAAAAGTGTATAAAAGAAGAAAAGGTAGCGAAAAGAAAAGTAAGGAAATTAAAAAAAAGTTTGTAATGCAATGGGGTGCATAACATTTAAGTCCGTAAAGTAGATGAAAAATAGATAGAGAAAAAATAACTGTCCAAGAAAGAGAGAAAGAACAAAAAGAGATGAAATATGTAAGAATAAGTTAAGATATGAATGGAAAAAAATGTTTACAGTTTAGACAATAGACAAAGTAGAAAAAAGAAGGTAGAGAATATAGTGAATTGAGGTTTGAGAAAGAAAGCGAAATAGTGAACACTGAAGAAGCATGTAGAAGTGTGAAGTGAACAGAAGAAAAAAAGAAAGAAGAAATTAACAGAATAGGTAAGGTAAGGCAAGCAAGAAAACAATACAAGATAAAGCACAATAAACTAACGAAGCGCTTATCACAGTTTGCTTCATAAATATAAAAGTACAACAGGAACATTTAGTGAACTACAGTGTGCAGAGCGGAATTAGCCGACTAAAACAAATGTGCGGGAATTCCGCTTAAAACTACTCGGGATCTCAACGTCTTTGGTAAAGCCTCTCGGCAAGATCAGAGGTAGAGCATCTTTTTCAATGCATTTGTACTTCTAGGGTGCAAATTAATTATTAATGTCCGTAGGACTCCTGATTGTTGAGCGGGTAGTCCGCGTACCACCCGAAAGCTCCGTTGTCCCCAGTGTGAGCCCCGAAGTCGACATATTCACCGAAATCTGGCGGACGTTCCGCAAATTGATGTACACCGATGGCGGCGGGCTTGGCGTCCTGTTGGACCTGTATTTTTTGCGGTGTCGGGGCCGGCGGCGGGGCTAATGCTATGGCTGAAATAAGGTTAGGAATGTCTGAGGTTAATGAGGCAAATAGCATTTCACCCAAATAGAAAAAGCAATTTGACCGCTAGGAATTGCACTATCTCTTGGTGGTACTCGTAACCGATTGAGTAACGCGGCAACTAACGACGTCCGGGCATTCGCACGACATAATCATAAAAGTTGTCAACGTTACCTCATGCAATTACATCGAAAGTGCCCAAGTGCCGAACGCGAATGGCACCTCGTAACCTTTACATAACAAAGATCCGATATGGACAATAGATGAAAGTGATTTCAAAACGTCATTCAATGCAAAACGAGTTACATTCTCGTTACTAGAAAGTGATCCTTGTTACTTTCACTCGGGGTCGCGGCAATTATGAATAAGTGAACCAGAAATTGAATCGAATTCAATATCTCGTGGACGGCGGACTTTCTATCGTGAGGTCGGTAGTTTAATTCCCGGTTATGTAGAGAAATATTTGTGCTGATACGTGTAGTAAATAGCCGTCTGGTCTTGCGGCTGAATTTCCGATAGTAATGATTTTCTCACTTTGCTGATTATATTGTTCCAAGGGTATAGGCTGGTAATCATCTTGGTAAGCTGCCTGCGGTAAGGCCGGTGGCTCTAAAATTTGCCTCGGGACTCTACGAGCTCGTAAAGAGTTTAAATCTAGGAAGGCGATCTGGTCAGCTGGCACTGCTATGTAGGAGGGAAGTCCTGACGCCACCCCAAGTACCGTGATGATTACCAGCAACTTCTGTAAGAAAACAACAATTTAGGACAGGGTTTCACCTAAGAATATATACTTTTTTTAAAGTTTTATCAATGACTCTCTAATGGTTTTTGGTGGAGACAAGAGACAAAAATCTGACCACCACAAATGGGGGATTTAGTGCGTTTGTTTTCGCTAGATATATTAATCGCGACATAGCCATTTTAAACAGTAGGTAACTTGAACACGTATCACGTTCATGTCCAACTAAATGCAACACACGATGTACTGATATGTACCTATTGCATTATGCGCGTGTAGAACGTGGGGAAATAAATTGGGTAAACTGTTTATTGCGTACACTAAAATGTGGACAAAATAGTGCCATTATTTGGCGTTTATTTATTTCATGATTTTGTTAGATATTTTTGTTTAATAGTTCACTTGATTATTACTTATTAGTTCCATCGTCAAATAACCTATATAAATCTTTATTTAGGAACCCGCTTTTAATAGTCGGATATAAGAGATAACCTTATAGCGTTTTCGTGTGAAGCCCTATTTATGTCAAGTCGAGATGTAGTAAGTCTCGTCACGGACAGTGCGCTTGCGCAACTTATGTAATTGGAGCTCGCCGGCGTGCTGACCGCGGTCGGAATATATTGTTTCATTTTCTCAGAGATTTGTAGATACTGCATTGTTTTCATAGCATTGCGATGTAGTCTAATATTATATTAACATTTTGAAATACGGCCAAGCGCAAGTCGGACTAGCGCAAAAAAGAGGCGCTCACTATACTATGAAACAAAAATTCGTTTTGAATGGAAACCCTTAGTTATGTATCATATTTTTTTTAGTATTTGTTGTTGTATCGGCACCCACGTGTTATTTATTTATTTCACACTGTGGTACACAAAACATGAATTTTACAACTATGTATACAGCGGCGGACTTATCGCTATAAACGATCTCTTCCAGGCGACCCGACTAAAAATAAATCTTAGTTAGATAGTTTTACCTTTTGGGTCTGGAATTCCAAAAGCAATGACTGTATAATGAACGTGTTTTGGAGTCTGTAACAATCACTAGCCCTGAGTGACTTAAGGACAACGCCCACTGAGCCCTAACCGCCCCCGCCATAGCAGAGCACGTCACGAAACAACTTTCAAATTATGACACATTATTAAAACATTTTTCGTCATTAATATTCACAAATAGTTATGCATATTTACTCTAATTAATGTTTAGTTCAAGCTCGATGTAACGTGTTGCCATAGATGGCTGGAGATTTTTTTTTTTTTTTTTCCCCCGCTGTTCGTCCCATCAAAAATGTTAATTATTTTTGGTTCAAAGGCCCAAAAGTAAAATTAATGAACGGGTTCGAAAAGCAAATTGAAACAAGACCTTGATTTTGTAACGACGGAAATATGTCTTTGATTTCTCACAAGTAAACGTAATAACCTTTCACCGCGTTACCTTTGAAGGTCAACAAGCCTGGGCGTCGGCCACTCTAGTACTTCCTGCATGAATTGTCACAAAAAAGGACCTCTATTTTACATGTCCGACAACAAGAACGAAGGCAACCTTGTATTTTACATTATAAATGTGACCATCATTATTATTTCCTTTTGCGTATGTATTTTAAGTGCGGCCGAGCTCGGAATAATCATAAGGTATACATATTAGTTGAGTTAATTAAAAGATTTGCCGTCAGACAATTTACAAAATATTGATCTACTTCGCTTATCAAGAGATCGACCTCAGTACTTTTCACTTTCTAAATGAGCATTGTAAGTCGAGCGGCGTACAAAGCGCTTTCAAAAACGTAATCGCAAAGTAACGGCTCGGCGCCAAATCGCGAGATAACTGTTACGTAAATATTTTCGCTCTTACTGAAAACATTACAATTTCCGCGCTTTATACTTGATTTTACTAACAAAAATTCAGAATATAAATTTTGCAATAATACATAGGTTCTTCTATCTATCTCTTATTTTTAGTATGTTTTTCCCGCGGTTTTCAATTAAACATAACTAAGTGTTTCTTATGTTTAATTCACAGTTTTCGTTAATAACTGAGCAAAGTAACAACCTTAAAGTCTTGCGATAACACATTTTTACCTTCATTTTACATTGTCAAAACTTTGTTTAATTTTAACAAATTCTGTTGAAATAAAATGCGAAACGGTAATCGCAAATTGATAATTACCGCCAAGTATGTTTAATGCAACTTTCTACTTGTTGCGTTGAACAATAAGTTTCTATTAACCTCGAAATAAGGAGTACAAGGGCCTTTATAATCGATGTTGCCAATAACCGGTAAGTTTTCACGCTTTTTCCGCATTATATTACTTTTAACGTGCTAGATTTTCCAGACATGTTTGGCAGACAGACGCTAAGATATTTAAGTGTTATTTTTTTGGTCGCTTATTTATTCATTTACAAATTACAAGCAACGAGACTGAATTAACATTATTTTCTAGAGCCCAATTCGCATTAATAAAAAAAAAATTAAAAAGAAAATATAAATATGATTAATCTTTAACATTAAAAAGAAATCCGACTGCATTTAACATTTGCGTAATAAAATACTATCCAACAATACATAAGTGCGACTTCAACTCAGAGTAGGACTTAAAATTAAGAAGGAAAAGAGTAGAAACAGAGGAAGAGAAGAATAGCACAGAAAGACACAACACAGGAAACACTTTAGTAAGAAATGGATATTTCAAGTTTATGTTTTAATTAAAGGAGGCATAATTATGAAAAATCCATAAATTTTAAAACTTGAAGGTACAAAAAAGTATATCACTATAACTGACCATCGTGGAAGCTAGCGAGACTAGCGTCGGCCGACGGGCGCGCTTGACTGAGTCGCCTCGCAGCGCCACAATCTTATATCAACCTCTGGGCAGTTTCACTTTCTCTTGCCCACTCGACTGATCTACTTTTGCGGTTGTAGCACGAAGGACCAACCCTGGACCGACGGGAGTAAGCTTTTCTTGCTTGCTATAGCTTGTTGCTTGAATATCTTCGACTGCTATTGAATCTTTGTGACTACTAGCTTGGGACCGTGTACGATATAGTTTAATTTTTTACATTGTTTGTAGTTCACCTATGCTAAATGTTATAATTCATTGATTTTACCCACTGCTGTTAAAACAAAGCCAAACGTTGGATCGTAGTTAATAAATTAGTATTATACATAATATATTTTGCATTTTAAACCGCTGAAATGTTGACTGCTTTTGGTAGTGAGAAATTGTAGAGTAAGGTACTTAGCGAAACTATTAACATAGTGATAATGTTCCGAATAACTAACATATAATCATCCATATACATTCTTTAAATGTAAACTTGTAAACCGTGGTCGATGGAAGATATCAGAATAAAGAAATTGTTAAGTGTTGCAACCCACATAACTCCTACACGACTATTACACAGTTTTAAGTATATAAATTCTAGTTAACAAATGTAGGCGTGTGAAGTCTTCTAAGTATGTTTACCTATTGGTTATTAATTCGATTTGAAGTCTATTAATATCTTTAAATTAAATCTCAGTAGGTAAATTACCGGTACTTTTTATTTTTGTTCAATGCCCTTTGCATGTCATTTAAATTGACGTTCACTTAATGTTCAAGAGACTTGGCAATTACCATAAAATATGTACCGCTGTTATATCCCAGTTTGGGCAAAAAACCATACGTCGTTTTTCTGCAAAAACGTGTTGAAGGTTAGACTTTTCGTTGTTTACGTTGGGTAATCTATTCATATCGCTGATATTGTTGTACAAACTTTCCTCAGAATTAATTTATAATAATCGGGGGTAGTTTAGTTTTTCCATACGACGTCCAAATTTTTTTCATATTCATGTCATTTGTGTCACAGTTGTTTATTATGTATAACTCTCAATTGAATATAAGTTATACCGTCTGTATGTTGAGAGACGTCAATAATACTTACTTTATTCGGGATTTAACCACTGGAGCGGAGGTATGCATGTAGAATATTATACTGGTTGTTCATATTCTTCCTCGGATTGTGTTTCGAACTTTTTTGCCATTTTCTGCCTTTGTGTTACAAATTTTAATATCATTTAATGGATCGCTACAGTTTTGGTATATCTTAAACAAATGGTAAAAACCGAGCCATATTACTAGTAATTATAAGATATCACGCTTCTCCGTCACCAAGATATATCTCAATAACCTCCAAAACTGTAATATTTCTGTTACGGCTAGAATATACCAAAGGAAATTGAATGTATATACTATATATATCAATACACTAGTTTTTGCCTGACTTCGCTCGATATGATTAATTGATAAAATATTCGGCACTTAAAAAAAATTATTATGAAAATACATAAGTTTCACAATAAAACAGGTGGTACGGTAGGAACTTAGATCCACCTAGGAAGATGGATCTGAATACCTAGGAACCGTAGTGGCGTCGGATTTGACCAATTTTCTCTGATAATCCTTAGAAGTCGAGATCATATTAAAATCCCTCCAACATATATCATTCTGATAAGAGATTTTTCGGTATTTAACTATGTTTCATAATTGTTAAGGTCATAAAAGTTGAACAATGCATTTTAAACGTATGAGAAAATGTAATAAACTCATTCTAGGGGCATTGTGTGCTTGTAATTTTCGGTTTACCTTCGTGAAGAGATAAGGTTGTGCAATATTTGCTCGCTAACAATAAAAGCATTTGCAAAAGAATTTCTAAGTTCATAGGCTAAAATAAAAAAATTTTGTAATAATATATGTCATAAATCCATTGCGTTTTATTTTTTCTATAAGATTTCGTATCCAGGTAGGAATTTCATTTTGCCTGACGCAAAATAAAAATACATTATAATGCGGTGTGCTCCCTTAAGGTAGTCTAGCTGTGCCCGCGACTTGGTTCGCGTGGAATAGACTTGGGATAAAATTTTAAATTATTTTACCTTTGTTAAGGGCGCATTTAAGGCAGCCAATCTATGTTGTAAGTGCTACGTTGCCGCAACACTCTCACCTCGCATCACTCCTACTCTAACTCCCACTCTCATTACTATACTCACCACTCCCACTCCTATTCCCAAAAGCCAAAGAAGAAAGTTTCATTGTTCTAGCTTCCAAAACCACGAATTTCCATACAAACTTTCATCCCCTTTTTCAACTCTTTTTTGGCATTAGGCTCTAAAATATCTCTGTACCAAATTTAATTTAAATCAGTTCAGTCGTTTCGGAGTTAAAGCCGGACAGACAGACAAACAGAGTTTATATATTTGTAACTGTATTACAATTATCAACAGGAATAAGGAAGTACTACACGTACAGTTCGGTGGGTCCTTTTTAAATTATGATTGAAAGACAATATTTACAATTGTATTTAATAAATATTTATTCTGTTGCAGCACTAATCGAATATTTTTTCAAGCCTCCGCCACTCTTATTTAATGATGTTAGTCGGATTACATAATTGTTGAAGTCAACGGAGCACGTAGAAATAAAACTGAGGAACGCCGTAACTTTGTTTAGAAACTCAAGCAATTAAATTTTTGCCTGCGTTTATTTATTTCGCAATATCGTTATTGTAATAAGCTTCGCGTTTAGCGGCGTGAGAAGGATTATGTTTTTAACATTTATTTTAGGCTAGCCCATCTGTATAGTTCCATTACGTTAAAACGAGTCATTATTTAGTAGATAATGCAATTAGTATTAAAGATAACTTTGAATTCGTAAGAACCCCATTAGTCCATTGGTATGTGCATTCGGTTTGAGGTCGGTGATTCAATTCTCGTTCACGAACCTAAGTAGTCTTTGACAACATTTTTTTACTATATTATAGTTACAATTACTTATATTAGGTATTATAAAACTACTATGTACAATTAATTTACGGGACCACCTCTATTTTATATCTCGCAATGTAATGAGTATTGAGGGTTTCGCATTTCTTGGTGCGTATTTCCGAGGTGGCTTTCGCAAGGTACATATTAGGTGCTATATTTTATACCGAAAGTATACCATAGTTAGATCCAGTTTAGCTCTTGTGAAAGTCTAGAAATACTAGGTATTAACTCAGGAATCAGTGGGTCTCTAGTTTAATGGAAAGTGGCTGAAACGAGTTTGCACTTATTTCTAGAAATAGTCAATAGACTTATAGAATTTGCTCTTAACACATTGAGATTTAAACAAGAATTTTATATCTTGAAGCCATTGTCATATAGATGTAATGATTTGGTCCTGTTCGTAGATCGTAACGACTCTTATGGGACGCGGTCAAAACGCCTATAGTAATTCTTATCATAAGATAGAAGGCGGAAGCATTCGAATGACAAGTTTTTGCGCTAGGCCATGGGATCACGGAGCGTAAACTACTGAAATGCGAATAATGAGAAAAAGAAAGCATAACAACCTCTTCACCGGAAGTGAATACAATCGATTTGTTCCGAGCTTCTAACTGGCCGAAATTACGTCTAGAATTATAAAAGTAGGCATGTTTCTTAGACTTAACACTAAAAATGAATCAGTTAATAGTACCTTACCGATTTTTTTCAACCGCGACCCGTAATTTTGGACCATCTAAAAACGTTGGGTTGTGTTGAAAATAAGGTAACTAATATAATTTGCATAATATAATAATCGTAAATAGTATTTTATGTTTTGTATCTATCTATTCTATTGCATAAACTACGTTTAAATCTCAGGCATGTTACTTTCGCAAATTTTCAGTATTCACCCCGGGTCATTAATATAGTTTATAGAGGTCTACAAAATATTTAGACAAATGTGATCTAGGCTTAGATTAGTTTATTTCATTGAAATAGAGAACGTTGAATATGTTGGATTAGGTTAGGCTTGATGAATGTAAGTAGGTGTCAAATTACAATTTTATATAGTTTCGTTTATGTTGCATGCAGGTATAGGTACATGAGGCCGCTAGAGGCATAGTAGCGTAACAGCAGTCTATGACTTGAGTTATTTATATTTTAATAGTCTAAAAATGTTGTTAACATAATTCTTCAACAAATAATAGTACAAATTCATTTTTGCCTAAGTTAATTACGCACTTTTATTTTACTCCTTATTGAAAATCATGTTTTTTTGTTATTTGGCCACTCCCTCTAGCAGCCACATGCGTTATCACTACAGTACTTGTATCGAGAGTAGAAGGTACCAAATACTAAGCACCTGGAAACTTACCACGGGTCGACGAGCACAGCATTAGGTACCTAGATAGCATTTCAAATCCGAGTGAGAGCAGCCATCAGCGTGACGCATCTTTTGCGAAACTATTGTTTACGCAGTTGTACAATTAGCCGCTACGTTCATTATGAAAACTTACAACGGTAAGGACTTCCTATTCAAGAACAAAGACAAAAGGAAATGCACTTTCCTGGGATTTCTTTAACTTGTGCTTTATTAAGATCCATTTAGTATTTCGTCCTGTTTTAGACTGAAGTTAAGGTGTTTGTTGAAGGTAAGGTTTGGATAACAAAACCATAGGTAATTAAAATTAACCGAACAGATTAAAATAAAATACTTTTCACAACTGCCAAAGTTACAATAAACATTAGGTACCTGTTGTTTAAATGTAAAAAAGTTTTTACACGCACACGTAGTAGCGAACGTCATCAAAAGGTTCAAAAAGTCAAGTTCTCTCTAGCATTAAAACAAGTGTAAATCACGTGGGGAAAATGTATTAAAATATTCACACTATTCGTCAACATCTTTATTCATCAAAACTACAATAAAAACAACTTATCTAGAAATGTTCGAGGACAAAGTTTTTTGTAAGCTTTACAACCATTCTGTGCTAAGATAGGAACCAGAGCTGCACAACATAAAGCGAGTGAGGACAAACGACAATGAAAATGTACAAGCGAAAAATTTAATAACGAGATTTAAGTAAACTCGAAACATAACCTTAAGGAGTTTATAGATCGCAGTTAGAAGTCAGTATTTCTTTGCGAACGGAAATGTAAGCTCTGTAATCATATACGTACTATATCTTTCCTTAAAATTGTAGAGATTCGAACTAGTTTTAACAATACGAACTTTTAAAAATAAAACACTTTCTACGGTTTAAAACGTTTTATATTAACGGTTTGTATATTAAACAAAAAAAAACAAACCAAACGGGAGAACTACGGCTGCTGCAAAGCTCGCAAATGCGTAGTTGAAAGAAATTGTTGATATATTTCGCGTTTTAAACCGCTAAAAAAGTTTGTGTACTCGCGGAAACTACAGACTCAATTACTCAATACAATCCATTCTTACATTACCTAACTACTATTTCTACTCACTAAAACAATCACAGATAATAATTAATGGAGCTCTACATCGTCGCGCCGGTTTGCGCATTGAAGCGTTAGTCGTCGGATAGGTGGGATTAGTCGTAGGGAAGAAATAACTTTGTTACACATTGACTAAATAAGTACGGCAGTTTGAAGGCACCAGTTTACGTTAAATATGTTACTCGATTGAATGGAGACTAATATTTTCACATATCAGGTGAATGTAATCCACATTTATTTTGCATTTTAAACAAACAAACGTTCACTTATAAGAAAGACAATTATTCTAATGAAGCACCTTTATATTATGACGAGATTAGGAAATAAATTAACAAAAAGTTACAAAAAGTATACTATTATTTTCACTCTTATTACTTATAATTCTTAAAAACGCTTTACAAAGTGACGAAACAATAAGTTCCGCTTTCACAATATAAAAGCATCAACGTAAATGAGTTTCTTTGCAAATTGCCGTGTTGTATAATAAATAAATTACTATCTAGTACTTTGTACTGTATGTAACCGCTGTCTTCCTCGATACCAGGGAGGACGCATTTTCATCGAGATTACTACTACACATCTTATTTTATGATTTTTAGGCTGGTTACCGCAGCCGAAGGGTATAGGAAGGAAGTCAGATAGACTAAGTAATCTGTCTGTCTGTCTATCAGTCTTCTATACCTCAATTAGCGAGAGAACCAAACATTTAGACATATTATGTATTTCGGTTGCCGCTATGGCAACTGGCTGAAAGCCATTACTAATAATGTCGTTCGGCATATTTTTTCCTGATACAATGAACAAATAGGCAGGTTTGAATTACTAAAAAAAGGTAACAATACGAAATGTGTCTAGTCAACGGTACGGAACCCATTGCGTGCGAGTCCGATTCACAGTGGACGGTTTTCATAGAAATAGCTGCGTACGTTCATGTCTCGTAAGGACAATTCAAATTTTCTGCCAGACAACTAGACTTCCTGTCTCCCTTTAAGATAAGCACCATTTTACAATCAGTTGTAATAATAAATTATTAAGTTAGTCTCCAAACAAAACTAACCACTCTGGTATCAAGGCCAACGTATTATGTCTGCTGCGACAGCATATAGAAGAGTGTTCCTTATTTACCCTATTGTAGGAGTAATATTTAACTCAGATAATATTGCTATTTCAAAAATCACATTTTTCGCCGATTCGAGTCTACTGCCAATTAGAGAAGAACTAATGCGTGACTTACCCGCACTCACTTATCGTGCCTGCCAAGACTGTCTAAATTACTATGATGCGAGTCTATCCTATTCATATTCGCTTTGAATTCATTCCGCAAATCTTTATTTTTCGTCGGCGAGTTCGGCGCTTCTTTTTCGATATGTTGTCGCTCGCTATCGAGAAATTCGTGAGAACCGTTGGTATGGGCAACGGGTTTACTCGAGTCGTACGAAAGATCGAAATTGGACACCGATTTCACTTTATCTGCCGCTTCGAGGCCCCCGGAGAGAGATATTGATGTTGCATCTGTTAAAATAATGAGAAATATCAACGGTTTAGAAGAAAAAATACATGTTTTAGGCGTAATATATACGTAAGTTGTCAATTTTTTCCAATATAAAAAATAACTTCCTACCTTTCAAACTCTCCGGAGTCAGAGGTGAAGTTTCTCTGTCATCCTTGTGGTCTTTAGGCATCGACGCAGCTCGAGGTCCCAGCATACCCAAAACTCTTCATAAGGATAACGTTAAAAATTAATAAACCAATAATCTTTTCTGCAAACATATTTCGGAAAAACAAAGAACATTTGTGGGGCCCACATCCACATATTAATAGATTTAAATTATAGATACCTGGAGTTGGTGAGGTCGCCGAACGGCGTCAGAGGAGAGTGGATGTGTTGCGGAGTGGAAGAAGTGGAGGGGCTGGCCACCGCCCATCCTTCGGCTATTAGGGTCTCGCCGATATCGACTGATCCTTCTACGCAATAGATAAAAAGATAACGTCAAAACCTGTTATTGCTTATTTTTACTTTTATTTACGGATCTAGTGAAGGCCAAAACATTTTTTAGAACTCTAGCGACGAACTGGCGAACTAATTTATCGAGCTAATCATTTACCATCAGTGACATCATATAGCTTGATGCCGGGTATGTCCTTGTGAAGGTCGCCTCGAAGAGAGGAAATTCGCTTGTAAGTGCACGTTTTCGACATCAGCGGCTTCCAACGGGCCACCTAAAACCAAATTATAATGCGTCAAGACTTAACACAAATAGGTTACAAAATTATGAAACATTGTACGCATGCAGGTATGAAATATTTTGTATAACCAAATATTCTGAATAATTATAACTTTTGTATTAGAAGGGCTTTTAAGAAGCTTTCTCTGAAACGGCTAAACTAGAAGGACATGAAATACCTGTGAGAGCTCTTCAAAACGTTCAACAGCCTGTGGATGCCACTTGGGCCATTCATCAGACTTAGGTTCCTCGTTCTCGATGGTAACGGGTTTCACACCAGCCAAGAAACACTCCATTGCCTGTAATTTGGAATACAAGACTATGAATATTTAGCACAAGCCATTGTTTAAGACCGTTTAGAAAGGGCAGGTTTTTTGTCTGCTTTGATCTGCCTTTACGGACTCCAATTTAAAAACCTTTTTTTATCAACAAACCTGGAACCGCAGCCTGAGAAGATCCGCTCTCAACTCGCAGAGCTCGTGTGTGGCGACATACTCGCTATCTCCATAATCCAAGTAGAATACATCGGCTACCTGAAGAAAGAATATACAAAGACAAATCACTCTTAACCGCATTGACACCACAGGCTAGTGAATAAAAAAAAATGGTCCCCTTATTAAAATTCTCTCGTCCTGCCCGGCTGTAACAGTTTATCGTTTCCCCTCGTTCCCCACTCCGTACCTCTCGTGCTTAACGCAATGCGTGCAAACGCGTTTACCAATTAAGCTAGGGGTCCTATTGTACCTGTTGAGTGGCGTCGAATTCATTCGCCCGAATGTCATCGACGCGCGCCCGATACCAACGGCCGTCGTGTCTAAACACTGCTGCCACCACCTGGCCCACCGATACTGAATTCAACTGGAACAGACAGAAAAACCTTTTGTCATCTAACACAGTAGAATAGTTGTGTCTATTGATAGAGTTAACAATATGTGCTTCAATCTAACGATAGTCTCTGAAAATTCAATGATTATTTCTTTAATGATAGAGGAGGGCAGACAAGCAGAAGTTCACCTGATAGTTGATGATATAGCCTAAAGCAAACAATACAAGTTGCGCTATCGGCACATTTTGGCTTTGAATATTCGGAAATCGAAACGCGATGCAGCTTCGTGGCGTTTTTTATCTGTGGACGGTGGTTTCTTTTGCCGGAAGGAATTTCTATATTCCTACCACTCATTTAATATCCAGATTTCTAGACGAAGTCCAACATGTTTCAGAAAAATTAGAAACATGCGGGACCCAGGTGGGGATCGAACCCACGACCAATGGATTATTAGCCATACTTTGCTACCATTAGACCGACGAGCCCGTCTAATAGGGAAAGACTAAATTAAACCATTAGACCAATTTTTCGATCTCCTCGGGACGAACGCCCTCCAGAGCATCAGTACTAAGGCAGTCCATTTAGTATAACGCAAAAATATTTCTGAGCAAACTCACCGCATGCGCGTCGCGATTGTCCTTATTGCTGTAATACGCTGTCATTTGAGCGACGAGGTCATCCAGTTGATTCACTTGTGGACCAACGAATTGAACCCAAAATCGCGACGGCGAAGACACGGCGGCCACGTACACTTCGATGGAGGATCCCGCTGGTTCTGGCGACGTCAAAAAGCTAATAAGTAAGTTTGATTACAAAATAATAGCCACAGACATAAAAATAGCTCACTTCGACATTCAGGTCTAGCTATGAATGTGTCAAAAAGAAATGTTTAAAGGTAACAACATACAACCTTCTTTTACAGTACACGCAAAACCAAATAGCAATAAAAACTCATAATAATATGCACAATACAACATACACAAAATACTCCAAATTACCCCATCTCCAAAATACCTCCATTTCAAACATTAAAATAAAAAATACCTTATAAAATCTGATGTTGGTGTTCAGGTGTTTAATGCTGTTTATATCAAAATACTTTTTGCAAGTTTTTATTCATTTTAGCAGAAGTGTATACAAAATATGTAAATGCTCCTTAGGACCCTAATTATACATTATTATATCAAGGTTTATAGATGTCTAATGCTATGTAAGCAAACAAAAGATTTACGTGAAAGGAAATACTAGTGCAGGATGTGAGATACTCTGTATTTCTGTAGGTAATAAAAGAATCTGCTAAGTGCTAGCACCCAAAAGCATGCGTTTATCTTACCAGGCGTGGAATAGCGGACATGCTTGGCGGGAGGTGAGTCACCTGTGTCTATGGCGGGTTGGGGGGCCGGTGCAGGGGTGGATATTGGCAGGCGAGGTTTCTTAGCCTGCTCGACCTCACGACGACACTTCTCTTGCGCCACCTTATGTTTAGCAATTAGTTATAAAAAATAAAATCATATAAAAAACTTTGAGCCTGTATACTTCATTTTTACTTACACAAGTTTCAATGAGTCTTTTAGCAAGATCAATTTGTTCTTTTGTCCCTCGGAAAGAAATTTTTGTTGGTTCATTGTTATTAGCTTGCTGATTAGATTCTACCTTCACTCGGGCGCCACTTGAGTGGCTTATGTCATTAATATTATCACCACCTGATCCTGAATTATATAAATAAATAAGTGGACAGTAATGTCAACTAAATTCATATTTATTGTGTGCCACATTTGGTTCAAAAATGTTTAGTAGGCAGTTGTTAAAATTATTTTTGCAGCAGTGATCTAATAAATCTTTTCAATTGTAGGATTAATATATTTTGCGTTTTTTTAATTTTCTACTACCTACCAATAATCCTGCCGACTGTCCAACATGGCACTTCCATTGAATCAGATTCAATAAGAGGCTGCTGTTTAATAAAATCATGTATCATTGTCTCTGCCACCTGAGTAGCACTGCTCCTTCCTCTGATTATACATACATCATAATCTTTATCGCTAAATTTTTTGAAATGTATGAGTGACCCAGACTTCTGTTCAATATCTTTGATGTTAGAACCATTTCGACCTGAAATTTATATTTAGAGGAAATATAATACACAATAGTACTTTCAATACAGTGTATCAAATTACAATTTTTGTAAACAGAGTAGGTAATATAAGACACAAGGTCTTTAAGTTACCATAACTTTACAACCTTGAAATCACTACACTGCCTCTTTGTATGTTTTAGTTGTAGGATTATTCTTATTACAAATGTCTACAAGAAGTTTTTTTTTGTTAAAGTAATTGTTAAAGTAATTGGTTAAATATGTTAAGAGCTGTTTAAAAAAAAATATATGACATATTAGCCTAAACGTCTACAGAACTTAGATTGAACTTACCAATTAAAGCAGATACAATACTTTTTGGCACAGTGACTTCGATAACATTGACTCGAGCTGTTTTCACTGTTTTGTCAATTTCCTCATCCTTCTTGAATACATAATACACAACAAATGCTGTTACTGTTACTATTGAGAAACCCAAAGCGACGGGCAATACTAATTTGGAGTTCAAAACCATTTTTATTGCTGTAAGATAGATTTTCACAAAGTTTAATTGAGGGTTAGGTGTTAGCGGCTATTTGTATTTATAATCACAGAAAAATAATATTATAATGATATTCAAGTTAAGCTTTATAAATACTTTAATTAAAAAAACTGGCTTGTTGATACCGTAATAAGTAATATGAGTTTGTTCTATAATGGGTTATGACATAATGCTGAAAGAAATATTACTTCATCCATAGGAAACTTGACACTGCTGAAGCATCACAAACAATATAAATTTAAATTTAAGGAAAGATTTGTATTTTACTAGTATATATATACTTACAACGAGAAATATTACTATTCTTTCATATAAATGTTTGTATAGTTTGACTAGGTGGGTAAACTTTAAATCTCTAAAAGTTATGTCTTATACCTTTCAACTTTAAATCATTTTATATTTATAAGCATGGACTATGTGTAGCACTCTGTAGTCTATTTCGCATTTATTTGACAGAATAAGCAGTTTAAAGTCTGTTCCTACGGCCTAAATGTAAATGCGCAGTAAAACAGATTATACAATATACCATAGATGAGGTCATTGTTGACGCACTATATTATAAAATGTTACCATTTATTTAAATTTTGCCGCGATTTTTCAGAATCAACTTTTTTAAACATACTAAGCCGTTTTATTTTAAAATATATTTTCATATTTATCTGGAATTATTGTCTGAGTGAAAGAATTTGAACTTTGATCTCACTATATGCTAAAACATTAAATCGATCCAATTAAATTAATTACAGCAAGATGATCTTAAAAAAATAAGGGATGATCGGATACAATAAACTTTTTACTGCGAACTCGACTTAAAAAAAAATATACTTGGTGGCAAGTCGTAGTTGTAAATTTTGACGAGAAAATATCTTCATTTTTACTGTTAATTAGGGCTTTTTCTATTGTATTTAACTTAACATTTTAAACATAAAAAAACATCGACCAATATGCATTTAAATGTCTGCTGCAATATGTGATTTAAGCGTCAACCCAGTTCCAACTAGAAAAGGTAGTTAAGCTAACAGAAAATATTTCAACAACTTAAGCTCTTGTTGTGACTAAATATTATGTATAGTCTTATGTTATTTAAACGCCTTTATACGATTGTTTCAGATCCGACTAAAGCTATCCTAAAATAATTTCTTTTGCTTCTTTATTTTGTAACAACAAATATGGCTTGGGATCTAACTTTAGGTAAGCCGTCCAAAATGATTTATTGGTATACTATGGTTCCAGAGCTCGGCCTTATTAATTTTTCTTTCATGTCATTTGAATATCACGATACTACGAATTCGCAAGAATGTAGGTTAACCGTGATTTTGCATTAAGCTAAGGACAATTTTTTCTTTATCGTATTAATTCTGATACTTTTTACAATATTTTTTTAATGGGTTATGCCTAAGATTTCTTTGTACCTCCATCATAGTGTTAGGTCAATAGCGTGAAATATATTTTGAAACGTTAGTTTTGCTACAACTCGCATCTTCACATGGATATGGTATTGGAGAATTTTTATATTTGCCATCTAGATGATACTCGCTATTATTTTTAAACGACAACGTATACTCCCCTTATTTACATCGCGCGAGCGTGCGCAACGTAATAGACGTACTATAATATTTTTTATTGTCTCGTCATTTATATAAGCACGGAAGGCTTTCTATACTTTCACAGTTGTTTTGGTTCGTATTGCGAAGCCCAACGCTTACAATATTACAATGAATCGGCCTTACAAACGCCGTTTTTTGCGTCCAAATAATATGCACGAAGCGTTTTACGGCGGTAATTTTCAAACTTTTCTGACGATTACATATACTATTATAGAGATAAGTAGATTTTAATTTTTAACAAATTAATGTTGACAAGATTAATGATAATAATTATTATTATTTTGTCAGACTTTGAATACGTTGTAACAAAAAAGCTTCCTCCTCGTATGTGTTTTGGAACCACATTAGACCGAGAAGTTTTGCCAACGAAAGGGCCGAATTTAAGTCCATTCATGAGAAGGAACGCGGGAGAAATTAGACCCAATTTAGGCCCTGGAACGTATGAAAATGATAGAGATGCTTTCTACGATCTAAATCGTCGGGTGAGGAACTAAAAAGGATGCAAATAAAATGACAGTCTCACTAGACTGTATTCTGCCCGTCAATATCAATGCAATAGGAAAGCGCTTTCTTTTTGTGTGATGTTACTTTTTTAGTGGACCTAAATAGTAGCGGTGAATGTTTCTACCACCTTCAAATCTAGACAGCTAGGACCTCACCTAATTCTACACTTAATCTTGGATGAAATTAAGGAATTATTTATGTATAAACTATCTTTTTCAGATATATAGCAAATTGTATTATGGACCAAAAGAACCGCGTTGGAAAGTCAAACATGAATACCAACCACCACCAAAGGAACCGCCACCCGAAAAGCAAATTCCTAAAAATTGTGCACCCTTTAATTCCACTTCCAAAAGAAAAGGATTATTCTCGGCTAATGACTACCCGGCGTATGATATTATCGCAGATCGATTTCATTTATATTAAATTTTGGTAGTTTTAAAAGTATGTATTATTTTTGCGTTGCAGAGCCTGCGATTACTACCCAATATATAAAAAGAAAGAAATGCCATTCTCATATAGTTTTAGCGGTAAAAAGGTTTTGAAATGTGCAGTTGAGGTAAGTTCTTTATAGTTTTTATCGAAGGTAAAGTATATAAATAATATAATAATTATCTAAGATAAACAACTTTTCCAGATAAAATGCGTTCCATATAATTTGGATGCGTGTGCAGTGTGCGGTTGTTCTTGTTCTGCCCACGGAGATTATTGGCAATTTGAAAATAGGATATTTCTGTGCAGAAAACACTATGCACGATTGTTCAAACACTGTCTCTCTACATTTCAAGGAGCCAAGCTCGCTCAATTTAAGGTAATTGTGTAAAAGCTTTAAATAGATCGAGGATAATTCACAAGCAATGGAACATAAGTTAACGTATTCTTTATCCCTTTCAGTCTGTTAGAGATTGTTTTTTCGCGCATGCTCATAACAGTTGCAAAGCAGCTTTGAAAATAATGAGAGTTGAGGAAATTGAGAAGAAATTGCGAAAGGAGGCCTATTTAGATTTATATTTTCCACAACGTCGTTTCTGTAACAATTAATTCTTTTAAATTTCAATTGCTTCAATAATTTATGTAATTCAAAAATAAATTGTACATATTTTGTGTATGTTGTATTATTAAACGTATATAATATTTAAGTGTATAATTTCTCAATACAAAAAACATCTAGTCGTAGAGTAACATCACCAACAAATAAAAGTATCACTATGATTACACCGATGAATTGTACCAAAATGACGTTAACTTAATAAAGCTCGATAGGTGGTAAATGATTAACGTCTATACGTTAATTATTTAAGGTTGCTATCAACCCCTTGAGGGACCATGCCCTGAAGGACATGGTCATGTAACAAATAACAAAAAAATTTGCAACCAGGCTTGGTACATTATTATAGTAAATATAATCGGATTCTCGTAATGTAGGATTACCTACTACATCTGTGTTCACTGAGCAAGTAATCACTACGTATTATCTGTGTCAATCATCTGACTTGTTTTGTCATTCAGTGTTGTGAATATTTAAGTGTTTGTCTTGTTTTCTTCCTATTCTATCTTACTTTACGTTCTCGTTCACAACATTGCGTATACTCTTTGAAAATGAAATTGGATTCAAATAATAAGATGATCAGTGGTAACAGTGGGGCAGAAACGCCCGAGGAAGTAGTGGACCCCCGACAAAACGCTGAAGATCTGATTGATGAGATATTGGCTGAGTTTTCAGAGTCCCGATCCCCCGATACGAGGTACACCGGTATTCCTGAAAATCTACTTAATATAATGCAGTCTTCGAGACCATCGACCAACGTGTATTCGATTAACCAACCGCCACAGACGCGAACGCCTGCTAATTCGTTCTCTGACAACTCCACTGTGGACGATATTGACCCATCCTCTGACCTGGGAACGTCGATACGTAATAAATGTGTGGAGTTAGAAGAGATTCTTCAAAGTTTGAAATCGCGGCTAAACCACGTAGTCCTCGACGAAAATATTGTTTTAAGTCCCGATGTCAATTCAATGGAAGCTCAGCTGGAACATGATTTAGATACAGATTGTCAGGAAGATTTATCACTTCAAGAGTTTCTTGAAATCTTACATTCTCAGAATAAAGTGACACAGAATTCTGTACAATAATTTTTTAAGTGCAATCATGAATCAAGTTATGTGCAAATTATAATTAGAGAATTATTAAGAGTTAATTAAATTGTCACTACCATATTCGTTTTTGTTGTTAAATGGTGAAAATAAGAAATAACTTTGCTCTATAGGAAATGTCAATGTAAAGAAAATAAAGTTGAAGGTTTATAAAAACAAATTTATTTTATAATCACAAAAATGGGTGCAGCATTAACTATATAAAAAAGAATAACACAGATAAAATAAATTTAAAAACAGTCTCGAATTAGATATCATCAAACATACTGTTTATTTGAGTACTAATGCTTACTTCTGTCATGTTCGGCATAGTATCATTTTCATATAATTGACTATCTTCATCTGAATTTGTTACAGTGCTTTTATCATTTTCAGCTTTAATTATAAAATTTAAATTCTTGTCATGAAAAATATTCAAGATACTCATCTTTTTTCTTTCATTCAATTCTGTTTTAATTTCTCTTAACCAATTATTGTAACAAGTAGGATCTGATGCAACACATGCCTGCCTAAAATGCATTAATACCTTCATTACTTTCTCAAAGTTTCCATCAATGTTGCCATAAATTAATTGTTCAATTGCTTCTGACATTTCAAAACACAATTCCTTAAAGGGTTTCCATTCCTTTAAAGATTCGAAATCTTTAATAGGATCCACAGTTCCAACTCTTTCTACCTTAAGGATGTTATTATCAATGACACTTAATTGAATTTTTGGAACATCTTCCATGTTTTCACTCTTGGTAGGGACAACACTATGTTGGGCATCGTCCACATCCATCTCTGTGGTTTTTTTCCTTGTCTTAACTTCTATCCTTCTTAAATCAAATAGAGATTTAAGTTTTTCCATTGAATCTTGTGCTCTTTTTCTTATCAATGGTGGAATCTTAAAGAGCATCATTATGTCTTCTCTTGGTGGTGGAAGAGGTTTTGACGGATTCATAGCTCTATAAGAAATGCAATCCAAAACATATTGGGCTGATGGACTTACCATTTCAGCTATGGGATATGCTTCAGTATCATCAAATTCAGCTTCATCATATGCTTTAGTAAGATCCATGGCCTGAATTAAACTTTTAAAAGCATCAACCTGCTCAGTTGTGCATGAAAGCTTTTTAAAGTGAGTTGGAGGGAAAGCTATATTTTTTAAGTCTTCCTTGTAACATATTCCAACTAAAGAAAGACATATATATTTAGCATCTAATACAGGCATAAGAGCATACATTCTTGGTGCATTTCCATTATTGTAAACACGCCTTACAATTCCTGTCAGGTTTAATTCATGAAGACATTCAGCTAGGCACCTTATTGTATACTGAGCTTTTTTATCGCCTTTTCGGCCAAAAACATACGATAATCCATCACCATTTAGACATTGCCAATTTATATTACTTGAACTTGTGAAACCATAAACTGTTAAGGATTTAGCACCTGACTCATAAAGCATACTTTTATCACATTCAGAAAATGGGATTACTTCTTGGCCATAACAGTACCCCTTAATTATGTCTGTACTACTATCTATTACAGTTTGATCTTCAGAATTGACAAAGACCTTGTTTTTCATAATACCTTGAGTTGTGCTAGCTGTATTTGTTACAGGGTCTTTGATACCCTTCAGCCAATTTTTCACAACTGGTTCATCTTTAAGCCGAATATAGGCAGACACAGGAATTTTTATGTTTGGCCCTAGGCTAAGATCTACATTCCAAGGAATAGGGTTAGTGGCTTTTTTCTTATGGAAGAGTAAGTATCTCATAATATAGTCAAAGGATGCTGTGGTGCCATTAGTACCTTCAACAAACTGTTTTGCAATATCCATGTCATTATTTTTATTATCTCCATATATATCAGGACCAAAAACATCAATTTCGATACCCTCTTCATTTATTCCTGCTAAAACCTAAAAAAAGGTATTAAATATTAAAACTTAGTTTCCTAAAAACATAAGTTAGTCATAAGTTTACAAAATGTTATCTCTTTTGTTTTATTTTGGCAGAGTATATTTCAATGCAATTGTTAATAAGATGGTTTTTACCTTAGTGACTTCTTCATCTTCAGCATAGGATGGTGCATCAAAGTTGGTCATCAATATAATTTGTTTATTTATAAATTTCACACCACTCACTTCATTTTTAAAGTGGTTTATTGCTACAATGAGACCATCGAACCAATTGCCTTTTGCTTTACATGGCTACAAAACAAATTACATATTACTATATATACTGGGACTAAAATATATCATGTGTTAATTTGCTGTACATTTAGAGATAAATACCTTTTCTGGCAGTTGACGTATTATTTGCCAGGTTGGAGCCTGAAGCTCAGAAAATACTTCAATATATTTGAAATCGCCTGTCGATTTTTTTGAACCCAATAATACCAGTCCCAAATAGTTTTTTCCTTGACTGATTATTTTCCTTTCAATAATGCGACTTACACATTCTCTTGATTTTTCAAAAAAGGACTTTTCACCTTTTTCTCCAGATTCAGATACATTTTTGCCAATATCGAAGATAACAATAGTACCTTGATCGATTTTAATTGGCGCCATAAGAATTTCTTTACATTTAAGAGCACGTATATAGAAGACGATCTTTGTCTAAAGCCAATTCTTACAAATTACGTTACGTTGTATTAGTTAATTCGGATTGTAAGTTTATTAAACAAGTTGGAACAAGTTTGAAATCGTTTGAGTCACTGTTTGTTTTTTAACTGTATGTCAAGTATTTCGTAATTTGTGTAGGTTATCCACAGAAACACATAGAGATACAGATATTGCACTTAACGTATAAGTATTTACCAACATAATCTAATTAATTAACAGTATTATACTTAAAAACGTTATCAAATTAAAAAAAAAACGTTTACAAAATCAGTATTTTAATGTATAATTTAAAGTTATGGCCAGGCCATTAAATATAAAAACAATCAAGTAATGGGTAATCTGTGGAAAGTACTTGTCTGGTACTTGTTTTGAAATTATGTTTAGGAATTAATATTATGATTTACTTTTCTTGAAGCTCTATAGAAATTTTGTTCAATGTTTACATAATAAAACGAAAGAAGTTTAATGAAACTCACATTATGAATATTGTTTCAATGTTTTCATTGCGTGCAAACCATTTTTGGTGCGCAGCAATAGGATGATTTAAACACTTAAATTGTTATTTGGTATAAAATCAAAGATGAAATTTTCATTTCAACACCGAGCTTTTTATTGTTATATTGGCATGACTGTATGGATTTTCTTCCTAATTACGGGTGAGGAAAAGTGTAACAAAACATCTAATATATTTTGAGATTGGACCACTCTTCAATTTCATTTATTTAATAGGTTTCTAAGAAGTTGATTTAAAAATGTATAATATTGTTTTGGATATAATTTTTCAGTTGTATACAAATACATATCAGTTAATGATGATCCTGTGAGTGTAAAAATTGAAAGAAATGAGTACATATCAAAAATTGACACAAAATATAGAAAGATTTTTGCCAAGGCCTGTAATCCTTCTGAAAATATCGTTAGGGGATCTGAAGGTATGTACATATAATTAACCTGTTATTTATTTTATGAATCTCAGAAATATGCATTTTCAAACGAGTTCCACTTTTATATCTTCTTTATTTCTGCAAATAATCAGTCTCTTAATATCCTAATATGTTGGTGCTTTTGTTGTCTAGGTGCAGTAGATAGCGACACTTGGTTACTGCAAGGCATATTAGTAATAACTAGACATGGCGATAGGGGACCGCTTACACATTTAAAAAGTGGTGATAAACTACCGTGTGATACTGTACCAGTATCAACACTGCTTAAAAGGTAACATATCCGATTGCTTGAAAATTTTATTATTTTCCACATGTTGTCACTATATAAATTAAAAGTTTATTATAATGTGGATGCCAGTTCAAGTCCCGCCTCTGTCATACATTTTTTAAATTTATAATCGCTTTTAATTTATATCTGAGTGTTGTCTAATATTATGTTCTAACTAAGGATTATATGATAATTGAAATGTAGTGTAAAAATAATAAATATTTAGGTATGTCTTTTTTTTGTCTTTAAGATAATGAATTTGTTTCCATGGTAGCTTGTAAAACTATATTTATGATATTAAATTGTACATGCATGAATTACTCTCCAACAGTTATGAGGAGTTTGTCCTGAATGCAAGTTCGTCTGGTAGGGCTTGGTGGGTGGCAGGTCCTGGCCCTTTTCATAATTTTCCTTCCTTACCTCGGACAGCTACAACCCATTGTGCACTTGGACAGTTAACACCAAAAGGATTGTTACAGATGATTACTGTCGGTAAGCTAGACTTGGCTAATTGAATCTTTTAACCTTATTTGAAATGTCATCTACCTTTCAGTGTTTAATTATTGTTCTATTAAAATAGGAAATATTTTACGAGACGCCTATGGTGAGAAACTTGGACTGGAAAGCATGGAGCTAACTGGAAAAAAGGAAACAGGTATAGATATACTAATGAAATTATTTTAGCTAATTAATTACTACATATTAGAATGACTGTCAATATAGAAAATGTTTCAAACTTTCCTATTTTCCAAATATAGATTGTTAATCTTCCTGCATTATCGACCTGTGGGACTGAAGACAGTCTTCTATTAGTCGAGGAAACTCAATATCTTATAATGCTATCCACTTGTGATGGTGAAACTTTGAGAACAAATTCTCAATTGATTACCAACTAACATTGTTAAAGAGCGAAAGCTATACATTTTTTTAAATTCTGCTTCTGTTTGTTGTATAGTATAGTTGATTGGAAGATGGGTAATTAAATATGAAAAATATTTCTAAACCATAAAGCTCGTATCTTCCAGGTGGCATAGCCTATAGTACACGATATCGAAGAACTTTTCAGTCCCTTCAGGCCTTGTCTTGGGGTAGTACTAGGGGTGCGGCTGCCGCCCGCGAAGCACACAGTGTCGCTTTTTGCTTCAGGCACTGCGCTTGTAACGCACATCACGCACTTGCAAAGTGAGTTGGTTAAGTTTTTACTATTTGTATAAGCGAAGCGATATAATATCATTACGTCCTTTATAGGGGGAATAGGATCGAATCCTAAAATCTGTTTTTATACTTTTTACGTTACAAATCACTTTAAGGTGTTTTTTGAATTAAATTTTATCTTAATATATGTATAGCATGCTCAGTAAAAAAACTAAATATTTTATAAATAATGAATTATTAACTTTTTAGAAAAATAAGTGTACAAGCAAGAAACCGCCTAGAATCTCATCCGGCTATCAAAGAATTGATAAAGAAGTTGTCCAAAGTGTTATTTGAATCACAGGAGTACACCGATGCCGATGTGGTCCGCGACGCTCTGTTGGCATACATCTGCCACGATGCCGCTCTTCCCTGCTCTGAAACTAATAAGAAACTAAACCCAGACAAGAGAAGGAAGTTCCGAACGGAGAGCGTGCGGTCGAGGCACATCCTAGAAGTAGACATCGACACCCTGAACATGGAACTAGATTATATCAACAATCAGCTGGACTTTAATAACGAAATCGGCAGAAAAGCACGTGATCTTATAAAACCGAATAACCAAAAGCCACCCTTGGACTTCGACACTCAAATGGAACGGGAGAAGCTTCTTTACTACCAGCAGAGGTACCTGGACAACGCCGACGGTTACGACGACGTCGTCATTGTGAAGAAGAATCTAGACGCAGACTTCAATTTCCAAAGCGACGCGCGAGTCGACGCAGATTTCGACGAAGATTACAAGGAGCCGACCGCGGACGCGCCGGAACATTTCTGCATCAAAAAGGAACACATCATGTCCGTCTTCGCCTATCTGGAATGGAGTTATCGCCAAGACGTGAAGAACGTGCACAATCGACGCAGGAGTCTGTTGATCGCCTACGGCCTGATCCACAACGTAGTGCAAAATATGATTCGGATGATATCTGAGAATAAACCGAAGTTCGTCGCGTACTCGGGGCACGATAAGACGCTTCAAGCGTTGATATTAGCCTTGGGGCTGACCAGCTACCAGCATTACAACATCCAATACGCCAGTCGGATGATATTCGAAGTGTACAGGAGGAAGGAATTGCGGGACGAGTTGAAATTCACCAAGCGGAAAGCGATAGCGCAAGACTTTTACTTCCGCGTCGTCTACAACGGGGACGACGTGACGAACAAAATAAGTTTTTGCAGAAATAGGCACATCGCTATGAAAGTCCCGGACCCCGGCGACGACTTGAAGACGTTCAGCGCGTATCTTTGCCCCATAGAGAACATCGTGCGCTTCATCCACGACGATTATTTTGCCGGATTCAACGTGAGCAATTACAAAGACGCGTGCGCCATTTTCGGCAATGGTAGACACGCGTAGGTGTAGTCAGTTCCCTACCGTTGACTTTTCTCAGTTATTTCAAGTGCTTAAATGTTACCATTTATTAATAGGCGAAAATAGCGTGACTCACTTTTTTGTTTTGTTTAAATTTAATTATAAATCCCATTTTTTTTTAATTAAAACCTTTCGCTATCATGGGTGATACATCCTGGTGCCAGACAGATTCCAATGTCTTATTAATAGGTCTTTGGATGCGGAACCCTAAAACAGTACTTCCTACAGCATGTGAATTTTGCCATACAGATTTTGCATTAAAGCATCTCGTTTGTACCTACTGACTCATCGGTATATAGATAATACCCCAATGGGGATTACGCATTACGGCTATGAACATAACTTATTTGTACAAAACTTATTTTATGTACTTAAGGTTTAATTATTGTAAGACTGATTTAATTTTATTGTCGGCAATGTGCTACTCTTGTATAAAATGTCTCAATTTATTTATTATAGACGGTAATTATGTGAAAGGAATTGTGTGTTAAATTTTATTTTAGTGTTTTTTAGACAATGCAATGTATTCAATAATGTCTCCTAAAAGTAGAAAGATACAAATTAAGTGCTCTCATTATCGAAATATGTTTTATTATTTTAAGTTAAAACACATGCCATAATAGATACGTTAAAAATAAACATAAATTTTGATTTTGTTATAAAGGTGCTTACGTTTTAATTTATGTAGAAATTTTCTTCTTTATGTATAAAACAATGAAGGAAACATATGATCTCGAAATGCCATTCCATAATATATACAAGTATTTATAGTTTGCGAATCTCACGAATAAAAGAAAATGTTATCTGTTTTACCTTCTTTAAATGGTATTTAAACCTAGGCATTTAATGCATGACTTGATTATGATAATGTACGTATGACCTACATTCGGAGTTTGATGATTATTGAAATGTCTCTTTTGGTATTTTGTTGAAACGCACAGATTGTATTAAAAAAAGAATCCAAGAAAGATTCGAGATTTAATAAAGAATTACCTACTACAGAACATTGTTTTGATTTTCTCACAAAAACATTACAAATGCCACACGATCATTGTTAGAATTCTTATTGACACGAAACGAAATTAGAAGAAACGATTTAAGTACTATTAATCTTACTTTTATTGTTTAAAATCACGCGCACGTATTGTACGTAAGATTTAAAACAAAACTAATTTGAACGGGTTGAATGACGGTTCATCGTTTATAAATTAGGATTAATTTATTAAGTAATATTTGATTTGAAGTTTCGATGTTTTCACTGGGCTCTTTAAATACAAGTTTAGTTTCTCTTGCTTTAAGGCAAAGTAAAAAAATATTTATTCAAGTAAATATAAAGATAGCTTGTGAATCTCACCCCAGTTGAAAACTAAAGACTCTAAACTAGCATTTAGTACTAGCTCTCAAATAAAAGGTGTAGAATGAACTACATCTAGTTGGAGTGGATTCCTTCAAACCCGAAGCAATTTTAGACTTACAGTTGTAGGATTGAGTTTCTAGTCTTTTTGAATTACATCGCTAACATATTACACCCAGATTTCCTATGCATTAGCCTTTGGTCACGCGTCTTGTCTTATCGCTCACGTGCTGAAGCTAAGTTATTTCTGCCATTAAATTTCGTCTAGTAGAACTAACTTGTAACCTTGACAATGACGTATTCGTTTCGCGTTGCTGATTCGTTACGATTATTAAATACAATATTGGCCTTTAAATACTATACGTTGGATCGACGTCCTTTGCTCGGCTCTAGGTAGCCTACACGGCTTTTGAGGCACGACCTATGTCCAAATACTTTAGTTTTATTTCTACCTGTTTAAGATAAAAGACGTAGGTATCTTAGATTTTCATTAAAGGACAATTGCTTCTGAGCGCTTGAATTTCCATCCAAAAACTTACTTATTAGCTAAAGACCCAAAGAACAATGGTTGAAATTATCCGTCGTTATGACACGAACAAAGGATTATAAACAAATGTACGAGTCTTAATCAAAAATGCCCATCACCCTAAACCAGGGAAATGCCGAAAAACATTGAATTTTAGATTAAATACTTGTCTCTTGCATGAAATATGAACAAAAGATAATATGGTTTTATTTATTGTTAGTCTTCATAAAATCCAGTTTATTAATCTTAATAGGTACTTAAAATTTTGCTTTAACAGATATAGAACTTAGATATATATTGTTTACACTCAGTCACAAACAAGCTACCTTAATCTAAAACATAGTTTTATTAAAGTTACGTAAGTAATGTAACTCGTAGCTCTTATTTTTTCTGTCTCCTCATCTTAAGAACATTCTAGCAATAATCTTTTGACATGGATACATTTTATCGTTTCCATAAAGGTTTGAAGAAAATAAAAATAAATAAATAACTTGTCGGCAGTCGCTTTTTATTTATGTTTTTTGTTAGTCTAAATGGTTTCGTAGCAAATATTTTAAATATATAAATTTAAATTAATCAAGTAAAGGGCATTGGTCTTTGAAATTGGCAAGCTTCCAGACACAATCGCGTTTTATACGTCTTATTTACGATATCAACTTCAGAACAACTCATTCTATGTAATGCAAACACGATAATGGTTTAATTTAAATATTGTTCTTACAATACAAATAACTTTACGTTCATGCGAATAAAAACCGCCTCGGTTACGTACAATTGGCAAAAACTCTATACGTAGTACCTACCATACAATTGTTTACGTTTAGTTTTAAGTACTCTATTTGCTCCATAAATATTAAAATTATGTGTTTAACTTTAATACAGCGCTAATCCAATGAATCCGCTGATGATGTATTTTCATATCAAATTAAATAATTCACACACAAAAATAAAATCAATGTATGTTGATGGACACCACTCAGCTTTTGTTGTAGGTACCTACCTGGAAGAAGGCAGGCAACGCCAATTTTCAGTGGAACCCCACTCTGGACATTTTAATTAGAACAGTACTTAAAAACCGATAAAACACAAAATGTTTTCAATAGAAAAAATTAAAAAAAAAACACAAAAATACGTAAAAAAAATCGATTATAAATTGAAAAAAAAAATACTTCCTATAAGTCGTAACTTTTTTTCATATTCGATTTTTTATTTTATAGTGCTATTTATCATGTGCAAAATATAACAGTTTTCACACAAAAATATATATATATTTTTATAGGTTTGGTTATCAAACACCAGAAATATGTTACATTTGCTACATTTGCTACTGTGGTTTTAGTCATGGTGGGTTTTTAGGTGGGTCAAGGCTTCGAGCAAAAAATTTGGCGACATGATCGTGGCAACTGTTAATACGCATTTGGCCTGGTGGTGGTATTAAGCCACATTTGTATTTAATACTAAAGTTGTTATTCTTTAGTAACTGATATCAAAATTCCTAGAAAATATTTACCTTCGCTACTCGTGGCGTTTTAAGGGTTACGAATGTCTGGCACCTTTCGAGTAATTGTTGGTCTTAGTGACAGAACGCTGATTGATTATGAGCGATTAGCTTAAACGTGGCGTGATGTTTTCAGCAATTTGTAAACACGGAGGTGTGTCTGATACGTGTTCTGACTCACGTGCAACCTGTTTACTGGTCTAGGTCTAGTCAATAATAAACAATCATTTAAAATGTACGTTAGGCCGATAAACATAGTGAGCATGGAATGAATGGCCCATAGAATAAAAAAAACAAACTTTTAACGGCTAAAAGCGTGAATAATATTAGTTAACTCATAAATATAGTTGAAATGAATTTAAATTAATTTAACGATACAGTTCGCTAACTAACGTTTTATTTAAGGTTTTTATTACGAATTGAAGTATTAAGTGCAATTTGATGAAGAAAGAAAAAGAAAGAAGAAAAGAAAAGTCTTTTGGCGAATTTCATTATAATCATGGAACCTAGAAAATACGGGATACGATCAAACTTTTGGTATCGGATTAGACTGTGCAAATTACAACTTATCCTATCATGTTAACTTTTTAGTGGTACTTTAACGAGCTAGGCGATATTTTATGACTCACGCGCAATACGTTTCGCAGGATCAAGTAAACAACCTCAAGGCCGTGCCGCAAGAAAAAACAGAAGGCAAAGAATGTGTTTATTTCTTACAAACACGTAATATTCAGTAACGATAGCAAAAGTATTGTGTGTAGTTTACACGAGTAGAACAAAATCTTATTTGGATTTGTCATTGAGGACATCCTCCATCTTCGGTCCCCCCTCCGCGACCAAGGCTACTGCAATTGCAAAGCATGTAAAACATCGGGTCGTAGTAAAATATAAATTTACTGATATATTTCGTCCGTTAAAAACTGTTTAATGTGTTTTATTTGTACTACAGCAAGAATGTTTTTTCTTAATTTCACAGATCTAGGTATCGCGATACTAACGTTTTAAAATTGTGTATTTTTATAGTTAAGTACCATTAACATATTGTTTAGATAATAACTTCCTCGTAGCAACGTAGAGTCCCATGAATACGGTCAAGGTTGACGCGTTGTCCAAAATAGCTATTTTTAGGCGCACTTCGTATATTTATGAACGGTTACGAAATTAAATAAGCGATTGAGTAATATTAAGCTCTATCTTACGTTACAGATTTTAATAAATAAATGCAATACTCTTAATCAAAAGCATATAAAAAAAGCTTGATAATGAAGAAAATCTACCGAACAAGCAATTCCAAGAGTCAATATTAGGAACCAAGGACAAATCTTACAAATCAAAACTGGCTTTATTGTGTTTTCGTACATTTGCACTAAAGATGCATTATTTCCACATCACAAACACCATCTTAAGAGTTATGAATAAACTCTTATGCACGTGATCTCAAACATAATATTTGTGTTTCCAGTTCTGCTGAGACGACCTTCATGATATCGTAGAATAAAGTCAATAAGGATTTTAAAGGGATAGAGAAAGAGGCCGTCTAAATAAGAACAGTAAGTAGTAACACGGTCAACCGATACACTACTAGATTATTTTGATTTATTGGTAGATAACAACAAAAAAAAACTTTATGATAATTACACATAAATGTCACATTAAGTGATGTGCGGGTTTTGCGGCACACTGTGATCTCGAGCGATTCGAACCTACGATTTCTAGCGCTTGATGCTATCCAACAAATAAAGTAGACAAATTCATGTTGCATAAAATAAATGGAATTCGTATTAGTGCGAGTAAAACCTTGACTGAAAATGGTTTACAGAACCGAGAAAATAATACCTGACTAGCATTGAACAACTCTCGCCGATTCACTTTCATGTTAAGTTCATATACATTTTCACTAACTGAAATCGAATATAGAAATTTCACCTAGGTTTGGAAACAACACAAACGAAAAAGTTCGGGTTTTATTTCGCGGATTTTCGAATGTCCTTAAAGTCAAAATTGGCTATAGCTGGGTTAAGTTAAAAAAAGCTTCAACATTTAAACTGTATTTTTTCATATATTATTGAAAACTGAAAAATAATGCAAATGAAGCTATTAATGCAAAATTCACGCGTTTCCATAATCTATTCACAACTGCGCATTACGAAATGGAAACAAAACAACACGTTGCAATAACAGTAATGAATCACGTCAAGTGTAAGTTTGCGGATTTATGTTTTTTGCCTCTTACATTAATTACAATTAGTTCTGATGACATTTCAGATACACTCGAAATGTTTGCATGTGCGGCGAACTATTTCAACATACAACATTACGTGGTCACGGGGAGACTCCCCGTGACCGCCCGACGTCACGGCTACTGCAAAGCATCCGAAACGTCGGGCCGAAGTTAAAAATCATTTTCAAATAAGTTTAACTAATATATCGCGTTTTAAACCGTTAAAGTGTTTTATTTAAATGTGTACTACTCGCGTAAACTATAGACAGTATATATTTATTCTTTATACATTGTCTAGTAATCCTTTCCATATTAGGATATATTCTATAAAAAAGTAAGATTTTGAGAGGTTTAATTATATTTAGCAAAAGATAGTAAAGTTAAAAAAAGGGCGGGAATAGGTTATGTACAAAACCATAGATAAAAAATAAAGATTATATGCCGTATGCAAAGTGGTTTTAAGACGTAGTAAGTAAGATAATTTTCCTCTTTTAACATTAAAATGCCTTGCCATTAAAGCCTCGCAGAAAGATTTAAAAACTTTTTTAATACCTTTCGGACATATATATATTTTTTAGTTTACATAACTAAGTATAAGATAACATTTTATGGACACAATATTATTCAACTAATAGAAACCCATGTCCATAATTTCATTTGTGGATAGTGAAATCAAAGATAATCGTAATCAATATAAGATGTTAAGAGTTTGATCTTTTTATTTTTAGCAGGAGACATTTTCGTATTCATTAGGCCTCATAGACCTATATGTATCTTGTAAATAAGTATATTATAGAAATGCATATTTTCTCTTCAATCTCTAATTTTATATTTTAACGTAACATTGGTCAAATCCGCAATAAATACAAAATGTATTCCATTATTAGCAAGGAAGGTTATTATTGTATAAAATATTACTGGTCTAATGAATATTTAATTATAATGAATTATGGACGAACATAAGTCATAATTTATATAAGAAATAAGTAAAGAATTTTCTTCTGAAAATCTTTCTGATTACGACCACGAAAGAACTTTGAAAAACGGGAAAAGGCAACGATGTAGTTTTAAATACACATATAGCGTCAGGATACGTTAAGTAGTTGTGAGTTCTACTACGACATCCAAAAAAATTTTTTTTAATTTTCTGGTACGAAACGTGAATGATGCGGAACGAACGAAAACGCCTGTCCGGCACTTGACCGATATTTTATTTCCTTGTTTCTGCTATAGCGCCTAAATATAGCTGCACATTGACACAGTAACCGAATGATTTCGTTTCTACGTTGCTAAAGATCAAGGACTTCTCGCCGACTTTTAACCGGTTGATAAAAACGCGTGGCGATAAATAAGAATAATACCTACTTATTTCATTTCTATTTGCTATTTTAACTTTCTCGGGATTAGATACGCGATAGACTAATTAGGAAAGTGTAGATTGCATATTTAAGTAATTAATGTTTTGTCCAGACGTCTACAAAATCAGGTTCTAAGTTGCATCTTAGTTGTTTTTGCAATGTGCAGGCGAGGCATTTTATATTTTGAACAAATGATTATCGACGCTATGATCAAGTTGGATGTAAATTATGTCACTTCAACAGCATTATTATAAAATAAAACTACTACGCATTAGCTTGTCTCTGTGTGTGCGTGGATATTGATAGCATGTCGGCAAAGATTAGAAAATGATGCAAACACGGCGCGAGGTAGAAATATTCCTTTTCTGTGTTAATATATTCCATTCAATAAACCAAACGTACGAATATCTTCGCGAAGTAGTAATCATGTACCCATGTTCCAAAAAGTGCATTTTGTAATATTTTATAGCTTTGTTTCTTGTTATATATTTGAAACTAAATTATTTCTCCAGTTGTTTCCATAGACCTTATATAAACATTGACTTGCTAAGTATATGTGCGTACGTTAAATGGTGCTTGCCAATGGCTAGTCATTATTAAATACAAAATATAATTAATGCGTAAATAAACAAAAACCTATCCGAAATATGAAAGCGAATTAATGATGCGATGTGCAGTAACATCGATTAAACTGCCTAGTTAGTACTAAGTCAAAAAGAATCGCAAATTCTACGCAGGTATTTTGAATGTTCATTGGTTCGCCTAAAAAAAGGACGATAAAAACCTGTTATTCTATGTACGGTTCGATGTACACACAGATTATCCGTGTGTGACATGTTTACATTATCGCGTTATCGTGTGAGTGGCCAGAAGCGAGTGTATTTATTTTAGTCGCCGGTTGAACTCGGCTCAGTCTTTCTTCAGTTCAACAAGTGTGTGCCGTGGCAAACTAGCAAAATGTCTGCATCTCCAATCGCAAGAGCAACACACAGCCAGGCGATACCCACTAGGCGAGTCCACATAACGGACCCGGCTCAAATGCCCGATGTCTACTCCAGCACACCCGGCGGAACCATATACTCCACCACACCCGGAGGTTTGTAGGCTTTGAAATAATTCAATATTATCATTCAGTCTCTTGATTTATAAAGACGAGACAACATAATAAAATTCAAAGCACGTGCAATGTTTTCGTCTATTACGTAATGGAACACGCGATACGGATAAACAACGCTATAAATTATTCTAACCTAAAACTAATGGCTGACAAACACTATTGTATCTAGTTGCGACTAATTGGCTAGAATATTATCTGCAATTGAAGGTAGAGTCCCTAAAATTAGATATGGCAGTGACTCCGCATGGTCCGTCTGCCCTTGAATAGGTATCAAAACAAACGATCGTAAACGGTCGTATGATATCAAAATAAATACAGATGGAACTAATAACGAAATTTAATGTATACATTTGCTTTTTGTACATTTTATGTCACCGGTATTAATTATGTCTACAAAGCAAGAATTTTAAACCTGAAGCTATGTAACACGCCGACGAAACATATTAAATAATAATAAACACATTTTCATATCTTGTTTCTGATAAGAAAACAAGGTCATTACACACGTGAACACAGATAATTAATAAAGTTTAATAAAAGCTTTAACGGTTTAAAACGCGATATATTAGTTAAACTTATTTTGAAAATGATTTTTAACTTCGGCCCGACGTTTCGGATGCTTTGCAGAGCCGTGGTCACGGTTTTAAAGTATAACATGCACTAGTTTTTAATTATTTTCCCGGTTGTATCTATGTTTACATTTAATTTGTATTTTCGGTTCTGTTATCTTCGAAAGTTAACATTGCTTATATCTACAAAAAGGGCAATAACAAAATAGTTAAAGTTCTGCCATAAATTAAGAGAAATAAAACTTCAAATCACATTGCGAGCTCTAATTCCTCTTGGAAACAAAAATAAAAATGCACCACTCCAAAAGTCACGCGTATTTCGAATTTGAATGAGTGTATTAAATATAATGTAAAAATATTCAGGAGGGGAACTTCTAAGGTGCGAGTTGACCGTTTCCCGCCAAGGTCGAAGTCATAATCTGATACTTGACAACTAAAAGAATAAACGATAAAATGGCGATCTGTGGTTTATTTCAGGTACAAGGATCGTGTATGAAAGGTCATTTCTGATGTCCCTAAGTCAGTCGCCGATCTCAAAGACGCCTCCGAAGTGTGCGCTTCCGGCCGCTATGTTGAAGAACCCCGGAGGCTCCGTCCCCCATCTCCAGACCTCGACGCACAAGCCTCGCTCGAATTCCATCTCCTTTGACGAGTCACAGGAGACGTTCTCTATGGATCTCTAATTAGGCTAAGCAAAGATCTCGACTCAAGATCGACTTCAGCTGATTATATACGAGTTATTTTGGCTCAGTGAAAGAGTCGATCGGGATGCCCGATTCATTTTAAGTTAGTGCTAAGTCAAAAGATCGCAAATCTCTCTAGTCAATTAATTATGTATTATTCAGTTATTAATAGACACGATAGTTAGCACGACGGAAAGTTGTTTCAGGTAAATAAAAAATGTAAAATGGTTCACAACTTTAAATTCTACAAATACTTTGACTGATGTGAGTTTTGACTTAAGCATTTAAGCGGTAACATAATGGAATATCCATTTTACGTGTAATAGTTAGTGTAGTTAGTATACGTGTAAGGTGTGCGAGTGATGTTAAGCGTTTGTAAAACGCAACCCTTTGACAAATAACATAAAAATCATAAAAGCAAATAGTAATAAAAATTGACAACCTTTTTAATGGAATGGCCGGAGCGAGATAAAAACTCAAAGGGCTTTGTGAGTCGGATGTGATTTAATAGCGTTTGACGCTACTTAACTTACGTTTAAGGTGCTGAGTATTTTTCAAATGTTCGTAGAAGTAGCGCTTGATACTGTTTTATAAAGTTAAAAAGGCCGTTGGAACTGGCTTCTTACCTGTCAAGTCACTTCTCAAAGATATTATTGTTGTAATATTTAAGTTTTTCCTCTCAATCTATATTAAAGTTAATAGGTATGTGGAACCTACCATTAAGGAGTTAAGTGCCTTTTTATGATATTTGAGTTAAATTGTTCTAAGTTAAGATTGTATTACATTTCGACTGCCATTAAAAGATGATTTTAACAATTTATTTTATTAATAATATATTTTAATTAATTCCTTCATCTATACTAATATATATAGCTGAGGAGTTTGTTTCTTTTTTTGTGAGCGCTCTAATCTCAGGCAATACTGGGCCGAATTGAAACATTATTTTGTGTTGATTAGAGCATTTATCGAGAAAGGCTGCTGCTAACGGGGCTTTCAAAAGGAGCTAAGAAGCAGGGAGAAATGTGTAAAAAAAGAGGGAAAATTATTACTCCTTGTGGGTTTTCAATTACATTTATTTAATTTTATTTATTTAATTAAAAAAATACCCAAAACAGATGTAAGGTAGAATAATTCCTCCTTAAGTGATATGAAAAATGTATACGACGCGACAGTATGTTTTAAGATTATCTTGCAAGAACGATGGGACGCGTAGGACGTCGTGGATAACTGCTTAAATTTACAGCGTTGAACAGGCTTGCAGAAACAAATATTTATGCCCAAAATAATTAAAATTCCACGCGGACAAAGTCGGTGACACAGTTAGTTGTAGATACATCAAACCATCTGTGTAGTTTTCCTTTCTGTACTTAAAAAGCATATTGACAAGGCTCTGTGCGTGAAGTCCTTTAAATCAACATTTCGCATTCTTAGCATAACTTTCGTCAGATGAATGCAATGCCCTGTCTTTTACAGTCCACGTTTTGGCAAAGTTCGTTGCCCTCTCGTGTTGAGGTATTCGCGGTGCATTTTATCCACTATCTACCAATAAGGATAAAGTTGAAGACATATAGCCCACGCTGCAGAGTTCAAAATCATTTGAACGAAAGCTCTAGTATTTTTCAACCCTCCACTATCCCTCACCCTTCAAAATAATCCGTCTGGGTCTAATCCCTCGATACGTTTGGTTTGGAGTACATTAGTATTTTACTGGTATGCCTTTATTGTCTTAATAAACACATTATTTGTGATGACAATCAGGCCAACATTTAAAAAAATACCAATAATATTTTATTTAAAAGCTGAAATTTTGTTTATTTAATTTTCTCTATAAGTAAAAGTTATGAAAAATAACAAAATAAGGGTTTAGTGTACAAAAAGCAAATGACATAAATAAGAATAGGGTATGTAAAGGGCCCACCTAACTGAACATACTGAGCGACTAAGGGATCGATTTTTTGGAAGGGAAGGGAAGATTTGGAAGGGTTGTTAAAGACCTTGCTAATGTTTTCCAAAGGTGATGCGGTAAGGGTTAATGAGAGTGTCCAACATGCTGTTAATTAAATTGACAAAAAAAAATGTTTCTGCAAACTCGTAATCTAAGCTCGCATTTTCGTAAAATTTCTGTAAAATTTTTGGAAAATTTTTGTAAAGTTTTTGTAAAATTGTGTAAATTTTTACAGTTCTGAAGCTAAAAGTGAAAACTTTTAATTGGCTCTCTGATATGTAATATTTTATATATCCTATTGTTATTAGCTGTAAGTTTTCCATGTTTTAAATAATAAATAAATAAATTATTAAAAGTGCCTTTCAGGGTTCAGTCTTCACTCGAGGTTCAACATCTCGAGAAACGCCGAGAGGGATATCTCCATCGTGCCGGCCGAACAGCTCAAAACCTAAGTAGCCTACCTTTAACCTTATTTTTTATAAGAAGTAAATTAATTTTTACCGTCGCTTCAAACTCTATCTGATAGCAGGCTATATAGAATACAAGTGATATAAATAAATAGAAACGGTGGCTTATGTAGAGAGACCCGATGAGGCTTCCGATAAACTCATTAAGGGTGGTCTGCGCGACGCGCTACAATTATTATGCAAAATTCAGTCTCAGCATCAACTTTTCTAGACGAGTCTAATTTTGCATTTTTTAATCTATATAACTTAGGTTAAAATTATATTTATTTTGATAGCTAGTATACTAAAAAGTAAATCAGATTTAGCCTTTAAAGTAACGATAACTAAACATTTTAAATTGTTTGACACATATATTTTAATATGAAAATGTATAAGAACCCAATCTAACGAGTAACGTGAGACAAAGCCTCCTTCTAGTTCCGTTCAATTATCAAGTGTCGGTTCAGTTCAAAGTCGTGATAAAGGGGTGAGTTGTCACTTCGCCGGCGAAACGGGGGTGAAATGGCAAATATGAACCGACGCAGCTATTCACTGGGCTGAAATAATTTATTCTCTATCTCGTGGACTCTATTGTTTACTGAATTTCTTTTATTTTCATAAGTAACGTGATTTAAGTATTGAAATAACTATAATTTCCATTACCAGTCGAAAACTGCCGCAAATAAAGGCGATTCGATTTCTAGGCATTAAAGACATCTACACCAATAGATCATTAAGTAAGTACATTGCTGTAACAATATGTAAATTTGAATCCTGCTTCTTCAAGGCTAATAACGATGGATGCCTTCAAGTAACACCATTTAGAAGTTCGCTAAAAGATCTTGTGAAATGAACATTTAAAGCACCTCAATGTGTAATTATCATATAACTAGACTTAACTTAGGGAAAAGTTAAAATGTTGGCCTGCATTTTAAATGCACCAAAGTGCGCGGTTTTAGAGGTTTGGTATTTTAATATATGTTAAATTCAGTGTTTATTTTTTAACGAAGACCATATGACGGCGGATACTGTCACAATTTTACGGCATAGTTTGTCATCAGCAAAGTAATGTTAATTGACGTATAACAAACGGCAACAGACAGGTTGGTTTTCATAAAAATATGTTGTGCTAAAAAGCATTCTAATTAACGATGATAAAAAAACTCGTGTCAACGAATGTATTCGCACGAGCTTTCAGTGATGGCAGCATTTTTTAATGAAAATTGTATTCAGGTCAGCCGCTGCGGATTTAGGTTGATTTTTGACGCAGAAAAACTATATACCAGGAAAATAACTAGACAGAGTCAATTATAGGGAAGAGAGCCAGCTGTTTCACCGCATTATTATGTAATGCTTGCAGTGGCTCTGGGACGAATCTAAGTCTTTGGAGATATTCGGGGCGAGTTATTTTTTTGATTTTTGATGGATGCAGATCTATACGAGATTGTCCGTTAATTGGACTGGGCGATCGGTAATCTCCGATTAAGTGGGCTGTTGTTTGCCAGATAGGGATGGAAGTAGCGCTGACGCCGACTATGTATACATTGCTCTATAATGTTAGGCTTTTACTGACTTTTTAAAACTGAAATTATTCATTTCTCCTTTTTTAGAAAAAGGCATAGTTGTTATTGTTTGTAATCTAAGTTTTGGTGACGTGGAAGAAGAAGAAGAAGAGCGTTACGTGCTAAGTATTAAATAAAAGCTCTATCGGTCGTTGCGATATTACGTCGTCCCTATTGGTATAAACGAAGTGCATATAAGATAGAATGCACGGGTCTCCGTAACATTCCAAAATATGCATCGTGTTGGAGCATCCCTAGCGGGGTCTCGTCAGCTGGGTGCGCGCGCTGCGGTCGATAGGCGCCGGGAGGTTCCGCGCAGGCGCGGGCGTATCGAGCCCGCACACTGGCCGCCGCCATCGCGCGCCGCACACGCGATGCATGCGGGAACTTAGCGGAACAACGCGCGCGGGCCTCATGGGCACCGTGCTGAGCTTCAGCCCGCGAGAGCGGCGCCCGCCCGCCGCCGCGCCGCCTCCGGACCGCGCCGCCCTGGCCTACTCCTACGAACGACTCAACAACGCCAAGAACAGAGAGAACCGCGACCTAGCGCGCGACGAGCGACGGGCCACCCTCGACGATGCCGCCAAAATCATATCCGAAAAGACGGCCCTCGAAAAGAACCTCAAGAAGCACTCGCTCTTCATCAACGCGCTATCGTGGAAGAGGTTCTCGACGGCCAACAACAACAAGAAGAAGTTGGAATGCAAGAGCAAGAGCGTGAGCACCTTCAGAGCGCCGCTGACGGACAACGCGCCGCTCGATAGGAACAAGAATGTGGGTGCGATATACGCCCGGGCCCCGGCGGTCCCGCCGCCGGCGGAGGTGGCGCGGGCCAATGCCCTGAACAACAACGTGTGCTACGCGGAGAAGTTGCCCACGACCGCCGTGGGGACGGCACCGGCGGTCGCACCGAGGAAAACGGTGATACAGGCGTCCACTTCGGAGCTGCTAAAGTGCCTGGGGTTGTTTCTCCATTCGCGATGTCACCGTTTGCGGGACTTCCAGGCGGGGGATGCGGTAATGTGGCTGCGGACCGTGGACCGCTCGTTGCTCCTCCAAGGCTGGCAGGTAATTGCGCACGCATTGTATTGTCGATAATGTAAATGCGTCTCGCCGCTTCTCATTCGACGACGATTCAGTATTGGGCCCGGTCACCTCAGATCTTATACTGTGACATACTACACATAATCCGCATTATTCAATTGCAGCCTTATTAATTTCCTCGTGATTTAAATCGCCTAGAATAGCTCGTTGGAATCCACACGCTTTTAATAAAACTAATCAAAACACGTACATACATTATACATGTATACATAATTGTTACTGATGCTGAGCAATAATAATGTGAACGATTTTCGTAACGCCTCGTAGCACTGTAGCACCGGCGTAGCGTTGAGGGTGGATTTCACTTCGGATCGACATTGTCTATTTGACACTTAGATTATAACAATCCGATTTTCATAAATAACACAATGGTTGAGTATCATATATTAGTTAAATATAATTTCAATAAAGCATACGACAATAAACCGAAAGAGGCGACAATAATGTTGGACCGGGTAGCATAGATCAGCGTAGAACGTAATTTCAAAAGAAACAGAAATAAAATAATTAAAATAAAAGCAATGAGAATTGTAATTATTTCAACTAAAAAATCAAAAATTCTAAGCATGTTTCCATACACACGATGCGGATAGAACGTAAATTAAAAAACAAAAACGGCCCCGTGACAATTTCATGCCCTATAATACAAATTAAAAATAAACATTGCGGGTACTTAGGTAGCTTATAAAGGTATTTTTAGAAATACAGGTCATAACTCTTACAGGAAATAGGTTAAGCGTGAACCTTACCGACTGTAAACAAAGAGAGGTCGGCTTTATAATAATTATAGAACGAAAGTAGTTTGCATAATTTGTAAAGTTTTAAAAAGCATAGCATGAACTATCGACATAAACTGAAATCCTATTGCCCTCTGTGGGGCGTGGGCCGAACACATCTTTATGTCCATTTCACTACTTTCTTTACGGGCAAAAGAAGATCAAACTTCTTTGCCCTGCCAGACCGAAAGAATGTATCGTTTCCTCGGTTTTATTGTTTCTCGAACTCATGGCCTCTCACGCTACCGCAATGCTAGGCCACTTATGAGCTACGGAGGCTATTTATAATAATCGGCATGATACATGATCATACTTTATTAACCATATTTATATTATAATGTTTTTTAGTTCAGATAACTGATTCTCTTAAATGAAAAAGTAAAATATTTCTTAACAGAAAGAAAAGGCATAATTTTGTAAATTACTATTACAAATCATATTATTGATGAGAGACGTGGAACACGTTTAGATGTTACGTATCTCTTTAAGTATTTATATTTAGGAGAAGGCAACAGATCTATATAAAGCGACTGCCTACAATTAGATATTTTGTCGGGATGGACTCCAAAGCAAACAGGATACAATCAAAATAGTTTCAGAGGCGAGACCTGAAGTCCACGTGCATTTTACACTAGTCATGGTCTAGGTGAAATCCGAGAAGCGGAAAAGGAGTTTTTCACAATACTATATACTATTCTAATATATAAAGCTGAAAAATTTGTTTGTTTGTTACAAAAAATCTCGTTGCGACTAATAGAAACAGCGAAAAAACAGCGGGAAATGTGGAAAAAGCGGGGAAAATTATTCAGCCTCTTGGGTTTCCGCTGAGAAAACGCGCACCACGATACGCAAAAAGAAATGTCTCTTTAAATAATCTAACAAAATGTCTGCAACAATATATGGCTATGTTTTAAGGTTTACTTGCAAGAACGACGGGACGCGAAAACGTTGTAGGTAACATAACTAATTTATAAAGATGGAGTAGATGTTTGCAAAAAAAAATTATGATGGCCAAAATTACTATTCTATGCGGACGAAAAAATTTCGACTCGTGCGCGACTTGAACCGGCATCTAAGCGTACCGTGCTGCTTCTGTAACCAATTGAGTTACCGTGTTTTTCAATGTTAATAGATTTTCAATTTATATAATGCCTCCATCAGCAAAAATGTGCAAAATATTGACGTTATATAAGCATTAGTCATTTGAAGTTATCAAATGAGAGTCTGTAATATTTAATGCAATTAATAATATTTGTAAAGGTAGCTTTGAAAACCATTAATGGAGATGAAAAAGAAATAACTTATGACGGTTCCTTATCTTAGTTAGCTTATTTTTAACAAGGACTCCTAAAACTATAAAGGCGTTTATTTTTATTGCTTTAAGCATATAAAATGTAATTATTTTATCAAAGTCCAATTCTACTAAAGTAATATTTTATGCCCCTCGAAATATCCTGAGCTTTATCTAAAAGGCTCGTCTTGATGAGGCTATATTTTACAAGACTGCAAGACTGGGGTAGGAAAGTTCATTCAATATGTATGGAAACAAGCCTACGCTACGACACCAATCAATAACGTGCGTCTAGCTTCATGAATAAGGGTTTGTTTAGAAAGAGACGAAGACCGAACACTCACGTGGAGCGAAAGGGACGGAACGTCGCGAAGTTGGCTGATCGCGTGTTCCGAAATTTTTAGTTCTGCCATGAGAGGAAATACTTAATAACTACACAAGAAAGTTTCATATTTCAGTTCAGCTATATTGTTTAATATTATGAAACCTTTAAAACTAACCTTTGGAGCTCAAGTTACTATTGAACTCGGATTCCGTTAGATCCTTTCTACGAGGAAAATGAGACCACGGTGGCGAGTGAAACCGTAGGATAAAACTTACAGTATCGAGTGGGGTTGGCAACTGAACTAAAGACGTGCTCTGAAAACTTGTTGTTGTACTCTGGAGAATGCTATAATTAGTTAAACAATGAATAACATTTTCAAGGTGTCAAGATAAACGTGAATTAAATCGTACCACAATAATGCTTATATACTTATATATATAATACATAATTTGTATGATGGAAATGTGAAATATATATTGTCATTATCTTATATTTAGCTGTTTCAATATTTGATTTGTAGGTATATCGACATTGTTGATTTGATTTTGATTAAAGATTATAATTGTTTTGCTTTAGATTAATAAAAAAAATCGTTAGTACAAAACGAACTTTGTAAAATACTTATAAGACGAAATAGTTTTTTTTCTTATTTCAGGACGTCGCTTTTATCAACCCAGCCAACGTAGTCTTCGTGTACATGCTCGTCCGCGAGCTGGTGGACGGCGAGAGGATAGGGCGGCCGCAGGAGCTACAAGCCGTCGTCCTGACCTGCCTCTACCTCTCGTACTCGTACATGGGCAACGAGATCTCTTACCCGCTCAAGCCGTTCCTGGTCGAAGACTCCAAAGACAAGTTCTGGGACCGCTGCCTTTTAATCGTCGATAGACTGTCCTTTAACATGTTAAGAATCAATTCCGAGCCGGGCTTCTTCACCGAGGTGTTCACCGAGCTGAAGGCTTGCGGGGCGATTGATAGTCCGCCGCCCGCGCCCCCACACCCCGCGCCTGCGCCCCCGCACGCGCTCACGCCCGCCTGACACACAGAGGTCGCCGTCTTGAGGCTAGCGTTGACAGATCGGCCCAGCCGCGTTTGATGTCGGCTTCTGACTGCCGAGAGTCTTGGTCGATCCGCGACCGGCTACGAGTGGTCTTACAATCGAGTTGCGAATATTTAAGTTCCCACATCGCCCATACAACATTTGAAAAGAAGTTTACGGTGCCATGTGACGTACCAGGCTAACAAAGTTAGGATACGAATTTAATCGAAATCATTTTATTGAGTCGCATCTTCGCCATGTATCTGGCAACTTAAATTGGAAACAGCGATAGACCAAGACTTGAAGCAGCAACACTGAATTGCAGTAATCTCTCTTTATTGTGATAAATCAAATTCAAGAGCTAATAATAGTGAATTTATGAGAAATCTCGCCTTGCGGAGCGGTGCAAACGTAAAAACTGCAGGAAAAACTCCAACAATAATAATAGAAATGACATCCGCAAAGCAATAGCCGACTATGACGAAGTTTAGTTCGCGGCCGAGGTGCCTGTAATTCCGTAAATGTGCATTAGTGTCGATTAGTCAAGCATTCGTGTCTATACATAATATGATAATTATAACGGTACAATTTTAATGAATAACTGCCGACGAGAGCGGTCCTAGTCCAATAGAAAGGTTAGCTTGTAAGGGTTTCGTGTAGTAGAAAATCGTATTACAATTTAGTTAGATGATAATAGAGAAATGCAGGCGGGGGGTGGCAATATGGCTCCGGCGGATACCCGGTCAAGTCCTTCAGATAAAAGTACGTACCACGGCCGGCTCAAAGCACGTTCCGTCTTCGAGGGCTAATTTGGAGTGCGCCGGTTCTGAGATAACGGCTTCTTTGACTTCTCTGAAGACAGCATTAAAACCTTCTTCAATGGGGTCAGTTATGTAGACAACTACTATAGTCCAAAGTCTGTTAATTAACATTACGAGAAACGGTGTTTTGTAAAACCTTCGTTACAAGTAAAAATGTCAACATAAAGTGACATTCCATGCCAAGTGACAAGCCGTTGAGAATAGCAGACTTGGGGCCTATTAAGTTTTATACATATTTGGCCTCGCACTCAAATTAGCTCTTCAAAGACGCGGGTCTACGTTTAATATAGGTCAAATTTTGCGACGTTTTGTACAGATAATATTAAGCCCTTAAATCTAGTCTACATGCTTAGAACGGCACTCGGTCGATGAATTGGTTGACTAACAAAACAATTATCACTCAGTAAGATAAAATAGATTATACCTCTTTTTCTATTTAAAGACTTTGACGTTGGGAATTTTCGATTATAATTTGAACCACCCCATTATTAAATGCCAGGAAAATGTCGCCGAGTGCCAGTCGAGTCTAAGTGATTAGTCGTAAAGTAATAAATACAAACCTATTTAATTTCGTAGAATCTCAAATAAACTCACTAGCCGTTCGTGTAGGTAGTTGTCTGTGTTTCGTCGTTTATACAGTTTTTATTTACATTAAAACACCATTAGCTTCAGCCTAGTATTATTTTTGCGAGACTTTTAAGACGATGGAGTTTCTAAGTGATATTATTCGCATGATTAAACAAAAAGGACTTCACCGTGAACCTAGAACCGTGTTTCTGTGTGATCATTATAATTTAGTCTGATAATTTGTTTAAATATACTTCCTAGATAATAGCTATTTGGATCTTTCTTAATAATAATGTAATTAATGCCGTCTGCGTCTTATAATAATTAAGTAATGCTCTTTTTCAACAAAACAACATTAGGGTTCAGTCTATTAAATAAAGATAGAGCAAAAATCGAAGACATAATCTCTTGTTTTCTTTTTAGTTATCGTCAATCCATTTGAGGAGTAAATTCGATAGGTACTAAAACTTCTTAACTAAATTGTTAAAAAAAAATTAATAATAATTTGTTAGAAATTATATTACTTAATAGATAATGAGTAATGGAATATAGTTATTTTTTTTTCTATTACGTACTTATTACATTTTGTTTTGTAGAAGAAAAACGAAACTTGCTAATTTTTAGTTTTACAAAATTATATGTATGTTTGCTCTCGCATAGAATATTATTTAATGGCTAAAGCTGTTACTCATATAAGTTTCCTGAAATAATACAACATTAACTTAAAGGCACGTTAAATGTACATTCCAATTAATAAATAAGTCGTTTAAGATCACAAGGTAATATAATAATGCATCTATAGTTATAACTCATGGTTGGTCAAAAGCCATTCAAAAATGCGATTGTCTTAATGTATAATATTGTTGTATATGAACCACCTTATAATTTTGTTTTTGTTTTCCGTATAGCATAATATGTCAGTATTTGTTAAAATTGTTACCTTTTCGTTATTTATAAAGATAAATACGAAAAAACGCGTTACGGTTACCCTTCTGTTTATTTAATGCTTAAATTTTTAACAAAATCTGCTTTAAAAAAATGGGTGCCCTTAGTTTTATAACATTCATATGTATGAAGCGTGAAGGTACATTCCATTGGTAGAATAATGTTTCTAACTAACGAGGGGTACATGGAAAGTAGTCAGTGTACCTATTCTATTGTGTACTCAAACTCACGTTTGTTGTCTAACGTTCTGTAAATATACCAAATTATTAAAAACGTTTCGTATATACAATCATTTGTTTTATTTCCCAATGCAATGGCAATTCTATAGGAATTACTAGACAAAGTATTTAAGAATAAATCCTTATAAAATCTGCTCTGTTCTAAATTTCACGCAACCGGAATACATAAAATATACCTTCATCAAATTTGACACAAGGTATAACTTTTAGTACATTTGTTCTTTCCTGAAATAATCTTAAAACATTCAGACTAACGATGGAAAAGAGTGAATATATAGATATACATACATAATAAAAAAAGGAAAGATTTGTTCTTTTATATTGTAATGTTAAGTTTGTAAGGAAAACTCAAAAACGACGGTACCGATTTCAAAAAGTCTTTCACCACTAGAAAGCTACATTCACTCTCGGTAATCAAGGCTATATTTATTGCTAGAAAATATTACAAACTTATGTGACGTAATCCAAGGTAAAAAATGCCATACAACGTCTTTTGTCGCATTCGCTGCGAAAACTGTTGATTATAGAACAAAATAATGTACTACGATTTTCCAAAATAACCGTAGTAAGAGACGAGGGGCAGCAACTGCTTAAAGTTGGGGAATGAATTTTGCTTCTCCAAGATTAAGAAGCAATTGAAACATCATTCTGGACGAGACTCAAGGGCTTTATGAAGAAGCACGAAAATGAATTGACTTGGTTGTTTTATAGTGCTAATAATAGGTATGTTGTCCTAGTAACCTAGAAAGTAAACCATTTATCCTAAAATTTCCTTGAAAAAAAAAAGCAAACTGATACCGTAGCTAATATTGACACCGAAGATTTTAAAACTTACAGAACTTTAAAAATATAAGTACTTAATTTCTATCGTAAATAATTAACTCTTTTAATTAAAACCTTTGCAAATAAAAACGTTTGGAGTGTATGTGTGTAAATGTTTAAAAGTTTTTAAAACACGTGCAAAGACGGACTGCTAATTGTAACATATGATTATTGTACACGAGGCAATTTAATATGAAATTTAAGTTAAAATATTGTGAATATTAATTACGAATTCGAAGTAGCGCTACAGATCAGTTATTTCAATGAAATTTTCAAGTGTCATAACATTCTTTAATGTTTTTCGGCAAATAGACTTGTCCAATTTGTCCAACATTATTTGACATTAGGATAATGTCGAGAGGTGTCAAAACTATTATTTGTTTACTGTCATTTCGTAAGGCTCCTGCAGACATTTTAAACACAAACATGTAAAAAGTAAAAAACAATATTTTCCTAATTTATTTCATTCATGACATAAACTAAAACTTTTTAACAAATTAAAAGGCTACTTTAAAGTATAAGAATTAAGTGCGAGTTCTTTATTATTTAAATGCATATAACTTATAGTTCTTATATTTAGCGCCAAAATCCAAATCGTGTCTTAATCTCCAATTACGAAGAATCGTTACGTCGAATTATTTTACATATTTTGTTACCTACGACTTAAACAAAACCAAAATGAGTGATTATCCTGATATGGATGAAGAATATGAGCTCATGTATTCAGATGAACTGGAATTAATGAGAGAAGTGGAAGATCATTCAAGTAAGTTATTCATACATTCCTAATTAGGTTGTACTATGAGCGTTTTCTTTTATTACCAAAGTCATTATAATCTCGTATATCTTACAGATACTAATCCAGTCCTAAAAAAAGCATTTCCTGCCAAACGAAGTCTGGACTTTTCGAGTCCCAGCAGACCGGCCAGAGATATTATTAATACACCTATTCATAGTACGCCTGTTTCAAAAAATATAGAAGATATACAAGATGATACACGACCCTATAAACGAACTGCAGAGGAACTATTTGGTGATATAGATGATATTGATTTTGATTCTATACAGCTACCAAGTAAAAAGCAAAAGACGGAGGAAGAAAATGATCTTGAACTTATTAACAAGATCCTTGAAAAAAGACGATTAAGGCAAATGTTAAATGAGCCAAATATCAGGCTTCAAGCCGATGTTTTAACTAACTATTGTGTGAAAGATAACCTCTCTCTTAATATACCTAGGTTAGTTTTTTTCAACTTTCTTAATACTAAGTACTTTCTGCATTTTACATAAGTAGTACACATTTAAATAAACAGCTTAAAACGAAAGATATATTAGTTTGTATACTTACAATTATTTTAACTATGATCCAACATTTCAGAAGCTTAGTAGCATCTGTGACCACAGGGGGTAATCAAATTTTCTTGGTTCATAAATAAGATGTTTCGTAAACTATGTTTATCTTTCTTTTTCTCTATCCTATTTACTTGATAAAAGCTTTGTGACATATTTCATATATGCATTACGATATCTGGTTTCTACTTTCCAGGTGGCCGTTTATGCCCTTAACAAATGACAATGGTGACAGAGTGTATGTGCGATTAGAGTCTGAAGATTCATGGGACATCTCATTGGATGCTTGTAGCAACGGATTGACATTACACTCTACATTTGCCAGTGTTTGGGATGAAGCTAGAAAAATTGTGAGTACTTCTTAGTTGGCCTGACTGCTATGCTCTGGCATACTAATAATATTATGTTTCCCTAAAATTAAACCTTGAATCTCTCCTGCCCAATAAAGGGCAACCCTGTGTGATAATTGATATTAAAATTTACAGTTTGATAGTAAGGAACAACAAACCACTACCGAAGAGAATGAAAACAAAGCTCCAGAAATACCTACAAATGGGAATGCGGAGCTATGGGTGGACAAGTACAGGCCAAGTTCTTATGTAGACTTGTTGTCGGAAGAGCCTGTAAATAGAGCTTTACTATACTGGCTACATTTATGGGATAAGGTATAAGATTCAATTTTTATTTGTTTCATATTCGGGACATGGATCTGAGATGCAATATAGATTATGGCTTCTCTATGTAATTAAATGGGTTTCTTATAGTAAGGTGGTCAGTCAAAAGAACATACAAACGTGCTTACAACTTCAAAATATTAGTAAAGATTTTATTATAAGTATTTTTAGATAGTCTTCAAGAAGGACGTCAAAATCAAAGAACCGCAACAGCAGAACAAATTCAGTAAGCGAACTGGGCAGTTTCAATTGACCAATAAGTGGAAAGGTAAAAAAGAAACCGAGGTTGATTTAGATGAAGACGGAAGACCTCATCATAAGGTTGCGCTGTTATGTGGGCCACCTGGAGTTGGGAAGACGACATTAGCTCATTTGCTGGCAAAGCTAGCAGGTAATTTTATAACAATTATTTGTGAAATAGAACTGCTTTTGAGTTTAACATGCCCTAAGCAGCAACAAGGGTTGTGTATCCAGTTTAACTAAGTTTAGTGGCTTATCTCAAACTATGATTACATAAACTTTGGATTTTTGGTAGTATCAGAATAAAAAATGTGTGTCAGGTTACAGACCCTTCAGTCTCCCCACTGACCACGGCTGCTGCAAAGCATCCGAAACGTCAGGCCGAAGTTAAAAATAATTTTCAAATAAGTTTAACTAATATATCGCGTTTTAAACCGTTAAAGTGTTTTATTTAAATGTGTACTACTCGCATAAACTATAGACAGTATTTAGGTTACAGACCCGTCGAATTGAATGCATCGGACGAACGCAGTACGGAAGCGTTCCAAACAGCTCTTCAAAGTGCAACTCTTATGAGATCCGTTTTGGATGCAGATAAGAGGCCAAATTGTCTTATATTAGGTGAGTCTTTTCATAAAAATTACTTTTAAACCTAAAAAAAGGAAAATGGAATAACTCTGCACGAATTGCATCAATTTTTTCTATAAAAGTACTACTATTTTTGTGGTAAAATTGATTTATTAAATTGTCACGTTTGTTTACTCTCCCTTCATCTTACGAGTTTTCGACCTGTCTTTATGTCCCGACGCAACAAAATAAAATAGGAAAAAAGAGAGCAAACTCAAGTGTACTTACCTCCGGTCCGCTATCTGTTTCTTGAATGGCTTATATGTTTGTGGCCTCTTGTGTGCGTAAGTGGAATCGAGGTGTCCATAATAGACTTAATACATGAGAAGCATCTCTTTCTCACACTCGCTTCACTGCCGGAAAGTATTCAGTCACTGTTACACTATATATACTTGCAAACAATCTTAATTCAAACTAACTTAAAGTACTTGGGCACATCCGACTCACTCTAAATTAACGTAGCGCGGACGAAACGTAGCGCTATATTCGTACCGCGAAAACTCAACTACCCAAAAAAAGAAGTATTTATTTTGCTACCCTCCTTCATCACTTGTTTCAGTTTTTAACAATAATTGTCAATACAGTTTTTTTGATCACCTCTACGACTCTAGGTTCATATCCAAGCGTGTAGATAAAATCTATGAATACTACTTGCCCCACGAAGAAGAAACAAATATATCACTTTTTTAATAATATCTTTAAAATCTTTACATAAAATATCCTTGTGTTTTTCAGACGAAATAGATGGAGCTCCGATTCAAACAGTAGAGTTACTGGTGAAATGGTGCACTGCTAGTATGAAAAAGGAAGAAGGCAAGAAGAAAGGCAAAACACACCCACTGCGGAGACCAGTTATAGCTATCTGCAATGACCTATATGCTACATCGTTACGGCCGCTGAGGTGCTGTCTAAATTGCTTTATCACAAACTTCTCTATAAAAAAGGGATAGCTGCATTGTCATCAAAGTTTCACACAAACCGTAATTTTAGATATCTAGCAATATATGGAACTAAAGGAGGTTTTCTCAATATGCAACTTGCTTATACAGTAAGTCTGTAATATTGTAATGAGTAAAGTACATAAAATTGTTATTATTGCTTATATCATTTATCATACGTATATAAAGATTACACATACATAACGTATGAAATCTTTGAATCAACGCAACAAAACTAAATTGATTTCATCTTATGAACGACACCAGTCAAAATTCAAGCGTTTCTAAAGCACCGATTCGAATTATTGTGTATTAGAGCCCATTTTATCTCTATTTCAGGCCAATATCCCTAATAGTGACCGTGAACTCGGTCAGCGCGGCTCGTCTTTCTGCACGTCTGAGCGCGGTGGCGAAGTGTGAGAGATTGTCCATCCCGCCTCGGCTGCTCACCGCGTTAGCTGCGCGCGCGCAAGGCGACGTGCGTAGCGCTCTACACGTGCTTAGCTTCTGCAGGGCGAGAGGAAAACCGGTATAGATATTTAAAAAATAGCTTATATTTATTATTTACATTTCCTGATAATTTGAGTATGTCTCGTAAGGACTGTAGAGATGTTGAAGATCCATAGGTGGATCACCTATGGATCTTGAAAATAAATTAAGCTGTTTGGATCATAGTTTAATTACAGAGCACAACGGATGGACACTAGCTATATTGAATTGAACCCATATCGAATATCCAAAGCCAAAATAGATCAACAGCGCATCTTGTGCAGATGTTATATCGCTGGGGTATTTCACCTCCCATCAAGCGACCCCTGTCTGTCTGTCCTCCTCTATCATTAAAAATATTGATATTAGTGTGGATTAACTACATGATTATTTCCACATTTCAGCTGAATATAGAGGATATAGAGAACTCGTCGTTGGGTATGAAGGACTGCAACAAGACGATGATGCAGGCACTGCAGTCCATATTCACTGTTGACGACAACGATGCGAACGCTTGCCTTAAGACTGTCCAAGCGGCTGGCGAATATGACAGGCATAAACTTTATTTTTTACATAAAAATATTACTCACGACTAGTTCTAAACTACTTACTGTTTCGCAATTAAGAAGGTACTTTCAGCAGTTATCCACGATAAGCGATCTTCTAACTGATAGCTCGATTGATTTTCTCATATGTATGCATGCATACAGGGTAGAGTAGTATTAACAGTATATACGTTGTGTTTACGAAGTGCATCGATCAAGACTGACGTGGGGTCACTCAGTGGCGCCTTGAAAATTAATGTTTTCTCAGGGAATAATTGCCCTCGTAATTCTCCCAGACTCGCAGATGGCATCTTCGAGAACTACATATTAGCGCGCGTCGATGCCAGGATGCACGTGGCCTGCGAAACCACCTCCTGGCTGCGGTTATACGACTTAATGTATTCTTGGACGCTGAGGAATCAGAACTATTCCCTATACGGCGCGTTGCCCTACTGTTTATCACGGTGTCATTCTGTGCTTGCCTCGCGACAACCTATACGGGTCAAGTTTCCCATGCAAGCGCAGGAAGTGAGTAAATTATCTATTTTCGGCGGTTTGAGTTTGTTCGTTAGCTTCAACTTAAATAATTAATTCGTTTGTCTTTGCTACAAACTGTCTGCAAAATTATGCTCTATGTTTCTTATGGGACATGGTATATTGGAACCATTCATTACATGAAATGTTTTTCATTCTAAAAACATTTCATGTAATGAAAAATGTCTACATACACTTCAGACATATTACAAATTTATTACTAAAAAAATGTAAAAAGGTTGTAAAAACTTTCTCTTCTAAACAACAAAGTTCACTGAACACTTTTTGTTTTGTACGCTTGAGCTCATGAAATTCATCCTTCATTTTGCTTCTCTTGCTTCTCTTGCTTTTTTGTTCGTCATATTTATTGATTTCTAGAGTTATTAAACTTTATTTTAGATGAATCGCAAAAAGACCGAGCTGGAGAGTATAGTGGGGTCAGTCTGGCGAGGCAGCGCGCCCTCTGTCCTCGCGCCGAGGAAAACGTTAACCCTGGACGTTATACCTCTCCTGCCTTATTTGCTGTCACCGCAGCTGAGGTCCGCTAATGTCCAGGTATATTTCAAACACATTTATTTTAGTAAGTGACTGGCTCGGTTTGAATGTATGGCTATTAAGAGACGCCGTAGTCGTAGTTTTGATCCTCATCGAGTACAAAATGTTTCTAATGAAGTTATAATTCTTGTGAAATATGTTGAATCTCGTCTAGAAATCTGGATATGGAATCATCGGTTACTGATAAAATATCTATCTAGGTTTGACTGCGTTTTGCCTTCAGTCTTTAGTTTTCCAAATATCCTAAACTAAATGACTTCGGTTGATCACCTCCGTGGCACTATTAGAAAATTGCATTGCCTAGCATAGAATTAAGCTGTAAGGCTTTAGGATAATGACTATGGAAAATCTTTGGTGTTAGGCAGGACATTTAATTACTGTTTTTTTTTTTGAAGATTAAGTGGTATTATCCCAAAATTACTATTCTTTTTTTTCTTGTAATTGCTTAATAGTAAATACTCTCTGTAGTTTAGGCGAGGAGTACACATTTAAATAAAACACTTTAACAACAAAAAATGCTGTTATCTGTGATCTTGTCTTACGTGCTGCCATCTGTGCTAATTTGCTAGTATTTTTTTTATTTTGCCCTAAAAACACATTGTTTTATAGTAATGTCTATTTAATACATGTCTTTTTCTAGTTATGTAGTGAAAGTGAAAAGAAATCGGTCACGGTTTGCGCGGGAGCCATGTGCGATTACGGATTGCAGTACGTGCAGCAGCGGGGCGCGGACGGGCTGTACGCCTTTGTGTTGGAACCCGATGTGCATAGAGCTGCTTTCTTAGGTGAGTCTCTGCACCAGGCGGGTGAAGTTAATGTCATTAAAAGCGTACAAAAGCCGGTGATAAATGACGGAAATTTCAAAGATTTTGACATTGATTTGAACTTGAAGAAAACCACGCTTTTATCTCCACTTGGCTCTAAAAACATTATACCCAAACGAAAACGACTCCACATCGATACGAAGAATAAAAGATTACATCACGTTTTCAGAATTGCGAAAATTCTTTGTGGTCACAATTCCTATTTTCAACTTTGCTTAAGATTTCTGATGGTGACGGTAATTATTGGTTGGTTTCGTCCCACTACCGCACACTTGCTCTCTGGGCTAATATTTCTTCATCTTTGTCCATAAGAGATTACTAGTCTCTTTAGAAAGTCCTTAGATTTGTTCCTGTTTTATTATTTTTTATTTTCTGTAAGGTAACGTCGATCGAGTGAAGACCAGTCCAGCGGTGCGCCAAGCGATAGCGCAAGAACAACAACTTGAAATGATTCGACGGAACGATCAAATGGTGCGTAACAGTTGAATAAATTTAGTAACTAAATATAAAAATAAAACGTAATTTAATCTTAACATTAAAAATAATCTCTTAATAGATGACGAAGAACAGTAAGAAGAAAAAGACGAAAGAGGTTGAAAAAGCGAAAAGTGAAGTAAAGTTGCCCAACCACCTGCAAAGGCTGCAGCCGAAGACAGTGGAAAAGACAACTCCGCAGGTAAACGATTAACTCTACTGTATCTGGGAGTTTTTATAATTCACAATGACCTAGGAGTAGATAATAAAATTATTATATTTTACGTAATGTCTGTCGTTTACTAGAGTAAGTTTGAATGACGTAAGCACCGAGCTCCTTCAAGTAAAGCCTTAATTCGGTACATCGCGATAATACAAAAGCAATCTCAACGCCCGCTCCGCGATTAGGGTGATTAATATTCGAGCGCGCCTGCCAGCCTGAGACTTGAAAACTCATTCCCTCAATAAAACAGTCGCAAAGAAGAAAGCTCATTCCGACGATTCACAAACATTCATTCGCAATCTCGCGGCCGCGGCTCGAATGCTGCTAATATATTCCATCAAGCCTCACACTGCCGCCGCTGACTCGCATTCACCGCCTAATGGCCTCCTTTATCCGCCCGCTGCGATGCGATTTCAAACGTATTTGCCGCTTCACAAATGCAGTTCATTACCGGACGGTTATGTTTAAGACTGACTGGCGACCTATTTTGGCTTGGAAAATTCTTTACACTCATTTTATATGATTACATATCGGTGCAATATTTAAATCGATATATAATTTTTCTGAAACTTTGAACTTTGGAATTCCGGAAATAGGTGATAGGAATATCTAAATTCCCTTCAGGTCAAACACCACCGCCAACAAATGAAAAAGTCAAAAACCACCGTCAACAAATGGAAAAGTCAAAAACCACCGTCAGGCAACAAATGGAAAATTCAAAAACCACCGTCAACAGTGGAATCGTGTTTCGGTTTTAGTCTGTGAATTTCCGAATATACGAAGCCAAAATAAGTCGACGACCCATCTTATTGAATTGTAAATGGCTGCGGTATTCCACCTATCCACAAGTGAACCTCTTGTTTGTCTATGCTTCTAATATTAAAAAAACCAAATGACTCGAATTCACGATGAGGACGTATGTTGCTATTCAAAATACTTTTGCAATAAATTTAATCTTATCTTTACACGGCATAATTTAAGGCCTACTGTGCTGACCAAGTGTTCCTTGTGTCACTTGACCAGAGCTATGCCTGGTTCTAGTTTTTGATGTGTCTGTCTGTGTGTACACTTAGCGTAATTACGTAAGTATTAGTTCAGACTACACGTGCTTCGGGAATCGGTGTTCGTTTTGTTGATTTAAGAATGATCACTCAGATTCCGCATTTAAAGAGAAGAAATGCTCAAATTCTCGTACAAATCTTAGTCTTTACTTAACTTTAAAATCGTAATATCCATTAAAAGCTGAAATTGTCAATGTTCGGGTCGTCCTGGCAAATACAATAACTAATCACAATAAAAGGGTTGCGGCCGACTCTATTAAAAACTCAGTAAAGAATTCCCTCATAGAGTTTGAAAAGGGCCACCGTACACATAAAGTCACCTTCAGCTATTTTTCTTCATGTTTATTATTAAATTCGCTGATCCCGCAAACGTTTCTTTGCTAAGCGAAATATTTAAAAAAAGACGGTTCTTGTGAGGTAATCTTAAAAGTTACACATATTTTAGACATAGACATATTTTTTTCGGTATAACCGTTTTCGTAGCGCACACAACGGAGATCATCAAAGATAAATATTTTTTCCACTTTTTCCACTGTTTCTTAGCTCCTATTGGTCGCATCCTGGTGTTTAATAGCCTAAATGACAAACCCAAATGTATTTTAGTTTACTATTAGTTTCTAAAATAAACGCGCTCAAACAAACTAACTTGACACCTTAATAATATTATAATATATTATAGACATTTTTCGCGAGATAGATTATTGTTACTTTAATAAATATGTATATACGATTAGCTTAATCTGACTCACTTTAGTTCAGTCTAACCTGGTTTATGCTAGCTATAACTTTTATTTTGTTACAATTGTTAAATTATTATTCTTGTCACTTCTAAAAGTCTACTAGCCTATTGGATCTATTTATGATATACTTAGTGTACGGGGAGCTTTATATTATACTTGTTGTAAGTTTTTCGCTTCAGTTAATGGCCTGCGCCTTGTGGCCGTCAATTTCTTTTAGAAATCCCTTTTGCACAAGAATAATGTCATCCCAAATAGAGGTTATTAAAAAGGAAATTAGGGGAATAACGCAGCATCCCTTTAATATCAATAGGGGAAGTGATGAATTTGTAATTCGTTAGCGTTCTGGGTCACAACTAGTCTTTCCCTGAGTTCCTTGAGTTACATTCAGTGGAATATTTACGCATTTTCCTTTTAACTTTCCGGACTGCTGTCTGTTTAATACAAGTTAGAATAAATTAGTTTTTATATAGGAACGGCATACGAATAATACGATACGATAACGAAACGGTCAGAATGAAGCGCGGGCTAGAATGGCGGGTAAATTTATTATTTGGGCGGGACCAGCGCGTAATGGTCCGTCTGAGTGCAGTAATACTGGCTAATAGACTGACCCTTTTCACTGTTTCCTTTTCCCGCTAAGGAAATAGAGGCTCCACTTTAATGCTTTTGTTCTCGTTACTTCAAGTGTTATTTGATTCTAAGCCCTCCCTTGGTTTCGATGAAACTGAACGCAAAAGAGAATATTATTTTTATGGTTGACCTTTTTTGGGTTTAGATATGCGGAATTAGCCATACTGATTCCGAAACGCGACTAAACTTCACGGTTTTTCGGACGGAATTTTGATAATTCTACCCCCGATCTAATATCCATATTTCCAGACGAACTTTCAACATGTTTCAGAAAAAATATAAATTGATAATCGTGTTCACACATTGCTACCATTAGAGCGACGAGTCCGTGTTTAGTGAGGCCGAGTGTATGATTTTCATGTAAAAATAAACTAATCTAAAGAAGTTGTCAAAGGTTTTCGTTGTATGTTTGGGCCCTAAAAAGCCAAATAAAAAGCCAAACGATCAGACAATTTTAATTGCGATCGCGTGTTGAAACACTATGTTATATTATAGCGTTAATGCCGTCTTGTGCGCTAATCTAAAGCAGCAAAGAGCTGAAAGTGGCCACTTTGCGAATACAATAAAATGTATTAAATCAGCGCGGCCATTAGGCGAGTCTAAGTAGGGAGGTCATTTGTCCGGTTAAGAGCCCGCCTTAATTACCGCGCGCCTCATTACCGCCCTCTATTTGTCGCTTTTAAAACCTTTTGTGTTTATCTCACTCCCTCGTCTTATGAAATCGTTTGCGGAAATTGTTTTACGAGTATGTTGGCTGTCGTGTCGGTTTTATTGATTTTTTCTTGAATATATTCAGAGATCAATCTGGTGAGCGCGTTTAAAGCGATCAGAAAACCTATTGACTATCGAGTCGAAGCCCCCGACGCCTAATAGACGTAATGACACGGGGACGCGGAAGCTGCCCCCTTAATGCGCCCCGTAAACGAATATGCTCGGAAGTCGCCCGGCAGATGTGATCGCCGGGGCCCGGACGCTCGCGATCATCAATCTGGCCCCGCCGCCCGTATAAATCAAGCTCACAATGCCAGGAGGAAGTTCTTAAGAAGAAAAACTATAGGTCATATCCTTCCTGGGAGGCGGCCAATCGGAAGCGGGGGAGAGTCTCCTGCCGACGCCCCCTCGCGGGTGATTCGTTTAACGCTAGGGTTAGCATGACCTGGAAATTGATTCTGCGACTCTTTTTACTGGCTTTATCTGTAATCTAAGATCGACATCGTTCGTTAAACGTCGCCGAGCTCTGTATTTTCGTTGTAGGACGATATTACGGGCAGACAGGTTACAAATTAATGTTTAAAAAAGACACTAAATTACACTTGCCATTTGAACGCAATTAGTGTCGCGACAGAAGGCAGCTAAAATGTTACGGTGGCTAAAGTTGCCGAGCAGCTATACTCCGTCGCAGGTTCGAGTTCTGTCCTAGTCATATATTATTTCACAATAAATGTCTTAAGAACTCTTCATAATAATTTATAGCGAAACATTTAAATTTTCTAGTAGGAGCGCACCTTAAGATGGCCCTGAATGTATAAAGATTTTTCCCCGTCGCTTCGCCGACGTGGACTCCTAAATCATGCGCGGATTATATATAAGCCGTGACGTAAAGTGATAGACTGGTGCCCGATGTATTGTTTCATCCCATTTCCACCAAGAGTGCGAAGTATGTTTTCTATTAGCCAGTGAAGCCCGAGATAGCGCACCAACAAACAATAAATATTACTCTACGTTTGGGTCCTCGGGTTTGGTCCGCACGTCCGGTATATACCATTGCACAGCACGGCGTAGCATGCTACGATGGTCTCGAGTTCGTAGCACCTACTTGCTTGTAATATAAATAAAAGCAGTACAAGATTTAAAACGTTTACAGTTAAAGTCCAAATTAAAAAACCCACTGAACGTAAATATGAGATTAATTAAGCTATCTGAAACCGCTAGGAAAATGTTCGCTCGAAACGATATAAGCTGATGTTGTTTCAGCGCAAAGTGCGGCACTGTGCGGGTACTTTAGAGTAACCGCATACGCGATACACAAATTGTCTTTTCCTAACGGATTCATTTGCGGTGTTGAAATTTGAATTGCGCTCCCGGCTGGTGCAGCAAATTGTGAATTACAGTCGGAGCCATTGAACGAGCGATTTTTAAAGCAAAAATCCGTTACCCCTACATGGGACGTGGGCATTACTATTGATAACTTTCACTATACCGATTAAAAATCGAAAATAAATTGAAACTCTCGACGCGGTAGTTCAATTGGCTAGAACAGCAGCACGTACCGCTGACGATGCCGGTTCAAGTCCTGCCCGAATCGATTCTATCTTAATTTATTTTCATTTTATATTAATTGATTTTGTTGATCGACCTTCCATATTGAAATAATCTACGCATTTTACAGCTGTAAGGGTAAGCTCCTTTCTGCTTCAAGAATACTTTAATTGTGTCTCCTCTATATTTTGTTTTCCTACGATTAATATTTGGGGAATTGTAATTGTAAAATAGTAGTGTATGTTTTGTTTAATACTGTCTTTAATGAAAATACTCACCATTAGTTGTTATCAAAGACGATGTCAATTGTACTCCGCTTATTTTATGGCCGGTAATAGAAGCCGCGCGTACAGTTAGTTTGCTTATCCTGTAGAATGAAGATAACGTTTCTATTGCAAAATATGTTATCATATATTATTTGTATAACAGTGAAAAGACTTTTTACAAGCAATAAATAATTAAATATGGCACTATTAATGACTAAACGAAAAACGTCTAAAATGCAAATTATCATATTAAGAGCGAAACACATTATATGATGACACACGATATGAACAATTTTTATTGTATATTATCCGCATTAGGCTCCGACCGCACCCCGCGCAATTATGGCAACGCGTAACGTCACAAATCCTAGTCCGATTACGAGCGTTGCAAATTCAAATAATGCGGTTCGAAATTTAAACACGTGTATAATTTTTGAATTTGGAGCGCGCCATGTGCGGTGCCCGGGGCGCTACTCTTCGGGCGCCGCGGAGTCTGCCCGCTCGGAAGCAGACCCGCTAAACGAGCGTAACGCGAATATATTTGGGCGGGCTGCAGATAATAAATGCTTTTATTGGTTTCGTGCGGTCGTCGGATCGGAGCCGAGACCGTATATGACTTTCGAGAAATGTTCCGCTTAATAGCTCTGAAAGGGGTTCGCGAGCCAAAAATTAACGTAAATAACTACTAGCGAGGCGGTAAGTATGTTAGCCTTCTCATCTTTCTTTATGCGAATGTTATATGGGCGTTTTCATTAAACTACGATAGACAGACACTTCGAAAACCACCTACTTTTTTTCAGAGCAGGTATAGAAGCATACAGATTGTGCGTGTAAAGCATAATTGACCTTAGTTACTCGGTAGGTACCTACCAACCGCCTAATTCAAGCGTAAGATACATTACACATTAGGCCAGTGCAGCCAATATTCAAAATGGATCCTAATCGATCTTCCCTCGATGGCTTTAATTACCTGAGGCGCTTACGTCGGTGGTAATACGTAATGACATTATAGCCGAACAAGAATAATGGCATTGGTAGATTATGTAAGAAAAAGCGAAGAACGCGGTTACGCAATCACCCACCAAAGTAAGTAACGAGACCGCAATCCATTTTCGCATTGAAAAACCAAAAGCTAAACGTATTCATGACGTAACGCTTCCATTCACCGCATGTAAGGAACTCTATTAAGGCGCGCATAAAAGAAATCTTCCCCCGAACAAATTGCTATTAACCCTTGCATTATGCGCGAGTCATTACGCCGCCGGCGCTCGTCTGGTCAAAGAGACCATTGAATAGTGTTTGCCTTAATCAGATAGGGCCCGGCAATATGCCACATGTTTGTTCTGCGCCGGCGATTACCGCAGCGCAACTGTTATTTTAAAGCGTGCTCGTTATCTGCAGATTTTTAATGCCCAAAGAGCCAATTGTCATTGCCAAAAACAAATTTGATCCTGTAACAAATAAAAGCCCGTCCACTAAAATAAGATGAATTAAATAAGTTTGCAAAGAGTTGTCTATTTTAATCCTCTCTGTTGATCATTGGTGTATCGATAATATTTTTTTCTTTTATGAGATCGAAAGAAATGTGTTTGTCACAAACAAACATATCGCCAAAGTCTCTATATTATACTCGAAGATCGACCTTTTTATTAAAGTACCAGTGAATTTGTGTTTGAGCCTTCGTGAATTCTTCATGAGTGGTTCGGCCATTTGCTTAAGCTTTTTAAGTACATTGTCTATAGTGCGTCCCGGTCTATCACTAGTGGACGTCGATTTGTTTTATATTTTGAAAATGTAATCTCTGGTTATCTTCAAATGGGTCCGGATCTCTGACGCGTCTATAAATACAGTAGCGCGGCATTACCATAGAAATAGAGCGAAAATCCATTCAACCCTATCCGCGCACTTTGTCAATTTATCTTGGTATATTCTCGTGAAAAGTTGGTATAACCCCGAGTCGTAAACACAATGGAGGTCGTATTTACGGCGAACAAATAAGTATCGGGCGCTGCGCCCGGGGCATTCGGGAAACAATGAAAAATGACCGGCGGAAAATTGCGCGGATCGGAGAAGATCCCGCGCTCCGATCCGTCGAACTCACTCGAGAAGCGATCGAGGCACGGATTTGGGCGGCCGACTTATACAATTGAATCGTTCGTGTGCTTTGTTGAATTCTAAAAATAAGATTAATTAAAGTAGCTATCCATCCAGTCTTAATGCAAAGCGATTCTTTTCTCCGACTCCACATTCGTATTAACTCTCCTCCGGCCCGGAGGGCGAGTTAACACAAACGTCGTCTGGACATGATTCCTCCAATCACGGCGTTATTGGCGCTCGTGCTTCATTACGGGCAAATAACTTTACGTCTCTCATCTTCCATTAATCCTCGGCGAGGTGTAATATGGAGAAAATTCCATTCCGACGTCGCCTGCGGCCCTGTGTCGTCGCGCACTCTATTTTCCTATTTGCGCGGCAGATTGGCTGTGATTGTATTGTTTGGGGGGCGGGGCCACCCCACTGCAGCCGGCCGGAAAAATATCGCCCGCTTCGTGATGAGTGTTCGAGGGTTAAATGTTGACTATTGTCAATATTGAAATTAGTGGGATGGAAATGTAAGCGAAGCTGATTGTTTTGTCGGGGAAACGATATTTAGATGGCACCGGCCTGCGTGCTTTGCGGCTTTTTGTTCATGGGCTTGATCTTGAACAATGTTCGACGTGGTGGAAATCGGAATTGCTATCATTGGATTAACGAGACCGTCAAAATATAACAATAATTTAACTTAATTATTTATGAGCAACTTTATATGATCCGGCGTACTTTGTTTTGTTGTTTGTACGATTAGGTAATATTATTATGATGCTACAATTGTAACAAATATTTTGATCGAAATAAAAGCATTATCACATCATCATCTCTTATTGTTCGCAGCGTGATGTTGTGCAGACTAAAGCCTTCATCGATAAATGGTCTATCTAACGCGAAAATATTTTTTCAATTAGGATCAGTACTTCTTCAGACAAAGTCTTCAACTTTATGATAGGGTTATTTTGATCGACATGAGCGAATAAAGGCTTCGGCGAAGCCGCTAAATAAATCTCGAGGCAAACGCGTCTGTGAGAAGCCATATCCTCCGATATCGGCCATAACGATCCGGCTCGTAAGGCGCGGTAACTTTTATGAGCCCCGAATTGTGTTTATGCGCTGTCCTTCGAGATTTATCGTCGCCAGGCTCAGCGATATTGCAATCGACGAAGTAATATTTGATGTACTTGTCATTCAAATCGTTCATCGTCTCCACCAGGATCGTTGAAACATGTCGGCACACACGTTGGGTGAAATTAAGAAAAGAAAACATTGAACCACTACCATTTCAAATTATAAAACTGGTTAAAAAAAGAAAAAAACTGTTTTTGTTATTTTGTTCCATCAAAAATAATGCGTTGGAAATAAGCAATAAAACGCCAAAAAATTGTATATATTAAACGACAATTTGATTATTATTCTCGGTAACGTTTTAGAGTGACAAAGATGATATACTTTTGACGGCTAAAAAATCGAAATATATTAGTTAACATTAAGATTATATAGCTTACTTGTGTTCGTTTTTTTTACTTAAATGCGGTTTGATGTTTAGGATACTTTGCAGCAGCCGTGGCCACGGGGGATAAAAGACGGAGGGTTTGCCTAAGGTCGTAGATAAGTCTGCTACAGACGGCGCTAGCATAACCGATTTGACTTCAAATAAGTAAACTAATATATTTTGCAATTGATGCCGTTAAAAGTGTACTACTCGCGTAAACTGCAGACAATACTTAACCGGTGATAGTTTAACACGCGTACGCTAATGCCTAAACTCTAATGAGTTAGGCCTGGCTCAGCGGGCGCGTGTCTAGTGCCCCACTACGTCTAACAACGTATCGCCGCCACAATCGACACTAACGACGTACTGGGCTCTCCTCCGCCAAACAAAACTATTGCAATTTGAACTTTTTAACACCTACGTGCTCGTTTAACCGAAATGCACCTTAGCGCTAGGGGATAAGGGCTAAAGCCGTGGGCGTGCTCGACGAATTCTGGCCGCTGCGGTTTGATGTTAGTCTAATTGGAGTCGCTGAGAGTTACCGCCGCGGGCGCAAAGCGGGACCTAGAAATGTGTAATTGTCCCCGACGCGAGTCGTGCCTAAGTGACGCGGATCATAATATTTATCCGGATTTCGCTCTCACTTCGACACTTCGGAAACTCGTAATCGGCCATCTCATTCACTCTGCCGTCTTTCTTTCAGGTTCACAAAGACTTCTTCGGCCGGATCGTTCCTCTGGCTCAAGCGCAGAAACAAGGTGGAGTATTTAACAATTTTACTACACTTTAAGTAAAAAAATATGTAAAAACGACATTCCAAGTCCTCCTTTGCGCAGTCGAGCAGAGCGCTCAATACGATTACATTATCCCGCTCAAAATACAACTGATCGCATAAGTTAAACAACGCGTCGCATAACCGCCTATTATTTTCAATTACCCACCGGCGGCAAGGGTTGTTAATATTCATTCTTGTCACCCGACCAGAATCGAACACCTGATCCCCGGTAATCGGACCGATTGTCTGCTATCTTGATATTAATCCGAGGTAATTTGGTATTCGTATGGTTAAGTGAAGGGGTATTTACAGGAGGCTTTGTATATTTTCAAGAAATTATCGGGAGTCGTATTAAAATTCAATCAAATATTATAAAAACAAATTTATTCTATATACCCAATTGTGTTAAATGAAAATGTGAAAGCTTTCTACATAAAATGAGTGTCTTCCGATCACAAATTGGGTACATCACATATTGAAACATTTCGCATATATTCTGGCCTCGTCCTAACTCCTAACCGACATCGGCGGTACATTAAGCGCAGACATCACTCGTGGACGGTGGAGCACATGTAGACTCGGAGTAATTACAGCGAGGCGGTAAATCTCGAAATGAAACAATTCGCGCAGACAATGGGGCAAGTTGTAATGAGCCCCTCTAAGCTAATTGTTCCCGCCGAAATCGACTTACTGTTTGATTTAACGGGCTACTTAAGGCCACGCCGTACGGTGAGCTAGGCGTTAACTAGAGATATAAATTGAAATAGTATTATAAAAATCGAAATCCCTGAAAATCACCACCGATGGGATCGAGATTAGCTAGTCAATTGTTTTTGGTGCATTACCACGCCAAAGATATAAAAATCTAATCTCACTGTTTTTATAGGTAAGCAAACAAATTAACCTTCAGTTTTGCTAGCTATATAGGAAATATGTCTCAGCTATCTATGTGAAGTCGCCCTAACAATCTCATTATAATATCCCGCTCCTTACTTGATTTTAGTTAAATGCTATTAATCTTGAGCTCCCGGATAATACGCTGCGATTTGGTTTGTTCTCGATTATAAATCGGATAGCCAAGTCCTTATTGACCTTGCAAAGTTGGCTCAATGAGCTACGTCAGGCCGATATGCGGGGAACAAAGGACGACGAGAAATAAGTTCCATTAGACATCGAGCCGTACGTTGTAGTTATTTTGTTGTAATTATTCCTATCCGTTGTTTGACAATTAATCGGTGACTAGAATTCAAATTGCTTTATAGTAGATTTTTATGTGCGAGGAGGACGGACAAGCGTGAGAGTTAATTTTATTAACTGTGTAACATGGAAGCAAGATGCTATGCCAAAACGCTCTAAAAACTTGCTTTCCCATCTGTGGACAGTGGTTAACACCCAGAGAGAATGTCGATATTGCTACCTCCCATTTATTTTCCAGATTTCCAGACGATTCAATAAACTTATTAATTGATTAGAAACACGATGGGATTATTAGCCATTGATTGTTATCATTAGACCTTCAAAATTTATATTACTAGTAAAAAACAGATTTAATTATTTGGCTTAACTTTCCTCATCGTATTGGGTTGCAACGAGGCCTAATATCAATTTCAAATAGATATATGTTCCACAGGCGCAGTATCCGATGCGATATCGTCGAGCGATGTCTTCTATCAGTACAGAGAAGGGTTTAACAATGCTGTCAGAAGGAATGTCCGAATGCGGGATTTGCTGTGATCTAATATAAATAAATAAATAACTCAACGTGGGTATTGTAAATGTACGTTTAGTAGCGGTTAAAAATAGTGCCCGGAGTTTAAACCTCAGAACATTGTATTTTTTCAGAAGCTATGCAGAAGTTGTGGTCAAGGGGGTGACGATGGAGGGTGTCCCTAATGTTGAAGTCAAATCCGCTACGCTAGACGACAGTTGGCACTAATGAAGTCATTTGTTAACGAATATATTTCGCGTTTAAAAATGTTAAAAGTGTTTTATTTAAACAGTGGAAAACCAGGAAACATCGAGGACAATGAAGATTCCTTAAAGTCGTACCTCGTTGGCGGTTTGTCTCCGCCTCGTTAAATTTGCAAACTCCACGAACTATTACCGCCACCTGCTGAAGAGAAGCGCAATAAGTCGTATCGTCAGCGCAGCCACTTACAATTTAAACTTTCTTCATAAATACATCGGATCGTATTTATAGCCGTAACTCTAATGATTCATTGTCAAACTTCTAATATACGACTGTTCTTAGTTAAGCATTTGCTTTAATGCGAGGAACGGATCTTGGGAGTACCTAGTAATTATGTTTATGAAGGCAATAAATATGTTGGTTATTATTCCACTCGTTTCAGAAACATGCAACTATGCGTGTACCAATCAACACCGTAGTCTGAAGCCACACTGAGCGCTGGTCTCGCGATAACTTTCTTTTTTCTCTTGTACCGACGTAGAGTTAAGACTCTACGTCGAGTACGTTAGTTAAAATTAATTTACTCTGAGTAACATAGGCTATACTTATCGAGAAAAGTCTCACTGAAGTTTTAGTAACCCACCAACGTACAGTACAACACCAACAAGACTATGTTCTACGATATTCAAGAACACATCTATACCTGCTAATGCCGTTTATTGGTAATACCACAATTGGTATATATATTTATATCCGTCTGATTGATGTCGTTTTTACAGTAACAATAATTCCAAGTACTAGGAAACAGGCTTCTGCACTAAGGTGCAGTGGATGACCGCGACTCTCGTCGCTGAATCTTCTGTATTGTTAAGGAAATCGCTCGTACTCACGATATTTATTTTCATGTAAGAAGCACTTACTATTAATGATAGAGTGACGACTGTTACACCGATCTGTAAATGTAAAACATTTAGTTTTTTTACGTATTAATTCTTCTGATTAAACCCTAAGTCAGCATATCATTAAAAAATTACGGATATAAATCTCATGTAGATAACTCATGCGATTCCCCCCCACACAGCGGGCTTAATCGACATGCAATTAAAAAAAAGCAATCGAACAAAAATATCCATAGATAATATATGTAGATAAAAAAATATAAAATTTAATTAGGTACGATCGGATATGTCGTAATTTTTTAAATAAATTTAATAAAGAAAATATTATTTAATGTGTCGCTTCAGATTATTTAATTTCGGCACTTAAATAAAAATCAATAAATAAACTATATATAATATGTGTAATATATAGATAATACATCCTGCCCAATGAAAAATATAAGTAAATAGAAAACTATGTACAAAGCTGTGACCTACGTTTTAAGTCTACAGATATTCCAAAATTAAACCGTATCTATACGGCGTATCTATAATCTGCATGTTCATTCCTAAATTGTCTATGCCTTTGCTTTGCTACTCTGTTCCTTTTGGGTACCGCCGCGAACGCAGCGGCTTCGTTGTCGCCGAGTAAACGCTTTATACTCAATTTTAGCAGACCTGCCATTTTAAATTTTACAATGCAAAAGTGAAGTATTTGTGTATTAATAATCGAAAAAACTAGGACGCGACCCGAAGTAGACGTAGCCGAGAAGTGCAACCGAATAAGGTATAGTTGTAATTTGTTCTTTTCTTCTTCCTGTTCTTATGTGTATTCCCGATTGCGTCATTATTTTTTCACGGTACGTCACATCGGCCACTCACCTTCTATCCTTAATATCTCAATTGGAATATCTTGACATATTTTAACTATATTCATTATTGCACGTGTCTATTAATTGTATTCGTTCATACTACGAACGGTTCAATAGGACTTGAGGAAATGTAGGTAGTTCTGCATAAACGTTTAAAATGAAACGCAATAGTTTTGATAAATGTTATAATTGATAATAATTAGAACAACTATTCACGTGTATCTAACAGTAGCTACGTGTTAATTATTATTATGATACAGTTCTTATTGCGACAATTATTAATAGTGTAATGTATATACAGCCGGCGTCCAATTCCCGGACTCGTGCATAATGCAGTGTTAGGTGTTTCAATCTTAAGTTTTATTTACAATCATTCCGCCGGTTTTAAGCATAAGCTAATCTATAAGTAAATAAGTAAGAGCTTATACAAAATAAATAATTTCGTTGAAATTACACCTTTAAAATACGATGTATTGAGGCTTACGCCTAACTGTGTTTCGGATAAGCGAACAGCTATTTCAGAATCAGATATTAAGATATAATCAATACATTATTTACATTCACTAAACTTATACACAAAAGTTTTGGTCAAAAATACTGACTTCGGTAACAACAGACATACAAGTTATTATCCTTCTATATATTAACCTCTATAAATTACACAAATGTCATTAATATCTAGGTGTATTTTGTATATACAATTAGTGACGTGAACACTGACTACACTACTGTCTATATATAAATACATTCTACTCGATTCAAATATGTATTATTTTCTATTTAACATAATGCTAAGTGGTTAATTAATTTATTAATTGGTAAAAAATGTACGCGACTAAATGGGAAGTAATATAATTTTTCATTTGACAGAGGTTAAAAATCCCAAATTGCATTTTCGACCGAATTTAAATCTAAGATTAACAGTATTTCTTTGAATCGAACGCCATAATTATTTTTGTGATAAGTGCTTTGTAATGCGAAACCGATTCGGAGGCAAAGTAAAATCAGGGTCGTCGACATCATTCGACGTGCTTCTGTTGTTCCGGCTGCGTGGTCGGGGGCTGTGAATCGTGCGGCAGAAGAGAAAGAGGCAGCGGAGGCAAGTGCAGCGGAAGAGGCAGCAAAGCTCGCGACTGGAAGTTGGCCAGCGACTGTAGCAACGCCGCAGAGTGCTCGTGGGCCTTGCGACGAAGTTCGGCGACGCTCGAGGACCGGGCCTCCTCTTTGGGGCAGCAAGGACACGGCGCGCCCCAGCCTGTAATTCAATATTAACTTGGGAGCTAAGCGTGTCGACGTTGTATATAACAACATCGTAAAGACATTAAAAGGTGTTCGCAGGCTTCTACGCCATCAGTTAAGTGTAAGTCACTCTGTTTTAACGTGAAGATTGTCTACAACTATCCTACGAAGCTACGGTGCACTACGCCGTAGCGTGGTGACGCAATACAGTCATGACCTTAAGCTTAAGAACGTTACTCCTATGTACCACAGGGTGCTATACAGATCCCTCTATAATAGTAATCGATTACATTAGAATTTAAATGAGTTTATTTTTGCTCAATGTATCTTACCTTTCAAGGGGAAGAATGGTTGTGACAAATGGTTGAGATGTTGCGAGAGGTGAGAGAGGTGCGGGGGCAGAAACAGCGGCGGTGCGGGAGGAGCGTCCGACCCGGCAGGGGAGGACCGGTATGCGCCCGTACTGGAACAATACAACAAATTACTTACACGTCACGCAAATTGTTCAAGAAAATCAACGAACATTAAATATTAGCTCCAAAGTTAAAAAGAACGATAATTCACTCCTGTAGAATACCTAAATAATAAGTTGCCAAGTTGGGTCGTTAGCTTTGTTTTTCAGTGTGATCTACCGGTGGATGTTTTAACTAGCAAAGGGCGTTGAACACGAAAACATTTCGTAATCTGTTTTGTAAAAATAAAGTGACAAAAACGTTTGTAACACAAATGAATTGCTCGAAATGACTTCTCGAGCGCAAAGAAAGTGTCAAGAGCGTCTCGTCGTGCAAAATTCAAAACACTACATCGCGTCAGAGATTGGAGACAATGAAATGAACGGCGGCCGAGGTGTCGCGCCGCTCCGACATTCCCTTAGTGCATACTTGATGCCCGCCACGATGCCCTCGCAAGGCATAGGCGGTAGCGATCCCGAAATACTACCGTCGAAGACCTGATGTACTGTGCTTATGAACTAAATCCTATATTCATGTTCTCTTTGTTTCATTTTTGTCGTTTTAGTTTACAATTACAATTTCAATATAATTCAAATTTTAAAGCATTTTACTAAAACATAGAAGCTTTGAATGAATTTTTATTTATATACTAGCTGTGTCAGCGACTTCGTCCGCGTGTAATAGTTATTTTAGACATCAAAATTTGTCTTAGCAAACTTCTTGTTCAACTCTATAAATTTAATATGTTAGCAACGACGTCGTTGGTAAGCGCTTAAAGTTTTCTTTTCTAACCAGTAGTTCCAACGATGGGTGCGTTTAAACACACAAACTCTTCAGCTTTATATATCAGTATAGATTATATTTTTGTGTATAATATTATTTACCACAGAGTTTTGAAAATACTTCAACAACGAAATCAATAATCTAAAAGAGGTCGCGTCTTCATTCGAAGCGAGTCTAACCCGCGCCCGCTTGAGGCTTGGCCGCGAAATTCCCCCGAGCACTCGTTCAATGGAATCAAAGGATTTGCGTTCATTACAAGTGCTAATAATTGATGAGTCAGCATACCGGCCACCGCACACTGACATCGTAATTCGGCGCACTCTTGTCCTGATTGCTCCGATATTATTATTACATTTCGACTTCGCTCTCTTCACGTTTCCCCGTGAATTCTATAATTCCAGGGTTTAGTTGGCTTCTATTTGAATATAACATTTTGCAATGGTTTAGCTACTCTTAACTCAAAAACAAACGAACATCGGCGCACTATACATTATTCTTAAAAACTAACGAGACACTTTCGGGAACATTTAAAAGATGTTATGCGAAGAAAATGAATGATTTCACATTTTTCAAATGGAAATGTTTTGGTTTCATTGAATTTAAGACTAAATCACATATTTCAGTATTACTTAGAATTTGCTTTAGATAACAAACGTCGAAAGTACGAAATATAATTATCTGTGCAAGGGTCAACCCTACGGGGTGGCCTAACGAAGCGTGCCTCTATTAATTGGTTTTCCTCTCCGGGAGGGAGTGTTCTCCTTAAAGATTTCTAATATGAATATTCAATTGGCATTGAACAAAGAGAATAGACACAAACTGTGACGCCAATATTCATTATTATATATTACAGCTTTGACATCACTTTGACCTTTTTATAATTATTAATGAAATACTACACATCAATGGGTGGAAAAGTTTATTACGAAATTCCTAAATATTTAACGACATATAAAATATATTTGTATCGTAATGCATAAGAATTATATGTCGAGCGAGCTCCCCATCTGCACGAGTGCGCTTGCATTAGACCGAATATATGCATAAACGCATAAAATATGCTCATATGTTGTTCCGCTATAATTAATGTAGTGTAGATTGGTATCAGAGTGTTAGGTGTAGTGTAGGTAATGAATGTTCAATTATTCATGCAATTAACTGATTATAGCGACACTAGAGGGGGCCAGAGGGGCGAGGGAGGCTGCCCGTCTCTGTTTAGTGCGCTATTACATAAACTTCGGATAAACATTATGAACCGTTCACTTATGCCGGGTGTAACTAATCTGCGCGAGTTATGTACGCGTAATCCGGCCGATTATTCAAATACATATTATACATTCAGCTCCAGCTGGTATTATCTACGACGCAGCACGTTCCAAGTTTTAAGAGAAATTGCGAGTAGCACCAATAAAAGAATCATTGAAATATACGATCTAATAACATTTTTAATTTAAAATCTGTCTTCGCGGTCGCCACGCGGTGAGCCTCGCCGCGTCTTCGCCTTCTTCCGCCGGTCTAAAACGCTCTGCGGGCGATATAATTATTAACAACCACTTATACTCCCGCTGTCGCTATATCCACGAATTACTGTCAATTTATCTCTTTGCATAATTAATTTTCATTTTGTGAACACGCCGTATTATGTTACAACTATATTTTGATCATTTATTCATGCGTTCGTTGAATATCAAAGGATACAATTCGGTAATGTTAGCGAGGGCAAGAACGGAACGTAATGCGGTTTGCATGTGTTTAAAGTTTCTTTTTTCCAATTTATGATAATACGAAAAATTGGGAAAATTGTGTGAATTCGCTATTTTCAGCTTTATGCCGTCGAAGAACTAAAGCATGGTTTCACGATTTTACGACTTCGTAGCAAACTGCTACGGCGTAGAATTTGAAGTATTCTGTAAACGTTGTGGGAATATGGGACCATTAGGACCCTCGATTTATTAATAACAAGATAACAAACACCTGACTGTGTTTAAAAGTTAATCCTCTAATTCAATTCCACGGGCAATAATTAAATGTGAACGAAACGCGATTAAGAAACGCTCTCTCAAGAAAATTAATATCGCTTAAAAGGTAAGACGTTAAAACATAACACCACTTTGTGTATCTTTAAGGAGAAAATTTAATTTTAAACGAAAGGTAGATACGGAGGCGCGGCCCTAATTGCCAATTTTCCTTTTACGCAGTTTTTTCAGCTTTTAAAGAGAAAAATTCGTTAATGCATATTTAATCGCTATAATCGTCTCTCCCTCACGAAATTACCGAGACGCGGGCGCCTTTCGTTTTTATAGAAATGGAACACTAAGACTTTCAAACTTATTATACGGTTTATTTACTTTGTATCTTCTTATTATCATTCGTAATAATTGACTCGCTAAGTCAAGTCCCAACGAGTGCATTACTGCAATCGGGCAAGCGAGTCGGCAAACCGTCGAACCGACGAACACCACGCGGCACGTCGCGGCGCACATCTCGTGTGTAATCCACTCGAATTACTATCCCAGTCAACTATCCAGTCTCCTGGGTGGGGCCGCGGGTCCACGATCGTTTTCTTTGAGCCATAATCCCGCGCTTCGCATGTAATGTGTGCATATAAATTTCAATTTTAAACCCGCGCGGCTCGAGTTACACCCATTTGTGGAATTACGCGGTCGTGGGGTTGGGACCGCGGCTTAACTCCAGGCGGTGAGGTCTCCGCGGAGCCGGGGAAAGTCGCCGGGTTTTTAAAACAACATTTGATTATGAGGGGTTTCGTGAAAGTAGAAATTCAATGTTCATCATTTGTTTCGTTGAGACCAATATTTTACTACTGTGAGCGTCTAAAGTAAGGATTAAAGACAATATAATACAATTTGCTAAATGCCAAACAGAGTTGAAAACTAGAGACTAACACTATCTTAAAATCAATTTACCCATTTGCATTCCCTATTGTTTGTACTCCTGCTATAATAATGTTAGTAGAAAATATCGTGTCGCAGTGGAAACGGTGCCGGTGCAGACCGCTCTGTAATCAGGTAATGTGTTCGCGACGAAGGCATGAATAAGCTAGCATTTCACCCAACACTTTCCATCTTTCACCTTGAATTTATGTTTCTTATGTTATTACTACAACTTCTACGGCGCACGTTTCATACGACAGCGCTTCTTCATGTGGATGCATGTTATACGCGTGTGACATAATTCTTCTTCTATATTTTGTTGTGTGTTCTTTAAGTTTACACTAGTACCTGTATAACAGTGTGCGCGCAACGCGATCTCACATGGAACGATAAGCAAAAATGCTAATAGGAATAATGCTAAGAGGAAATAGCATTTGCGCTTATCCTCGCTAATGCACCGTGTCTTGACTCCCGGCTCCCGGCGGACTTTAAACTGCTTATTTTAAAACATCCCACTTTTGTTCGTAAGCTCCTAACCGCCGAACGCAAGAAAGCTTTCGGGCCGATTTTTTAAGCACTCTGAAAAAGGATTACTCGGCTTTCTGATACTTTATTCCGCAATTTTGTTACTCTAAACGTTGTTTTTGTTTACTGATATTGAATTATGCTCAAAATATTGAATTTAATGTGCAAATATAAGTTCTCTCTGTATGACAGTGCTGCCAAAGTTTGGCTTCCCAATTTAAAATTTTACTTTCACAACTATTTTCAATTACACAGCACTGGTACCATAATAGTTACTAAGTTACTGTTAATGCTTTTGTTAAACGTAAAAATCTCATTAATTCAATCCAGTGAAAACGTTTTAAACTGACACGAAATGATTATTGATGGTGCGTTGATAGGCCGTGACAAAATTCTCATCCGCGTTATTCAAATGCATTTGTTCATATTACGCGGTTAAATTGATACAATAATGACGTCACTCCGAGCCATAAATTCTAATGGAAACGGCGCAGGAGTTATCAAATTAGAAAAATTAAACGACAAATAAAGTCCAATTAAAGGTTATTGCGTAAAAAAGGCATAAATTAATGTGCTCAATGAGCGTCGCTAAGCGACATGCGAGCGACGATTCGCGTTATTGTTCATCGAGGTAGGGTTAGCACGTCTTTCGTCTTTTGGCAACCGTACCGTAGGATAATTGCAAATACTAGAATTGAATTGAATTGCGCGTTTGAAAGATGCACTTGAAAATAAGTAATTCGCATAAAAAACACATTTTGAATTGCCATATAATTTGGCCACGAACACGGTAAAAAGCACGGTTAACACTGGCAATACAAAATTTCGAGCAAACAGAAGCACCATCGTGCGATCGTAGCAAAAGAGAATGAAGCGTGTAAATAACACCATTGTCATCCCTGTTACATCGTAAGTCCGTAATTACGCGTTTAATTGTATTAATTAGAGACTGAGTCGAAAGGGTTCCGTCGCAAATTGAATAACACAAAACGCCTACATCTAATAACATATCATGTGTACTTATGAGGGTTATTAACATAATGTTATTATTTGATGATTATACGAGCGCGATGTTTATTGTCGTCTTCATTATTCGTAGGAATGTTTATTTTTCGTTTTCGCTTGGTATCGTCAAATTCAAAAAATATTTATTCCTACGTACGTAGGTAACAAGGTACACATCCGAAGGTTTCATTTTACGGGCTTGAGGAACTTTTTTTTAAATTCTTTATATGTATAGAACCCAGAAGTAAACTTGCTAAATACGCAATTACACTATAACTAAACTGCAACTTTAGTAAGAGAACTGGCCGGTGCCGACGTTACGTTCGATAGTGCTGAAATCACACGTAACCAGCGAGTGTAAAACGTATAATTTTTTCTCAATTCTCCAGCACACAGAGGCTACGAGAGCAAACGAGCTAACTTCAAACGAAACACTCGCGAGTGCGTCAAAGGCACGAGCGATTCCAGGCAAATTGTGTTTACGCGTCCCGCGGGGCGCCCTTATCGAGTTTGCCATCGGAGAGCTGGAATTTAAAAGTTCCATCGAGCCAGGTGGATCGCCTCGCGCGCGCCCGACTGCGGCCGTCCTTTGTTCCTCGCGGCCGTCGCGGGCTCTACGAAGTTAGCGAGTTTCGGCGCGCGGGCGATTTGTGCTATACGATTACCCGAGTTACCCGGGAATCCGATCCGACAGTTTCTCCAATTCAATTCCGAGAGACCGCTCGACCGGGTCGAGACGACGAAGCCTGCGATCGAGCGCGAGCGACTCCGTCAAAGGACGCGATAATGGAAATCCTCCGTTCCTCTGCGCTAAGTACAAACTTATGACTTATTTATGTCGCATATAAATAAAGAATCTTAATCCGGCGCACTGGAAATGAGCTCATTTCTATTCCGCTCGAAACAACTCCGCGGAATAGAGTTTCATTAAGCGAACGCCCACCGCGGGCCGCGCATAAGTTAGCGTCGCGTTACGTCCGTCGTTAAAGATAAATTAGAACGCGCAACCATATTCGGCGCCGATCCCGCGCCTAATTGCTTAAGAGAAAAATCCGAATGAGAAATGAAATGGGATTCCCTCTACACCGGGAAAATGATATAATTGAATATCTTTTTCGTAAGTATTATGAGGTATAAAATATGGTAATTGGGTTTCGCTCGGCGAGCGCAGCGCGAGGATTATCGCTTCGCGCGGAGCCGCTCCATCTCGCAGGAGTCGCGGAGTAATGTAATAGCTTCCGCAAATCCCTTTATCATTCGGATCTTTATAAGTCGGAGTAACGTCGAACTAATGAAGTTATTATGCTTTAAGAAGCGATAAGACAATCCCGGCTTATTTGTGGAGGAAAAGTAATGATTAATGGGGTATGCATATATCTGTATATTAGCTACAAAATAAGCTTCCTCCGGGGCGCAAGGCGCCATCGCAATGGAGACCGAGCCATCGAAGTGATCGCAGAGAAATAAAATCGGATAGAGTCGCAATCAGGAGTGTTTGGCGGTAAAGTCGTTAGGCCGTGATGTCGCATCGTGACTCGACTTCTTATGCCTTTGACTCTTTGATATTCCGCCGACGACACTGATCGCGATCGAGAGGGAATTCGATCAGATACACTCTTGGGCTGCAATTTGTATAGAGCGAATGGAGTTATGCTGAGTTTTATTGATATTAGGTGATCGCTTCGTTGTTCTTATCGTTACAGTTAACTGCAATTAATTGTTTCAATATTTATTATATTTTATGACCTCTTTAGTTGGCATTTTGAAAAGACTTAAAACCAGTATACATACATTAAAGTTAATGAGTTTTTATCTATTAGTAGCAATAATAGCGTCGAGAGCGAACATGCTAAATGCTTACTCTATCTTGTATGCAATAGGGCAATGATAATGGCATAGATCCGATTTTAATAATTTGTTCGTAATTTAGCCGGCTCGGTAAAAAGTCAATCACAAAACGGGTCCCCCGAAGCCTAACAGATAACCCAATGATAGGTTAGGGCGTGGCCTCCCCCTCCGTTTATAAATAACAAGGAGTCAGGTGAGTATCGTCCTGAATAGCAATTTCACTTATGAATAATTCAGGAACGTCCGCGAGTAAACGCGTTACGATTTTTCATAATCGCCCCTTTTGATGCTCGAGGAACGCCTCCGCTATTTATCCTTCGCGTGCACTCGGCGCGATTATGGTGCGTGCGAGGTGTATTTGGGGATACAAATGTACGTACTATTTTGTTCGGGATACATACGGACGGAACAGAAGAATATTCACGAGCCACCGCGGACATTTGCATAGTAAAGTAAATAAGACGAGCCAGCACGAATTGTGCTTGCGGGAAATGACGAAAGTTTTAAGTGGATCAGCATAATAATTTTTATTAGGTAAATCATTCCGAGCGAGGGAGGGCTAACTTCGGCGGCTCGCGGCGGGCCAAACGAATTTATGTCGAATCGAAATATATGTTTTAAAGTTATTGTTTTGTACACATAATAATGTCACCGACTGCGGCACCGAGACATTATCTTTGTGTGTAATCGAGCAATATTTAAAAAGATGTCCTCTTCGTGCAAATAGAAAAATATCAACTCTCTTATTGCAGTATGCTGAAGAATTATAAATAAATGTCGAATATACGTTAATGTTGTAGGTTTTTCATTTGTATGTTATTTTTTAAAGAATATCCACGCTACGTGTCAAATGTGGTCGCCCCCAGCATCGCAATGCAAATGGCGAAGAATGATACCGCAACTCCGTACGAATTACTTCACGAAATTTTAATTTGTTATTCGGATCCCACTCAATTAGGCTCCTTAACTCGAAGCCGGGGGCAGTGGGTTCCATCCGCGGCCGGTGATGGATGGTGGAACTTCTGCAAATCTACATAATCTCATTTATATCGCTCCATGAGATAATTCCGATAACTTTTAAATAACGTGACTGAACATATTGGCAGAGTCGACTAGCTCTTGCCGCGATTTTGTTTCAAACAAAAAATATTGTACCTACATATATTTTTGTATCTTTTACATATTCTTTTTAAAGATCAGACACAATTAAGTATAGTAGTTCGGTTCTTAATTTTCGTAATTATCTGTAACACAATTGACCTGCCATTAGATATCACGTACTTGGCAGATAACGAGATAGATCGTATCGTTAACGGACGAGCGATGTGGATACAAACGACTTAACGCGGTTAAGTCGTTATTCCGCTCGCGCGCTAGTTTCGTTACTGCCCGTTACGAAGTTACGAGGTTAGCTCGCTATGGTTAGCTATATGTAATGCGGCGATGAATGATATGCGATTCAAAATTAAAGAAGGCAGACAACAAACATCAAACAATTTATGAGCCGGCGGCTCGAAATTGAGAAACTTTTGTCATCTGTACACCTATAAAACATCCGCACTGTAATTTACATCTTTGTTGTGATTTTTGTTTAAGATGTAATTTTGATACGTGTCGTAATTCAAAAGGGATGAACGAATGTGTAATTTAAAAAAAAATATTATAAACCTTGGATGACAGAATGATATTGAGATTTGCTAGGAAGGTGATTTTCGGAAAATACACTTGTTTTGTTGTACGCCTTTCGCTCTTTCCGCTGTCGCTCCTGAAATATGCTCGATTCTGCTCTCGTTATGTTAACAAGAGCCCGATCGAATCAGCGCAGTTAGATCACTTAGGGGTTGATACTATGTTATGTTGGCCACGTCTTTTTGCTATTTGTTATTTTTAAATAAGTATATAGTGCGGTTGTTTTCCATCTTTTTCAATTGCCTAATTCTAAACGTTATTACCATATCTCACCGAGCACTAGCACCCACAAATACAGATTTTTAATTGCTTTTCATCCGTTGTAAATACGTGGAGATTAATTGATTGAATTGAATTAAAACAAAGTCTCGTTAGACTAAGTTTAGTTTCGTTAAGTGCGCTCACAATAGAGTTATCAATATTTGAAGAGGCGATCTAATTTAAAAATCTTTTTGACATTCAACGCCGCTAATAAGATCGAGTCTGGGTGTTTTGGCCCGCATCGGGTGATTAAAGGGGGTAATGCGAGGTCATTACCATCACAAATCTACAGTCGGCATCGATTTTAGTTATTTTTACGACCACTGCGTCTCTTTGTATCGTAAAGCTGTTATGCAGGCGTCGCTAATCTTGTCAAAAGACGTTTTGTTCGGCGACCATTTCCTAACATTGGCTCGGTGGCACGCGCGCTCAGCGTGAGACCGCCACATTAAGAAGCGGCCACTGATTCTCAGCGGGGTGCGGACTATCAGCCATCGGTTTTGGTAGCCGTTAGTGTCATTAATGGCCTCGAAGATAAGCTGTTTTAATATGTTTGCTTTGAGTTGAAAAGGTGAAACATCTCATTTTCAAAGTCGCGAATGACCGATTAAGCTCCAAAGCCCGCTACAGTTCTTCCCTGCAAGTATATCGATCTGTCTCTTAAAGCGTAAATCCGGAAGGGAAGCACCATTGGCTGCCGAAAAAGCGACTGCAAATGTCGAGCGTCGTATAAACAAAACGCTCTAATGCACTTCCAATGAGTCGACAATAGCCGGGGCCAGGAAATCCAAGATCCAATTACGGTACATTTAGCTTCAATAGCGCACTCGTGCCGCCGCGTGTCGCTCGCCGGTCTTGTTTATTCACCAGTTTCGACTCAATTTGGCGACGAGTGTTCGCCGATCGGGCTCCGGGCGACACCCCAGCGATCTAATGAGCAGCTTTCCGCTTTTTTAAACGCGCCGCGGGTAGCGCGATTATTTACGGCCGGTGTGCGGCCGCCTTTGTCCGTTCGGGCTCGATTAGAATCTGTTACGCTGGCTTTTAATGGAGTGAAGTGAAATGATTTTTATTGAGTACACTCTAAACGGTCATCAATAGGGGGGGAAAACGATTCCTCATTTTTATGGAGGACTATCGCGGATACGGCGTGGCTGTATCTAGTGTGGGTAGGTAGAACGAGCGTGTCGGGATGCATGATCCAATTGTCGTCCGCTAAATTGATACTCTATTTGGCTCAATTAAACATTAATTAATGCCGCTAATGAACATCGAGCCGCTCTACCGTCACGATAATATGTCGTGAGGGGCCCGCGTTTTCAACTGATATTTTTAAATTAACATATGAGAATTTAAATATTCACCAAAGAAATAAATTAGATACTAAACTAGATAGTTCTGACTTTTACACTATATTCATAAATGTAAGAATTTTATTGTCTATCCAAATAAATATTTTTATCATTCACGAAAAGTGTAGGTACTCAATTACGATCTTGATCAGAACGATGTTCACTAGATTAGTGTAAGACGGTGATGTCATTAAGCGGTCGAGTAAAGAATTTTATGAGACCTTTGTTCAGTGAATAAAGTGCGTCTCGCTCCGCGGTGCTGTTTCATTAACAACATTAGGCTTGATTGACTTAAATAGTCAACAATTAGATAGAGGAATCGAGGAGCCCGGCGCGTCACTTGCGAGCTTACTAATACTTCTGTTCTGTGTGCTCCGTACATATGAGTACTGAGTACCCATGACATATATTCTTTCTTTTTTTTCTTTATTTAATATCTTTATTATAATCTTTCATTACAAATTCAATCTGTGTTACTTATAGGAAATTTTAATTTCTGTGAATTTTCTTTGTAGGTGACAAAGTTACAAGTAAATGAACTAACAATAATTTAATAGAAGTGGGTAAGAATGCTCTCTAACTCATTCAGTGATCAAAGGCTGAGCTTGAATCGGCTATTAGCGGTGTACATAACACAGGGGCATAGAAATTAGTCGGCCGATAGGATTAGGCGCGCTGCTGAAATTAGCGAACGCGTTCGTCGACAAATGGACGCTTAACGAATTTAGCCCGTGCGCGGCGTGCGTGCCCGTGTTTTGTTTCAACAAATGCAATTTAGACCCTACTTTTCAAATTATCAGAATAGAGAGCAAATATTATGATTGCCTCAAAGATTACTTCCATTTCACACATGGTGAAAATAAATTAATTCTTTCCAACTTCAATTTGTTTTAAATACTCCATTACAAACTTATATAATATCTATGACAGGTATATTTTAACAGTCCAAATGCGTCACGGCTAAAACGTTATATATACGTTACGTGAGTATCACACATTACATAAAACACTTTTAACGGTTTGTATCGGGAATCACATGAGGACGACGACGTTTTAGGTGCTATACAGCAGCCATAGTCACAGTGGGACGAAGTATGTTTTATTTCAATTAAAACATGATATGGACACCATGTACAACATTTCGCCATCAGTGTGCGTGTGAAACGGCCCGATGTAAATCTATTTGTCATATTAATGTGGCCAATTAGACCGGCATGCGGGCAAGGGTTGACGCGAAAGAGGGTAGGGTTGCCGATACTAGAAAAATATTTGCTTTAGTACAAATCAGGTTTCTCTATTATGGTAGTTTAACTAGTACTTACGTTTTACAAATTATTCACTATTTGCAATATTGCACCTATCGCAGTGTCAAAAGCGTTTTATCATAGACCATAATACAACGGAACGAATTTACCAATGTCAACCCTAAAAGCAGTTCGTCACACTGAACAACTGGTGCACACTCGCAGTGTTTAATTGATGCTATTAATTCGATTCCGTCACTACACTGTTTAGTTTTGAGACTAATTTAATGAATCTATCGATTGCAAGTACATACAACAGATTTTTTTATTTATGAGTCTAATTGATAATGAAAGTCACTATTATTATTTACATTTGCTGTGTTAAACAGATGTTAAAAGTTCAGTTCGAATAGCACGCCCACATAAAGCACAGAATCAAAGTAACGCATAATAACAATATTTGGGTCGGCACTAAAGATTAAATGCTCTATTAAGGCAGGGTTCCCAATTGAGGTGTCAATATCCAGGCGGTGGTCCAATTTCATTTAAAGGTCAAAAGAATTAAGCTTCTATGACGTATTATTTTATTGATTTACATTCAAGACGATTGAGCTCGACGTTACACTGTTTGATTTAGCTGTTAGTTGTTAGTTGTTAGGTACGCAACCTCATACGGTGTTTTTCAGTACTTAGACGTGGTAATTTAAAGAAAATAATAATATAATGATTTCATCATGCTGTTTTACGAAGGAGTATAGAACTACGTATACCAATTAACTTGTGACTGCGCGAACAAATTAGTACGGAGTGAATTTAAATTACAGCGACGCTAATCAATTTATCACAATGTAACGTTTCAATAGGGCTCAAGTTTCTTTGGAAACTCGATTACTGGCGGCATTAGACGAACTCTGTCCGAAGATTGCTTTAATAGAATTTTGCGTCTTAATTACCAATAATAAGTTAGGGTTAACTTCGCTTAACTTCCAAGTTTGGATCGCTAATAAACTAGTTGAGTGTAGGGTTTCATTGTTTCAATTAGAATCGGTTTAAACATCTTCTTCGTTGTGTTGCTTAAATATTAATACAGTCATTATGACGAAAGGAAATGAAGCTGACTTAAAAAAACGATTTCAACTAGAAGATCTTTTGTAATGAACGTTCAAAGCCAAAACAGATTGACAGCGTAACTTGTTAAGATGTTATGGCAGGGGTGTTTCACCATCGAGCGAACCCTATGTTCGTCTAGCCTTTGTCATAAAAAAATGACATTGGATTATTATTGTTATGTTTGCAGTTCGATCAGAGTTTGTCGACGTTATTTGTACATAAAAGTTGTTTCAAGTGTGAATATTAAGATGTAATTACTTCGTATATGTCTATATTGAAGTAGCACAAGCGAAAGATGACCGGATGTTTGTAAATCTGAATCCGAGATTATGTCGCCTACTTATCCCACGATCGTGTGAAGAGCTTAGCCCCGGGAACCTTTCCTGTATTAGATATTTTCGAATAAATACACATTTATCAATTGTATTACCAGATATTATATAAATTTTTAATAAGATTTATAGAAAACGTTACGCTACGATAGATAGATTCAGTAATGGGAAATTGTAAAAAAATAAAGCGGATATTGAAGTAAAAATATTTCCTGTTTGCTTATGAAACGCCGAAAGTAATTACGATTGATAACGTTTAAAAATTCATCATTTAAAAAAAATGAGATTCTTTCGTAGTTGTTCGGTTCAATCTTAGGTTGAACATAAACCGTATTGAAAATTTTAATATTTTTTACATGTTATTGTACATGATGGCACTATATAATTTAAAAACCTAAAATGAATTGAAAAAAATTTCGACTCGGGCAGGACTTGAACCTTAATGTCTTTGTCCGTTTCAATTGGTAGAGCAACAGCACGGAACGCTGACGATGCCGGTTCGAGTCCTGCCCGAGTGGAAAACTTTTTCAATTTATTTTCGATTTCTAAATAAACCGTCTTTCTGTTCTAGCGAATAGGTTACACACATCTAACTTATAAAATATACACACATAGGAATGTGGAAAGTGTATATCACGACGATTAAAACTCGTTCACAATTTTAAAGATTGATTCTTCTGTCTCAAGCTAAGCCCGACTAAAAACGCAAAAATGGCCATTAATTGATTGTGACTCGCACATTTATGAGCGAGGAGAGCGCAATATAATTAGACTTCATTACACTATCGCCAGCGCAGCCCGGCGTAGCCTTAATTAAGTAATTGCTAAACACGGTCCAACTAAATTACTCCAACTTTGCACACCGCGCTAAGGGAAACTGGCGCTACCCGAACCGGCATAGGATCGGAAGTGCCTTGGAGTCACGATGACGTAGTACTGACCCGGCCGCTGACGTCTTGTTATGGAATTTGGTTACTCATATACAAAATAGTTGTTAATGAAAACATTCATTTTATTGTTTGTACGAGATGCGTTGTCGATCTGTTTTGTCTTTGGATATTCGGATATCGACAAACTAAAACCAAATTGCGATCAAACTTTCCGGATGGAATTTCAGTATTCCTACCACGCATTTAATATTCGTTACGTAACACCGCTCTAGTCTGAGTTATTTTCTCATGACTTTGTTAATAGGTACTATGTTCTGTGTGCAGTGAATATTCGAAGCGGATACTTACTGATCGAAGGGAGAGAAGATGTGATGTTGCGGCCTATGCTCTGGCATCGCCTCCCTCGAGCCAGCACTTCCCACTGATGGGGCTGGAGACGGACTCGCTTCGGACCTAAAGAAGAGAAGACATGAATCTCAATCTTATCATCTTAGCGATACATTAGTCAAAGTCAATTCCTTGCTACTCACGTTATACAAACCTCACCTTTCTAAACGCGGTGATCTATTGGGCGAACGCCGCGGAGAGCGGAGCGGGGAGCGTCGCGGTGAGCCAGGAGTGACAGGGGGGGACGCCCGGGGGGAGACACCGGCGGCTGACATCGGCGATACTTCTCCAGACCCACGGGACATTCCACATTCTGATGAACCCTGCATCGATATAATTGCGTCGTATGAAGATATCAAGAGTAAAGACACGAATTTAAATGGGCTAAGATCTAAGACAATGAAATATGGAATTGCTTTGATCGGATTACCTATTAGGCTGCAAATTAAATCTATCACTAATTCTACCACGACAAACAGTTTCCATATAAGGCATATGGTATTATGTGTCATTTTAATATCGCATGCCCTGAGGCAAGGTGGACTATTTTCCCTCTAAACATGTGAAGGATACGTTAGAAGTATCTTTAGGTATTACTGGTACAAACCTTATCGTCGCTAGGGTCGCGTTTAGCCATGACTTCGACTCCTTCTCGCTTCCTCTGTTCTTCTTTTAACCGTTCCGCCTTGCGCCATTTGGCCCGTCGATTTTGAAACCAGACCTTGGAGTGATCGACGAGGATTAGTTTATTATTAACGACCTCTGCACCGTCTCATTAGGTAAACATTTCAAAGTACATTTGGCCAATATCAAAACCTATAACGCTAATCCTCTATAACGACGCTGTCAACACTGTGGCTCGTTAATAATGCATTGCAACCCCATTATGCTGTATTATAACTCAAAAGATTATTCACCATTCCATAAGGGACGTTACCCCATCAAATTTCAAGTGACCTTTCCTCTCGTAATCCGATAATGCGAGGCGGGTTTTTTTCAAACTGGTTCTACACTTATGTGTCCAGTCGGAGAGACCTTTCGTTTGTTGTCGTTGCTGGTCGGCGCGGGTTCTACGCGTCTGGTGGATTTTCTAAATGCGCCGAGGCGGGCCACATTTGCACTGCAATTTTCGCAATTTACTTTTAATAAGCCCTCTGTTACAATTTTGAGGAAAGTAGGTATAGAACCCTCATAGATTAATATGTGTAGAAGACAAATTTGAATTTGTGTCTCAGGTCAGTCGTGTGTTGGTAACTTAATTGTGATAATAATATTGTTTATTAAAGTGTTCAATTCCTAACTAATAGGATACCTGTATGGGTTACTCGAATTTTGACATAATTACGTTGTAGTTCGTCGTTTTGTAAAATTAAACAGGTTTTGTTATTCGTTACTGTAGAATATTCGAATATTCTATGAATAACGTATCTGTATTATAAACATAGTCTTTGATTGATCTCTTTAGAGCCCTTTTACGATGCTAAGCTAATTTTGTTAAAATAATAATCCAACCATAATCCGACGTCCGCCCTAATCATTTTTACGTTCTAGAGGGGTCGCTCGCTTCAATAGTTGATCCGTTGTTTTATTGTTGATAAACGCCTTATTTAGTTCAAATACTAATGCTAATGAAACAAATAATTACGAATAAACATAAAAACTGGGTCATCGAGTGGAAGATTAAAGTGTGTAGCAGCAATATGCCTAAGACACTTTTAAAAGATTGGCTGTCTTACAAACACCTACTAAATGCGTGTCATAGAATGACTATACAGTAGCCAAATCAAAGCCTTCCATCCCAGTGCCCTGCCACTTAGAACACGAAAACGGAGAAAAATAACAAACCATCAAGGTCTCTATAAATTCGCCCTATTATATTCAAACTCGGCGTTCATTCGAATCGCAATCTAATAATAGGCGAGTAAAGTCGAAAATCAAATGCAGCGCTGTTAATTTTAGGGGTGTCGCACGCGGCAGGGGAGCGGTGATTACCTACTGTTCGGTAAAAGTTGATTGTTTGCGATTTGTTAGCACAGTGTTAAATAATAACAAATATTGTTTAGTGTGAAGAGCCCAATTGTAGCGGGCGGTTAATTGCTTCTTTTGTAGGATACAGTAGGACGGGGAATAATGGCCCTTAAGCGAAGAATTGCATTGTTTTATTTATTTCTTTTACATATTTTAAACATGACCTCCCTTTTAAACTTTGCCTTCTTGGTAATGAGAACATGCGTTAAACGGGAACGTTAAAAACAATTTCCCGTAATTCAGTTGAGGTATTCAGCAAAGTTGCGAACACATTAGCTGTCGCGAGACTCGGAGCTGCTATTAATTATGTCAGAGCGAAGTAATGTCTAAAAACACTTCATACGGGAGTTGGGACACGTTAACTTGTACAAAATGGGTAAACGATGCGATTACTTTGCAATTATTACAAACATTCTATGCTATACTATTCTACGATTAATTAAATATTTCAAAAAGAGGCGTGAGTTGCCATATACGGCCGCTATGACCGGAGGTATGATTACTTACTGCGTCGCTGTTCCAATAAAACGAAAAAAAATTGAAAGCTGTTGTTGTGCCACTAGGATACGATTACTTGAACTATTTTGCCAATGTCTACTGCGCCCCGACACAATTTAAAAGCATATCGCTTAATGACAAGTCATATTATGAAAGTCACAAGGAATGTTAAGACCCCCGGCGCCGCTTGGCTGGTTCTAAGTTGACGTGCGGATGACGCGTCTTGACGTGACATGTTAATGTCGGTAAGAGGTATTTACATGGGAAATTTTGCCTCCTGTTCGGCGAATTTTGCTGAATTTTATAAATTGCGTTCAACGGGTTCTTACTATGTTTTAAATGGATTTTGAATATTTCAATTCAAAATGTTCGAGGAATTTCAATAAACAACTTTAAATGTATTAAGCACTTGCGGCCCTGTCCCGGCTTCGCAGGGGTGAACAAATATTTAAATTATAAGCATGCTAATTAAAACGACCATGAATCACTAAATTAGAAAAAAATTGTATTGCGCGTCCTCTCTGTTAACAACCGTGGTCTATCTCGCTGGTTCAGCAGCGGCTGCAAGCGTTTAGTGTTAGTGTCCCGTGCACGTGTTCGCGAATTCCTAGCTCTATTTCCTTCAAGTCGCTGCGACGATCTTGCATCTTGTTCTGCAAGACGAACTGAACGTTCGACACTAGATTCTCTGGCTCGCGATTGGGACGCGTCCACTCATACTTTCCAGACGATCATTTTAGGAAGAAGACTCTCCAATACGGCGAACTTTTGCTAATCTCGCTTGGAAACTATTCTTAGATAGCTGCGACCTTCTTTTTCTAGTCATATATTGTTATGAAGGATATTTAAATAAAACACTTTAACGGTTTAAAACGCGATATATTAGTTAAACTTATTTGGAAATGATTTTTAACTTCGGCCCGACGTTTCGGAAGCTTTGCAGCAGCCGTGGTCACAGGCAGACAAAATAAGATATAAAATAATTTCCAAATAAGTTTAACTAATATATCGCGTTTTAAACCGTTAAAGTGTTTTATTTAAATGTGTACTACTCGCGTAAACTATACAGACAGTATTTAAAAACCGAAATATTCAATGTCGTTCGCGCCCACTGCGTAAGGAGCCCACTGCCCCTCTATCGTCGAATTAGTTACTCGATACGCGGCGTGGCGGCCGCCGCCGGCATGTATTCTTATTTTAATTTCATGATATCTTTTGAATGGCACGTCCGATTTCAATAATTAAAAAAGTAATCATCAGGTATTGAGACAGTCTTGAATATTCAATTATTTATTTGGATTTCTATCAATTTGTTAAATGTAAAAAAGTAGTTATAGCGACGTAACTACAATAGTTAGACATATGCTCTCGTGATGTTTTTTGTAGATATTGATATATTCTATAATATTGTCGAACATTTTTTTGTCCTATCATTAATACTTTTCTCAGCGTATGCGAAGAAAGACATTTTAGGGCAATTTTTTTAAGCCTTCCGTTGGTTGTAGTAAGAATTTCTATAGATGCTTATAGTAATCAAGTACTAAATATAGCCTATGTTACTCAGTGATAATGCAGCTTTCTAATGACAAAATAATTATCAAAATCGGTCTAGTACTTTTTGAGTTACATACAAAAATACAAATATTTCCTCTTTATAATATTAGTATAGATAAACGACAGGATTCGTCGTAGTTACGTTCGTTCGACATTTCGAAAGACAACTAATCTCGGCGCAGACGTAGCAGTTCTACGTGCTACGAGGACTACGAAGGTGCTACGGCGTAATCGTCTTGTACTTTCACTAATACAATTTTATTAATATATATTTTCTCATTACATAAATAGATGACTACATAAAGAATACGCCTCATTCCATCGACATGAATCGTCTAAACCAACCTATATAATTGTTCTGCAGACGAAGTAACTCATCGTTTATGCTTCTATGGCTGCAGTACACGAGGTAATTCCACAAATCCCTTAACAACTTAAAATATCTTACGTATGAAGCTTATCCATTAACTCGCTAACTTATAAGCTGGGTGTACATTAATAATTAGGATGGAGCACGAAGCTGCGCCAAGTTTTTCATCACGTGATTAGCAGCAAATTGATCCGTCTCCGTCATACGTCGGTATGCGGCAGACCTACTTGATCTCCACTTACCGCTTAAATATGGCAGGATAAACTAAGTTTTGGATGCGTTCGGCGATTGGGTTAAGTATTATCGTTTTTTACGCAGCTTCATTAAAAATCATTATTGCCTACTGTTTTCTTATATCGAACATAATCTTTATGACGCATCCATTTATCGTACATCCGGCAGTAAGAACAACCTTATGATTAGATTTTGTGTTTAGAGGATTGATTCGCGTAAAACCGAACGTCGAGTTATCCTATTTCTCTGTTAATTCCAATTGAACGTATAAGCAGAGTGTAAGTGTATGACGAGGTGAACAATTTTATAATTGTGTTCTTCTGTACGTTTGTTTAACAACATTTAAATAATACATCATAAATGTTTAAGTTGGTTCATAAGTTTTTCATTTAAAATAGAAGGAAAATCGTATTACAATAGAAATAAATTAACTTAACATTTTTCTAGTTGGGTAGCAAGAAACGAGGACTTTTATTTCCACGTTTCATTTTGTGGTTTCATGTTTTGGTAAATAAGCGTCATTTTTCTCCTTTCACATAGTAAAACAATCAAGACACTTGAAGCAGTGAGTTCGCGCAAAATACGACAGAGAGATGTAAAGTGTCACATTTCATCTCTCCCCCAATTTAATTTTCTGTTGGTATGATTGATATAGATGGCGCTGCGAACGTAGTCAAGTGCAAGCGGTACACGTTGGGACAGACGGGCGGAAATTTTATATTTATACCAACAATTAAGTGTTAGTTGTTCAAAAAAGCTTGAGGTTTGTAGGAACCGACTTTTTCAAAACAAGATTTGAGAATTATATATTATAGTATATTTTATTTTATACGACAAAAATTGTACAAGTTACACTTAGTTTCGTTCTGGAAATATCCATCTTTGTTTTATCGTATCCCCATAAGGATAATTCTTCAATGATGGTCAGACACAAGAGAAAATGTTCATACCACTTTGAAAACGAGATAATAAAAGTCGCAATTCCGCCATTTTTTACCGTCATTATTTGAAAACAATTGTTTTAAACAATAGCCGAGTACAGTAACAAGTTTAGCTCGAGTACAAATCAGCGTTTACCGAGTGTACGCGTAGGAAGGGTCTTTGTTTTCCCGTCGCGTTTGTGTTTACACGCCTTTTCAACCGGCCTGGAGTGTTGTGTCAATGTCATTGAGACTGAATTGAGTGTAACGCTGCTTTAATTTGAGTTTCTTTTCACTCCGCGCTAATTGGGTGACCGTTCTGGGGATCCGCGACACTTAAAATGTGTCTACACGAATAGTAAAAATCAATATACGTTTAACGGAATGTTTCATAGAGTGTAAAACACGGCGGGCATTAAGTAATCCAATATGGCGGACAGGTGCTCCCGCCTTTTTATATTTTTCGGGCGAATTATCACTGACACTCGCAGGACGGGGATGCGAATCAAATTGAAAGCCGACTCAATTTCATTACTGTACGGTGGCAGGGCTAGCCGCTCTCGTTTTTAAGATTATTAAGGGAATTCCGATAATTTCTCCGAAGGATTCTTAATTAGGTCTCTGCAATACAAAATCAGCGTTATTAATTTATTGTCAATGAGACTCTATGTCGAATAAGCATGTAAACTTCCACTTTTACGTAGAATCGTTTCGGCAGAGTTTTCGGAGTGCCGAAAATAAGAATCACTCAACGTAGTGTCCAAGTTAAACGGCTTACCACAACTTCACTTTGGCTAACTAACTCATCGCGCGACACCCCTTAATCCCGCACTGAGGGTAACCGAGGGACGCGGGCCGAGGGGGGCGGGATAGCATACCGTAATACCATTTCGAGATGAGCGACTTAAACGCGTTACGAGCTCCACTATAACTTGACCTGCCTCACTTCTCTATTTACGCTTCGGCACCGGGGATGTAACCTTTGTCTCTGCTTCAACAAGAACAAGAAATCAACGTGCATGGGAGCGAACATCGTAATTGATCGTAACAGAACATCAAAGCCACTAGTAATGATTAATACAAAAATTTGCTCTTTGCCTCTCCATGTCATAAATTCTTACTCCACTTGGCGACCGCCGCCCACTGGACCCGCCCGCCATAGTGACCGTTTTGACGGCGACTGTATTTTGACAATGCTAGTTAACTAATGGAAGTTACGTGTGATCGACGTGCAATTCGATCTGCGTCGGCCGTTAGTTTCGCTGAGTGCATTTAACCCGGAATACCCGGGTATTTTTGTGGGACACCCATTCGAGGAATTGCCTCGTATCAATTTTCGCAAATGAAATTGCAGAGGTGTGCTTCTGCACTAAGACATCGCTTTAACTTTTGACCGAAGTCTGTAACCCGGGAGGCGGGAGGGTATCTGAACTCATTGTTTCGGCGCAGAAATGTCATTTGAATCTTAAACGGCCATAAAACCTCCGAAGTGACAGAGCCAGCGATAGTAAATTTCGCCTCTGCGTGCTTTGAAGTCGGAATCGGGGAATTCCTACTTGTATATAAATAAAAGATGGCGGCTGCGTCGAGCAATTTGCCTAAAACCGGGCGAGACGTTACACGACTCAAGAACCGCTTATATCCAACTGTACGTGCCACATGAAAGTACATAATTTAACGTTTCGCGTGACTGAGGTATAAACATGGGAGCTTATGTGAGTTTTCCACTATGAAAACCCCCCGCCCGCAATCAGCTGACCTGCGTTTATTTTCTCAATCAGCGTTGTTATTCATAATGGGGTCCACATATACGGACATAGATATGTTGTTATATAATTTAAAGTTATAAAAACTCATGTAAATAAAATACTTTACCGGATTAAAACGCGAAATATATAAGTTAAACCTGTTTACAAATTATTTTTACTTACGACCCGACGTTTCCGATGCTTTGCAGCAACCGTGGTCACGCAAATTGATATTTCGTGTTTTAAACCGTTAAAGTGGCATTTAAATACTTGCGTAATTTACAGTACCAGACAGTATTTATAAAAGCTCACCTGAACTCTAGCTTCAGTCAGATTAATCTTGAGTGCGAGATCTTCTCTTGTAAAGACATCCGGATAGTGCGTCTGCGCAAACGCCGTCTCCAACTCTTCCAGCTTCAGAGACAAGTAGTTAGTGTTAAAAACGAATGTTAGTTATTCACTTATGAAGCATTTTTATGAAGATGGCGCATCCTATACCTGTTGTAAGGTGAAGGTAGTCCGGTTTCGCCTTTGTTTGCGGCGCACGAAGGTGTCATCGTGTATCGCCGGGTGATAAGAGTAGCTTGTATCTGTGGAAAGTTTCGTATTATTGAGAAAATTGGTTACGGTAGCGATGTGTAGCTAATTAACGGGTCGTAAATTCGATCATTCTCGACACAATCTATATAAAAAATAGTAGGAATATTTATTTGGGTCGCTGTTTACAGACGGATTAAGCTTGTGAATGTCAGACTGTAAATCCATAATAGGTAGACGACGCATCGTGTTTGTGTCATATCGCTGGGGTATTTCCCCTTGTGTGAAGGAAAATAACATATACATATAGTAACATAGCCGAAAACGTTCATCCTTAGCCTACCGTTAAATGCAGAAAAACACGAAATTAAAATATCAATGTCGGAGCGGGGTGGCAATAAAATAACAGCGGGTCCGGAAACATCGGCCCATTACGTTCGAGTGCTAAATCGCCCTAACAGACATTATTGTGTGTACTCGTCTTTGAGCACTCCGCGGGAATTGATGAGGTGGCACCCGTAGGGTGAATACGTATTACGTCTTATGACCTCGTGTTCAACCACTTGAGTGAGTAAAACGTTAGGTAAGTAAATGCTAATTTATTACTTATGTAAATTATTAGTTTATTTTAGATTTAAAAAATATATGACACCTGCAGAACTGAAATCAAAATAACTTAGTGCACATTAAGTTATTTTCAATTTCAAATATTGTTTTAATATTATATTAACGTGAATTACTATCGTCTGCATCTTGTTTGACCGATATTTATGTTGTGTTAGTTTGCTAGGTAAGGTTGCAAATAGTTCTCGATTTATTCACAATTATATTTTCCGAGTATTAGTGTTTCAAATATTTTTTTACACGTATCAAATAAATACAATGATTTTTCCAACAACATATGACCCCCACCGTTTGAGTAGATATCGTGGGGTGCCTCGCTCTTGGCTTTTCTATTATTCCTACCGATAATGTCATTCCGGACATTACAGGACAAAATTGCCCTCAACATTTGGGATTACAGCTGTCTTCGGCAATAATGACGTTACATTTATTACCAGTTTGGTTCTTTAGCGCCCCAATACTGGCTCAAGTCTGACAAATAGTCCTTTGCCAAACAAAAAGCGGTATTTATTGTTCTGTGGGTTTTTAAGTGAATAGAATGGTGGTAATTTGTATATAGATATGGTTATAGAATAATATTGAGAAACTTTCACAACGTTTAAATACGAAAGCACTGTTGAGCGGGAAACGCCGCGAACTAATGGGATGAATTAATTGAAACAATTTGTCTCGTTACGATTCAGTACGAATTTACGCTACTTTTCCATTCGATCCAATTATTCTGCGACTTCATTGAGAGGTTTATGTCAAAGTTAACATAACCTGCGTTGATTCGATATTTGTTTGTACTTTGATGATATAAAATATAGTATTATAGCGATGTATAATCGATATACCTATTTTCTTAAACACCATTTATTAATGATTAAAACAAGCAATTTTAAATCGAAAATAACTCTAATTTACCATTCTCAAATATTTAACTTTGATTTCAGCAGTTAACTGCCTAATCCACAGATTACTTAGCATTATAAATATGCAATAATTGAATATTAATAATTGAGAGTTCATCAAGGCTGTTGTAGAAAAATCCCTCGACGGCGGAAATTAAAAAGTGTTCAACGTCCGCCGGAAGTGGCCGGCTTAAGTGCAGCGAGAAAAAGTTTAACCGGCCAGCTTCGAGTGCATTATTGTTTTAGCGGTTCCGTACTCTTTCGTGCATTTGTTTGCTTCATAACTCTATAAATAGGGGCGTTGGCTCCTTTGCCTCCTTTGCCGTTGATTACGACGAGACATGTTGATGGATACTTGACAATTTGTAAAAAGGTTTCTTTTTATTTGCATCTTATTTTAATGGGTTGTAAACTCTTAATTGAAATATTAATGTTACTTATACAATAGTTATTATAACACAAACATGATCACGAACAAAACAATAACCTGTATAATATAATCCGTTGATTATCTAAAAAATTTGTCCCCCGACTCCCGCGCGGCGGATAATGAAATAAGGCCCTAATTCGGTTACTCTTTGATCGCGAGTTTAAAAAAACGGCCGCACGTCTCGGCTAATCTAAAGTGACATGATCCTTATTAGGTTAGTTTGGGTAACAGAGTTAAAGCGAGCAGCGGCGCGACTCAAAAACTATTTTATGAATAATAGATGGCGCCGCCGGCGACCAATCCCAGGGGAGCAGGGGCGCCCCGCCCATGCCTCCTGCGGACGGGCACCACCGGCCCACCCTTGCCTTCTATTCATTAGCACATTACCACCCCTCCAACGCGTGAACACAGCGCGAAAGAAACTGATTTTAAACGGCGTTTATGCTGAGGAGCACCGCGCAATAACAAATCGTAGGCATTTCACAATTGTTTAAGTAATAGCCAGTGTATAGTGCAGTAGATATTTTAAAGCAAAAACCAAAAATAAATAGGACTCGGTGGCTCAACTGGTTAGAGCAACAGCACGAAACGAATACCGGTTCAAGTCCCTCCCGAGTCGTAAATTTGTCAATTTATAATCGATTTTTAATTATTAACCCTTCGTGTGTTGATAAAAAGTTGCCAAAACCATGGGGAGAAATCGGTAAGATACAGTTTAAATAACATAAAACTGAAAAACTTTAAACTAGAATTTATTAGTTTGTAGTTTTCTCTATCTAATTTTAAAAATATCACTTATTGTTAAAATTAGAAAAATAAATGTCTTAAACTACGTTATGTGCGAAGTGAAGTAAACCGCGGCTGTACTTACCTATACTAATATTAGGTATAAATCGAACAGTTTAATTGTTTAGTCACCTTTAAAGAACTTTATTAATATTGAAGAAGACCTATACATCAGAATAGCATTGGAAGGGCAGAATGGAATTAGCGATCGAAACGCGCCTTAACTGCTAATAACGTCGTTAGGCTGCTGGAACTCGTTTACCAAGTTTGAGCCAGTTGGCTACTTCATGTTGATTCGGTTTCTTCCAATTAGACTAATACTCTACAAGTTACAATTAGGGTTTTGTTGGAAAAAGTAAATAACTATTAGAAACAGAGTGTTTATTTTCCTTTATCAACATCTCTATCACTTAAATTTAATATAGTAGGTACTCGTGGAAAATAAATGAACGATTTGGATTTCAAATAACAGTTAAATTTAACAAATAACGGTTAAAAAAAAATCAAAGTAAGTTATTCTAGCGTTTCTATAAATTAATAAAATATAATTCTATAAGTAACCCTTCTAAAACTGTAGATAATAATAATTGCTAAATCGATCAGCAGTCCTTTAGATCATTACTACAAAATACCTAAAAATATAATATCAAGAATAGCCATTTTACACTATATTCGACTAAATAAGAAACCGACTAACAAGTATATTAATATATTCGAAGGTACTCACAAGGATGTGATGCCGTGAAGGGATATTCCAGGGTCGGCAGGCGGTGCTGGTGCGGCGGCAGGCTCGGCGGACAGTGGTAGCAGAATAATCCGCGACCCCCGCCGCCGCCGCTCGCCAGCTGGAAGTAGCAAGTTAGCTGTTACTTATATTCGATTTACCTAATTAAACTGCTTAACCTGCAGAATAAAATAAATTTTAAAAAAGGTAAATTACATATTTAGCGTTTTAAATCGTTAAATGTTAAATATTCGTGTAAATTACAAACATATGTGAACGATATAAATAGTAGTGATGATATATAGCTGTTATAGTTAAAAAGACGGTCTGCTCGTCGAAAGCTCTGGCATTAGGCGAAGCCTGCGCCTATAAATTAGACAACGCACTGCCCTCCATTAGCATAAGCACCGCAAATGACAAAGAGATCTGCGAACGCGTGCGCATTGAATCTTAAGCGAGTTCAATGGTTTGATTGTCGGCGAAGATCTAGTGATCAACGGCCGTATCTAGCTCTTTGATTGTTTCGTGATTTCAAATTATTATGCGGCTTTCGCAACTAAGAGAGGGTCACGATCGATTGTTTCATTCCACTGGAAAATCACTTTTTATGAGTTAACAAATTAACAAAGGCACATTCACATTATATGTCGATTTCCGCTCTACGTTCAATTAAAAAGTTGGCGATAGATCGCTTCTTGCGCTTAATTGGTTTTATGCAACACTAAAGAAGCGAACACTTTTTATTTTCATTTGGTGTTACTTATAGCAATTTACCCCGGTTTGAAGTTCTATTTGGTCTCGAACACAACGCGTATCTACAGCTAGCTTCTTTAGAATTAGAATGCACATTTCACACTATCGGCATCCACGGCGTTCCGTGCCGCTACTTCAACCAGATATTGGATCTAAATAGATTTTTCATTTATATAATACCATCGTGTGCGTAATGACGTGTTACAAAAGAATGAAAGTTCTAAAAATCTCCGCGAATCTAGACGCGTAGGCATCGTTACAATGAGCGTGACATAACTTTGTTTGAAGGAGGAAAATGGCAATGAAATTCAATTGCACGTATTAAGAGTGACCCACGTGCAGATTGGCGGCGATTCGCTCGTGTAAATGACATTAATGGAGCTAGGAGTCGGCTAAACGATGCGCGGGCGCACTCGACGCCGCTGACGTCAGGGCGCAGTGGGTCGGCGTGTGCGTCATTGGGTCAAAAGTATTTGTTTATTTAAATTTTTATCGGTTTATATCCATCCGATAGATCGATTCTAAAAGCGGTATGCGAAACCCACTGTCCGCCGCCAGTATTGGCGCGTCCTGTCTGCGCGCGTGGGGCCCTAACCGCTAATCCTATTTGTATCATTGCCCATTACACCCACCCATCACCGGCATCCGACTGCATCGACCTTGACACCGGAAAATTGCATTACGCTGTTTTTCAACTGACTGTACGGTACCTACGTATATCTGTTACGGCGGTTTGAAAATGTGCTTGTTTTAACGGTAAGATATTATAAGAAAACAAAGCCAACTCAATTTGTCAACATTGGAATATTATTAAAATGAAGAGTAGTTTTATTTTTATTTATTAGATTACGGCGTCCGTTGAACAATGTTCATTGGAAGCTTGATTTCCTTTTAGCACTATTCTGTTCGGGCTCAAACGCAGATAAAAATCGAGCTTATTCAGCCACTTACTTCATTAAAAGCCGCGAACTCTTCACAAAGCGCGACCTCGCGAGCGAACTACAGGTGAGATTATCAACGCGCCGAATCCAGCGTGGGAACGAGAACATCACTCAGGTGACACATTCTCCATTTTAGTACTTATTTTATTCATTTCTTTATTTATAATAATGATAATAATTTATTTTTCAGACCATAAATCCATTTCTTAAAATTATTTAGTTCTAATGTGCGTTAGTTGGGTTAGCGACAATTTTTAACTTAAAATGTATATTAGAATGTGTCAGTCACTAAAATTAAGTAGCCAGAATGAAATATACAGAGTAGGTGCTAAGCGCTAAGAGGGAGCATGGACTGGATTTAGAATGTCATGTAGAGTAATCCAGGTCAAAATGAAAATAGGAGGTGGAGCACAGTAAGTAATTTGGGAAGAGATTGAAAGGAGAGACCCACTCGCTTGTTTCATCTTTTATAATTACCTAAGTAGAATTGCATCAAACTCGAAAAAAAATGATTATCTATCACATATAATAAAATCAGAGATGCCTCCAAAGTATTGAACTGTAAATACATAATTTTATAAACAATAGTGATCCCACAATACGCTAAAATAATGATAAACATTAACTCAATCACTCAATGAAAACAACATGAAAGCAATTCTGAGTTAATTAGCGGAGTTGATTGAAATAAATCCAATTGGTTCGAGTCGAAAAGCGATAGGCACAAATATCATTTGCGAAGTGAATCGTGTTTGCTCTCGATCGAAACGTTTGATCGGCGAACTCCAAGACTTCGCTCCGTTTCCAGGATCCACACGGCTCGCAAGCTAACTGGGACGAGATCGAGTCGTCTCAGTCGCATACGCATTCATTCGACACGAATTGAAACAAATCATTCGACGACGGAGCCCGCTCGGGTCCAAACAATCAATAATATTTGATAAAACGCTTCGACGACTCGCTCATTTGATATCGGACTTTTATAAGTGTAATGGAGATCAATTGGAGCTTTTAAATTAACTATTAATGGTTCAATCGAACGACAATCCCGTCCGACGAGAAATCCTTATAAATGCCTGCTTCAGTTTTGTTTTTCAATTTCATTATTATTATTAAATTCTCTCTGGCCTATTGTTGCTGAGCTGTCATTCATAATTTGCGTAAACGGGATTCCGCGGCCTTAATCTCTTTGTACGGCGATACCTTTTCATTTTAAATGCCACCACCGATTGCCTACAAAAGTATGTAGTTCACAATATTGGTGGTATTCTATATACGAATTCTAATAAATAATATACTTCTAATCGATGTGTTGAAAATAAAAATTGTATATATAATAATAGTACAGAGAAGCAAGAAATGAAATGAAATAGCCTAGTCTATCGATTAGCACTAATTCTCTTTAACAGTAAAATTGTACCTTTTCCTTCATTACGAGTCTTGTAAATTCTTGTCTTCGTATTAATAAAGGTATTATTATTCCTTTAAATAAAGCATCCGAAATAGGTTTGTAGGTACTATTAGCGTAAACGACAGACAGTATTAGTACGGAAGAAGCAGAAGAAAGTAATTCCGCGACTCACAGCGTACGCACTTTGCCCACCCGAACAATTATAGTCAATTATAATGCGGATGCATGTCGCGACGCAATTGACGTTAGTTTATCGAATAAGCCTCGCTTAGCTCGACGATGCCTACGGCTCGCTATCTATGCTCACAGACCAGTCTGTGTTCTGTAAATGTAATTAAAATGTTAAGGTCGTCGTTATACTCGATATCATAAACCACTCTTTATGCCCTATATAGAATCCGCGGATTATAAAACGTGACAGGCAGTTTCTTATTTACTATATATATGCACAATAACAGCGTACACTTAAAAGATAATTTTCTTTCTTGGGTGGCAGTAATAAGAGTTTAATGGACAAACAAAGCCTACTCTTCAATCTGAAAGCGGCGCACGATTCCGTCAGAGTTGGCCGAATCGAGTTAGGCTTAGTTAAGTAGCCTTCGTTACCATTCACAACTTTGGTAAGCTAATTCGAGAGCAAATAGAGTATTCCGAGTTAAAAGCAAACTATGAACGGAGCTAATATTCATTTGTGAAATAAGCAAACGAACCTTTAATTAGAATTGCGTTAAACCCTTATCTGCGCTGAAATTTTCACAAAAGGAAAGGTTTCTGGGTGCCGTGGATCGCCGTTCTCCGTAGGTGTTTTCTACTCTCTGATCTCATACAAATATAGAGCCTCCCCCACGCCGCATTAATGTTCATCGGTTATAATTAGGTAATGCCAACAATTTGTAACTGGGTATAGATTTAACCAGAAATGTATTATTACGTGTCTAATAAAAAACGTACAAAATACATTTTAACGTAATTAAGGAGCGAATCGTAGTCACGCCGTAGACGCTCCGTAGACCCTTCTTTGGTACTTCATTTACTTCAGTGTTATTGGTATTTTTGTTTTTTCTTTGTCTTAATGTTCCGTATTAATACAAGATACAATCAATCAATTTAGCTGATGACTTTGTAAAGATTTAGGTTGCAAGATATCATTTTTAACCCCTCTTACATATATCTATTCTATTTGTTATAGAGACAACGCAATGAACAAATACGGCCTGGATGCAACTCGCAGTCTAATAAGTTCGCATCTCGCAATCGTTTATTGTTCTTAAATTACATATCATTGTCAATACTTCGATCTAATTTAAGCCGATTGAATCAATATCGTCGTGAGCGCCGACCGCGTCGTTGCGATTTGAATTTTTGATGAGACATCCTCTGTATAGGATTTCGTATCGTGCAACTAGGTTTTAACTCGGATTTATTCGGTGACGTCTCTTTCGCCGGTGTTTTTTCGTGGAAGGAAAAGCGTCGCGTCACTCGCGACTTGGTCGCTATAATTGCGTTCGGCGCCGCTGCGATTGCATATCATTGTAAGTCGTTGAATTGTAATTGAGAATATTGCCGGCCGCGTGTTATTGGCATTTATTCTATTAGGGCTGATGGGTCCGAGCGAACGGTTCGGTTGGAGCACGTGCTGTACCTTTAAGATGTGCAGAAGACGTCATTATTCGCGGAGAAATAATCGATATTTTTGGATAGACGTGAAGGGTGAAAAAAATAATTATTGTTAGTTTTATTTCAAATTTTATACACGATAAAAGAAAAAAATCATTAACATATTCTGTAATTCCTATCTATTATAATTTAAAAAAAAACTACAGTATTCTTGGCTCATAAATACATACTTTATCGTAAAAAAATTTTTGAGAGAGATAAAATATGGTAGTGTGAAGTAAAAAATAATTTATGACAAACATATACGACACGTTGCAATGTTTACTTGTATCGTCAAAGAAACAGAGAAAACACACAGATATTATTCGGATTTGAATTAACTTTTTATGAGCAAATTGTGTCATAATGAGAGAGAAGTTTCGTTAAAAGAGGAAATAAATAGGACGATAGTTATAAATAAATTAGCCACAAAAGTAAAAAATTCCTCGTCGACGCGGTAATTACCTTATTAGCGTCTGAAAATATTTTGTTGATGTAGGCGGGAACTTTTCCCGCCTTACCGAATACGAAAAAGCGCGGTCACCGCGCTAACATGCCGGGTCCAACGCGACTGCACGTTGCTGGCGTCACTATGGGACTGAGTCGGTACCCAGTCGGTACTACGATACCGAACCAATGCTATCAACGTGCTCGACCCAGAAGCGCATCGAGAGCTTTTTTCTTCATCAATCAATCGCTTCAAAACTCTGCCGTCTTGTCGCTGTGCGATTTGGCGGTAGATTGTAGAGTATCACCTGACCACCAAACAAATGACAAGCGAATAATTTTCTTTGTCTTTTTTATTTGTTTGCTTTTTTTATAAAAAAAGTAATGTTAAGATCGCCTCTACATCGTTTCGGTGTGATATTTAAAAAACGACAATAAGTCGTCGTAAGGATCTCCGTAAAATAATAAATAAACATTCTATATAATATAACAATTTAAAATAAAAATAAACTTTCAATCGAGTCACCATACCATTTTTACAAATCGAAGCGCTGAAAGCGCTACCGGGGTAGCGACGGAGTAATCGTTCTGAAACCGCCCTCAGCAAACAAAACCCCACCCGCCGTAAGCATTTTAGCACGGAACCCCCTCTCCCCCCTCGCGCTGATTTAATAGCGAACGCGGGCACTGATTCACTTAGAATGCGACTCTTCTTTCTCTTTCTAAGCTATACTTGTCTCACTCATTCCAACCCATCCTAAGACGGAAGAAAGAGACGGCGACGAGTACAATTCTTTCTTCCAATTTGCATGCGGGGGTCCCTCTAACTTTATGTCCTCATTGCTTTAATTATTTATGCCTTTGGTAATACTTTTAGCGGGCAGTGATCGTAAATGGAAAGATAATAAATATCTACCTACTGTGATTTTTTTTCGTTTATACTTTAAGTAACTTAAGAATACATTTATTTATTTATATTCATAAGTAGCGTTATTATAATTTTTTCAAATATATACCTATGTTATTTTTATTTGAGAAACGTATTGATGTGCTCATTTGTTAAATGTTAAGACTGCATCACTATAGCGTTTTCAGTTTATCGACAACGTTAAGAAGTTATTTTTGAAACTTTTTAGCAAAAAGCCATAAATCGATTCGTCCTTATAAATTTCTTTAAAACTGTTTAGCATTGAAGTTCAAAGCCGTTCCTCTTAAATGGCCAAAATAAAGATAAGTATATGTATCGATCTCCGAGCTGAGCAGAAACAAGTAAACGAGATTAACGAAGATCTTTCCGCGGCAAACAAAATCTTAACTAAGGTGTAAGTGACAATAAAACGCGATCTTACCTCTGGGCCGTCTTCGAGTGGAACGAGTGGGGGGGAAGGGGGGAGGAGCTATACGCCCGTCCCGCTCGCACGCAAACCGAGTCGCGCTCATCCGTTTTATTTCTTGTTTGTCCATTGCGCCTACCCCATTTGCTACATAATTTATTTGAGCGGGCAACACTTAAAAAATTGCCTCTACGCTACATCCGAACGGAGTTTGCGGGCTCTCGCAAATGAAAATAATATGGTAAATTATATTCGTTTGAACGATCGCTCCTTAATCGTCCGTTTAATGGTGCATGGCAGCCCTAGTGTAGCATTGTGCGTCCTCCGCTTCGCGCCAAATTTATTCGTCCTTTTATGGTCACTGGTCACAGCCCCGCAGGCATACCTATTCGCTATTTCGAGACTATTATTTTAGTGGTGCTTTATTTTTTTCTGTGAAAATTAAGTGATTCCTATATTCCGGGACCGAACTAAAAATATTATAAAGTTGATGTTTGAGACTTACACCTGTTAAAAATATTAGAACCCGAACTTTGTTTTTAATTATGCATCCTAATAGGCAGATCTATTGTTAAAAATAGATTTCTAATAGGTAGATACAAATAAATGACGATAACACATAGGTAGGTACTTGTCGATATTTGACTCGTGGTTACCAACATCGTATTCCCTCTTTGATTCCGAGGCGCGCCGCACAATGACTATCAAAAGTACTTAATCACACCATAATAACAACATCAACGGTTGAGTAATTGTATATCTTTTGTTGGAGCGAAGGGTTTGAGGCAGCGGCCGAGTGATTTATCGAAGAAAGCTTTTAAACCCTTGCTTCTCCATTGTTGCCGGATTGTGTCTTGTATTCGGCCACGGATCATTAACTATGGATTTGCTCATTAAAGCAATGTTCGTTATGGCGATTTTTTGTAACAAAAATAATGGGTACTACCGACTTATTGTAATTTATAAGAAAGCTCTGTGTAACTTGATAAAATATTTAAGAATGCTAGAAAAATTGTTTGTTTGAAATTATTATAAATCCCTCCTCCCATTGTTGTGGGTTTGAATTCTGCGAGTGGTTTAAGTAATTGTTCTTAATCCTTCTAAAATACTTTGTATTGTATTATGTAATTGGTTATACCTACCCACCTACGAAAAAAAAGTTTTATCATTACTGGGGAATAAAACTTTTAAAATATTGGATTTATGAAGCTGATTTAATCTGTTTAAAGATAAACTATACATTTAAAAAAAAACAGCGGCGGTATATTCTACAAATTGACTTTAAAATACTGTAGAAAATTTAACTTTTATAAGAGTAAGTCAGTAGTTTGGCTCATAAGACGTATTTGTTTGCAAGACGTGCCACATGCCCACCTACTTAGGAACCTCCAATAATCAAGTAGGCACAGCTAGAGAGAGCCACTGCACTGCACTGGAACACTGCACTTAAATCCGATTAACGAATCATCTAAAATCGCTAAAACCTATGTACCTAGTACCGGTTCATTATTAAGATACCTACTTAGGTACTACATTTTCCCGATGATATTTAATTGAAAACCTAATAGTTACGGTTCTTACTTCTTAATAAAATAAATACCAAACCTAATCCTATATTTCAACAAGGGTTAGATTAGCCACAAATAAAACTGGTAACAATTGGTTGCTAGGTAAAACTGAAAACCAGACTACTTATTTTACCACACCGCACAGAGTTAACAGGATTAAGTAGATAGTCTTACTGATGTGGTCCGCAGTTTGCTTTACAATTAGGCGAAATAGCGAACAAATGCCTACCTATTAAATTCAAACCTAAGCTAATTACAATAAAGTTTTAAAATACTTAGTACTACCAGTAAGTAAGTACTGCTCAAAAAGAAAAAATAATTCTGTTATTAGAAAGTCTGAAACTCAAAACTTAAATTAAATTCTAATCTATTCCCGTATTCATAGCATTTACATTGGTAGGTATGAATTAATTATTATGTACCTAAAACCAATACGATATTTGCTTTCAGCGCCCTCTAGTGTAAAAAGAAAATATTATAATTATTGCGATACCTTGCCTTTTAAAATGGCGTCGTACAACTGATTTGGAATAAAACATAAGTAGGAAGTAGTGAAATTGATAACGGCGACATTGTTCTTTAATTTACACTGAGTTTAAATACATAAGGTTATGATAGTAATAATTATTTGTGCAAATGTTTACATTGTCTATAACTTATATACACTATGGTCTAGAAAGCTTGACAACTAATTAAGTGTGTCACATATAGTAAACGTGTGATGACATAATATGATAATGAACATTTAAGATGCAGTGATTTCACAGAGTATAATTTTTTTTTAAATTTATTAATTAAATATTAAGTTTATGGCGTGTAAGAGCTTTTTAATAATAATAAAACACTTTATTGCACAAACAAATAAAATACAAATATAGTAAAACTAAATTGATGGAATGAATTTATTTATACTTGTACCCTTGGGTGTCATATTTTTAGCTCGATAATTTTAATTAAATAATATAGTTTTGAAGATTCAATGGCATTTCCAAAACATTTATAGCGTGCTACATTGTCATGACGTATCTGCCACAGAGCCATCTCTTGGGTTACTATAAAATCATAAATTGGCAGGAAGCGCTAGTGAGCACTTAAAGTATCACAGATAATAACACATATCGGTATAACATATACATATTATTTTTACGTAAATTCGTCTAATCAAATGGAAGAAAGTATTTTCTAGGCTTTGTGCAGTTTCTATAATATATTATAGGTTTACCGCTATTTTATAAAAGCACAAAATTTTGGAAAAATTTTATGACTCATATTTCCCGCCACTTATACGCGGTACTTTATCAAATTTGAGAACCCCGCAACAGGAAGTAAGTGGTGTAGGTGCTACGCAGGCGCAAATTGACCTTTCGGTTGAAGAACCCGTCGGTCACATGTGAGTGTCGATAAATATCTTAGTTTTATCGTGTTTCTTCATTTCATAATTACAAATAATATTTTCGTAAGTATTTTAAGTGGTGAATATTATTCGGTGAAAATTATCCCCTAAAGTAGTGTGAAATAAGTGTAAAATTGTCATTAAAAGGCCCTATCGCGGCGCCGGCACGTTTGTCAAATTTGATATTTATATTCAATTTAACTACATCTTTATATTTACTTTTTTCATTAAACGTATCTCCTGCATGATTTTATCATGATAACCAATTGTGAAAATGCCTTCAAGTGATATAAACAACAAGTGCTGCTTTCACCGAAAAGTCATGACCAAGATGTCTCATTGAAGCCACATGTGCGGATAATACAGTTTTCAGAGAAAAAGCACCGGTTTAAGTCAGGCTTGAATTATTTACAATTTCTATAATAAACGGCATTTTCTATGTAATGGGCATATTGATTATTTTCTTGACTAGAATACAAAGGTTTAGGTTTTCGCTAAAATACGCCAGGTGGGGTTAGGTCATCAAAAAGTTCTTGTGGATGCAGAAATGCATGAGTGATATGTCTTAGAAATAGTGACACAATTGCTGTTCATTTAGCTTAATGTGCAATAGTAGAGCATTTAAAACGCACTGATGACTATATTTTATTGGGCAAATGTTTAGTTAGATTAAAATGTTATTAACACATGGCTCCTCATGTTTATGTTCATGATTGGGTACATCTCCAATAATATTAATCATAGTACACCTATCCTATAAATATTTGGTTGTCCTTATCTTGATAATAATAATGTCAGATTAATATGCCTTTGAAAGTGTAAATTCAGGCTTTCATCCTACTATTATAAGTCTTCCAAGCTTCTTTAAAGCGTTTCTATAATATATAGCCCCAACTAGTTCATTGACTGCAAGTTCAATAGCCTGCATGTGCTAATTTTCTAACAGCCCGATGATGAATCACTCTTTGAATGCCAAGGATTTTTTATTTAGGCAGTAATCTGCTATCAATTAATTATTAAAGTTATGTACAGTTAGTGCAATTGATTCAGGTGAACGCCTCACCTTACTTTTAAAAACAATTTATATTTTCTTCAAGCAAAGTACTTATTCTGTAAACCCTTCTTCTATCAATCACTTTTGATTTAATATAATATAATCCTAGTAATGCACACTGCCTCTTCACCTCTTCGAGCCCTTAGAGTCGCAAGAGAAATAGAATATTTCCTTTGTGCTGTGGGTACTCGGAAACGAAACTCAAACTCCTTATATGCGTCTCACCATACTATTAGTATCTTGAGATCACCAACCAGGAGTACAGTTTAATAACTCAGCAAATAAAATCTAAGCTATGAGCTTTGCCTCTCGAGGGTGGCGCTCCAGCAGATTTTTCCATTAGATAAGCTTCTTAAAATTATTACCATGTGTTTAATGAAGAAAAATTCTACAAAATCTATAGTGAAATGGTGCCTTTAAAGAAAATTGTATATCAAATATTAGTTCAACACCTATAATATTTACAAATTCATACATTACATAATATATTGATTATACTCATATTAGTTATTCTTCTTTCTTCTTGATTCTTCTTGACATATTTACTGTGCCATACCATGTTCTTTTTGATTTGTTGTTATTTCAAAAGACATCATAACATTTATATATATATATATATCCATTGGGTCACAAGGTCATGTGAATAATACTAAAGAAATTGTTCCTTTTCAGATCACATCTCACTGTAAATTAAACCACACACAATGGGCGACATTGAAGACACACACTTTGAGACCGGGGACTCCGGTGCCTCTGCCACCTTCCCTATGCAATGTTCCGCTCTTCGTAAGAACGGGTTTGTGATGCTCAAGGGTCGTCCATGCAAGATTGTTGAAATGTCCACATCAAAGACTGGCAAACACGGTCATGCTAAAGTCCATCTCGTCGGCATAGATATATTTAATGGAAAGAAGTAAGCTTTTTTTAGAAACATTGCCTACATAATCATAGCCTGATTAAGTTAAGTTTAGTTGAGTTATTTCGAGCCCATAGAGTCGCGATTGTAATTCCTTATTACACTCGTGCTGCGGGTACTCGGAGAGAATATGTCAGTACCTAATATGCGTCTCATCTTACTCTTGTATCTTGAGATCACCGAACAGGTGCACAAATAACAAAAACAAATCTTTAACTGTATGTTGAAGATATGGCTATACATCTAAAACACTAATTTAATTATACCAACTTTTGTCACTGTAAGCAAATGACATTTTAATATCACCTTGTACAAGCTATGTCTGCTTAAATGGCTAGATATAACTATGAATGTTTCCTCCCTTAGATATGAAGATATCTGTCCCTCTACTCACAACATGGATGTGCCTCACGTTAAGCGCGAAGACTATCAGTTGACCGACATATCTGATGACGGCTACCTTACTCTGATGGCTGACAACGGAGACCTGCGCGAAGACCTCAAGATTCCAGACGGAGACCTCGGCACTCAGTTGCGCTCAGACTTCGATAGTGGCAAAGAGTTGCTGGTCGGTATCAGATAATAATTAAATCCTATATTAACAATAAGTATTAGGTATATTAGATTTCTGTACATGTGAAAGAAGGTCTCGGCTTTACCACATCTAAGTGAAAAATATCTATTTGAGAATATCAATAATTTTAGCTTTAGTGGTGCATGCAATATACAACTTGGTGCAACGCGTCGCGAAGTAATATAAAATCGAGTTCATTCACTTCAATGTCGGCGGCGATGTCTGAAAGCGTATATTAAATTTTACGTCGGGACGGAATAAGCGCTACTTATATTTTGTTTAACTCGAGCGTAGGTCGTTATCGATTTTGTCTCGCGTCGCCTCTGCTCTACCACCACTAGTACGGTTGTCTTACCAACTGTTATTACTCATTGTTGTTATCGAGTCTAGAGTCTCCGACGCATAATACACTGTGTGTTGGTGCTAAATGCACTCGTAGATCACATTTCTGCCTCAAACCTGAGCCGATTCTGACATCGGCTATATGGAACATGGTTTTGAATACATGTTTCTATAAAGCGACAAATGTTGTATTCTCCTTATCCAAAATTCTCAGTATTGATAAAACGTTCTCTGCTAATTACGTGATCGATCCGTTTCACTTTTATCGCGTTATCATTGTGAACGTGCAATAATCGGTGATGTCTTATTTCCAGTGCACCGTGCTCAAGTCCTGCGGTGAAGAATGCGTCATCGCAGTAAAGGCGAACACGGCTCTCGACAAATAAACCGACGCAGCATTTATAGGGATTATAACATATAATTTTTTACAATCAACAACTTACATAAATGTAAAACATAATATTATGTATAATTTTAACATAGAATAAGCGGTGCGACGAATGCGAACTAAACATTGCCTAAGTACGAGTGATGACCATTTTAATTTTACTTCGCCCATACCGCCGCCGGTGTCTCGCTCGAGTGGCCCTCGTACTGAATAACAGCTCAAACCAGGTGAGGAAAGCCCTGGCGCCCTATCCTCGGTGGCGGGATGCGCCGCGGTGTTTAGCGCACGTCGGATCGCTCCGGTTTCGTTTCTCTTCTCGCTTGACGTGAACGTTAGGTTGCCTCGTGGCGATATCCCTCGGATATTATTGTTTATAGCTGTTTTAACTTACGAAAACCTGGACGCGACGCTGTCCACCGTACTGTAATGCTAAATTATAATACACGAAGTAAAAAAGAAAAATCCTAAAAAAATAGTAATAAAATGAAATTCTTGATGTGGTGTGTGATTGATTGGTCCTTTACTCGAAGCGAGAGCGTCCCTCGGGACAACGCTTGCCGCCTCCGATCAATTTTTATACTCGACTCGTCGATCCGACGATATTTTATAGCAGTGACGAGACTGACCGCTGTCACTCCTTCAGTCAAGACTGAGAAAAGCATTTTTAGAATCGCAATAGCAAAATAGTTTAGTACGATTAGCCGCTCCGCTCGACCGGCGTTCCTCGGCAAGTGTTGCCGCGAGGGTTCAGGTACCCCTAGCGTGTATTCAACATCTTTTGTCAAAGACGAAATTTAATGTAAGAGTGTAAGTAAGGCCCTATGAGAGATATTTTTTTATGCATTCGATTTCACCCTATCTCGAGACCGCGTCTCGATTCCGCAAATTGTACATTACTTCAAAGTTGCATAACCGTTATCGTTGGTGTTTTGTAAACTGGCGGCTTGTAATCAGTTTTTATAAATTCACATTTCTGAAGTATTTGTGAAGACATCGGGTGGTGTAAAATAAAATACTTTAGTCATCAACCTCGCTTCTTTTGTTGTTTTTTTGGGAACCGATTCTCGCCACCCCTCTGTGAGTACGAAGTATTGTTTGCATCAAACGCTCCTCTATATTTGAACGCCGTCGACGACTCGACCGCTCTATTTCGCTTCTGACTTTTCTTTATTAAATTAAGGGCCACGGGAAGGTTGTAATATCCGGCGAGATATTATTCTCGGCACACTGAAGATTTTGTATATACCTGCGACAGATTTAGTCAACTTCGATCGATGCGGTTTCTGTGTGTTTTAGTCGATGTCAAACAATACCGAATTACATAGTAACGCTATTGTGAACGCAGTAATAATAATTCATAAGTATTTAACACTGTCGAATTAAATCTGTACAAAATGAATACTGACTTTGATGAATAATTATTCGTTACCTTTTTTATTTATTTATTTCGAGTACCAAAATGATCCTGGTGGAATAAAGATTAAAGTTAAGTAGAACAGGTTTCGAACATAACTCGTTAATTGATAAAGATACTTTAATCACAGATAGTTTCACATGAACTTACATTTGGTTTAAAATTAGGGTATTAACATGTTTTTTAATTACCAGCCTATATAAAGGTGACCTCATCATCATCATCAGAGCTATCAGATAATTCTACAATAAGGAAAGGATCCTGTATTTCTACTATGGTTGTTGTAAAATTGTCACCAAGTTCTGCCAACAATTTGGAAAGTGGTTCTCTTTCCTGTTTTACAATATTAGTGATCGCTTCAGGTTCTATGTCACTATTACCATCTAGATCCATCTCTGTTTTTACCTGGCTAGGCTTTGGTTTTTCAGCTTGAATTGTATTTCGCAGTCTTTCGAATATTTCTTCAGTATCGTCATCCTCACAAAGAATTACTGAATCGCACTCACTTTCAATATTGTTATCGTGAAAGTCCTCATTGGTAGTTTCACTTTTGCTGTCCGATACTTCAACATCTTGCACTACAGTTTTAGAAGTTATTGTATGTTTCTTTATCTCTGTACTTTTTTCTTGCATCTCTGCATATCTGTTGAACATTTTTAATTAATTAAAACAAAAGTTATAGATTCAGTTATAATTTTAATGCCGACGTCATGTGCCTATACTCTATTCCAAAAATAATTGTAAATAATATACACCCACATTACTGGTATATTTTATTTATTATAACTTTATTATTTATAACCCATACTACACATACAAAAAGAGAAAACATCTTACGTACTAACTTATAAATAAAAGGCGGCCTTATTGCTAAGCAGCGATCTCTTCCAGGCAACCTGAAGTACAGGAGAAAAGAAAAAGACTTATTAAGTGGGTAGGTGTAAGGAATAACAAGCAAAAGAAAGGGTACATCGCAAAAGAATACATAGCACAGAGGTAGTGGGGGAGAGAATAACTTAAAGAGTTGGAAAGGTAAAACTTTTAAAGTAAACTCTTAAAAGAACAGAGAGTTTGAGCTTTTCTGATAACAGTGGGAAGAGAGTTCCAAAGGCGAATCGCTGTAACGGTAGCGGAATTATTAAAGAAAGATGTTTTATGCTTAGGAAGATATAAGAGGAGATTGTCAATAGAACGAAGATTTAAGTTGTGGGAAAACACTTTTAGATAAGAGGGAGTTTTGGGATCGATACGGTAGAGGATCTCCTCTACCGTAGCGTACCGTATCTCCTTCATCTGAAGAAGATGGGAATTCCGACGAGTTCGGATAGGAAGCCAGTTAAGCTTTCTACAAAATTCAGAAACATGATCGTATTTGCGAAGGCGATATATGTATGGTATAGTGATGTTTGTAGGGATTAATATGACATAAAACATATTAATAAAACAATAGCCTTTACATCAAGCACCAGTGTAAATTAAAATATAATTAATTGTAAATAACTTATGAACTATATTTATACTGCTAAAAGACTTGAAATTTTAATACATATATAAATCTATATAATTGTTAAAGTATAAAATTGAAAAATACCTTCTTATAATAGCATCTTCATTGGTGATTGCTCTCTGTTTATTAGCTTCCAACTTGGCTCTCAGCTCGGAATCCAGGTCAGCAGGATCCACCTCACAATTTTCTTCTTTAATGTGGGATATCAAATCACGCCATTCTCTCTCCTGACGCAACTTTTGAAGAGCCCTCCCGCATTGCGTAAAAAGTGACCTCGCTGTGGACGATTTACAAGCACGTAACTTACCCATTTTTTCAGGGAGACATCACACCTCTCAGTGAGACCACATAAATGGACATAGTATACCTTCAGAGACAACTTGCGAAGGAGGCCAATTAAGCTTATACATGTCATTGGCCAAAACAACACATATTTTGACATCATTAAAATCTGGAAATACAGGATATCCATTACTTTGCATGTTGTTATTGAGGAAGTGCTCCAATATTTGTACAGGTTCTTCCGCATGTCCTTCTAACACCTTTAAACTGACTTTATGTTGTTTTACTGGAGATGACTCAGTCAATACGCATAATTGTCGATACAAATCAAGTATTCTTCTTTTGTATCTGTAAAAAATACTAAGATATTTAATTCAATTCAATTATTAATTATAAATAACCCATTGTTTACTTTACTAAATTGTCATTGTCTTCTAGTGCTTCATTTAAATTGAACTTTTGCCCTTAGCTTAATAAATTCTACTATGTTAAGAAATAGCAATACTTTTGAGGCACTTACACTTCGGATTTTACATAAGGAGAATTATTTGAGTCTTCATCAACTTCTGCTTGCTCCATGACATCAAGTAATCTTTTTATTTTAGCAATTTCTGCATTTAGAAATTCTATTCTTGTTTTACTGTTGTCTTCTATGTCTATCATTTCAACTCTGTGAGCAATCAATAATTTATCTTCTGGACTATTAGCTGTTTTTTCATCCTTCTTTACATCTAATGTTGAAGAACAAGTTAATATGGAATTATTGACTGTCATATTTTCTTTACTCTCATCAAGCAGTATGATACCTCTTTCCTCAGTATAATGTTCTAGCTTCTCCAAATCGATTACATTACTACTTACATTTTCATTATGACAATTAAATTTGTTTTTCTCTGTAAGTTAAATATTTACAAGAATGAAATTTTTTTTTTTTACTTAATAAATGGATTATAAGCAACATATTTTATTGCATTATTCAAAAACCTAAAGATTTCTAAAGTAACAAATGCATTAGAATAAATGAAATACTTACTACGACTTGAAGATTCCAATGTGGTCAATTTAGCCCTTTTTCTTTTATTTTTCTTCAAGACCTCGCAAACCGACTTTATGAAAGAGAATTTGAATCTACAAGAACCTTTAATATTTTTTTCAGTTTTCAACAGAATAGTCTTAAATTCCACGGAATTTAAGAAGTCAGGCTTTGCTTCATTATACAATGGTAGCAATGATCTATTGATAACTCTCATCATACCTTTAGAATCTTCCACCTCGAGACAAGATTTTATGAAATCTCCAAAGTGTGGGTGCTTTTGAGCAACCTTCTCAATATTACCGTTTTCATCGTAGTCTTTTTGTAAAGGTTTACTCCAGCCAACGATTTCAACATCCTATAACATTTATGATTTTAAATAAAATTATTTATTACCGTGTGTAAAGGTATAAAACCCTTAAAAACAAACACATACGTGATCGTCGTCCGACGATAAATCAACAAAATCAGCGCAATTCATTTAAGTTGATTTTGGGAAAAATAAACATTATTTATGTGCTTGATAATTTTTGAAATAGTTCACACATGGTCTTTAATGTCAATAAATAATAGTAAGTAGTAACTCAATCTGGTGAAAATACAAATTTTGTACCAAACGACATAATATTTTCTACAGTCCTAACTCCTATAATTTGAGCACAGATTTCTATCACAATTAAGATTTCAAACCATAGAGACCTAGTAACTTATAACCTTTTATATAGTGTATTTTTCCTTACTTGGCATTTTTGGTAAACAAACATACGATTAACATGAAATCGTGATTTTCTCACAAGGTTTGCATTCATTTACACTGAAAATACTTTGAGACACTGGTTTATATATTAAACTAATGAACTACCTTAAATTCATTTAGTAAAAACATCAATTTCATGCTAAAAGTATTAGATATCATAAAAAATAATTTACGTAAATACACAGATTAAAATTTAGTTTGACATTTAGAAAAGGATGTAAAGCTTTTTATCGATCGCGCATGGGTGAGCCTATCGTTGACTTTGGTTAACCCTCCCTAAGAAAATGTCAAATTAAATAAATTTTAATCTGTTCATTTACGTAATTTAATTTTAAGGATTTATTAAATCTATACTAATATATAAAGCTGAAGAGTTTGTTTGTTTGAACGCACTAATCTCAGGAAGTACGGGTTCGAATTGAAAAACATTGCTATGTGACTAATAGAAGCGAAGATACAGCGAGAAATGTAAATAAAACGGGGAAAATTTTTCATCTCTGTAGGTTTCAGATGCGTACGCTGCGAAAACGGTTCAAGATATCTAAAAATTGTGTATGAAAGAATGATTCCCCTTTAAATGATCTAAAAAAAGGCCCCGACGCTATATGTCTATCTTTTAAGATTAACTTGCAAGAACGACCCGAACGACGGGACGCGTTCGACCGGATACGAATATCGTGGGTAACAGCTATCTACAATAATATTATAAAGAGGAAAGATTTGTATTTTTGTATGTAATGAGTAAACTCAAGAAGTACTGCACCGATTTTAATAATTCTTTTTTCATTAGAAAGCTACATTATCACTGAGTAAAATAAGCTATATTTAGTAGTAGATTACGATAGAAATTGCTATAAAAAACCAACGGGAGGTGTAAAAAATTTAGCCAAAAAACTATGTTTCATCGCATACGCTGCGCAAAGTATTTATGATAGGACGAAAACATGTTCGACAATATTATAGATTATATCAATATCTACAAAAAACATCGAGATCATATGTCTAACTATTGTAATTACGACACTACAATAGTTATTCCGAAAGTGTTAGAAAGGCTTTTGCATCGACTTATTTACTATAGTTTTAAGAATATTATACTTGATCAACAACGTGGTTTTGTCGTTGGGAAATCAACCATCACTAATCTTCTTCTTTTTACTATGTTTTCACCAGCTTGAATAGTAAAGTACAAACCGATACCATTTACACTGATATTAAAAAAGCCTTCGACAAAGTGGATCATGTGTTGCTCTTACGTAAGTTGTCCTTCAACGGCATTAAAGGCAATCTTTTACGGTGATTTGCTCTGTATCTTCAAAACCGCACCCAATCATTTACTGTAAACGGCTATACATCCTATCTAGTCACTGTTACATCCGGCGTCCCACAGGGCTCCATACTTGGACCCTCTTTTCTATCTTTATTAATGACATATCCCAATGTTTCATCTACTGTAAATATTTGCTTTATGCTGATGACCTGAAACTGCTTAAAAAAGTTGTTTCTTTAGCTGATGCAGCCTACATCCAAGAAGATTTAAATAGACTCGATGCTTGTTGCCATCGTAATAAATTACACCTGGCTTATAACAAGTGCAAACACATGATTTTCACAAGAAATAAAAATGTTATACCAACACAATTTACCCTAGGAAATGTACAACTGTCCTTAGTTTCAACTATTAAAGATCTTGGCATTCACTTAGATATTATTATTAATACTACCTTGCGCATGTTGGGCTTTATAACACGGGTTTCTAACACATTTAAAAATAAAAGCACTTATACTTACCTCTACAAATCTCTCGTTCTCCCCCACCTAAAATATGCAAGATCCAAATGGAATCCTTATTATTCAACCTACGAACAGAGCATCGAAGCAGTTCAAAAAAGTTCTTACGTATACTACATTACTGGGTGAATGGAAACCGCTTGCACTATGTCGATCTACTGCAAAAAATTAACTTTTTAACGCTGGTTCACCGCCGAACATTAATAGATTGTATGACGATTAAGAAGATCTGCTCAGGTGAGCAGACTTCTTCTGAACTACTTGGCTTATTATACCTTTACGTCCCCGCCAGGTCTCTTCACTCATGTAACACTTTTGACTTACTCTCTGCTAGAACTAATATTGGGTTTGGAATGCCTCTACGTAGAATGTGTAAATCGTACAACGCAAGATTCAACAATATTGACATATTTTCGTGCGGAGTTCAGGCGCAAGTTGTTATCAATGTTGTGAAACTAACTTGCGTTTGATTTAACTTTAACTTAATTGCTTGTTTGCGGCTTTTTATTTGTTTTATTCTTCAATCAGACACAGCTAGGGATTGTTGTATAAGATATAATAAAAAAACGTAACAATTTTTTTAATAATATTCAATGGATTTTTTCTTTTTAAGTAAATAACACATGTGGCGGTTTTGACCCCTCACCCATAGACAGGTATACTAGTTTGACAGGAACTGTTAGATTAAATATAAAATCATATACAACCCTAGATAATTGAAAGACATGGGAATATACATACAGTACAATCGATAGTAACAAATAATCATTTAGATATAAAATGTAAGTATAATAATTATGTAATAAACAAATTAAATAAACGACCCGTTCATTAAAAAAGCGTACACCCCGCTCAAGTTTTCACATCAAAACATTATTGTTATTATTATTGTATCCTTATTATGATTTGGGTACATCGACAGAAGTCATCCATCCGCAATAACTATAAACCATTTACCCACTTATCCCATTTCCAACTTTAAATTTTTCGAAACCATTTCCATTTACCCTAAAAAGCCATCTCCATAAAGCTATCATAAGAAAGACCAAAAAATAAAATAAAATGGGACTGAGTAAGTCCATTATTGTGTAGACTAATTTCATTAAAGGTTATCTACTATAATGAAATTAGTCTACACTAAGTACTAAATTTATGTACATATGTGTAAATTATTGGTTGGGAAGTGTACACAGAACTGCTCGACGTAAATAAAATCTTTAGCTAGTTCTTACAGTAGTCCTTCTGTACTGTAGAAGATAGACGGAACTAAAAGCTACGGGCGAAATATTACAAAATTTTGACAGCGAAACTATGGATGACGCAATATCTAACTAGCGGGTGGTACTGTAGTCTATGAAACTGAGTAACTTTATAGGGCCTAACAATAACTAAATACGGGGTAACCCGTATATACTTACTAATATATAAAGCTGAAGAGTTTGTTTGTTTAAATGCGCTAATCTCAGGGTTTGAATTGAAAAATTATTTTTTTAGAACATTTATCGAGGAAGGCCATAGGCTATAAAAAATCGCCCTGTGACTGCGACTAATACAAGCGAAGATACAGCGGGCAATATAAACATTGTTCATCATTATGGGTTATCGAGGCGTACGCTGCAAAAACGGTTCAAGATACCCAAAAAATATGTATAACAGAATCCTATTTAAATAATCTAAAAAAAGTCCGTGACGCTATATGTCTATATTTTAAGATGAACTTGTAAGAACGACGAGAAGGGACGCGACGGACGTCGTGCGTTAAACAGATTAAGTTTTTAAAGATGGGGCATGCAAGATTTGGATGCGGACGAAGTCGCTGGCACAGCTAGTATGTTATGAAAATGCTTATAATCAAGACCAATAAAATTAATGTTGAAAAAGGTCTAGTGGATGTAATAAGTACAAAAACCTCTTAAAAGGTTCTGCCTAGATCCTCTTCTTTCGTGGGGAAGCCCCCGATTTCCATTCTTCAACTGCGATACACGACGGCGAGTTTGGCGCAAAACAGAATTTAATGTGGAGGACACGAAACTGCGATGCCTCGTCAGTTAATTAAATTTAAAGAAAGACGCTTGAGGACTGCGAACGTCTTTACCTGACGGTGGTACAATAAGATAATGATGGCGGACGGATGACTAAGAAATTTAGCGAGCTGTGTCATTCGAAAGTTTAAATTTCACATTTGTCCTTGACATCCAAAAAAGATCAGGAATATATTAATTAATAGGAATAGTCAGATAAATATATCTTTATTTAGAGGCCCATTAAATCTATTGCAACATGGAATAAAATATTTTCAGCACTTACATAGATGTTTGAGATAATAACTTGTTCCAAGAATTACCATTTATACTTAAGTATAAAGAGATGGTAAAATTCAAGACTACAATATCGGATCCTTATTTACTTTTGAGTCTTATAAGGTGAGAAGCCTGGATCTAGTACCGACCAATTTCTTTCAAATCGTCCTTTAAGGTGTTCATAAGCCTATCCACAACTTTTCTTTGAAGAACTAAGTATAAACAGTGAAATGCACCCTTCTCCTTACTTTAATAATCCACAGATGAGTGGTTTTGGTGACATCTAATTAATGCTTGTCATAAAAAACTCAACTTAAACCAAATAGCTATTGCTCTGACAAAAACAAACGACATGGCCATAGGAATACGCTTTACTTCCACTTCATTGCCTTATAATCTAGTGAAAATTAATACTTTTAAGAATGAAAATTATGGTAAGATAATATAAATGCATGTTAATTGAGTCCTATCCTTTTACTTTTAAAAGTTAATACACTATGTGATAGCACCAAAAGAGGTGCACAACTGAATAATGTTAAATAAATGTTATAAACAAATAAGTATATTCTACGTTTTTTATTCTAAAATCGTTGATAGACTTAACTCATAATATCCAAACCATCTGAAAAAAAAATGTTGAATTAGTAATTTTCTAGTACCCAAATGGCTATTGCAAGACTTTCAGGCTTGGGTCATCCAGAAATGCAACAGAAATTATTAATTCGCTCTTTTAGTTTATCAATATAGTTCCAATTATCTTTTTACAGAGTTTTTTTTAAATTTTTTTTTTTTTTTTTTTTAACCCTTGGGGGGCCCCCCAAAAAAAATTTTTTTTTTTTTGGGTTTTTTTTTTAAAAAAAATTTTTTTTTAAAAAAAAATTTTTTTTTTTTTTTTTTTTTTTTGTTTTTTTTTTTTTTCCCTTTTTTTTTTTTTTTTTTTTTTTTTTTTTTTTTTTTTTAATAACCTAACCCTGTTTGTTACAGATGAAAACGAGGTGACAAATTAATACCAATAATTTAAAAAGATAAAGCTTTGTCTTCTAAATTTTATTGCCAGCCAGATTGCATTACGTGTAGTGACGTGTGTCGCACGCACGCACAAACGCAGTGGTTATAGCACTTTTTATAGGCATATGACGTCATAAACCCGAGCATACCGACGGTATTACTATTTCAAAACTTATAGTAAATACTTATAGCAGTAAATGGCTTTCTATGATTAAAATGTATTTTTCGCATTATCAAATAGCCCATTAGACAGACAGAGGCTATGCAATATTAAAAGAGTACTACTGTTTGATTGAAGTACCTTCATTCTCCTGATCTCAGTCAGCGCGAGTTAATTGACGTCGCTGCAGCAACGCCTCGGCAAGGTCCTGTTGGAGAGCTGCTTTTTGCCGAGCCACATTAGCTGGCACAGTTGAGCGGAGACCATTCACTATATCCTTAGTCTTACCTGTAAAGTGTAAACAAAGTAATAATCAAATACATAATATATCAAATTCTCGTGTCACAGTGTTAGTTAACATATTCCTCGGAAAGGGGGTTGACACTAGTGATTACTATCTATTTTTCATACCCACAAGTGATAAGGCTTATCAACTCCTAACATACAATTTTTTATTTGTTTTTGTTTTTAATGTGATTTTAAAAATTACACACAACCCCAAATTTTGTTCCTTCTATTACCAATCCTATATTTTTTCATCCTGCTTAAGCTTAACTGATCAATTATCAAGCAGGATGATAAGTTAACCCCTCCACTTTATAGAAGGTAGCCCTTCTCACCCAGTAAACAGTACGGAGTAGAGTAAGACCGAAGTCAGCCTTACCAGATTCTTACACACTTAGAAATCACCCGTCCTACAACAGGTGTCCCCGAAAGAAAATAATAAATCACCGACAGCTGATAATGTCTGGGTCAAAACCGGATTATACTCATATTCGTTGTAATCATTATCCCTTAGGGCCTTGTAACAAAATTTCAATGTTTGAAATTAAGTTTCTTTTGGTGACACATTGTCATCAATGGAAGGATATCAAAAAAACCCAGTATCTTGGGTTGCTTTAGCACAGAACAGACGTATTATATAGGATGTCAAATCATATTAACTGCTAAGAAATGTATGAAATATCTCAATTTGCAGGGACTGGCATATTATGTGAGAAATTGTATTATGTGTTGTCTTAAATGGGATTATTGTACTGTTAAGACTGATTATCTAATTGTATGTCTATTGCCTTTTAATATTTTAATTTCAATTAATTTGTAGCAAATAACATGATTATTTTCTTGCTGAGACACAGATAGGAGGTCAGGTGACCTATCCACATAGGCTATTGACCATTCCAGTCATTTCCCCTTTCCAAACCTCATAACATACTATCTTGTAAATTACATTATCACACATGTGACACTTGATACTTGTATAAGATGTGCAAACAAGCACTAGATATTTATTGTCTATGTAAGTATATATTTGTTGAGTTTGTAAAAATGTTTTTCATAACAGTATTATGATGTTACTGATACAAAAGATAGACTGCTATCATGAAAGGATGTTACATACCAAAATAGATATCATTCAATGTATTTCTGATTTTATTTTCCATGTCTTCAACCATGCGGCCAATGTTTGCTATGTGTGGTGTTACATCACTCACAGCTGTATCTTGCTCCGCCTGAAAATGTGTTAAATAAGTTTTAAATTACCTTAATTTTCTATTTTACGGCTATTAACCTTATCTCTCTACTGTATTTATATATTGATTAATCTTTGATCAAGGTATGGAAAATCAAAATGCATGTTACCTGTCTTGTAAGACTACCGCCTAGGTTCATAGTTCCACTGCCTTCTTTATTGGTTTGCAGCCAGAGCATAGCCGTCGAAGTTAATTTGTAATGGGCATTGCGGCCTGAACTCTTTTCTAAGACCTCAACAACATGAATAGAATCCCAACATCCCTTTATTTTCTGAGAACCATCACCAGCTTTTTTTATTAGAATCACACCTGTAAGTAGAAATGATTTTTTGTTTAAAAACTACATAACATAAGCTACACTGACTTAAAAAAGTATAATATGATCAGCATTCAACCTGCAAAACCATGATCCATGTCCCACAAGTAAACAGAGCTAACACCGCCTTCAAAGTACATCTCTCTATATTGATCAAAAGCATGATTTGCCTCTATCTCTAGTTTCCTCAATCTCTCAGAGGGCATTGATCCATCTTCCAATGGTGGATCATAAGCATTTGACCACGGTGATCTGTAGGAATCACCATCACGATTATAGTCACACAGTAAGTAATCTTTCCCATTACTACGGTCTTGAGCAATCTTTAACGGCTGGTCTACTGAAGACAACAAATCTTCGCATAAACTCGGAACTAGGTCGATCAAATCGGTCAAGTTTTTCTCGATCTGTTGTGGCGGAAGCCGCCGCATTAGGTCTAGAGCACAATCCATTTGCTGTTCCGTCTGTAAGGAAATAGATATGAAGAAAATATGTTTCAACGAGTACAAGTGTTAGTCATCACTAATCAGTAAGTATTTTGGTGCTGGCGTTTTAAAGACGACATTTTTGATACGCTACCATAATTCTGTTGGCTGTCACTCTCCTTTAGATGTTAAACTCCGAACACCAAATAGAAGTGGAGTATACTATTCCACCTCAAACTGCAATATTAATTACTGTTCTTGATATACAAATTACAATAAGTACCTAGGCTGCTATTTGCTATATTTTATAGATATTATGGATATCGATGTGACAGTTGACTTTGACGTAAGATAATTGGACTTCAAAAGGCTTATAGATGTATTTATGTTACTTTCCGTTCAAACTCAAACATATAATAATTTAACCAAACTTATTAAAAACCGTTTAATATTCAAATTTCATAGAGTAATTATAAAAACGTACAAACCTCTACAATACTTATCTTGCTATATACAATATTTAGTAATCTATCGTACATTTTCTTAAGTAAGTCTGTAGTTAGCTGTTGCGTGACCTATTTTCTGTGGCCGATATAGTATGTTGTTGTGTCAATCTTTGTTGATTTGAATGTTGGATTTTGGATAATTGGATACCCATTATTAAAACTTAACAATTATTTAACATAGGTACGTGTTACTTTTAGATGTTTTCTGATTTAAACAAATAACTTTATGATAAATAATACTTTTGACGTCTCATTTAACATATTCATGCAAACTTGTATAAGTTTGTTTCAACAGTGATTCATTTATCGGGAATTTGTCCACAACATTACACCTAGAGCGGCTAATAAACCACCAAAAAGGAATGCGATTTGAATGATTGTCGCGTAAGCTGTTAAAGGAACACAATACAGTTAACGTTTGTATAACTTGGCCGTTAAATAGGGCAATAGGTTATACAAAGAATTGTTCTTATTATATTTCGAATTTGCTGTTTTTATGAATTATTAATTTGTGTTTCGTTCAGTAATCTCTAAATTATAAAAAAGTTAGGTAATATTGAAGCTTAAAACTTTTTACTTGCAGTTGGAATTTTACTGCTTCCTCTTTGTTTTCTGTAAACTGCACTCTGTACCTTACTCAGTACCTTAGTACAGAAGTTTATGGGTAGCACTTAATTTATTAAAATGCTAGTTTATAAAAGATGTTATTACCAGTTAAGTAAGTATGAATTGACACTTGATATATGGTACTGACTGCTTTTGCCTATTTTTTCAGAAACCAGATAAGATGCCAACACAGCTGGTGGGGCAGGACAATCATGCCAATGATGTACGGGTTAAGACAGTGTTTAGTGGTGATGTTATGATTACTTATATTAATCACAACATAACCCTTGATGAGTTTACTCAGGAGATGGTGGCAATATGTCGTTTTGCACCAGATCAGGTAAACATAAACAAATAAGTAAACAAAAGGGTATGGGCAGATGTGTTTCTTAATTTTATTATTGTAATAATTAAATTTAATGATTTAAAATCAAGACTTTAAACTTAATAAAAATTTACAAATCTTTTGCTTTTATAGACTTACATTGTGATTTCAAGATTTCATCTTCTATCATTTAGGACCTTTATTTAATGCAAGCAAGCATATTAGTAAGCTCTTTTAAGTGATTTTAAAGTTATTACCACATAATATGATTGTTAAAGCTTTGCATTGCTGGTGTCATAAATTTTCAAAATCTATATAAACAATTAAAATAGCTTAAAATAATGAATATTTATGTCTCGTTGTAATGTGTGTGTAGGTGTTTACTATGAAGTGGGTGGATGAAGAAGGAGACCCATGTACTATATCTACTCAGCTGGAGCTGGATGAGGCGTTGCGGCTTTATGAACTGAACCGGGATTCCGAACTGACTGTTCATGGTGAGTAATTTTTAAACTAGCATCTTTTTAGCTTAGTTAAACAATTACATTATTTATGACAAGAAGTTTTACTGCCATATATTTTGTGGTGAAAAGAAATGATTCTGCCATTTGGTAGGAGGCTTAATCCTATACCTATTTAGTCTCAAAAGAAGTCAATGTTTGAAGTACCAATTACAATTTTTTGCCAGTAGTTTAAAACAAAGCCAAACAGATTACAACAGCCATCCTTTGTGAAACACGGACAAAATGAGAATTTCGATTTCATACTATACAATTAACATAAATGAATAATTTATTTGACTTTTAAAGTTTTCAGCTCAATTTTCGATCCGTCTTGAAACTTTAGAATCAAAGAATAAATTCGCATAATTTAAACATTTGGACCGTTCAAAATTAAATTTATTAATTCACGTATTTACCGCAGATGCTTACGAGTAAATATTTTAAAACTATTCAAACCGACTTATACCGCACAGTTAAAAGATGCGTGTGTATAAAAAGGTATTGTTTGAATCGGAAACCTATCTCAGTGACAAAATGAACACCAATACATTATTTGGAGCCGTTTAAGCGTCTAAATGTAGATTTTCGATATAAAGCGCTTAACTGCCTGCTAACCGGCATTGCGAATCAGCTCGACCGCCATTTGCATATTCCGATCGGTGTTCCCGCTTTTTTATCCATCGCGCGTTCCGCCAGAGCTCGAATGGAGATTCACTTCCTAATAACGTTGCTATTTCGATAATTGTTTTGCTCTTCTCCGACGGGATGACGCTGCTCGGTCGCTCCGTACATACCGATCGTCGTCTGGGCGGGATATTGCATGGCGTCCGATAGTGCCTCTCCTGGCCCACCGGCGGGGTGGAGCGCGGTAAAGTTGACGCTGTGCGACCCAGAGCAAATAAGACGGGAGCGCACCTAACTTGTACGCAAACGGGGGCGGAGAAACTCTCTCGAATAATGTACAAACATTGCGGAACACTTCGGCGCCCGCCGTGGGCCGACCGTCGCCCGGGCGTAATTAGGGGTACTTTAATTAAGTTTGGGAGCGCTATGAAAGCCGATTTCAAATCCTTTTTGTGTTAATTGAATCCACGGCTCGTGTGAGGCTTTCTCCCTTTTTCATTCTTATATCTAGACGGCTAACAATAATATACGAGTTTTAATAACGAATAGCTAACGTTATAAAGACCGGATTCAATTTAAATTATAACTTCTGCTCGGGAACATAAAGAGATTTAATCAGGACTCAAACTACGGAGGATGGCAACTTCGCAAATGAATGTGTCTTGGTGTGATTTCGGTGGGCGTCGCCCGACCTTCGGCTATCGTGCTCCATTCGGCAGACAGCAGATCTACGCTCATAGATAAGAAGAGAAAAGATCTGTACTTTGTAATGTATACATTCAAAATCTACTTCGTCGCGTTTGTGTTCTTTCTTTTGTGAAAAAAATCTCTACTGTTCTATTCAAAACATATTATGAAAATACAAAGTTGTAGGATAATAAACATACGAGTGCATAGCCTCGAGCGAGTAGTCATATCTTTTTATAATATTTTTCATAATATTAAGTCCAATAAAACAACAAAATGTAAATAAAAAATTATAATCGCATATGTCATAAATATACGAAATGGCCGAGCGAAGGGTAAATAATGTTTGGTTAATTTCCAACACGTGACCGAATTCGGCCGCAGTACATTTGCGACAAGTGTATAACACGGATTAAACTTACTATTTAAATAGCGCTGCTCCGCTATCCTAATGCATAATGAAGCGTAGTCTTGTTAAAATTGAGTGGAAATTCGCGGCAGACACGCGGACGGGGTTATTAATTGGTTCAATGAGGGCGCGATGTCGTTACGTCGTGTCATCGTTCAGCGACGATCTAAATATTTGTACCTCGAGCGAATTTTAAAGTGGGATGTATCGGGTTCTTTTCTTAGCCGCGTCCGCGATCTTACTTCCGAGGCCATTAAGCAGCGCTCGTCGCATTGAAGCTATAATTACGCAGCGAGCAGTTTGGCTGGCAGCGAATAGCTTTGACCTCAGATGTTGAATTAGCAAATAGCTGCAACTGTCTTTGTGCCCTCTCTATAATACTTTTGCGTCGCGTAAATCCTGTGTGTAGATTTATCATATACTTAAGTTGAATTTCGCGTCGATTGTTATAGTATCGCTTTGAATGAAATGTCCATTGTCTACCCGCAGAGACCGTTTGTCTGTTTGTAATGCCGACGACATTGTTAACGATCCAACTATAGAAACTTCTTTAGCCGAACGGTAGTTTCCCATTTCGCTTGCTTACAACTTATTTTTTTTCTAAAGTTTATCTGTATTTATAGTTGTAAAGCATGTCGAGTCGTTTTGTATTCTGCCCTTTGCGCCCTTAGCGCCCTTAGCTAATATCTGAGCAGAGATAACGTATTACGCGTGGATATTAAATCAGACAAAACTAGTCCACTTTAATGGTCTACATCGCAGTTCATTGTTCCTGTAGATGAATATTGTTACGGGCCGCCGAGACCGTGACGCTAATTGCCGCTTACGAGACCAGTCTCTTGGTGAAAATCTATGCGCGTGCGCGTGTTTTTCGCGCGCACACGCCTCCGTACGGTGACAATTCGCATTTGAATTCTCGCGCGGGTGCAGTGTACCTGTGTCTCGCGTGTTTTTCAAACTCAGTGAATGAAATGGAATCGTTGACCTCCGGGATGTCGGCGGGAGAGATCGCAGAGGTGGATTTGCGTTTGCTTCTTGTTTGGATGCACTGTACAAGGCTTATTTGTTTGTTTTCACGAGCTTCACCGGCGCTAACTTTCTACTGAGCCTTGTTTAGCCGTAAATATTGAATACAGTTGAAGAACAACGTGGACGTCGTATTGTTGCCGTGCACGGCTGCAATACTTCGAATAAAAGTACATTGTTTCCATTTTTGCAAAGGACAGTAAAAAGTTCGTCGACGGATTCGCGGTAAAACCGGTTTGCAGTGAAATGCGATAAGAGAGTTGACCTATATGCGCTCTCTAAATTTCACCGCACAACTATTTTCCGCTAAGGTCGCTCGTGTTGTGTATTGACAGTGTTATGTAACTGGCTTGCTACTTAGCTTAAAGAATAAAATATAAATGCGTAGGTATATACACAATGGCACACTTTAGAATGTAGATAAAGTCGGTTTGATCGGTGAGTCTTTAGGCTGTAGTATGTATGTATACTCCTCGAACGTCGTTTCGGAGTCGGAGTTGAATATTCTTATGACACTCCGTGTGAATTAGCTGCGACATTGAATGATCTCTAGGGAGTTCGATCTCAGAGAAACGGCTCAGTAGAACAACAAGGCGTTCCTCTCATTTTGTTATCTGGAGCAAATTGCTCACTTAGGGAATGAAGCGGACTATTGTTTTGAAAATACGCACATAATCGATGCGCTCATTCGTTTATAGGAATTTCGAATATTTTGCGGGTAGTATAGGCTTGCGCGTTATTGAGAAACAGCTTTTGCTGTCGCATATGTATTTGGAGCGCACAATTATATCTTTCATAACCTCGTGCGGCGATACTAACGTTCTCGATAAGGATCCACACCGAGGTAGGCGTGTGTAAACAGTGCAGTGTTAACAGAGTGTATTATTTACCAGGTCATATCTGAGCGTCGATCGCGGTGCTGGGATCGTGAGGTGCTGATTTGTGTCGTCGGGTAGTCGCGTCTTTTAATCGACACTCGTAACGAAATGGAATTCAATTAAATCCATTTACATTACCATTAGAAAAATTGATTTATTTTTTAATAAAACATTCTGATTGTTCCTGCTAATGTTACTTCACTATGAGTTTTCTATTGGTTACGGTTGTGCGTTTGCGACACGCTTTCCCGTTACCCGTCGATAAGGAATAACATCTTTTGTGGTAGGTACGCTGTGCTGAAAAATGCAATACTTCATGGGCGTGAACCGCCATTACAAGACGAGACATTCGCCGTTGCGTAAACACGATAACATTCATTCACTCGTATAAACACGGAGTCGTGTCGAAGATTGACTCGTTTAGAAAAGGAAAGTGAAATCCAACGCACAGTCGTTTGGAATCACTGAAGCTGCTAACTCCGGACGTTGCTGAGGATTTTCACTAGAAAATTCCCGCCACTTGGCATCGCATTAACTTCTCAGTGAATGACGGTATTTTTATGAACTTAGCAATGCAACTTGTCGCCTAATCGAGTAATTAGAATAGTGAAGCGAGCGCTGTCCTTCAGTAGGAAACGGAACGCGGTGTCATTTCTCGCTCAAATAAACATCGAAACTTTATATTAAATTAATTTCTCGCGACGTTTTTACGACAGAAACAGAGGGCTCTTTAAATACTAGGCAAAGCAATTGTGCTTAGTTTTTTTACTCCAGATAGGTTGAGACCTCAGCGGCCTCGGACCCGCCAACCTTGATCTGAACTGGTAACCGGTGAGTCATGTGCGGATTGCTCACTGGACTGTTTAGCTTAATCCTATTGTCGAATGACCACTTTTTGTTTTGGTCGTGCCGCTGATAACGTGATATATAGACGAACCTCTGACACGCTTCTATTTTTGTTTTAGTCCATATGTATTTCTTATTTTATTTAAAGCGATGCCGTTTTCCTTCTCACGATATTCTCGCAGCATCCAAACAAAGTTGGCGACCTTAATTTTAAACAAACAGTAAAAATGGTGGAAGCCAAAATGGATCTTATTTTTCATAGTCTACGACCTTCATTCGCTCGAATAAGATACGCTGCGAGCGCTTGCACTTTGCAGATCTAAGATAGGTTTTTTCTCACAAATAAGCCGGCTTTACCGGTTTAGACTTAGTTAAATTTGCAAGCAGTACTGCGTAGAGGTCGTCGATGCCGATTTAGTTTAGTTCAATATGTTAACGTATCTGGGTTTCTCCCACTATCTGGAATAAAAGTACTTATAAAGTAAAAAAACTCAAATAATATATTGAAGTCGAATTTAAAAGCGTCTGTTGCTGTTTGACAAATGAAAATTGAGCGCAACAGTCGAATCGACCCAGAATACGCGCGAATCAACAAAAGACCCCCATTAGGGCCATTAGGACCCGTCCTCGCGCATTTAATCAACATTCTTTTTTTCGATGAGAATCGCTCGCTGATGGCAGAATCGATGACAGCTAACCTACGGGATCATTATTATTAACGATGTAGCCATCGGGGCCCTGGTCCAAATTATATGTATTGATGTCGGTTTTCATGTGTCGCCGACACATTACACATTTAGAAACAAAATGCTACAAAAATGTAATATTCAATAGTGGTTTTTAGTTGACAATTAACGGGTGAGGGGTGCAGTTTTTAATTGAATTAGTTACTAAACAACTGTCAGTGGTTACTGCAGTCACTTGCTTTGCTTCAATACATAATTGTAAAAGTTATACAAGCTATTGGGTCCGTAATGCCGCGTTAACTTTCACTTCAGGTTAAACAACCGATGCACATATAATAAGTCATTGCGATGTGGTTGGGCAAAAAAGAATTTTATAATGTTGTGCATTAATTCTATATTTGTTTCTGCCGTGTGAGAAAAACGTACAAATACAATCGATCAAAAGTGACCGTCGCTTTCGCTCAGCTTGTTACAGTGATATTATGATGTCTCCAAACCTCACAAGAGATTATAGCCTTATTCCCGAAGCCAGTTCACATAGCGTTGCCTGTTTCTCGGTCCACCTCGAGACGTACACCCGAAATAGTTCGTGGAACCTTTTAATAGAAGAACAAGTACTTATAGCTATTATCCCAGTATTAATCCGGATCCGATAACAGTGTAAACTCAGGGCTCTCTAGGGCCAACCTAACTGCGAAATGTTTGCTTCCGTGTGCACACGACCTCTAAACAGGATATCCTATAGTATGGGAAGCATAAAATACAATACATAGTTAATTGTGTTATTAATTCTCTTATCTCTTTGATTTTAATGTTTATCCGGTTCCTAGGTGGTCCCTATTGTCTCCGTCTATAGAACGTCAGCTTCACGTAGAAATAGATTTATATTCTGTAACGTAAGACCACATGTCGTTGGTATCAATGTGTGGATAATGACGGGTTCGTTGTTCGCTAGCGTTGTATGGCTCAACAAGTCGCTAGTTCGATCCCCGGCTCTCACATGTATAATAAATTTGTCATTTTTCATCTTGTGTAAACAGTATGTATTCGCTGAGGGTAGGTAACAATTAAAAATTGAGTTGAATATCGTTAATCTCTAATATAGGTCACTTTTCCACGCAGATTTTAATTATCTAGACTCATTACCCCATAAATCCGAAATATGTAAAAAATAGAACCTTTATAAACTTTGCACGTTTTTCATCAGAAACCTAAATTGGCTAAGAAGCATTGTTCAACAGTTCCTAGTAAATAAATGGAATTTCGTTCGTAGGGAGATCCCGATAGCGGGCAGCTCTGAATTTCCTAAGTAAAAGCTGAGATAAGCCTCACAAATGCCTCAAATAAGATTAAATAATGTAATGTATTGAGAGGAATCTCTTTGAATTCTTTACGACTGCGGTCGTTTTCACCTCTGCCTTTGGCAACGAGTGTCTTCTACATTTACCGGCGGAAACGAGTCCTCTTCTTTTACTACTATTTAGGCAGAGTGTTATAAAGTTTGATTCCTTTTGAGCCGGTCTCACTAATAAGAAGCACTTTCAGTTTAAGATAGACTTTTTGTTGTGATCACTGTGATGCCATGACGCTACGGCGTCTTCACCTGAACCCCGTAGAGTGCGTTATTGTAGTCACACGCCACTCACACACGCCACAGAGAGTCATTGTGGCTTATAAGCGCTTATTATTTTTCTTGTGACAGTATAAGATGATACGCGCGGAAAACAATAGTTGCATTAACAATGTTCCTCTTTGGATCTATTATGGCGACACGTGTCTTTCTAAAAGACTAACGGTAGAGAAACGCCCCGGCTTCGGAAACTATTAACATTTTCGTCGGTTCACTAAGTTAGCGATAATGGCCGACAGACCGGCACGACCGGTATGATGTGACATTTTCGTAAGAATATTCCAGATACAGAAGTAACATTGCGCCCAGGATTCGAAACTGGGGCCTCGTAGTCTGTAGTCGAGTGCACTAACCGCGAAGAGGCCGTTTCTACAATTTAGTGCCCACCAATTGCCGAGTGTAGTGGGGGTCAATATCGCGAAATGGGTACCACGATCTCGCCGGTGACGCCATCGTCCGAACTGACGACTAATATATATCAATTTAGAATCGTAGTGTCTTGTATGTGTCCATAATAGCGCGACAGTGCTCTCATTGCATTCTGTTTTAAATAGCCGTACTTACCGTCCTAAACCTAATTTAGCCCACATCTAATTGGCGGCAATTTAGCAGGCGATGATTTGATATTCTCGAGGTCTTGTCGTGTTATTCTTTTTTAATTTTATTTATAGAGAGACGAGCTCGAAACAGCTTTTAGAATATATAGTTCTTTTCTAACCTGAAAGAAAACCGAATAAAAGTATTATTTTAGCAGATAAAATCAACCATAATATCCAAGTTTTTTTTCGATATTGTTAAAATAATAAAAATTGCCAATGAAAAATTGTTAAGAATCAATTTCGTTTGTAACCCAAAATATAATTTCAAACGTACGTATCAACTACGGGGACCAATTTATCAAACGAGTTGTATTGAATGACAGTTGTTACATTAATATTAAGTATTATTCTCGAAGGTCGCATTGATATTGTTTATTTGCTTTACGTCACTTTGTTTCTTTGATATCGCGTCCCTGCAGATTTTGTTTTACAAAAGGCCATCTTTTGTAAAACAAAATCTCCTTACCTTTTCTTTTACCAAAATATCTGTCGATTTTTACACTTCGTCGTCCGTCATTCGTGGTTTGACCTTCAAAGGTTTTTTGAGTAGCATTGAACTTGAATACATTAACGCTTTGACTGTGGGACTTTTTTATAATATTAGCATAGCAATTATTATTGTATTTCTTCAACGGTCTGTGAGTTCTGATCTCGTCTTACGCGGTTTCAAACGCAATAAATCGGTCCGTTTAAGTATAATATAGAGATAAGATTCGAAGCTCTTATAAATTTAGACGCGCTTAGAATTCGCGAAATTCATGCAAGATATTTATAAAGGCTTATTTCACAAAGGCAACATTCTTTTACGTTTCAAACAATTGAATACAAAGAGTTCGTGGCGCGGGGGAGTTACATTTTAGAATCCTTTCAAATGCCACCGTACTGTACGCGTCGAGAGAAGCCAAAATACGATTCTCCTTTCCGAGCAGACTTAGGCCCCCGCAAATACAAGACAAGAATTAATTTTGCCCCATCGGTCGGTTACAGATTTCAACCTATTTAGAATTATTTTTTGGCTTGACTGTTTTACGCGTATGATTAAGGGGATTTTTATGAAGCTTTCTTGAATATTGTGTCTTATCGCCGCAATAAAACTGATGTTTATTTATGTTCCCCATCGTCGAAACACCCCCGAACGATTTCTGTGCTCGGACTAGCCTAGAATTAGCCTTGGGCTGAAATTTTTAATTAATATTACGGAAACATCCCATGTGTCGGGGTAGACCTAAGCTTAGCTGGATATAACCTTGTGTTTTCAGCTCATGAACCACTTTGACTTCGACTCCACTCGTCAGTCTCGCCGCTTGTAAAACTTTGAGAAATTGATGCAAGAAGAAGAATTATTTAAACTTCAGCTACTTTTGAAACTTTTGCAACGAGTTAATATTTTATTTAGGTGTATTCTTAGCAGAGTTCGCAAAATTTAATTTAGATATGATTTGGTGAGAATATCACAGAACCCGTAAATTTTATCGAGAACTGTAATTGCGACCAAAATTAGACTATCTCGTCTCACGATATGGTCATACATTTCTCTATGGATTTATGAATATTTTATAAAACCGTTTTCAATTATTTAATGCGTCGTCGGATGCGTAGCGCCCGTAGGAGTGTCACTCGTATTTTATTCAAATATCGAGGTCCCGTGCGCTCGGCATAATATTGCCAAGCGAGTACCGATTCACAATATCCTGTGCACCTGAATAATGTCTAGTTTTCCATAAATAATGCATTCGAATACGTCTCGGTATACGGCGGGCAGTTACAGTTGCACACAAATGCAAACCCATCTCGAATTTCTTCAGCTCGGCGCACCGCTCGTAGGGAAATGAACGAGGGACGCAGTTATGGAATACTTGACCCACATTGATACTTTTAAGATAGTGAAAATGATCGTGCTGTCCAATATATTTCGCGGAAACCATCCTCAAAATCAAGTCTCCCCCGAGATCACCGCTGTTCCCGGAAAGGCTAATTGTGTGCGACCCGTTGCGCAAAGTTCGTTACGATTTAAGAAGAGGACTACAGTCGGGGAGAACCTCGATAACTCCCTGATAGACGGCTTAAAGAAAGTGAAGAGTGAAAAGTGCATTTCGAACAGTGTCGACACTTTTCTCACGCACAGGGAGGGCAAAGAAAAAGTGATATGCAGTGCCAAAGGTTTATTAGAAACTAACTTAGATGATATATTTAGCGACGTCCAAAGAGATGGCTGGAGTCAAGCGAAGAGTTTAGGAGCCAGTGAGTCAATTATAAGGCTCAGTGACGCCGCCAGTAAGCGGGAGTCGATAGTGGACAGCGAGGAGGACACAGTGTCGAGCGAATGCGGCGACAGCGAGGCTCGCGAGCAAAGGAAGTGCATGGGCGCGAGGCGTTTCGGCCACTTGCTAAGGAGAGTTATTTCGAGAAACGGTAAGATCCTTAGCGTTCTTTAATGCATCTAGTTACGGTGTTAAGGAAGGATGAAAAAACGCAATTTTATAATATCACGAATTTTGCCCCCTATTTCGTGCGCGTCTTCATGTGGGTTAATCTTAAAGACAAATATATACTGTTGTAGACATTTTTTCATACATATTTCGAATAATTTTACCCATTATTTACGTTAAAGCCTCTCTCGATAAATGGTCTGGGTAGACCCAAGGGTAGACACAAGAATTATTCAATTTGAAGTTCGAAGTCGACAGACAGACACGCCGTTCGCACAAACATAGTAAATCATCTCGACCCGCGTATTAAATTGAATCGGCGTCGGCCATTTATTTCTCTCCAATTGTTGCAAATTGTTTCCCGCCCTGATTGAGATGACCGTCGTGAAGCCGTCGAAACGTTTCGATCCTATCTGCTTCCTTGTCGTTCTCGATTGCGTATTTCTCATTTTATCTATTTCGGTCCCACATTTAAATAATACTAACAGAGGAATGCGATTGATTCGAAATTGTGGCTCTAATCGCGTTATCAACATTCACGCCATTGTTAATTTTTTCTACGATCGTAGCAATTTATTAGGTAGGTAGGTATTATGCGCCTATGTTATGGCATGTTCATATCCTAATTACAAATGCAGTTACTAGCGTTAATAATGCAAGGCGTGGCAGTACTCCTTGTTCATTCTCCTACGATCGAATCGTAGACACAGGCGTGAGAGCCACTCGAAATGAACTCCGCCGTTCAACTTTTGCCCGACTTACGGCACCTGCTACTTCTTTTTGGGCTAACTTGCAACTGGTCCAACATTTACCGGAATTTTGAAACGAACTTAGAGATGGAATACTGTAAATATATTTCATAGTCAACATAGTCAACGCATGATATATGTTAATATTTGCTAGAGTATATATGTATAAATAAGTACGAGATCGGTAATTGAAAGACGATATCCGAAATCTTTTTTTAATACATATCTCAGGGATAAACGAAGTTGGTGCACTATTAGTGTCGAATTGGAGCCAAGCCGAGTGTTGCCTGAACCTCATTTATATCCGCGCCTCTATTGCCTTTCGGTAAAATTGCAATCGATATTTCTCGCCGCTATATTTAACGGGATTACGTGGTGAGACTGGTAATGGGTAACACGAACGGTTCCGTGGTGGCTCATCGATACGCCTAGTTGCCCTCGCTCGTGTTTTCAGTTTGAAAGGAGGGCACGCCACACTTGTAAACTTTACGAACACAAAATACATCTGTTGTTAACTTGTTAGGAGAGCCCATTTTAAAAGAGCCATTTTCAGTCCACGGTGCGTTAATGTGTACCTTTCTTTGCCACTATTATTTGCTATAAACTTTTATATCGTTGGTAATGTACCGCTTACGTGACTAAAGATAGGTTCCGCACGTTGGGCAACCCACTTTCAATATAACGTTGATTAAATTTAAAACGCGAGTGAAACGTAAATACGTTAAAACAGAACCCATTAGACGGCACGATATTTGCCCACGTCCGTTTCAACCGATACCTGGCTGTGTATAGAAATGGCTTAGATTATTGCAACTTCAGCGAATTGACTAAATTTCGAGAGGCCACGCTTTCATTAAATTTTGAGCACCTGAAATATTTCAACGAAAAATATATCGCGTATCAAACCTGTATTAGATTTTTTTTTGTAATGTGCAGTACTGGCCTCATATTATACATTCAAAACGTGTAAGACAAACCTACAATAGGTAGCCTTTCCTATTGTAAGTTTGTCTTACAATTTTCTTACAGCTTAATACTAACACAATGGAATATTTCTGTACCTATTTTTATAGGTTTTCTTAAAGGTCTACCATGACAAATCATTCCCCAGTTTTGACACGCGTCTGTAGCGGTGAGCTCGGCCAAGATGGCTTTCTGTTTAATAATCGTAAAAGTTAAAAACTCGTTAGGAGGCGGACGTTAGAGGCTCGCTATCGACCTGTTTCTGAACCAATTTTACCTGCTTCGAAGCATAAACATAGAAATGTATGAGGCAGTAATGCTGATTCAAATGTTTCGAAGTTTTTAAAAAGTATAGGAACTTTTTTTTAAATTCTGAAAGCGTGGCCTTAGGTGACAATGTGCCAACAACGTAATATATAATAATCTATATCTAACCGAGTCCAATGGCGACAACAAATGCCATATGCTTGCGACTCTTATGGTGTATGTTGATGCATGCTTTCTTTGAAGTCACACCCAGAGTCGCGCCCTCCGTCGTGGTCCATTAATTTGGGTGTGACGTTCGGAAAGAGTCTATTGGCGCGAGGTAGTCGTATGTGTTGAATATCAGACGGGTCACTTAGAGAAAACCGATATTTTGTGTTTTCAGTCGCGGAGAGCGCTTAATATTCTCGATTCCAGATAATTATTACATGGATCTGCTTCCCTATAGAATCTGTGTTTTTTATATGTCATGACATAAGTGATACTAACCGACGCTTAGCTACAGATTGCTTTAAGATCTTCAATCCATCACAGCCAATAAAAATACTACGAATCCATCTATACGCTGTCTCCGGTCATGTCAGACATATAGATATTTCAAAAGTGAGAATCTTTTAACTACTACCTGAATGCGATTGTGCTAACTTCACTGATGTTGGGAATTACTCAGTGATAAATGTTGCCGATAGCGATTTAGATGTAATTATAAATATCTGCACCTGCATGATTGATTGCAGGTGTAACGTCCGGCGTAGACAATGTATGACTAATTACATAGCTTCGATTTGCGTAATTTACATAATACTTTATATAGTCAAATATAACATAATTCCAAAAAAACAGACAGCTCATCTGTCACAATTATAAGAACAGTGCGATGCCCTAAACATAATTGGCTCACATAATTATATTGAAATCCTTCGGTTAGAAGTAAGCCGGACAGCAATCTGACGGACTATGTGGAATTGGATGGATCTTCCGTTTAATATTAATTTCCTTCCATTGTCTTCAGTTATCCAATAACCTTTGATTAAAGGCTTCGATCGAATCGCACAGGCCTATTGTAGCCTCTAACTGTGGGATTGTTATCGAACGAAGAGGATCTGTCGTTGTTTATTTATTAATGCGAGTCCCACTTCGCATGCATTTGTATTTTTATTCAATAACCTAATTTGCTCGAATTCGAGTTTTGCTTAATTATAAATAACTCCGACCGACACACATCTGTACACATCCGACCGAGTCCTACCGACAATAGGTCTAATAATTTCCATGTCCCAAGATGGGGCTTTCAAAGCGTTTCAATAGCTAGCAATCTCGAGAGTGGTCCTGTCTCGCAGAACACAGTTGTTAGGCAATTGGAACTCTGCGTCTTTTATTTCATTACTAGCTTTGCCCACGACTTCGTTCGCCTCGAATACTGACTTGGGGTAGAATTTCTAATTTAAGGCAGCCAATCTATGTTGTAAGTGCTACTTCGCCGCAACACTCTCACCTCACATCACTCATACTCTAACCCCCACGCCCACGCCCACTTCCTATATACCCAAAAATACAATGAAGAAAGTTTCATTTTTTTAGCTTCAAAAACAGTAAATCAGTTCACCAGTTTCGAAGTTCAAGCGGGACAGACAGACATAGTTACTTTCGCATTTATCATATTAGTATAGATTCTGTACATCTTACAACGTTTTAGCCATAAAATTGATATCGAATACTAACGAAAACTAGCTTGCTAATTTCATCCAAGGCAGGATTCATTCGATTAATTAGTTCAAGACCCTACTTAATCTCTAAACAGTGAACATTATTAAGCTAATTAGACTACAACGAGTGAGGCGACCGCGCAACTGATAGTATTAACAATTTGCAAAGAAGTGCTAACTCCCGAACGGGAGCGAAGTGAATATTAATCGAACGGAACCTAAAAGAGATAATAGACATTTATTTTACGCTTCAAAGCCTTCTAATTACCAGCAGAACGGAGCATAAGTGAAGCATAGTCGGACGATTAGCTATGGAGCTATTATATGATGTAGCCGGCTCGGGAAACCCTTTTATCCCATTATGTTGCTCGACGCTCGCTAATCGGGAGTGGGAAATTGAAGTGGAGAAGTGGGCCGTAAGTGATGCTGTGCTTGTCGTGCTTTTCTTTTCATCGATATCAGTTTTAAGCAAACGCTCCGCGCGCAATGGTGTCTGCCGATGAAACCGTATCGCGGTATCTGGCGACTTTCTCCATTGTTTTCCACTGGCGCAGAACAATCGTAACGCCGTCACTGTGACTGATCACTTGCCGACGCCCAATACGATTGTTTAATTGGAACAAAATGCTACGAATTAATCACACGTTACTTCGAACGTAAATACTTTCCTACGCTACTTCATTTGCCATTTCGATCGAATTCTCTCTACTAATTAATAATTTCCCTTTAGTAGAGCGGCTGTAAAAATATCTGAAGCCGGTTTATCAGCGGCAAAAATTGCATAAAAATCTCTCGTCTGAAAGGAAAACTTATTTCTGAAATCGGGTTTAGCTGGCAACTTTGAGCGCATTACGTTGAACTGGGAGCTTGCATTTTTCACCCACAATACTCCCATTTACTACGCGATTGTCAGACCTTTCGTACTTTGTGCATTTATCACAATGTTTCTAAATGTGAAATAAGCTTGAAGTTTGATTTACGAGTCTAAGTTGGGCCGCGGAAATGTTTTCACCTAAATCCGAGGAGGCGACGTGCTTCTTCTTTTAGTTCTTCTAAATGTTCACAGTTAATAAAGCAAAGCAAAGGATTTCTTTATATTGGACTGCGATGTTGAAGTAAAGCTATTTTTTTATTTCCAAGCAGTACTTGTTTTGACTAAACTAAATCATTATTGTTATTAACAATCTGTTATATACGTAATAATAAAGGTAACGTTAATAACATGATCGCTGATGAAGTATGTCAAACACTAACAAAAACCCGTGATGTAAAAAATGTTGAAATAGTCATATTTCTTATCGAATGATCCGCACTAACGATACTTACAAGTACATAGTTTAGGTCCCGAACGACCCCACAATCCGCCGAAGGTAAAATTACAACCCGTATTCGACTGTCACTGAAAAGTTTGAGAATTCACGTACACGTAAAACTCGACACAAATGTGTCGGAGATTCAACAATAACATTGTTCCAGGCCGCACATTCAAAAGTTTTCGCTCGCATTGTCCCCTCATTGCACACCCGCCGTCGTCTATATTTAAGCACGAAATTAACAAAAAAATCTAATTAAAATTACAAATACTCGGACGATGTGATTAAAAGGTAAATTGGACAATATCGGAAGATATTAAAATTTCGGTTGCCCATCATTGGGCGCCGCGACGCTAAGTACTTTTTAAACGCGTCTGCTTTATTAATTTCGTTGCCGGCGCACACTCCGCGGAGTTCGCGACGCGAAATTGGGTCAGCATTCGACGAACGAAACTCGTTCAACGGGAACTATCGAATGCGGAATGTATCAAAGCGAACGCCCCGATATGAATGTTCAATGATTGCTTTTTGAAATTGTGTTTTTTCAAAGGGCCGCTATGTGCTCGACGAAATCGTTCAAGTTAAAAGTGCACTTGCCACTTGTGACGATCATTTGTTTGTTTAAAGGCGTCTTTTAATCGGTGCGAGAGATTTAGAGAAATAAAAACGTGAAATGGGCTCGTGAATAAATTACTTTAAAGTAGTTCCCTACGCCGCTCCACCTTCGATGTTCATCAAGGTTCTATATTCAGCTTAACGAGGTGCAAGACAACAGAAAAGCGAGTTAAAGTAGCCATTCCGACGCAATTTTATGCAACATTTTATTTAGAAAATATAATGACGTTATTCAGCTCCAGAGGCTTCTCCTATCGACTATCATTACGTAGCTTACTCTGTGCCACAGTATTTAAATACTGTGGCACAGAGTATAAATATCCCTCTACGAATTGTTTTATGAGCGATACATTTTTATAGAGGCTAGACGAATGTAGGTAGCGAACCGCTCTCTAATACCATTAAATTACTTATTAAATGTAAGGAATCGTACGTACGTTTATGCCACATGGAGATATCTGCCGGCAAGAACATACGCTTTTAAACGGAACCGCGAAAATACGCAATTGAGATGAAAAGCAAAGCCTTGCCACCACATTTGAACATCGCGCACAGCGAAATATGTCCGAAATGTGAGTATTGTAAACACTGTTGTTCGCTTAATATTTAGTGGCTCCGTGGAAGGTTAGCGTGGTCCATTCGCTAATTTTGGCTTCGTCCCAATTCAGATAATTAGTTAGCGTGGAAGCCGGCGCAGTTTGAAATGAGATAGCTATTGCCAGATCTTGGAATCGTTTGTGAAATGTTGTGTTTGCTCAAATACTAAATATTTTCACCTGTTTAATTATGTAAAGTCTGAATATGCGTAATAAAGAAAGAATGTCGTCGAAAAGGCACGTTGACACACCATCGTGTCTCTGGAAGTTTGTAAGTCGCCATTAAAAAGCTCGTTGTTTTGTTCGACCTAACCCAATTGTGATGTATGCTCTTGTGTCCTGTTCTCTCGATTTTGCTTAATTATTGCGATCGACGCACGTTGACTTTAGGCGCACAATGACCGCTGAGTTTCGTTCAGAAGCGTTACAAAGAAACATCCTCACGGTTTCAGCTCTAGGAGAAGATTTACAGCATCCCATATTTAGTTATCAAAGGGGTTTAGTTTAGGTTCATATGACTACATATATGATATTCTACTTTAATATTTAATAATGTATAACGAGTAAAATCATAATAAAGCTCGTTCTATGTGTGCAGACCGTCAAAGTGGACATTACTTTTTTGTGTTTCATATCCTTGTTTAAGACTTACACTTCGATAACCCAGACTTCGCTTCTATAACTCCTTTTTTATTAAACCACCTGGTAAAAAATGTTTCTTTATCAACTAAGACATATAGGATGATATCAATGTCATCATTAGACTTACGAACTGACGTTGGTGATATTTCAACCTCAGCGTTTAAATCCGTCCGTTTCCCCACTTCCAGTTCCACTCACCTACTTCCACATCCTGCCAGTTTGTAGTCTAACGATGGATGCGTAGCAGAGGATGTTAAGTATATACATATTTTTGTATAGCTCGCTGCAGTCGACGATTACAAAATATTCGATTCGAAACACTATTTTTCTTATGAAGTGGGAATCACATCAGTGTGTCCGTGTTTCCTGAAAGATGAACAATTTATTATTAATGCACAATAAACAAGTAAAACGCCTAGATTATATTATTACGTTTGAAAAGCAGAATGTTTATTCGAATACATTTGTAGAGTTACTTCCTAATTTAAATAATACACTTTACACGGTTTAAAATGCGAAATATATTTTTTATTCATTTTAAGTATGGCCCGACCGCGACGTTCGCGTTTGATGTCAAACGAGAGGTTGTCGTGAGTGAGTTTTGGAACGAACAGTCTATTAAAGGCTTTAACATTAGGAACACCTTTGTCTTGAGTTCCCAGTGGCCACAGCTGTTGAGAAGCATCGAAAACTTCGGTCCATACTTAAAATAATGTAAAAATAAGCCAACTTAATTATTATCTTAAAAGGTTTTTTATTTCAATGTGCGCTACGGACAATACTTAATTTTTGCTTAAATTGAAAATGAAATGTACAATTATTTATCAATAATTGTTCCAAGTTTTCCTCAATATCAAAATAGAAGAAATCTTTCATCACAGGGCGAAATTGAATGCCTTTTCGTCGTTCTCGCAAGAATTATGCCCTCTATAGATTTTGCCTAGAGTTCGCCCTTTCATCTCACCTGAATAATGCAGACATATAAAAAACAACAAAATGCAGCACATGTTACGCGATTCGGTTTCAGTCTGTGCGCATCTTATTTAGATTTTATATAACTACCCTCAACCCTTACCCTTATGTTTGTCTGTCCTACTCTATCATAAAAAAGACTTAAGAATTATTCATGTATGAAGTTGTTAGTCCTTTCCCTATTATGTATTCAGTACCTATCCCTGACATCAACGTTTCTGAGCACGTGTGTAGGACGCCTGCAGCTTCTTCTGCAGCTAACCGCATAAACACGTATTTGGCTCTTATCTATACAGTATTTTGTGTACTGCAATTAGGAGATTCGCTCGCCATTCGGAGTTAACTCGAGTAATTACCACTGCAACGTATTTGTGCCGCATTGAGAGAAAGGTAGAATAACTTCCCCTCCAGATGGTTATTTCCAAATGGATGCTGCTGTCGCTCCGACTTTTTACGAAATCCGTGTCGGTCAACTGCAGGTCTAAAACGACTGCAGAATACGTTCCCGACGTGATTTTCCATTAAACAAACGGCTTAAGATTCTCGGCGTGAATTAATTTTAATATAACTTCAATGGCAACATGAAATATCAAAGTCAAAGTCAAAAATCATTTATTCATGTAGGTAACTATGTACACTTATGAACGTCACAAAATAATTATAGAATCTAACTTTACATTTACTACCAGTTCTCAAATCAAGGGCGTAGAACGAACGAGAAGAACTGGCAATAAACTCGCCGTCACTCCTTTTATCGCCAAGTTTCATTTTACATTCTTGATTTACTTTTAGTACACAACATATTTTTCCTTGTAAGAGCGGGTTCCTCCACACCCCAAGCATTTTTATCATTTAAATATTGATTAACATGATAATAACCCTTTTCAAGCAGTTTTTGTTTTACATATCAGACGTGACAATGTCTTTTGTAACAAAAAATAATTTAAATGAAGACTTTAAAGAAAACTAACAATCTTTCTTCAAAAACGTTTTTATTGTTCACAGTCTTATATTATACTATTTAATAATTGTATTTTTTTTAATATTTTCAGGTAAGTAAAGTCAAAGGGGAGCGTGAGTCTTACTCGTTATTTGTATAACACAGGTAAGTGGCACCTGTAACAATAGTTTTCCCCTCTTTGCAAGTCCATTGCTATGCTTAGAAAAGTCTATCCTTACGTTATTTGTTATATTTCGTGACCTGGAACAGGTTTAGTTTTTTTGTGTGTTTATTCACTTTACCTCCAGATCATCTCTATGTTGGTAATAGCTAGAAATAAATTATTTATATATCCCCTGAATAGTATTGGTAAAACAAGATTTCCTAATAATGTGTTAAATCACCATAATGATGTTGTAGCATCTCCCCTCCACTCCTCCCTCATTAAAATGTCCTGCCCATACAGCTAGCGACTCCCACGGGTGATGTTTAGAGACATTTATGTTTCAGACGCCTTTTGAATACACAAATGAAACAAGGTCGTTGCTTAAAGAATTCTTAATATTTAGGTATCCACTAAAGTCAAACATTTTACTGGAACAATTAATGTTTGGCCCTCTTTACACGTAAACCGCGCAATAAATATTTTTTATAATATATTATTTAGATCCCGAAGATTTCCCGAAGACACCCTTTTTGTAATGGAAAGAAATATTCTTATTCTAGAAATGTCTTAAAAAAGAGAAGGTAACATTTTTATTAATTTCTTTCCGCGTAATAAATATGTATTCATTTAAAGTATTTTTATTTTCCAAAGGATTGCATCAAATTATTTGCTAATAAGCGTTTATTTGATATCGTTATTGATTGGGCACTAGACTAATAAATACTGGTAAACATTGAACTAAAATTAGGTATATCCGGTAGCGTAACGCTTACATTGTTTGGGAATTGCCAACTCGTATTGGCTTTGGCGGAGTCCGGAATCAGACCGCAGAGGCTACGTCAAACGCTTCTTATTAGGAAGAACCGAGTATCGGACAAAACTGGGATATTCATTGATGCGGAACCACTTTCACGCCCCACTTACTCGGCTTTTGAGTTCCTCAACAATCGTATGTGCCCGGCCTTATCATGACACCACGTAAGCTTAGAGACGGCCTGAATTTTTCTTAAGCATTTACGGCGCAGTACGTTTAATCTCTAACGCGTAACAAATATCTCCAGTACTTCGAGTCAAAGCGTAGCTGACAGGACCAGCAAACATTCTGGACTTTCACAAAATTGATTTGCCGTTTGACCTAATTCCTACTTAACACTTAAGGCACTTGAAAATGTTAACCGCGGATGGTAGATAGAAAAGTCTCAATTTTAGTCTGAAGTTCAGCGAGTTGTATTCATTAAATATTGACAGCACAATTACACGACCTTAAAAACTATTTTTAAATAGTTTTAAGAGCTTCGCTGAGTGAGCCCTCCATAGAGTAATGTTTTTTGCCACTGTCTGCCCTTGGGTTCGTTAGAACCCATTTAGGTTATACTTGTTTCTCAATATAGTAGTAGATTTTTTATCGGTGTGAATGTTTTTTTAACATTATTTTTATGATTGTTAAGCTATAAATATTTTCCAAGTGCTACTCGTATCATCACTAATAGTCATCTCCTAATGCGTAGCGTGTAAGCGCTACGCACTTCGTAGCTCTCTACGGATCGTACGGCGCGGAAACTGTAGCGTTCGTAGACGTCAGAGCGTAGAGTCTGTAACCAAAAATTTCCGCTGATTTGATTTATATGTAGTGATGATGGCTCTTTCGGCTGGTATTTCCTATAGATGGAACATCTTATCTCTATAATAGAATCCTGTTCGTGTGCGAAACTAATTTTACCAATTTTGTTGGTATGTAAAACAGAATCTTAATTACATTTTTATTTTATCAATGTTTAGGCATTTTCTTTTTATGAGAAAATATTTTTATAAAACAAAGATCTAAATAAATCTATAAAATGAAACTTATAAAATTGCGTTGCCACCGATGCGCAGTCACTTTAAGTAAACATTAGAGAGTATTATTTATTTATTTAAATAGGTGTTTTACCAATATATATTTGTTGTGAAGTGTGGTCGAGTTTAATCTTTTCTTGGCCAAACTGACTACCCTTATCATATGATAACACGACCTCCCGCGACGCAGTGCGCCCACCTGTCGGCGCGCGTGCGTCCCGCGGTGACGTCACGAGCCCCCGAAAGCCATCGGAGACGCCCGAGCCGACCCGACCGCGACGGATTGATCCGACAGACACTTGCTGATAATCAAATCATCCGTTCTTACGGTTAAAAGCCTGCAGAACGTGTCATACGGTTCTGATTATTTTTTAGCGAATGAAGGCTTATAAAAAGTAACCTAATTTAGTTAGGTTTTATGTCGTCAGATCAAAACCGTACTGTCATTTTGTCTTCTTTTCGGGTGAAAGCCTTATTTGAATCACCTATTAAAAGCGATGACTTACTTCGAATCGAGTTAACTTCGTCCAGTTTACTTAATTTCGACCATCGGCTCACATCAGAACGCATCCAAGTTGCGATCTCGCAGCGCCTCGCTGGCTCCTTATCTAGTTCTTAATCCAAGATAAATATTACATCAATCGGGGCCGTCGGGGCACGCAGGCGCGAGTCGCGGGCCCAGTCCCGCTCCGGCCGCGCCGCCCGCCGCACGTCGCTTCGCGGGCGCCCGACCCGGCGGCGACTCACACGCTGCCTCCCACACCCGTTCATTAGTCAGAGGATCTCGGTTGGACGTTCCCGTCGTCAGTGTTTAACTACGTACCGCTACCTGTGCCGTCGACGGCGAACGACGAACCCGCGCCACGTGCCCATCTCGTTGCGTAAGTCGCGAAAACTAACCGAATCTCCTTTGACACGCGAGAAAACAAATAGGTATCGATCACAGTGTTTATTCTCCCGAACACATTTATTAGCTCGGCCGAGGGCAGGGATGCCCTTCTAAGATGATCCGCGAGCTTTCGGGCGCGGTCTGGTGAGCCTATAATTATAATACGCAAGTGCCGGTCGACCTTAAAACTACGCCGAGAGGAACTTTTAACGTTGCACCAAAGACGATTCGAGCGATGGAGTTTCGTTAGTGTCGCGATGACCCTCCGCCTCAAGTTATACCGTCCGTATATATCACCGTCTGAGCGCCCGAGGCGTGTGGAAAAATAGAGAAAAGAAAGAGCGTTAAATACTTTCCTACTCCGCTCGATCGCAATATTTATATTCCGGCCGACCATTAAACTTCTGTAATCGTCGCTAATGACTTCTTTCCCTAATTGATGACCCTCGACACCCGGGCTTAGAAATTTGGACAAAAATTAGTATTTGCGCTTCGCGAGGCGCCTCAACGACCGTTCGAGGACTTTTCGTGAGCCCAAAATGTATTTCGTTCAAGCTATTTCCTCATTAGGTAATATTAATTTTTCATAGTTCAACTTTAATTAAATCCGGTTTTTCAAACTTTTACTTTATTGTCTAAGTTTGCCTAAGAATAACGCTTTATTGACTGTGGTAATGTTTCGTACACGAGGATTTTCCACCTAAATTTCTTCGTTGATAACAGTCCCTTGTAGTTTTACACCTAACTAGTGGCTAAACAAATAAGGCGAAGTTTTCAAAACATTTGTAGCGATGTACTTTAGTCTTTTGCAATATTTTCCCTGAACTATGTTTCACGGTATCTTTGCTTATCAGAGCATCCATTTCCAATGAAAAAATCTAATTGTTCGGATTGAACTGTCCATTCCGAGTAAATAGAACTCCAACCAAACTGAATGTAGTTCGACATTAATCTTTGATTAGCTGCAAATATTGCGGTATCGAGGTCGTGTGTAATGTGGAGTGTGGACTTAGAGTTCACATTGCGGTTTATTGTATATGTGTATATACAATAATAAGACGAGTATTACACTTTTCGGAGTAATGAAGTATACACCTATAATAATCAAAAGGGTTTTAATTGAATGCGACACACTGGGGTCACCGTGAATACAGCCTTATCTAAAAGTACTACAAAAGAAAAAGCCTTGGCCACGTTCGGTCTGCGTCCGTTCACGAGAACCGATTGTATGAAATAATAATAATAATTAGCTAATGAGCCGAAAACACAAGTTTCACGTTAAAATAACGCCTGGCTTTAATTATTCTGAATTTGCGTCGAGGCTTTCAACTTCACGTGAAATCATTCTTGTAATACGACACTTAAACAATTGTAGATGGCTCGGTTTTATGTTTTTACATTAATTATTGCTTCGCTAAACTCGAGTAGAGTTGCGTTATTGAATATTTATACGTCGTTTAAATTAAGTTAAAGTCGTTCGTGTTCCATTATTATCTCTATTAAATAGATAAAAAATTACACGAAATCGTTTAACCTGTTCGCGAACAATTGACTCGTCTTCGATGAGGAGCTCTCCCGATGAGGCGAGGCGATCGAGTGTGTGTGTAAGTGCTCGGGGGGTGCGCGATTTCAAATAGAACAAAGTTTATTCTCTCATATAGTTTTAGATACAAATATATCTTTTATTTTGGCCTAGTGATGTATACAATGTAAACTCTGCAGGTACATTCGGGTGTTATGTTAGTTAATTAACGACGTGGCGTAGTCCACGAACGGGCGACTCAGGAAAAGCTCGGATTAACATGAAGTGCGTTTTGGGGTTAAGGCGTTATGATCATTTACTTGCAACTCTACAAATTGTTTTTGGTCGTTTCGTTCTTTCACTGTGAACTATTCGTTTCACTTTGAACGACATTGAAGTACCTACATTTTTAGTTTAGTTAGTATTTTTAATACAAATGCTACAATTACGGTACACCGTTGTTCTATATCGGGCTAAACAGGATCAATTTCAGAAAAGGAACACCACGCGCCTAGAAGTCAGCTCGAGTTTCACGCTAAACACAATTAAACTGTACATCGGCAGTATTTGACACTAATTAGCGGCATATAATGCCCACGGACTAGTATTTATTGCAGTAATTCAATGGCTAATTAATTGCACTGTTTTTGCTACTCCGCTTGGTTTATAATTAAAGTGACTAATTTCATCTCTCCAGCAGAGTACTAATTGCAGGGAACTACCTCGACGAAATGTATAAATTTAAAAATGGACTTAGGAAGGGAGGCGGTCGCGATATCGGTGTCGATTGAGAGCAATCGGGTCTAATTCCGCGCGAGCCTCGTACGATACTTTATAGCGGGCTACGTTTCGTAAAGTTCCATTAAGTGCGCATTACTCGGCCGCTTTTGTTTTATTATGGCTTATCGCCTTCTAGTTACGGTTACTGCAATAGTTTCGCAATAGCGGCTGGAAAGTGTTAGGTTTAACGGTGCCGTCTTTATTAGAATTAGATGTATGTTCAACGAGAACTGTTCTAATTCTGTTCATCCTGTTCGCGAATTGAATGCTACTTTCTACTATCACAATAAATGACAATTGTTGTAATGAACAAATGTTACGATCGTTCCACGTTTAGTTGCTTGATGTCGTCTTCCTCCGTAGTATCGATCCCTATACGAATGTAAAGCAGCTATAACTGGATGAATGCCATCGCTAATTAACTTAGAAGTGAAAGACCACGTCTATGACCCCAGTCTAAGCTAACAAAGCAAACCTAGAGCTAGCTTTAATTGAATTCTTTGTATAGCGACAATATTTAATATCTCAGTGCACGTGAAGGGGGCTTCCGACATGTTCTTTTTTGAGGTTGCATCTAAAGGGACTTTGCACGATGTTTCACGAACGAACCGTCTGCAGCAATGTTGACATACACGTTATTTCCATTTCTATATTGACGCCGACCTTTGCCACGTTTTGATGGATCAAGAGCTAAATATGCGTGTCGCGCTTGGCGGAATCGCTTCTACGTCACCTGAACTAACTTCGAAAGAAGTCGTATGTTAAATCAAACTTCCTCGAAAAATTAAATATTTGAGTTCATTATAAGCAGAGTCTTTAGAAAAATAATCGTCAATCGAAGTCAAAACTAAACGAAGTATTTCTTCGCAAGATTTGTATGTTGTGCAATAGTTGTACGTATTTAGTTTTATTATAGACATTGAACAACATTTTTAAAAGATATACATATTATGTATTCTTACGCATTTCTGTCATTTTCGATACGGAGATTATTTAATACTGCGCGATTTCATTCCCAGGAGATTTGACGGAACGATGTGATCGTGCGACTTATCCCGTGCTCGCTTAATATACATATAATGTAAATCATAATTTTATTTAGTTTTGTACATTTACTTATATTAAAAT